TAGTATCCCGTTAGAATAAATATTTTCCTATTTTTCCAATTTTTTTTCAACATCTGACCTAGACCAAAATGATAATAATATTTTGAATCTCCTGGTGAAATTGAAAAAAATTACCACCAATCGAATTCACGAAAAATTCCCAATTTTCAACCAGAATAGCTTCTTTTTCACAGAAAAGTATACGAGGCAAGCTGTGGAAGATTGACCGGAGGTCTGTCGAGATGGCAGTTGATCGGAATAAACGCCCATCTCGTTTATAAACACGGAACGAATCCATCGGGAGCACATTGAAATGGACCCGTTTTCCGCTCGACAATCGCGGCTAATGGTGTGGAAATTGTCTTCTCCCATTTCCACTACCACTTTGTTTTCCGTCAAATTCGCTTTTCCTTAACTTTTTTTTCCTTCTTTTGCTTACACTATCAGTCTCACGAAGGTGGTGCTTTTTGAGTTCGAAGTGGCTTTTCCGGGCAAGGAGTTGCTTCCAAATGTTTGACTGGGATCATATAAACCAAGAAAGACAGTTTTAGAGATAAATGTTCTTTTTCATCCTTAACAGTAAAACAGGACTTTTGGAGCCATTCAGACGCCAAGTATTGGCCCAGAAATGAAATTTTGAAGTGACTCACATGCGCTCGTTTTTGTTCTAATGTCGATGCTTTCTAAGAACTGTCGGCCTCAAATTTCTTTGACGAAAAAGGCTGCTGCTGAAACGGCAACCATAATGTCCAACATTTTCCATTCCACTCACTTTTTCAGCGCTACTCCAACTTTTCTTTCCAACACTTTCTCCTTTTTTGGAGTTTTCTCTTTCTCGGCGTTCAATTTTCCATTCTTCTCGCTGTTCCACCAGCCTTTTTATCTTTTATCCGCCGACCCCAATTCCAACACGTCGGGTCTTGATAATTCATCATGGATTCTCATCAAATTGCGTTCTTTTTCACTGCCAGACTTTCAAGTCATCGGTCCTTTCCTGAGAAAAACTACTCTATTGAAAGCAGTTTTTTTTTTCCGAAAATTGCTCGTTTATTGGCGTATTCCTCAAATATCAATGCGATGTGTTGCACTTTGGAATAAACAGCTGTGAAATTGGAAAATCGTGCGCGTCATTTATCTCAATACTTATTTTCCTCTTCAGTGAGCAACTATGCAGTTTTTTCTTTAGTCTAGCTCTATTTTTTTTTCCTTAATTTTACTTTAAGCACATTGAAATACGATTTATCTGTTCAATAAATATATATCTAGTCTTCAAAAACTTTTAGGTTAGAACCCTAAGTTTTTTTCGGCAATCTGTAGCTTTCTTGAACACCTTTAGGGTTGTGAAAAAAATAATAGGAAAAATTTATTCAAAAAAACTTTATTAGTGTTCTTTTCTAGTTCATTCAAGAGTTCTGCCGCTTAAAATGTCTCACAAAAACTTCGGAATTACTCGCAGTTTTCGTCGTTGAATATCATGACTTTTCACGTTTTGAATCGATGCAACCTGATACTTCGAGCCATCGAAACTGAATATGTTTCTCACAAGAATAGCTATTTCTTCTCAGATATATTGATAAACGGACTAGCTTTTTTTTTCCCACCAACAAGAAGTTCTCTTTCGCCAAGCTTTTGCTTGGAAACCACAAATTTTTAATCGTTTTTTAGGGGTGTTTGGTGTTAGATTTTGGTAGAGTTTGAAGATATTACTGATTCCCATTTTGTAGTTAATATCACAAGTATGATTTACTGCAGATGAAAAGTAAGAAACATTTTATTTATTCAACAATTTTTACAAGTAATTCATCATCATTTTTCGCCTCCGCTATTTTGGTTTTGGGAATTTTTTGTTTTGCGGTATATGAAACTGAGAGTTTCTTTCACAATTTGTTAGCCTTCGATAGTTTTCAAAAAATTGGATTGATCTAACAAAGTAGGTAACTAAGTCTACACTGATTTCATTTCGAAACTCCAGAGCCTCCTTGACAATGACCTTTGAATTATAAACGGAAAAAAGTTCCTATGTCAAGAATCTTCTCATAAAATGTGTTGGATATATGTAACGGAGGGTGCACCAGACCTCAGGAGCTGACGAGGCTAATTATCGCAGTTAGAAGGAGCCGCGCACCGTAGTCTCGCCTGCGGCGGCTTTATCTGTCGCAACAAGCTCTCTTGAATATCGCGCTAATTGCAAAAATAATTGCTCGGCGGTGCAAAAATCGCGGAAACGCGACACCGGCAGCTCTCCATCGCCCAACAAATGTTCACGAAAAATGGTGTGACCAATACTTCTTTGAATTAAATGCTCGCGAGCGCCTGGGGGCATTGTTTCGTGCGGCCGTCGCTTCTTCTTTCGCCCGTGTCCCATCCATTTTTATGCTAATCGAGCCATATGCCCGAATTCGGTCGCTGTTTAATCGTCTCTTTTTCGTCGTTTCGAAGAGCGCTGCTCAACGTTTTTTTTTTTCCGACCAGCGATTTTCTTGTTCTTCTCCTTCCAACTGGTACTAACCGCAAAATATATTTCGCTGAGTTCCAGTTTGAACTCCATACATCTAATTGAATGATCTTCTGTTTCATTAGAGCAATGAGGAACGCTTTCATTGTATTGGATTGAGAACGCAGCTATGCAGACGAGGCATACCGAAATAATTAGCATAATTAAAGCTTGGATATAGAGAAAAAACGGGCGGCACGAGCCTCGCCACTCATTTCTTATTCCCTTTCGAGCTCTTTTTCCTGTTGTCTGTTCTGCTCTTTCTTTGCTTTCATTGTTATACCCAGCTTCTTTCCTTTTTTAAGTTGGTAATAAATTTAAACTTGGTTGGAAGTCAGCTTTTTTGAAAACTTCATAAGAAAAAACAGCAACAATTTCTTTTGATCTCATAAAACTTCCGCTGAGACGTTAATTCCTCGAAATTTTAGAACACATTGGCCCGCGAAGCCTCGTAAGCCTTTGGAGAGGATTACTTCCTTGACTTGCCAAATTACTTTGCAAAACAGTCGAAATTTCGTAACGTCTAGGAACCATGTGCTATTGATCAACTCCCTTATTTTTGGAACACAACTTTTTCGAAAATCTTTTTTCCACTGGAAATTTTTCAAAACAGTTCTTTTTTTTTTACTTTTTTTTCTTGAAAAAATTTCAACGGTTATCGGTTTCGGATGTCCTTCAAAAATTTTTTTTTGATGCATAGAAGATGCAGTATGTTTTGTATTTTTGAAAATAGTCGCTGGAGGCGAATACTCGAAATTAATAATTTTTCTCTTCTAATGAACTCAAAATTTTCCGTCTTCCCCTTTTTTTTTGCTAACGTCGTGAATTCAAGTGGAAAACTCAGGTTTCCATAGTAATTGGACGGTGTTTGTGAGAAATGTCCCTTCTGGGAACTATATAAGACCTCTCGACTCTCAGAATGGGAATAATCGAGAAGAAAGCTTTACTTCTAATTCTTTTTCTTCAATCAGAGAGCACTTTGTCAAAATTTATAATATTAGTTATTGAACACGAACTGAAGCCGTATCGCCAGTCCGATGATCGACAAGTATAATCTTTGGGCTGGTTTTTACGGCCGCAGTTTGCGGGTGATTTTGGATTGTCGCCGTCAATGTCAATTTTCGCGAACTACCTCTATTCTCATCACAAGTAACGTTTTTTAACAATCGTTCGAAACTCGGTTCTTCTATTGAATGTCTTCGCCCACGAAAATTGATAAAGGCTTTTGAACTTTATTTCAAGTTTATCAATATTCGGTCTTCCGTCATGATCTCTGAGTTGGAGTGGTTCCAACGAGAACTATTTCTATTGGATCATGTTTCGATCATCGAACAAACTATTTTGCTTCAAAATAATGCATCACACTTTTTCATCATTCCTGATTCGGTTTCGAGAGAAATTCGCAAATTATATCCCTTGTCTTAACTGTTCATGAATCATTAAAGCCCTTTACAATTCAGGACGTTTCCCTTTTTCATTGAGTATCTCTCGATAAATCGCTTCCTGAATGCCCGGAAAGTTTTTATTTTTCGCATCTCCAAAAGGGTGAGGTAAAAAGAGGCGCATTATGATGGGTGGGATCAGGTTTTTGAGTGCGACTCTTCACTCACATTCTGTCTCTCCACTTGGCCACCATTGTACGCCACACGCCGCCGCCAAATTGGCACTCAATTAGCCTACCGTAGCGGCTGGATTGCGCAGGTAAAATGGCACGACCTCTGTGACCGCCAGGTAATTACAGACAGCCTGGCCAGCAAACTTTCCGACGGTTTTGCGCGAGAAAATCCAACAAGGACGAACTTTTTCCCATTAGTGAGAGTAGCGTTTCATTTCCTGTACGGTTTCAAACTGTTTTGGATTTATTCAGTTCACCTTTCCTTAGCCCTGACATGCCAACCTGCAGTTATTTCCCGCATTACTCACTCAACTCTTAATTCGTGTCCCGCCGAAGAAAAGGCTGTGACCAACGTCGTTTTTCTGAATAACCCGAGAAACCGCAGCCTATAATTACCTGCACTTGACAAAATGCGAGCTCTTTACAGAAAAAGGTTTTTAAGGGTCTGAGAAAAGCTTTTTTTGTTCTCCGCATAAGAACCTCTTTCGATGAAAAATTATTATTTTTCTCTTAGGATTGGTTTTTTCTTAGTAATTATGAAGTGTGCCTTTTTCCACTGATAAAATCGTCAGGTAAATTTTGAAATGAAGCTCCATTAGTACATCATTTTTTTATTTGGATTCCATAACTAATAAATTATAGAAAAAACGTATTTTTCAAAAATATTTCCGATAATTGGTTTCCATTGGATAAGCGCAATAATCAGGATATAAATTTCTTTGCTTTGACTTTAAAACTAAGATGTCAAGGTTTTTTGAAGTTTGGACAGAAAAATTCTCTTCCTCGATCGCGAAAAATCATAGGTGTGCAAAACTAATGATCGAACGAAAATTTCTTCAAACCGACAAGTTGGGTGAATTCTCAGCTGAGGTCCTACTGACACGAGGTTAGGTGGTCCTTAATCGGTGGCGAATGTCCGTTCCGGCAGTCAGTCACCTGCTCGCCGCCGTCGTTTCCATTGTCTATGTATTCACCTGTTCCGGGCCCAGCACCATATGATGACGGACTGCCTCGTCTGTTTGCATGCGTCGACTACTCAATTTACACATAGATGCAGGTTGACCACGCCTACTTTTGCGCACTGAAACATGTGTCTTTCCTGGACTCCCTTTCGAGATTTCGTCGCTTTTCAATTGCCGGCAGCTCTCACGGGGATTCTCCTTGTTTCTTCCGCCCCTCCGAAATTGATCAGATGCCATTCGCAACGTTCAGTATAGTCTAATTTTTTCTTGACCTGATTCCCTTTGGAGTTTTTTAGAACTTGTAAGGTGAACTGAAAAAAATGACTACCGCCGCATTTTTTGAATTATTTCTTTTAAACCTTCTGAAAAAAAAGGAATTGGCGGTTTTTGATATTTCATGCGCAAATTTGTTAGCAGTTATTTTACTGTTTTTGGAGGAAGTTCTCTAAAATTTTCTTCTTATTGGAAATTATTGAAATTTATTTTTAAGTTCTAAAGAGTGAGTTTCTCCCAAGTGTAACATTCCATTCATTTTTTCTATCAAAGCTTCTGTTTGATTTAAAAGTTGGACTGTCTTTATAGAGTTTCATTCAGGCTTCTGGTGCTTTTGAAGGCGAGCAAACCGATTTTTCTTTTAACTAAACTCTGATATTTGAAATAACTTACGATATTACCAGCAATAAATGTCGAAGGAAAAACTACCTTTTTGCAAAATTCCATTCAAATTTTTTTTTTAGTTTGCCCAATACTGAGTGAAAATCATTTTTTGATGAAGTTCTCGATACGATGAGCGAAAAAGTACGTAGACAGAAGAAATTCAGGCGTCTACGTTGTATTTTCAAGCTAATGGCTAATGATGAATAACAAAGCTGAATCCCAAAAAGGAAAAAAAAGGGGGGCTAGGGGTTGTTTTGATCGGCTCTGTTTTCGGGAAGATTATTCGAAAGGCAGACAATGACATTTCGAAACTGATTGAGACGAACCGTGTCGAGGGAGTTTCAACTTGATTGGACTACAAAAGAGGAAAGTGTTCGGCAGCGTTTTGACGACGGACGACGGGTCGTCGCCCTCCACTTCCGGTGTGCTCCATTCGTCGCGAATTCAGTCGTTGCCTACTCCATTTCTCTCGCTGCCCACCACTTCTCTGCCTATTGTGGCGTGCTTCTCTTGTTTCGCTTTTTTTTCGGGTCTTGTTTGGAAAAATGGCCCACTTTGGAGAGTGCCTCAAATTTGTATGCCAACCAATGCTCGTTTGCGACTCGGTGGTTTTTTTTTTGTGGAACTGGCTTTTCATCGAACTCTCTTTCAGAAGTTGCTCATGTTAGCATAAAGTTATACCTTGAAAGCTTGAAGTTGCAAGTTGGAGTAGCTAACGACTGAATGAGATATTCATGCCGTTTTTGCGGTTTCACCTGTTTTTGAGCCTGGAAAGAGCCCATCACACACACACCGCCTATTTTCGTCAATCCGAGGGCCATTGTTGCCTTCAACTCTCCTTTCCTTCATGTCGTCTGAGTATTTTCCGGCTTTGTGCTAATCGGAATGAAGAAAGCCTAGCTTCATTCTTCTGATCAACATTCATTCTTCGAGAATTCGTTTTCTTCAAATTTTATTGTTCGAGATTATTCAACTTTGCAATTTCAGGGTCGTAGTAGCTTATAGTGGGATCGAATTTTCGTCTTTTAATCTTTTTCTTCTTTCGCGATGAATACGAAGTTGTTGACGCCAAACAACAACAACATGCTCAGTAACGATCCTCAGGTACTTATTTTCTTTTCTATTGCAGTTTTAGTTCTTCAAAATAGCCATTATCTCAAATCGTTCAGTTTTTTTTTCATGGATCAACTTTAAATATAATTTTTCCACTTGTCACGGTTCAATGCAGCCTGAAAATTATTCGTTTTTCTTGAGTTCATTTGAATAACGATTAACCTGTTCTCGTTGTTTTCTGATCTGGCGAGAAAGTTCTTTTTGGCGGTTCGTCTCCATAATTGCTCGTTAGCCTTGTTATTAACTCTCTAATTATACCTCGAGGTACAGAACTTTGATCCCCTCGTCCGATTGGACTTGCTGCACTAATAAATTTCTAATTTTGTCTTTTTTGAATGAAGTTGAATCGCATTCCTGTCAGTTATGATTTTAGCAAAATGTATTTTAACTAAAAAGCTTAAAATTTCCGCTTTCTTTTTCAAGTAACAGAGAGCAAAAATTAGTTGGAATCTGATCAAGATGATAAGATCTATTAACTGTCCTGTTAGACAGCTAGGAGTGCAGGGAAGAATATGCAAGAAGCGAATTCGTTTTTTTTTCTTGAATTTCGGGTCAGTCTGAACCTCGGAAATTTACGCGAAAGCTGTCCCAAGGGACTCTCCGAAGCTTTCTTTTTTTCCTTACACGGGAAGTGCGAAAGGTCGAGGTATTGGAATTTAATGAGACTTGGTATATAGGTACTTCCGAACACCCTGAATCCAAAGCAGTTGAAAAAAAGTGCGCCTTTTTGGTTTTAGTCGAGTTAGGGCGCCTCAAAGTTTGCACGCAAAAAATGCATTGGAAGGGAGGAGGGAATGTGTTGCGGCGGCTAACTCTAGCTACCAGCAGGCGGCGTGGTGTAGTGGCTAGCGGCCTTGCGCTGTGAAACCTGTGATGCAGGTTCGGTCCCTTTTTGGTGAAATTTTTTTTTGCTATGAAGTTTTTCGAAAAAATTGATGAATTTTTGAAGATGGAACGAAAAATACTGTTCAAAGTGTTAAAATTCACTATTTTATGTCGTTTTGAGAAAGAATTTCAACAAAAACATTTTTTTAAGTCTTTTTTTGTCCTGCTCTGTGCAGGAAATTTGGGCGTCGAGATTATTCTTGCGAGAGTTCATAGGTTTGTGATATAAATAACAAATTATTGTAGTTCTATGCTTCTATTCTTATTCATCAAACGATTTTTTTCTTCAAAGATGGCGGTTAGTTAACCCTTTTCCTTGTCTTTTTTTTTCATTCCCTGCAGCATCGCCATATCATCTCGATTGTGAAAATAAAGTGAAGCTGGACTTTAATACGCATTTTTACACACATAACGTCATAAAGGAAGGAAAGAAGAATAAATCTCATAAAACTTTGATTATATTGGTTCATCAGAAATTTTTTTGAAAGAATGGGTCGACCATAAGCCTTATGGTTTGGCAAGGAAAAATGGAGCAAAAAAATTTTTTGTTTTATTCTTTCTCAGATGGGCATAAAATGGCGAATTTCAAAATTTTGAGCTGTTCTTTCACTCCATCATCAAAACTTCCTCATTTTTCAAATAAAAAAAATTGGCAAAAATAAAATTTCACCAAAAAGGGACCGAACCTGCATCATAGGTTTCACAGCGCAAGGCCGCTAGCCACTACACCACGCCGCCTGCTGGCAGCTAGAGTTAGCCGCCGCAACACATTCCCTCCTCCCTTCCAATGCAATTTTTGCGTGCAAACTTTGAGGCGCCCTAACTCGACTAAAACCAAAAAGGCGCACTTTTTTTCAACTGTATTGGATTCAGGGTGTTCGGTAGTACCTATATACCAAGTTTCATTAAATTCCAATACCTCGACCTTTCGCACTTCCCGTGTTAGCAACACTAAATCATTCAATCGAATTTCAAACATTTAAGGGCTCCGTTATTGTTATATAATTTCATAGGAAAGTTTGGTATTATCCGAATTCTGAAATTAATTCTCGTGTTTGTTGATGAGGTTGAGCTTCAAATTTTTTTTTTCCAATTTAAAGGACGTTTCAGACGACATACACGAGTACACAACGGTACTGCACGGCGCCGAACATCGACATCGGCGAGTCCAAGACGAATTTGATCATCAACTACCTGCCTCAGGGCATGAGTCAGGAAGAAGTTCGATCTCTTTTCGCCTCGATTGGTGAGATCGAGTCCTGCAAGCTGGTCCGCGACAAAATGACAGGTTCGTCTTTCATTCAAAATACAACACCAAAAATCGAATGACCGAGGGGAAAGGAGTGTTCGGGCGACCGGTTGAGCTTTTGTTTTTTGGTTTTTCGTCTTGTAATATGTAATAGGTAAAGCGATACTCGGGATACTGACGGACTAAGCAAAAAAAAACTTTTCATCTATTTATCAAAATACAAGAAGTTCGTATAAAAAGCTATTTTTTCACGGCGTTGCTGTTCTTCCTTATTTTTTAATTGTAATCAGAACTAAGTTTTTTCTCGTTCTCGCCTAGTTTTCTGTCAGTATCATGTGAAAGGCGACTCAATCCGCGGTTTAGAGGCCCCCGGTGGTCCGACGCTCTTACCCTGAAGTCTAAAATCTTCTCACTTCAACCACAAAGTCGCTTTCAGTAACATTATCACGCTATTTTTTTCTCATTAGTTTTACGATTCTTTGCGAGAAAGAGAAAGAATCTTTTTAGATTAGTCTTAGTTTGCACCGAAACCCCTTGTCCTAATTTGTGTGTTTTCGTAGTGATGCTTTTTATTTGATTTATTTTTAATTTTTACTATTATTTATGCGTGTTGATTGGTTTTCTCTGTCGTTTTAACATCGATAAAAGCACATCGTTATACAATCTTCCATAGAGAAGAAACTACAAAAAACAGAGAAACAAAAATTATAATTGAACCCGTCAAATACTTTTTTTTGTATTTCTTTCCACGTTTCGGCTTAATTTAAGTTTTGGGTTTTCATTGCTTTACATGTGTTCACTCTTTATCGGCAAAGCTTCAAAAAAACATTTATCTTCTTTTTATAACTGATCATTCCTCCGACGCGTGTGAACGACCTACACATCGGGAAAAAAAAACTTTGCTTGTTACACTTAGCATAAGCTTCACACTTTGAAAACAGACAAAATAGAAATAAGTTAGATTTGTTTTTGGTTCAATGCGAAAAAATACAATGGGCTTCAATTCGTGGCAAACCCAGTTAATCCTTTTTGCTTTTCAAGCTAAAAAATTTCATTCGAAGTTAAAATGGGCTTCTACAGTCACGAAGGCGGTGTTGACGGCGGAATTAGCTTGAAGGGTGATTTGAAGATAATTTTTAAAATTCAAAATTATGTTTATGTAGCCGTGAATCTTATTTTTTCTTAAAGAGCCTTCAGGCCCACTGAAAAGAGAAGTGGAAAGAGCAATTCAAAAAACCGTTGAATGCGAAATTTCGAGAAAGAACTTCTCTACAGATAAAAGTGACTTGTAAGCGTTCTAGTTTCAACTCACTCAAAATAATGGCTTTTAACCCCGCTGCCAACGCCGCCGTCGACTTTTTCTCCGTGTCCTTTCTCAGCTCGCATTTGCCGTTTGTTTCTGGTTGCAGGCCAAAGCCTTGGTTATGGTTTTGTTAATTACGTGCGCGAGGAGGACGCCCTTCGCGCGGTCAGCTCGTTCAACGGCCTCCGGCTCCAGAACAAGACGATCAAGGTCCGCTACTGTCTTTCTTTTCTTCTTCTTTTCATTCATTATCAGTTCAGCTCCTTTTTCTTCCGTTCTTCCTTATTTCGGTCTTATGTTTACAACCCCACGGCTTCTCTTTTCATCTTTTTTGTGTGTCGGTTCACTTACATCTTGAATAACTTCCCGAACTCAAGTGCTAAGAAAGAGTAGATGAAAACCAAATTTCGACATTTTTCCATATCACTGAGAGTAAATTCTTCCTCTGAGAGAAGCATTGGATTTTTCAAGCTACTGCAAATAAATAATGGTTCAATGGACCTGAAGTTAGGTAGGGCTGACATTCAAGTTGAGAGCGAAAAATTGTTTTTGGGCCTGCGTCGGCTGTTATTCATATTTTTCACCAAGGCGTTAGTTTTTGCTTCAATTCATCATGATTTCATAACAAAAATGTGTGCCCGATTTCCCGCGATATAAATTTGAACAGAATGAGAAAACGGCGTTTTGAAAAACAAGTATTTGTAGAAGTCATGAGTAGATCTCCGAGAAGTTGTTTTTCTTTTGAAATATTTTTTGAAAATTAAGATTTCACAAAAAAAAATTCGAAAAGCTCAGATGGAACTAAAAGGGTCTTGTTTGATGTCTTTGCTCTTTTTATTGGGAGAAGGCGTTTGTTCTTCAATTTCCAACTTTCCACGAAGCGAATCGATTGTTCAAACGCTGCGCAATATTATCGTGTTGCGGATTCCGGCAGTATGCACCCAGCGGGGCTTTTGTGAACCACAATAGACGCATATGTTTGCCAAAAGATCGGATTTCGACACTCACACGGACGGTTGCCCTTTTCGTTCTCTATTCAGCTAGGTTTCACATCGCCCCAAGCGACCATTTCATGTAGTAGGAGAACAATTCGTTCAAAAAACAAGCTCGAGGAGATAAAAAAAAACCCGGAAGTTATGTAGAGCACTATTGTTAGTGGCGCCATTTGCTCTTTTTGAATATATTAACACTTTGCTTGATCTGCTGATGTGTTTGTTTTGTCTTAACCATTTCTTCTCTACTCCAAGCATCTTCGAGTACAGTTGCTGCTCCAAAACGAGGAATAGTGGGAAATTATGAGCTTAAGGTGTCGTATGCCCGCCCCAGCAATGACAACATCAAAGGCTCGAATCTATACGTTTCTGGAATCCCCAAGTCTATGACGTTGAACGAATTGGAAGGCATTTTCCGCCCTTTTGGTCAAATCATCACTTCTCGCATCTTATCCGACAACATCACAGGTTAGTTGCTCGCTGCAGCCGAGTTTGACCAAAAAAAACTCCCAGCAGGAGGAGGAACAACACCTGCTTAGCCCTGAAAAAAGGTCCACAGCCTCATGAAAATGTCTTTACACTTTTCAAAACAAAAACTGCGTGCGATTTGTTGGGATACTTATATTTTCCTCGTCCTTGCGAAAAGGGGAACTTTTCCGAAATTGAAATAAATTAAAACAATCGAAAGAAATACTGTTTATAATAATAGAAGTTCGAGGAAACAAAGCAGACCAAAAGGAACCCGAGAGGAATATAAAGAAGGAAAGTTTGAGAAATATCGGTTAAGGAATAAAAAATCAGCAAAAGTTTAGTTTTTAGAACAAACATATTTAGGGAATAACCGTAAAACTGAAATCGTTAGTGAATGGAAAAGCGAACGAAAAAGATAAGAAGAAATCTTCAAATATTAAGATTTTGTCTTCTAGAATATTCTTTCGCGCCTACTATTCAAAATATTCGCTCTTTATGATCTCTTTTCAGATCTTATCATTTTTAGAGACCAAAATGATCTGAAATTGTGTTGCAGGGCTGTCAAAGGGAGTCGGTTTCGTTAGATTCGACAAAAAAGACGAGGCTGACGTCGCGATCAAAACGTTGAATGGAACGATTCCAGTCGGTTGCAACGAGCAAATCACAGTCAAGTTTGCCAACAACCCCGCTAGCAATTCTACCAAAAATGTACTCCAAGAAGTGAGCGTCCAGTGGTTTTTCTGAGAAAAACCAAAACTTGCAGTTGGAAGCGGTTCAGCAAGCTGCAAACCTGGTGCCGCTTTCGACTCTCCTTGGAGCCTCGCCTCTCAGAACCAGCACGATCGGACCAATTCACCATACTCCGATTGCGAAATACAGGTTTCGTTCTCATATTTTTTTCTGGAAGGCCTGGAAATTGCTCAGGTATTCGCCGATGGGAACGGTTCCAACGGCTCCAACGGTCCCAGCCGCAGACTATTTCACAACCTCGGCCTTGCTGCAAATGAGTCAGTTGAACGCTCTCGCTGGCTTCACTTTTCCCAATGGTCTTTCCACCGTGCAGACTATGCCAGGTACGCGTTTCTCCGCTTCTCGCGCCGAGTCTGAAAACTGAAGTTGCCTAATATGATAGTTTTGAAGGAGCGGATTTGACGACGGCTTCTTTTCTGGCGCAACAACAGGCCGCCGCCGCCAGTCCTCCCAACACCTCGGCTCAAGCCCAATTGGCAGCAATGAGTGCTTCCGCCGCAGCCGGCCTTCCAGCAACGGATACGGCCGGATACTGTCTTTTCGTATACAACCTCGGTGCCGACACTGAAGATAGCCTTTTGTGGCAGTTATTCAGTCCTTTCGGCGCGGTCCTCAGTGCCAAGGTATATAGGATTTTCAAGCAGTCTGACCTTCAGATTGCCTTTTAGGTCATACGCGACTTTGCCACTCAGAAGTGCAAGGGGTACGCCTTCGTTTGCATGGCGTCCTACCCAGAAGCCTACAGCGCCATGCTCGCTCTAAACGGCACTCAAATCGGCAGTCGGACGCTTCAGGTAAGGTTTCATCTCGAATAAAACGTTTTACTTTCTGCGATAAATCCCATTTTGGTGGACTCTCAAAGTTTTCTTTTTTCAGATTTGCTTCAAGGCTGCGTCAGCCGCAAGCTCTCTGATAAGATGATTTAGAGCCTTTGAATGAACTCACTCGAGGTTGTGATCTTACCGTATCCTGAGTTGCAAGATTTGCCTTATACCATATCTCTTTTCTTGAGAAAAAAAAGTGTTCCTTACCAGTCTGCTCCACCTGTGACGTAGCTCCAATGATTTTGGCTGAAATTCTCACTTAGTTTCCTTTTTTTTTCTTCGAAGTCCTTTGATTGCCTTATCGCCCAAATAGGCACTAGTCAGTTCTTGTGATTCAATTGCGATCGTTTACCTAAGACATTCTGTGAACTCTTCATCCGGTCTTTTTTTGAGCTTGACTTCTTACCATTGAAAATTCACGTGATTTCATCTTTTTTTTTGATATTTAATTTCTCTCGGTTTCTACAAAAAAAAGCTTTAAAATAAATTTTCCTCCCTTAGCAAATTATGCCCTGGTTTCTTTCCTTCAATGTTAGTATTTCTATTGCTTGAAATTGCCGATTTCTTGGTATTCGTAATTTTTTTTTTTCGAAGAGATTTTATACAAAGGTATGAGAATGTGATATTTTCTGCAAGGTCTTCTGTTTCCAAATTATTTTCACACGGTCAGAATGCCGAAAACAACGCATGAATAAAATTTTCAAGTGTTCCACTACCAACAGCTTCGTAACGTGTTACTTTTGAAGTTTGTTTCAAATACCGAGAGGACTGATACTATTTATTGGAGAACAACAGAAGAATTATCAGTTTGATGACGTTAACCTTACAGAAGAATGTTTTCCATCATATTTCTTTACCCTTATGGGTACATAATGTTTTCATTGCTCCATGAACGTTCCACGAGAGAAAAAGAGGACGCAGACACGTCAGAACTTTTCCAGTTGTGGCGAAAAAGGGACTACACTACCAGAATGCTCTCTGAGCAGAATGCACCATGTTCCGAGATGAAAAAGAAGCTGAAAAAGTACATAAGAAGTGCAGACTTCAGTGCAGGTATTCTCGAGATTAGTTGAGTCGAAACGGGAACCGCAGAATGCCCGGTTCTCCCCTGCAGCGTGACACACGCAATCCGCCCTGGCCATTCGAGTTCTGATCACATTCTGGAAGCTTTCTTCTCGCCGAATTTTCCTCCAAACTTGTGCCAAACACTGTATTCTTCCTCTCCAGTCGACACTGGCGGGAAAAATGAGATCTTTTCTCATTTTTCTCGCGCTCGGGATCAGCTCCGAATGCTTCATCGGTGAGTGTCTCATTCTGATATTTTTTCCCCCTGTGATGTTTCAAGGTGTAAGTTCTGTTTGAGGTAGGCTCTTGCGTCTCTGAACACCCCATAAATATTTTTCAAACTGATAAAACATGAAAAGTCAAACTAAATTTTTTTAAATGAAGTTTCACAACATTGCTCAAAAAAATTGATGATGAAAAAGATTAAGAAGATAAAGTTTATTGAAAGAATTTTCGAAAAATTGCTCAAACTCACAGTAAGTGACAAAAAAAGATAGTGTAAGTAAAAAAAGTTATTGTAAGTAACTTTTTTTAAAACTGTATTTGTTGTTGTTTCTTTTTTTGGAAACAAATCTTGAATTATCTTTTTATTTTATTTCATACTGAAGATTCGTTTTGGGAAAAATTCGAGTTTTGCGACGAACAAGAAAAACGTGATTTTTTTGACGTTAAAAAGAAACAGGTTGCGTGGTTCTCGGCTTTCGTAATTCTCGAGAGAAAAACGAGAAGGCCAGCAAATGATATAATGATGAAGATCCTAGCTTAAAGATCCAGAAAACCCTTTTTTTCTTAAATTTATATATTTCGGTTGAGGATCTGGTCTAAAAAAAACTTTAAATTTATTACACTGACTACATCACAATTTGACAAGTAATTTCTAAGTTCGACGTCATCGAAGAGGAGCCGATGCTGAGGCTCCGATGGCAAGACGTCTGAGCAGTGAAATCCGCAGGAAACAGCCTCTGATTCTGGAACTTTTAGGTTCATTCATTTGGTTCAAATGCTGAAAACTGTGTTGTGCTATTCAGGTCCACTGGCGTTTGGCAAGAAAAATGGAGACGATGCAAAGGTGAACCTACCAATGATTGGAAAGTTTGGCTTAGGAGATGTCACTCAAACCGTTGCCAAGTTCACTCCAGGTTTTGCTTTTTCGAACAAAGTACGATATAATAGGAATTTTTCGATACAGAGGGCATGGAAAACCAACCTCTGAATGCGGGAACCTTCGACCTGGGCGATACTCCGCAACTTGGCTACATGGATCGGGAAACTACGATGGGAAAGAGTTCTGGTAGCTCCAGCAAGGTCAAACCATTCTAGTCCAGTTCTGTTACGATGAATTCTCTTCCAGATGTCGATTGGAGGTCTAGGAAAAATAGAACTGGGCGAGGCTTCCGAACAAGGAACCGGCCTTCTGGATTTCTCCAAGTCACGTGAGCGACTGAGCTTCAGCGGAGCAAACTTCGCATTTACAGTGTTCCCTTTCCTCGAGCTGCCGCCGCTCAAGAACGATACAACTCCTGATTATACAAACTCGAATGTTGATCCGTCGCTTGGAAACATTTACTACCCCAAGTCTAGATCATACCTGAACGATTTGGAGTATAAAGTTTCTACAGCTGAAAATCCATCCGAAGTCCTTCTTCCTATCTCGTCGACGGTAAATTTCCTTTTTATTGAAGAACCTATTTTTTTTCTTCAGAAAGGAAGATATCCGAAATTGGTAGGAAACTCGGAGGAATCACCCTTGGAAAACCCATACGAAAGCAGCAAACCATCGCCTTTTCGTCAAAAAGCCTTCGCTTCTCGGACAGAACAGGTGACAAAAGCTGTTATCTGTTGAAAAAGGTTGAAAGGTGGAAGACAAAGATCTCCTGGGAGCGTCGGAAGACGACGACGAAGACGAGACTCCGAAGAAAGAAGGCTTCATAGCCCAGAAAGGAAAGCAAGTCGATACCGAAGAGTCTGTCAGCCCCGATTTACTCAACGCTCAGCAAAGAGTTGCCCAGGTACCCTTCAAAGGTCTGCGAAGAGATGGATATCATTGCAGGTGACATCTAAAAAGTCGCTAAATTCTCTCGGTCTGTCAGCTAGAGAAGTGTACGCGTTGTGTGCAAAGTTCGCCCCAGTTGCCAACCTCGTAGGTGCAAAAACTCGTCGCTTCTTTATTTTATACTCCAGCACTGCTATAAAAGCAAAGTGGAATCACAGTTTCTGGAAAGATGCCGTGGTTACCTGCAAGACTGTGCTGACTTCAACGCGAAGGTTTTGTCACCAAAATGGTCTTCAACCTGTTTCTGAGCAGGCACGTCCTTTGGGTGCGATCGCCAATTCTTTCTCGTCGGGCGTCGGACTCACTTATTACGATTGGGCGGTCAACGGGATCCCTTACTACGCTGTTAACGAAGAAGGCGGCGTCGGCAACGGACACCACGGGAAAGTCGACTTCGGCAGTTGGGGCGGCGGCTACTCGGACAACCTCGGCGTGAGGGACTACTGGTCTGGCACACAGGAGTACGGAGCCAACTGGTACGAAGGTGAGATCGTCTTTTTCGTTCGAAACGAAGAAAACCCTTTGCTTCCAGGACTGTACGGCTACAAAACTGGCTGGAGCGTTCCTTTGGTTCAGTCACTGGGAGTTGAAGGTGGTCAAGGGGCTCAGGTGAACAGAAAAAAGAAAAGTAGGAAAATAGTTGGACTTGAGGTGTCAGTTCCGATAAAGGAAGGCGAGCTGGGACGTCCGATTTCCATAACCAACGGCTACCACGTCGGTCCTTACATTGGCCTCGCGGATCGGGTCGGGGTTGACTGGCTCAATGGAGGCGTTTCCTTCAACAAGGTCATCATATACAAAAAAGATGTTTGCTAAAAAGGTTATCATCAAGAAGGTAATCAAAAGTTCTGAGTGAAAGCGATTTGAAAAATGTTACCTTTTGTTTTATCTCGTAAAATGATTTTTTTTCTATATATTTCGGCAAATTGGTGAAGTTGTCTTTTTTGATGTCCCCGATTCAACCTCCCCGGATATATATTTCCAACTGCCAACTGATTCGTCGAGAGGATTTACAGGGATTCGCTGTGCCACTGATCGGCGTCGGAGTGAACTCGGGAGTCGGCGTCGGATTTCCGTCGGTCGGCACGATAATGCAGAAGATGGGGCTGAACGGCGTCGAGACGCTCAACCTGATGGCCCAACAAGCGGCGGCCGAAACTGCCGAGGCTGCCAACAACCGCGGCACGTTCTCCAGCAGCAGCTCCAGCTCGACGCGGATTTCAGCGCGACCTGCTCCCGTTGTCCAAGTTCCTTCTATTCACAGTTTGCTCAATCGCTATCGATACTAACTCTCGTGGTTTAGGAAACATGATTTTCCTCAAACTATATCAAAACTTTTATGTTTCGGAATTTCCCTATCAACTCACTTTCCTGATCAAACGGGTTTTTTGTGCAATTTTTCAGTGACGCAATATATTTTTCATCCTCCGTGAGCTCAGAAGAAAAAAAACAAAACAAGTCAAAACAAATATTGAAATGTGAATCTCACTCTACATTGAAAAACTTCCCGACAAGTTGCAATAAAAATTCCTCCAATTTTTCCTTTTTTTTTACTGAATGTAAAATTACGAAAATAACATATTTTGGCTTGGCAGAAGGGTAAAAAGAAGAGGCCGAATAAAGCGGAGTAAATTAAGGGACGTTGGTTTTTGGTCTGTAAAGCTCAAAGAAATAGTTTCTAAACGTGGATAGTGTGAAAATTTCTAAAAGTGAGTATTGAATGGAAAAAAAAGCTCAGAAGATCCAAAAACCGGTAAGAAAGAAGGTCTTTCAGAGCAAAATCACAGATGAGAGCAAATGACTGAATAATTGATTAAAAGCTAAGAATTTTCGCGGCGAGCGTGTGCGACGGCGATCTGCAGACATTGCAGCCATTCTTCCGCTTTTTTCTCGTCAGTCGCCTGAAAGATTTCTCTGATAATTCCAAACTTTTCTGTTTGCTATTGAAAGCCGTTTCTGCAGCAGACCTTGAGGACGACCGAGGTGTTGTCGCTGGTGAATATTTCGAAGGCCCGACGCAGGGATTTGCGAGATTTCTTGCCCCTGCTCAGAGAACGGACGGAGCGGACGGTACGCAGGTCGATCGCAGGAAGTAGAGAACGTGACTCCGTCTGCAAAGATGTGATTAACGATTTCCAAACTATTTTTGGTTCGAAACTGAAAAAATAAGAAAAAAAAAAATCACCGTCACTTCTTGGGAGCTGTAGTTCAAGGCGGCCGAGGAGAGAGTGAAGTACTTGGTATGCCATCTGCGGAGAAACCGCCAACGGCCCTTTTTCTCTTTCAATTGCCCTTCGAGAACCTTTTCGCAAGCTCCTTCATTTACAAAAGATCGGACCTGAAGTGCGATTTGAGACATAACTCGTTTTTCTGGATTTGGGTACCTTATCTGGGTGCGCACAACTGATACAGGTCCATTTCGACGAGCCTTCAAGAGAGAAACATCCGAAAAATCCGGCCTCATCCAGCTCCTTGTTCATCTTTTCTTGGTCCTTTGAAAGACACATTGAAAACAAGGAAAAATAATAATCAACGAACTTTGACGTTTGGGAAGGCGCTAGTAACCAAAGTATCGAACGGAACTGATTTCGTGATGAAATGCGGCAGACACTGCCAACAGTGAGCCAATGTTTGATACTGTGACGAATTCTTGCCGGCGACTTCGCCGTTTTGGGCCAGAGCTGAGCATTCCATCTGAAAACCAAACTTTGAAAAGCACAAGAGAAAGGAATTTACTTGTAAAAACATGAGATGCAACCAGGAAGCGGCATTTTTAGTTTTGAATGCAAAGAGGTAGTCGTTTGTGAAGACGCAGTAGGACGACGTGCGACTCTGGCAAGAGAAGTGGACGACCATTCGGTGCTTGGAATCTTCAAAGTTGCGATTATTTCGTCTCATTTCAAAGAGTCCGCAAGACTTTTGGAGCCTTCGACGGTGCATTGCACGGGGACAGGAAAACGCGCAGAGAGGTCGGCTATGTATCTTCTGATTTTGTTCTTGCGATGCTCGACAAACTGCTGCACGAGGTCGGACCTATCCGCTGAATTCTGGAATTCGAGGGGTCGGTCGACACATGAATTGAGATTATTTTTTACATTCCACTTGGATTCGTCTTCCTCGCTCAGCGGATGCATTTTGGTGGTTGTGACTGGTCCTGGATGAGCCGGAAACGTCGTTTCCGTGCTCCCAGCCGGCCACTGTACCGGTCTCCTTCCACCGCCCACAGGTCTCACTCGACCGTCTTTGCTCATCTACGCAAAACTTTCACATTTTGGGCGAGCGAAACCGACCTGGATGTTGGTGACTGGAGCGAATCCAGCTGGTAGAGTCTGTGTTTTCGAACTTTTCGACGTCGTCACGTCTTCTATTTCGTTTTGCCTAGATGAAGAGCATCCAGGGACTGACAGAAGGGACATTTCTCGCGATTCACACATCTCACTAGTCGATCTTTGCCTGAATTTTTTCTTATAATTTTTCAACAAAGAAAGTTTTTGAAGAAGATTGAGTGGATGAAATCTTTCCGGAATCATACAGCCTAGGATAAACTAAATCGTCCTACCACGATAGGTCCTTCTCCCGAGCCGCACGTGTTCAATGGCGGAAACGGCTGCGCTTTTAAATTAACTTTCACTCTTTCTCTTATTTTATTAAGACAAACTATTGTAGAGGTTAAAGGTTTTGTTGAAAGTGGGTCTAAAAATGAAGAGAAGTGTAAGCCTGACCCTAAAGAATGTCCGCAAAACTTGAAATTTTCGAATCAATGGAATTAAAGGGCTGTTTCAAAGGTCCATTGGCTAGTACTTCCAGACTAGATGTTTTTACGAAAACGACACCATTTTTATTTTCCTGATCTTCGTATTCGAAAATGTGTCCTTCTCCTTTCAAAAAACCCGCTGTAGTGCATTGCTTAAACTACTCACCCATGCAAAGAGTGGGCGACGCTCGCGTGGCTCCGCGAGTGTCTGCTCAAGGAGCCGCTGCTTCTGTTCTGATACTGCATCGCCAGAGAATGGGTGTTCCTATCGAGTTCTAGCGCTGAGGTGTCTGCTGGAGAATCGCAGACCGCGAAAACAGTGCGAGGTCCGCTGCATTACTCATTTTCTTTCCCAGGAATACCCCATGAACTGAAACCTGGTTATGATGTTCCTCTCGAAGCGCGAGTTTTTCGATAGAAGAGAATCCATTGAGTTTTCCTTGTTTCCTTGTTTTCCGTCTACCGCTATCACCGTTGTCTCGCAAGATGGAGAAGGTATCCTGGAGAAAGGAATAAGAAGGAGAATTCGGATGTCAATGAACCTGGAAGAGGCCAACGCTAGGATGCGGTCGACTATCCGGCTGTTGTTGATGGAGTGGTCGGTGATGTCGGCCGGAAAAGAGTCGATGTGAGGTCGCAGAGCCGAGGGATACGCAGCTCCAACTCCTGCAAGACCCACTCATCGAGAAGGAGAAACGATTTTGGATTTTTTTGTTCGGAACCATCGAATTAATAATATTTACGTATACACAGATGTACGAAATCACAACGAAACAAGGGAAGAGCATATAAAACTAAAATCAAAGTTTGTCAGAAAGAGGGAGGCAGGTAAGAAGGAAGCGCGCACTTTGTTTGATTTGCCTTGTTTAGACTTGCTCTACGTATCTTCCTTGTGGCATGTCAGAACGGCCTTCTTGTTAAGTTATCGGAAAGAAAACCTTCGATTTCGATGAGAATCGATGGGAGCAGGTGCGAGTCGGTATTCGTCGACGTCAGTCTCACGAGTTCCTCGACTGCTTCTGAGGCCAACGAAGGCGAAACGCGACCGATGTTTCCAATTATCTTTAAATATAGTAAACAGTTAAAATATAGTAAACATGATTGCAAAGTAATGATTAGCAGTTCTGTTCCAGGATATCAAAAAAAGCTACATTCTATTGAAAATTTTCTTGCAGATGGACAACTCATACTTTCCGCAAATAAAAGTCTCCATGTTAGTTATGGGAAACGAGTTCGAAGTGTTGCGAGTTACGAGCTTATTGGTATAACAGTGAATAACGAGGATTGTGTGAAAGATCTCGGAGTTATTTTTTCATCTAACCTCAAAATGCATAATAATATTGAAGTTATCGTCAAAAAAACTATGCGTATTATAAACAACCTATTCCGCTGTTTTTAGCTTCTCGAAACAAAAACTTCTTGACATGTTATAAGGCCAAGGTACTTCCCATTCTAGAGTATGGTTCGGAACTAATGTGTCCATTGACAAAGTCAGATATTGATCGATTAGAATCTGTCCAGAGGCGTTTCACGAAGCGCCTTTTCCCAAGAATGGAATATAATGAACGGTTAAAACTTTTAGGTCTTCAACCTCTTTGGTTTAGGCGTTTAGTTAAAGAGCTATCACATCAGTTTTTGCATAATAAGTGCTGGTCAGACTCTCCTATCCAGGTACATAGCATCTTTGACCGTCCCAGTCAGCTCAGAGGAAATGGTTTTAAATTAGAAAAAACGAAACCTTCACTGGTTTTCTTCAATTTCTTATCACATCGCATTACTAATGTTTGAAATGACATTGAAAATGAATTACTGGCAGAGGAAGACAAAAAAAGTTTAAGGACATATTCTTATATAAGACTAAGCTTAGTGTATGCAGAAAATTTTGGCGTCGAGCATATTCTTTCAAGTGTTCACAGATTTGTGCCATAATCAACTTGGTTTTAAATATCTACTTATTATGGTTCTATGTTTCTTCTCTCACACAAAAACTTTTTTTCTTTACAGTTGGAGTTAGTAAATCCACCTAGTGGTCTTTTTCCCTCCCTGCAGCATCAACATACCATCCAGATGTTGCGAAAATAAATTGATTGAATTGAAATTGAAGACTTCGTTTTACTCCGAGCGCAGTTATGAGAAACTGCAGAGGTTAGTCTCTGTTTACGACGATGAAGCCGCTTTCTTTTCTTTTTAAGCTTTTTGAATTTTTCGTTTACCGAGTCAAAACATCTGAAAGAAAAAAAAAACCTTGAAATAAAAACAGACCGTTTTTCTTGTCTTGAGAATATTTCTATTCAGTTCACTTCAACGGAATTTAGTCTGTTCAAAAGCTCTTGCTGCGATCTCCAGAAGCGCAACATTTGTACATTTCAAAATAACCGAATTTTGAACCTTTACCCAAACGATAAACATTTTTTTAAATTGAGTTCTCAATAAGTGGAAGTAAAAAGTTGAACCTTTTAAGACTCTTAGTCTCTCCAAAAAAAGACAAAATTCAAAGTTGAAAAATTTTTTTTATTTTTCATTTTTTTTAAATATTTTCTAGCCCAAATAATTCGATACGCTAATTTTCCATAAGTTTGAATGTCTGAACCTTGCAAATTGTTGGTCGATTGCTCACGAAACTCGGGGATTTCGCAGCGGCCTTCAAAGTGGGTAAAAAGGACGACAAAAAGTGTGCCCTGTTCTGAAATGACATCGATTTGAGGTTCCACGTTTCTATTTGAGCAGGACCTTCGAAACGAAAGTCATGTAAATGTTGAGGACGGCAGTGCACATGGATTGCGAAAGGAGATGTTCGTCGATTTGGGCCAGGAAGGGCGTCAAAACCTGAAACTTTGCTTTTTGAACATGATTATCTTGAGCCAAGCAGCGTGTCCAAAGAATTCGGTCGTTTTTCAAGTTTTTGTGTTCAAAATCCTTTTTAGTCTCTGGCTATATTCTCTTCTAACACATCCAGAATCTCTCAACCCGATTCAAATTCAGCCAGATTGATATTGCTTGAAACAAGCCAACAGTTTTTTTTTGCGAAATCGGGCTTTCAATTCTCGAATTCTTCGTCCATACTCCTACATCCTGAGGATAATTATTAGCCAGAGAGTTTTGTGCCCCAATTCATTTGATTATGGTTTGAAACGATACGTCGGCCTTTGTGTTGGCGACCATCGAGGTCAGTTGCATCACAGAGAGCTTTTCGCTGCAGTCGACCTCGTCCATGTGGAGCATCTGCAGAATACTCTGTTTTCTATTGCAAACCAAGACGTTTCCTCTTTATTCAAGATTTTGATTCAAGTTTTTTCCTCTAGTAAAAACCGTAACCAACGAAAAAAACTGACGTCGAGAAGTTGGGAAATGTGAGCATGGAAAGGCTCCCGATTGTCAGCGTAAATCTGTGGCAGAACACGCAACAAAGAATAGTTTCCTGAAGTCAGTCAAGAGATAATCTTTCTTTTTTTGAACCTACCATTGGTGATGTGCGAAATTATCTGCAGGGCATAGTGAGATAAAGCTTTTCCGTTGTGAATCGCCGCCAAGGAGATGTAACTGAACGCTTTCTTGTGTACCCTAACGGCGACTTCAGTTCAACCTTGTTGTGTTCCGAACAAGTTCTGGATTCGATGAAGCCAAGGCTTTTATTGCAACTGGCAGGGCTAAGGTCATCACCGACTTCCTTCCATAATGCTAGAACTTTGCAGAGTCATGTCAGGAGTGAGAGAGCGGCTCACCAGGAAAAGACTCGAGAGCAAGTCAGAAGCGATTTTGCAATGGGGCGAATCGATCTGCTCGCCGTCGACGTCGAGGCTGATCATACCGTGTTTCAGAGACTCGTCGAGGAGGTCGACCAGCTCCGCGGCGTAAGTTTCGATGCAGCCTGTCTCCCTGAAAAGCCTTCGTTAAACTTAACCGAAAATTTGGACGATTTCCCGGAAACTAACCGAATGGCGGCGGTTATCCTCGCGATCACTATTTCGACGACGCTTTGGTCAACTCGACTGTTGACGTAGTCGTCGTCGTTGAACATTTCTTTGATTCGAGAGAAAGTTGAATGCTAAACAAATAAATCAGCTTCAAATTTTGTTTTCTTGAAAGTATTAAGAAAAAAGCTTTGCCAGACTTACATTCCAAAATTTCAAGGCCAAAAAAATGAGAAAAAAGTTCAAACAAATTTTTTTTTCTTAAACCTTTATATGATTTTTAAAAAATGTATCGAAGTATATATAATTGTCGATCGAAAATACAACCTTCTCATCTTGAATATTCATGCGTGAAACTTATCCAATCGTTTCAACACTTAAACCCATTTTTTACTTCGAGCCTTCACTACTTCCCCCGAGTTTTGATCTCATAAGCAACATCCATAGTGAAATGTCCTGAAATATCGTGAAATACTGGTTTCAGGCTCTAACTGACAGCTTCGAGACGAAAACAAACCAGTCGGCGATGACTCAGCGCCTACGTCACGAGCGACGTTCGCTATTTGTTACACTGTCATTATTTCTCTTCTCCTTTTTTCACACCTGATCTACAGTTCATGCGTCTTGCAAATTCCTAATGGAAAGTGTACCGTGTCTACGTCAGCTTTAAACGATGTGACGTCAAAGAAAAAAAAACAAGAAAAAAACAGAAAAATGAGTGCTGGAAGTACTGTATCTCTTGTTTTCCCACATTATCATTTTACTAATCGTGTATACGATGAATTCGATAATAATATCAACTTCTCTATTTCCATTTCCTGTTCGTTTCATGCCAAACAGAAACATTTCGGTGTCGTTGTGAAACTCGATAGGACCCAAAGGCAGGAAAGAAAAATGGTGTGCTCAGGTGCATAGAAAAGCTCCAAACGGGAGATGCACGCAAACAAAAACTCGTCAACTCAGATCTCCCGTCTCTTTCAGATGAGAAAAATTTTGCGAAAAAAAAGTTGGACTCACAAGATCCGTGATGACTTCATAGTGGCTTATGGTGAATAACTGTCCGGCGGAATTGAGCTGCCGATGTTGGAGCAGCCGGATGAGCAGCGGGTGCATCTTCCAGTGGCCCACGGAGCCTTTCCTCCGATCACCGCTCTTTCTTAAAAAGTGGCATGAAGTCCAGTTTTGCTTGTTGGCAGCAAGAATGGTTCGAAAATTGGCCAAAAACCTTCAAGTCGGTGTCCTTATGCAGTAAATTGAAAAGTGTGTTTCTCGATTTTCGAAAGACTCTGAAGTTTCAAAAAAAAAAGGCTCCGCTCGTTATTTTTTTCATATGCTACAGAATTAGAAGCTGATTCGCGATCACATTTCAGAATTGCGAAAGCCACTTCGCGACGCTCCACAACGTAAATAAATGAAGATAAAAAATCAAACAAAAACGTGAAAGTGACTAAGATCTGGAAACATGAAAATATAGAGGAAGGAGGCAATAAATGATTAAGCTCAGAACGTTCCAACCTCCATGACCAATCAAAATATTGTGAGGACGAACTGAAACTCTTTGCTCTGACTTTGGAAAGCTGCAGTTATTCAAATCTAATGGATTACTGTCATCATAATAACATTTAGTAACCCTCAAGTCATTTATTTTCGAGTGATGAGTAAAAGATACTGGTGAGTCAGTTCAGAAAATAGCAAAAAGTGAGAGGAGCTTGGCCGGAAACGAGGCCAGGAATATGCCTGTGTGTGCCTTGTTTCTCACCTCTTGAGGAGAGACGTACAGATCGATTTAGGCGCCGGTGTGGTTAGGAGGCGAGGACGCAATGAGCGAACGACGAGATAGACCACCCCGTATAGGCAAACCATTTATGGTCAAAGCGCGCGAGGGATCTGGCATGCGGTCCAGCCGGTTCGGCAGCTCCGATCGCCCTGTCGGAGAAGTAGAAACCGCTGGAAAACCTTCTGAAGCATTCCTAAAACTGTTCAAATTGATGGTAATTTCAAATGGATTAGGAAATATCTCAAGCAACCGTTATTCAATACAAAAAATAGCTTCAGAGAACTTTTTTTCCTCGATTCTGCGAAATGAAGAGAAATCCAAAATGACAATAAATTTTTAAACTTCCTACAAATTTTGTCTCAATTTGTGCATACCGTTTTTTTCTTTTTTTATATTTCGCAACATGAAAGAACATAAATTTCCCCAATTTTTTTAGATTTAAACTTTTTTTCCGAAATAGTTAAACCTCCATAAAATTTACTGCAAGCTCAAAAGATATTAATAATGAAAAATTAAAAATATTCGTAAAATCCTTCGAAAAAAATGATTGTACGCTCAAAAGATATTATTAATTTAAAAAAACAAAAAAACACGTTTTTTTGTTCAAAAACTACCAGTCCAGAATTCGGTTGGTATATATTGCACTCTCTAATTCGTAGCCATATTTATATTTTTGAAATTAGTGTTTAGTAAACCTTATAAGGTGACAAAATAGTCATATATTTGGTTGAGAGTAAAAACTTTCCATTTCAAAACAAAAACCATTCATAAATACCGCCCCATGATCGACAGCCTTGTGCAGGAGAAAAAAATACACATTATCAAACTCTTATTAAATTAGAAAAGTTCACTTATTGTTCATAAACTGCACAGTCTGAGCGCGTAGGCATCAAATGCGCTAAAGAAATTTTTTTTAACTACCTCTTTGTTAGTTTTCTTCCCTAGGGATCCCTCGCTTCCTTCAGAGGCGCCATATTTTTCCATGTTGTGGAAAAATCTTGAAAATCAGGAAAATTTCCAAAAATCGAAGCAAAGTTACCAATATTTGTCACAAAACGATCGCAGTGTGAAGGGAAAACTCAAATAGCTATTTAAAAAAATGTTTGGGTGAGTATTCAGTGATTTCACTTAACTTTTCACTCAAAACGTCCAATCTTCCGCGCAAAGTATGAAAGCTAAAATTTAAATAGCAATGAGCAATGAACTCCCTGATTTGAAAATCGACGAAATTTCGAAATTGATTTCGACATTTTGAGAATTTTATTCAGAACTTCGTTGTCGACCTTTCACAATTTTCGAAGGGATTATTGGATAAGATTCAAAAGCTACTGCGTTTCGTAGAGCGTCGTTTAGAACATATGCGAAATCTCGCACAACAGTTTTACATCAATCTGCAAAAATCTATCTGCAAAAAAAGAAAAAAATCATCTTTTCTGCAGATTGAAAAAAAGAAAAAAATCATCTTTTTTTGCAGATTGAAAAAAAGAAAAAAATCATCTTTTTTTGCAGATAGAAAAAGCTTGGTCTGTCTCTTACCTTACTTTGGTCTTGTTTTCTTCTCTTCATTAGCTCTGATAACCTCTGTTTGGGCGGCGCGGAACAACGGAACGTTGATTAAGTAAATGTTTATTGAAGTGGTTTCTTGTGAAAAGATCACGTCAAAGTTGGATTCCTGTCCTTGCTTATCTATGGTTTATTCGAAAAAATCTGAGGAACTACAACTTATTGAATGAATGAAAGTTATTTGAAGAAAAACCCTGTATTTAAGAAATAACTATTAGATCTTTTAGATCCAGTAATCACTTGAGTCAAACTATATGGTAGAAACGTTTCGTAACAAATAGCTTCCAATATGCTTTCCATTCAAACGTAAGACTGAAGCCCAACAAACGATGATAACAAACACTGATAAGCCTATTTTTATATGATTCGGCTCTGCTCGACTAATATTTCTGGGGGCGGAGTGATTTTTTGTTGGTGATAATGACACGGTCATGAGACACTGGCTGAGATATCGCAATATAAATAGTGTCAGTCCAGCCGATTATCAGTTAGCTTTTAAAACATTTTCAACAGTTCTCGTTCCCGTTAACTTTTTCGCTTTGGTCATGTTTCCTCCACTAACTGTTCAACTATTACAGAAAAAGCAATCATGAGCTCAATCCAAGAAGAACAGAAGCCAAAAAGCAGCGAGCAGACCTCATCGACCAGAAGCAGTTCAAGCAGCTTTTCTGACGTGCAGCCCGAGGTCTCCACGGAACAGAAGATCAGCGCTCGGAACTTCTTTGCCCAAAAGGCCGAGAACGAGGCTCCAGAAGAGGTAGACGACGGATTTGTCCGTGTCGGCCGCAACCGCACTAACACCGCGGACACCAACATCTACATGACTGGTCGAGGCGGAGAACGACGTCCTTCGTTTGTCCTCACCTTCAACAACGACAGCGAGCTGCAACTCCAGGACGACGTCGTTGACCAAGACCGCGACCGCAGACGCCGTCAGTGGAACGATTTTGTCCCCACGTCATCTTACGGCAACCGAAGAGCTTTCAATTTCCCCTCTTTCATGTAAATTATTTTTAGCATGCCGAAAAATGTATTTTAAATGTATATACTTTGAAGTAAACATATTATTTTATTTTTTGATTATACAATGAGAAAAAAAACTGCGTAAATATGTGGAGTTGCAATTTCGAAGTTGTTGAAAATAGATAAAAAATTGTTTTCAAGTCACGATGAACTGATATACGAAATTTTTGCATTTAATCTACCTCCATCAAACTAGAAACGCTTGATAAAGAAAGTAGTTGGCGTGTCAATCCAAACGGTTGAACAGTGAAGTAATTCAAACTTTAGAAGCTCACAGCAACTGTGAAAAATCATGAATATTTTTTCACATGGTGAGTTTTTCTGAAAAACTTCAGAATGAGCATTTGATGTGGCCTTGCGGCTGCGGAAATCGTGACCAACACTCGGTTAGCTTGCGGTCGCATTCGCACAAAGCGTCGCCACAGTCCAGAGGGAGCATTCGCCAGTTCTTGTTCACTTCAAAATGGTCTTCAGGAGAATGGCATAAACTCAGGTTGTACTTTTGCCGGTGCACTGGATTTTTTGGTCCTGACATCGCCATTCATAAGGAGCGAAGTATTCGAAGGGCGCCACCCAACAAGGTCCACCTTTCAGAGCCGCTATGTCGTAGCAGATATCGTGTTTTCGACAACATCTACAAAAAAGCAAAAAAAAAAGAGAACTGAACGTGATGATTCTTGAAGATACGTTTTCAAATCGGTGCTTACAGATCCTAATATAAGAACTATAGATGAACTTTTGAAACAAAACCTTATTTTTTGCATAGAAACTTCTGCTTATTGAGCCTCTTTATACTCCAATCGTCAACACTTGCAATATTCCGATCATCTTCCTCCTCTTCCGCGAGTGTTTGAAAGCCTTTTTCTTTTTTTCTCAACCTCGCCGGTGAGAAGTAACAGGACGCAGACACTTGTTTCATTTCGTCCTAACTAGGGAACGTTTTTTTTTTCTCGTAGTAGATCTGGTATTTGAGTCAGGACACTTTGAAAGATTGGAATAGTGTTAATTCTGTCATAAGTTGTGTATTTTGCGTGCTTTTAGGCTCCACAACTCAAAAAAAAAAAGACTCATTGCGAGAAGTCTTTTTCTTGTTCTTGTTTCTAAAAAACGTTCCCTAGTGAGTAAAATATACCCAGAAAAAAATTTTCCTAAACTTATTCACAGACCATCAAATTTTTCGCACGAGGTTCAATAATAACGAACCAACAAAAATTTTCAAATTATACTCAATCTCCAGTTCAAAAGACTTTTAACTCACTCGTCGATTCCATCCATTGGTTTTCCAGCGCCGCCTATCCCACAGTAGCAACCGTATCCGTTGTAAATCTGTAAAACCAAGCACTGAAGAATCTGAATGGGCTACCGAAAAACCCATCCGGAATGGCCCATGACACATTTTGCCATGAACTCGATGTCGTACACCGCCAAAGAATGCGGCTTTATTCTGAGTCGTCTCGTACTAGAAACAATCGAAAAAAACAAAGATAGATAGAAAGTCCTGAGCTTCATTTCTCTAAAAGTAAGAGATTTATTATGTAAATAGAAACGTCATGAAAGGTGTCAAAATTGACGAGAAGAGGTTGATAAAAAACGTATTCAAGAGTGTATCGTTCAACATCATAACAAAAAAGTCAAAAACAAAACTGTGAGCGCAAATGTCAACACAATAGTTCGAAACAATTGTTAATTGATTCCGAGTCTTGAAAAAGCTGTTAAGGTATAACTGAGAGAGCGAGTGAGTCAGAAGTACAACCCGTGTTCAATTACATTTAAAACGAAGGCAAATGTACAAATAAGGTAGTTTTGAGTTCAAAATATATTAGGAAGAATAAGATATAACCCATATTGGTGAACACTTTGGCTCTACTGTCAGAAGACAGGAGCAGCTGCGACGTTGGGATGTCGAGAAAGTCTCCTGGGGACGGCGGCGAGAAGAGAGAACAGAACGGGCATGACGAGCATCCCGTGCGCCAGACCGATCAGCACCACCAACAACATGCACTTGGCGAACACCTTCAAAAGAATTATCCGTGGCTCTTTCAATTGAACAGAAGCTGGAATCCAGTTCGACCTTACTGGTATACCAGTACCATGGTAGGGAAACTTTCTAAAGTCCAAGTCTTAATGTAGACTTCAAACCTCTTTTTTCCCTTCCAACCCATCTTTTGATTCCATTTACTGCAATATAAAATTCAACTGAAAATATTTTACATTTTCCGCTTCTTATTAGAAATGAACTATCGTCAAAAAAAAAAAATAATAACCTGCGCCATGTTCAGGTCGACAAAGAACAGGGAAGTTACGCAAAGTGAAGTCGACAAAGACGCTTCCAAAATAGGAAAGCCAACGGATTGAATAGTCATCTCTAGCCTTTTTCGAATGTCAGTACTCGATTTACCTGAAAAATGAGAATGTTCGACAGTTTTATTTCTTTTTCGTCGACCGTTTGTGTCTCGTTTTCCAATAAAATGGGAGCGAAATTTGATAGTTCACCTGTCTGATAATAATGATAACTGATATGAGATGGAATGTCAACGGAGAAACCGATGCTCATGACCGTCGCAGACATCATGATAGGGTCTAAATCGGCTCCCCACCAAGACATGACTCCGAAAACACCTGAGAGTTCAGTTTCAAAAGGAGAAAAAAAGTAAGTCGAGCCAAATTCAGATAGATGACAGAACAACTCCAAAGAATGAGCCAGCGAAGAATTTGCCAACCTACAGACCTCTGTAACGCAAACTGAACGATTCTGAGCAATTCTAGAAATGACTCAAGAGTGCTGATGCCGCTAAAGTGGTCCCTAGAAACGCTCAGAAACGTCCGGGGCGCGTCAGGTATGGGTTTCCGAGGTCCGAGTCATTGGAAGAATTGCAATCTATTTTTTGAGCTCCACCTTCACAATTCTTGGTTTCGACGTATTTATTTTCTTACGATCAAATTAATATTTAGTGTTTCAAAAAATCGAACCTTCACTTTGTCTGGAGTATGAGAAAAGTATCGCAGCAACACATTAAAAATAATTTCATGAAGAAGCTTCCAAAAAATCTTTCGCATTACTGAGCTGGTCAAACCGCAAATGTTTTCGCTGGCTCTTTTTTGGAGCTTTTTGTCTTGTGCTCACCAATGCTGGTACTGAGGATGGAGAAGGTGGCCACAAAAAGAGTTGGCGGATGGGAAATGAAGAGCGCGGCAACGACGAACATGCAGACGAAGGTCCACAGGGCGGACTGTGTCGCGACGGAAACCATCGATCCGATCAAGTCGAGGAACTTGGCATCTTCTTCGTAAATCGACACATTGAGCGAAGAGAACTGGAACAAGGATCGGATATCCTTTTGAATCTCTCACTCAATTGAGTACCTGTTCAGCAACTGATCTCCACTCATCGAGCAACTTTGCTCGATTCGACCAGTCCACAAGGTCTTGGCCGTGAAAAGCCGTCGTGAGGAAGAACCGCTTCAAGCGATATTCTTGTCTGGATCTCCATTATTTGGTTAAATTTATAAGAAAGGACTTACTCATTCTCGCTCACATCGAACTGAATGAAACCCCGCCAGAAGGAAAACTCCGGCCATTCGAGGAACTGTTTCAGTTCGTTCCCTTTCTCGAGCGTCGAAGGAGTGATAGCCACGCTGTAAAAGCTTTTTCGGAACGTCTCGCCAAAAAAAAAAACCTTCCGTTGTGCGTGAACTCGATGGCTCTAGCGTCTTCGTCTTCTTCTTCAGGCAGGTCCACATCTTCGCTTTGACGCAAAAAGTCTTCGTAATCTCTAAGCCAAAACTTTGTAGAGTACCGTCCATTGGATGACGGCAAGCTCTCAAACGCTTGTGCCTAGATTAATTAATGGGAACTTTTTTCAAAGTCAACACTACCAATTTTTCAAGCTTTTCCCTCTGACTTTTGTCTCTCACGTCACCAGGGTTTTCGACCAAAATCCAGCAAGCCGAGTAGTAGGGAATTATGTGCATTTTCCGCTGAGCGAATACCTCAAGAATTTTCGAATAAAAGCTAGAAAAACAATAAGACAATTCTTGACAAAATAATTTTTCCAAACACAGCGTTCTCCGGCTTTTTTCATAACCAGAATTGTTAATCTGACTGATTTTTCAAAAATGTAATAACACTCGCGTTTTTTCATACCTTGACTATATTGGAATCCTTCAAAAAAAGTTTATCCGGGCTCAATTCGGCTTTGATAGCCATTGTCCCGACTATGCTGATGTACCTGAAAAAACATGCTTTTTTTTCCTCGGAAATGTGACCTACCAATACGCTGCTAGCAAGCCCAGAACAACGGATGTGACCCATTTATTGCACAGTGAATTACAGTATACTTCAATTATTCTGAAAATTTGGGAAGATGATTTTATTTTCTTTGTGAAACCGACCGACTGACAGAGCCATGGGCCTCCTCAACAGAAGACGAATCTCCAACTGGCTTCTCGACATTCCTCAGGTTTCTGTTGTTAAAACCGACGCTGAGGTTGTCGCTCCACGTTTTTGCTTCTCTGTCCACCTCGTACTTCCCGACGATCACCATCAGTGCTCCGTAGATTGTCACCTGGAGCTCATTTGTTCCTTTCTGCTAGGGATGATATCTATTACGGTGAAAACGAAGTCCACGACAACGGCGAGAGCGTTTCCAATGCTGAAAAGTTGGATTTCCGCCGCCGGGGTCGTCGCGCCTATTCCAAACGCCAAAACGTTTGTGACAGTGGTTATTGTGATCTGAGAAAAATATTTCAGACGGGAATTTTCAAAAATAAAATTGTAAAGGCGCGAAACTCCAATATGCTTTTTTGAAATTCAAAAAAAAGAGAAATGAGAAAAAACTGACCGACGGACCCGTCTCGATGAGCATCTCCGTTATTCTGAGACGTAGTTCAGCATCCACATCCAGGATTTTTGTTTTTCTGAAACTTTTCACTCCTTTTGATAATAGTCGAAAGACACCTTCTATGCGCTGTAATCCTCTGCCAAGCGTTGACCATCAAGTAGGCGTCGTCGACCCCAATCGCGAGCACCAAAAAAGGCGTCACGCAAAGGATCGAACCAAACCGGAAACCAGCGAAGAACATACCTCCAAAAGTATGTAAAAATATCTCTTTTTCTAAGCTAATAAAAGCTTCAAATTTCTCAGTTCAGACATTTTTACTCCGGTCTTCTCATTATTACAAACCTATTCCGAACACGAATTGAAGGCAAAAAAAAAAGAAACCTCCAAGAGTGAAACCGCAGGCCATAAAGGGACAGACGCATGCCATCACTGCCAACACGATCTGCAAATTTCTGTCTAATTTCTAGAGTTTTCTGTTCGAAACCTTGCAAAAACTGAGCTGCTGCAGGACTAAAGCGCTCATGAGGAAAGTGCAGCTCGAGAAGACGGCCATAATAGTGAAGCCGACGACCAAAAACGGCAGAAGACTCAATCCAGCACGGACGATTTCCTCGGTTATGTAGGAGTCGGTCAAGATGTAGACGTCGATGAACGGAGACGTGAAGTTCCTGAGTATTCAGAATATCTCAGTTCTTTTTCACTTGGATATACTCATGGAAGTGGTCGACAATCCTTCGCTCGTAGTCCCTGATGTCAGCAGCTCTGACGTCGTCGCTTAGCTCGGCGCGGAAGTGCAGCACCACCAGACTCAACTCCCGAATGTTGTTTTGTGCTTGTTTCTAGAAATTGATAAGTCATTCCAGCCGCGCGGTGTTTGATACCATATCTTCGTGGAACGCTGAGTTCTCGGCGGCTGAAACGATTTTTCCGTTGGAGTCAGTAGTTGAATCGTTGACGAAAACTTTGACTCCAAAGAAGTTCGGGTCCATGAAAAGCTTCGTGCCTAAAACTGTTGTCACAGGATAACCCAGATCCAAATGGTGGCTGTCTGTATTCCCGTGCTGTCCAGATATCAGCATGCCGTTCTGAAAAGAACCTTTTTATTGTTATTTTCACACTTGAACTGACATAAAAGTGACGAACAGGCTCATTGAGCAAGCAGAAGCCGCTACAGTACTCTTCAAAGTTCTTGGGTCCTTGTGGAGTAGAGAGATAGAACTGGCGCGATATCGCGTCGAGCACTTGCACTGTATGGTTCAACTGCGACAGCCCCAGCATGTTGGAGCCGTTTTTGGCAACAACAAAAGCGTAAATGGCTTTGGGTTCTCCTCTGTTGGCAAAAAACTCCCGATATATCTGATAACGCTCAAATGTAGGACTTTTTATGACTTGTACCAACTTGCAATTCGTTCCGAGACCTTGCCTCAAAAGGAGTAAAATCGCTGATGTCATTTTTCATTTGAACGAAGGGAATTTTTGCCGAAAAAAACAGGGTCAAAGATGTGCTGATCAGGATGAAAGTCCAAGGACAGCGACTGAAATTGAGAGTTTCAAGATTTCGAACAATAATTATATCGCCCTTCAAAAGAAAAATACCAAAAAAAAAGTTGAAAAGTAAATTAAATTCGAGGAATATTAGTCATAGTAATTGACTAACGTTACCATATTTTGTATTAGCCTAAACCAAAAATTTTGCAAACGAATTCTCTATTTTTTCTTTCTTTGAATTTTATTTATTTATAAAACGCATGAGCAAGTAGAATAATTAGAAGAGAATCAATACAATTAAAAAAAGAGACTGACCATATTGCGACAGCGGCCTTTTCGAAGCAAAAGTTGATAAAACGGACAAAACGAGTGTCGTCGTTGTCTTTGCTTTTGTGCATCGGACCCGTTCGGAGACTTCTTTCTGGTAACTGAAAAATGTCTTTTCTATGTTTTTTCTCAACATTTCTGCTCTTTATGGGCCGTTTATGCCTAACTGTTCCTACCTTCTTATGAAATCCAGTTCCAAAACGAGGAAAGTAATGGATTTTGGAAACAAAAGAAACTTACGTTGATAAGGTAGGGAAAGAGACGATGCGATTCAGATATTCAGTGTCGCATAAGTTTGGTTTAAATAGCCTGAAGCCTTGTATTAGTTACAGGTTTTCAAGAGAAAATTGAACGTGAATAAACACTCGAAAAGACTAAAATAGCCGAAAAGCAAAACTGCAAAACTAGAAATAGGTGATAGTCCTTAAGACGACGATAGGAAGTCTCGAAAAATGGTACAAACTTAGAGAAAACGTTGAAAAAACAGTGCAACAAAAGGAAACTTCGCATCTTTTTATGATACTTTCTTCGCTAGAAAAGTTGAGTCGAAGATAAATTTTTTAAGTTCAAAAAAAAATAGTGATAGCCTCTCCTCTTAGGTATCAGTGAAATTGACTGGAGAGAAAATAAAAGAACGTAATTAACAAAATAAAAGGCGAGGCAGTCGACAGCCGCACGAAAAACATGACCTCAACAAAAGGAGAAGCAGAACGGCCTCAACGCTTCGGCTGCGAAGTTCTGAACGCAGGAGAACGAGTCTTGCGCGTCAAGGTTGTGCTGGCTATTGTAAACGAACGGGAAACCTCGGCAATTGGTTCATTTTCGAATCGACCACTTCTGATCTTGGCGTAGCTTTTTCTGGGCGAGCATTCGCCATTAAGAGCCTAAGTTTATATAAGAAAAAAATTAGTTGAGTAACCTGGAGTTCGGAATCAAGACCGCGCTTCATCTTCTGATCACTTTGTACATTGAAGCCTATGCCTATTCCACCTACGTTACCTAGTGTAAGCTATAGTCAAAAAAAATACAAAAAAAAAACAATCTTACTTGCATCAAAAGCTGATGAAAACTTCTTTCATTCTTATGTCATTTTAGCGGTATTTTTACAAAACTAAGCGAAAAAGTTCTAAATTCAGTTCCTTTGCATTACTTTGGCTCACCTCCTTTTGAAACCCCGAATATTGTCCTTTCCAAAAATTGAGCTCTACTCTCTTTTTCCGAATATTTGAAAATGAGAGGTTTTTGACGATAGTTACATCTCTGAGATGAAGATTAGAAAGGAAGGTGAGAAAATAAGGCGAAAGCGAGTCTTCTGTTACAACAACCCTCGCTGAGAAGATCAAGACAGATACAAAGCGAATTATTTCAGAGATCAAGTTAAAGTTTTTAAGCTATGATTTTTTTAAAATTACATCCCTGTATAAAAGAAAGCTGAGGCAAGATAAAAATAGGAAAGAAAATGAAAGAGTTGGAAAGCAGAAATTATCAGATAATCTGGGGAGGGTATTTTTTCTTGACTAAATTTAAGTAGAAGCTTCTGGAAGCCTTTGTTGAAATACCGGGAGGAAGATTTTTCCGGAAGAGAGAAAACTTATCAGATTGAATGCGAACAGAAGATACATCAAAAAAGATGGGAAAACACTGAATTTCCCACGCTTCATACGTTATTTGGGTCAGTCAGTGACGAAACATCCTCGAGGAGTTTATTTAGCGATTTCGCTGGTCCGATGAACTGATACAGGGACGAGATCGTTAACTTTCCGAAGAACACTAAAGAAAAGGCCGTCCTAGAGGAAAGTTTCTGAACTGTTCGTCATTCCCATCTAGAGCGCATTCTGGCTGTCGTCGCAGCCATTACACCGTGCTTTTTCTTGTTTTCGTCGCCGAGATCGCGATTATCACAGTTGTCAAGATGTCGACGGTTATATCTTTGCAACACCCCCTTTTCTTTTCATTTCACGATCAAAAACGAATTTTCACTGAGAAAGCCGAAATATTCTGTCTGACCTCATTAATTCGAAAGCTGAAGCTGCAAACCATTTCACATCAAATGAAAAAAAAAACTAGTTTTTTTTTAAATTGTTCTCAAAATCAGTCAAACTAAGTAGAATGAAAACTACTCTCAATCATTAAATAAAGGGAAACAAAAGTAGATATTTTTTTCGGGAGAAAAAAAGTGAAAAAGGCACTGTCAAAAATTTTCCTTTGGATGCCAAAAAGTGAGAGCCGCGGAACCCGTTTGATCATCTTCATCGTGAGATGCCACGAAAAAAAGTGAACTCTAGTGTCATTATTAATTTTTCTATCTGCTGAAATGCCATGAAAATTGAACGTGCTACTGAAGAGATTTATCTATTCAAAAAAACTAGAAAAATAACAACTTTCTGAACCCGTAAAAATATTAGAAATTCAAATGCAACAGCGCCTAAATAACAGAAAATTCACAAGAAGTGTATCTAGTTTGTTGCCTTATAAATTTTTTCTAATAAATTTGTAATATACACATCCGAAAAAATAGGAAAAAGACGAACCCTGATGAGAACGAGTGATTTTGAACAAAAAGTGAAGATACAAATTGAGCAATAAAATCTGAAGACTGATCTATTAAAGGTGGATATGATGGAATGTCCAATTGAAGGAACGAATCAGAAGCTAAGTATGTAAGCGATCAACGTGCTGTTGCTGGGAACTTCTCCAGGCGTCTTCGGGCATGAAAGCAGTCTCATAGGAATCCAACGAGGTGGAGGCCCGCGCGAGTGGCGCCCTGAACCGCGTCCCGACTCCTTCGATCTGAGTTCCGACGGATCATCAGGTAAAACTCTCTTTCTTCACTCACTTTTTCGTGTTCAAAGGCACCCGGTTGAAAAGCAACGTCTTCGCTGTCGAGGTATGTCGACCTGCAATTTCCGAAATCAGGGCATCACGTCCAAGTTTTATGTGTTCAATAATTGCTAAGAAAAGTTCTTCAAGTAAGAATAATCAAACACCAGAAATGGAGTTGCTCCTTACTAGAGAGCGAAAAAAAAAACGAAGATGAACAGAGCAGAAATGTGAAGTGCAAAGAAGACGTGCAAAATGAGCTGCAGTGAATCATTCAGTGAATCAGTCGTGCCTGGAACGAAACCGTGAACATGAAATCGAAAAAAAGTGCAGGCTCTGGATATGGTTAACACTTCGATGAAAATCTTTTCAAGACATTTCCCACATACCGAACTGAAAAATAAATTTAAACGTGCAAGAAATCAGTATTCCAGCAATAATGAATGCAAAAAAACGATCCTCCTACAACGTCAAAAACCAACCAGATTCGAATTTCGAAAATTCATCAAACAAGTATCTATGCTCGAACGCAGCCAAAAATATAACACTAACTTGCACAAGAACCGAAATAAGTCATTCCGCGAATAAAAAAAAATAGAGGCGTGGTAATGAAAATAGAGATGGCTTTCCTTTTTGGTGATTGTGATTCGAGACAGCAGCAGTCAACCATAACAGCAAACAGTGCAAAAAAAAAACAAAAAAAAAGTTTGATTGAGGCATGTTAAAAGCGGCTGGAGCGAGAGGAAACTCACTTTCTGGAAGACTCGGTGGCACTGGCGATATCGGAGAGCAAGGCCTTTCTGAGGAGATATTTCTCCCTCTGTTGCTGCACGAAAATCTTGGCCGGAACGTCCGCAATCAAGTACTCGAAGGTGACTTTGATCAAGAACACTACGTGCTGAAAACTCTCTCTACAGCTTGAACGAATATAACTGTCTTTGGATGGTCGAGAGGGAAATCCTCAAAAAAACCTCGAAAATGACGACGAAAAGAAGTCGAACAGCGAGGACCTTCCACCACTCGTAGGACAGGCCAAGACCGTCGTCGCAGCTTTCCTGGAAGGCCGATCCCGAGTTGTTGATAGTCACGTTCGAGAGCGAACACGGCGTTTTTCGATACCCGCGAAATCTTAAAATTATTCAGTTTTTGTTTTTGCAAGTTCAAAAACCTTATTAATCTACTGAAACTTTATTAATTTACTTTGACATTTGCTTCCTGGAATAAGTCAACTTTTTTTATAAATCACCAATTAAAAAAACTTGAACTATTATTATCTTTTTATTAAAAATCTCAAGTTAAAGAAAAAACTGATAATCGAGGCTTACTCTTAAAAAGTACATCATCAAATGAGGAAAGAAATTATTTTTTTACTAATTTTTTTCTTAAATAGAACTTTCTCTACTAATAATCTCTTTTTTTAACTTGAGCTCACGCTTAACTTTGAACAGCGAAAACACTACGTGACAGCCTTTATAGCTATGAGAAAAAAGGTAAGAAAAGCGGAGAAGTCAGCTACAAATGAAAAAAAAGTAGGATACACGGTTTCAGGAAATAAATCCGTAAAGGTCAGATCATTTCAAGAAATTCTGAGATTTCAATTCATCTCCTCGAGTCGTCAAGAAGTGGAGTAGGAACCTGCAGACGTCGACGTTGGGAAACTGTGATTTGCGCATGATCACGTCGAAATTGTTTGCATCGTAATAAGAAAGCGAGGAATTGACGTAGCCGATCATGGAATGGTTGTTCGAGAACCAATACAACGTCTTGGGAACGAAATCCGAAGTGAAAGCTATCACCAACGCCTAAAAACATCAGAAACTTTCAATAGAAGAAAAAATACGTTTATTGTGACGCTCATCCGGCTTATAACGTCGAGAATTTCGAACCAAACTCCAATGTTTCGTCCCTGAAAAAGATTTTGAATTTCGCAAACGATGAGAAAAAGAAACCTGAAGAGGGATCGGCTTCTGAGATGTGACCAGAAACTTATAGGCGTCCAATCGAATTTCCATAATGTTGTTCAGGACGGCAAAAAGAGGCGCCAGAGGGAATGCCGCCACGAAAAGCGTCACGAAACCAAACTGGAGAACTGAGAAAAAAACAACGGTTTGAAGATATAACCACAGAACTCAGGCATTTTGATTCAAAGAAAATATAAATGCTACGAAATCAAACACGACCGCGAGTCCTCTTCCTTTTATCCCCACAAGTTCAAAACTCCTATTTTCCTACATTTCCATTTACTCCGTCAATTCGAGTCCTTCTTTATGAGAAATGAAAAATTTCATTTGATTTATTTGAGAGACCTGAAATTCTTTCGTCGAGTGGTCACCATCCTTTTTCTGTCAAAGCTGTACAGTTTGATGTTTTGTACGCAATGCACATTTCACATTTGATACCACGCGCGAAAATTCAATTGCAATCAACGCAGGAGAAAACGAAAGATAACATCCTTATCATGTCAGCAAATGTTTTTGAAAATTGCCATCAAAATTTTTCACGCAGTGAAGTTAACCGAAAACCAATTTTCATCGACAATTTTTTTTCTGCAAAAAAAAACTAAACGTGATCATGCTCACCCATTTCCAAGTATTCGTCGAAAAGGAACTGGTCATAAGTGGGATTGAGGTAGTAGTCGGCCTCCCAGCGCGTCAGTCGCTTCTCCTTCTGAACGGAAGTCTTTGAAACGGAACTCCTGTATAACCAACTTTTCTCGCTTCATCGTGTATCCTCTGCTTCCTCTGCTCTTTCGTTTCGACTACTTGAGGGACGTTTAATTGCCATTTTCGGAGCAGGGCCATCACTTTTCTGGAAAAAAACCTTTTTTTGGAAAGTTCAAAACGAAGTCATTCCAACTTATCAGTGATAAATTTACTTTTTCCTCCGAAACCATTCACAACTAAAAATGTTTAATTTTTTTAAATTGAAATTGTTCAACGAATAAATGGAAGTAACTATTAAAAAAAGAATGAATTGTGAACGTTTTTTTACAATTAATCGTGTTGGGAAAATTGAAAATTGCCGATTTAAAAAAATCGTCAAAGAAAAAAATTTTTTTTTACAAACAGAATGGGGGTTGGTCAGTTAAACTACCCCGCGGTCTTTTTTTCTTCCACTGCACCGTCGCCATACCACTAGACATTCCGAAAGTATAAATGTACGATTTGATTAAATGTTTCATCAAAATTTTGAAATCCTGTCAAAAAAGACAGCACTCCTCTAATTGGCCCCGCCCTCTTTTTTTACTGAAACCTATATAAAATAAAAAAATTTTTCTAGAAAATAAAACTGACGGATAGGCGAATTCGATGGAGGCCGAGAAGAACTGTCTGCCACACATAATGGTTGCCAGTTGGATGAAAAGCTCAACGAAGCAGCCCGCAGGGTCGCAACCCTTAAAAGACCACTTCAGGAAAAAAAAAGGACGAAAGAAACTTCGAGTCGGTAGCCTGCGATTTTCACGTTTCCGCTGTCATCTCTGGCCCCGGGTACTTGCGCAAGCCTTCAAACGACCAAGTGGTACTATCAAAAACCTGAAATCACTCACAGTCCTTTGAAGAAAGCCACGTAGAACAGAGAGGAGTAGTAATTGACGAACTGGAAGAGGAAGACCTGGATTAAGAATTGATGACACACTTTATTCCGGAATAATACCTTGAAAGTATAAGAATTATCAAAGTCAGATTGAGTCCTAGGACATTCCCATGCGGTCAGCCAAAGGGCCAGCTCGCTGTAGAACTGAAGGAATTTTCATTGGGAACATTTTGCTGAGCAAGTTTCTCACATAGTTCATGAACATGATGACGATCAAGTTGATGGTCGCCGCAGTGAAGGAAACGATGACGAAAGCAAGCGAATCCACTACTGGATTGTCCATCTTGAAACATTTCATGATTGAAAAAAATGATAAAACTTTGATCTTTTCATGTTATTTGAAATAGGAAGCTAAACCATACGTCGGCTGGTATGGTTTTTGAAAAGCCGCCAACAGCTCATATTATTAATATAGATCGTTTTCTACCAGCTAAATTTTGTTTTCCGTCTGTCTATGTACTCTTCTTTTTTAGATCTACAGTCTAATGTCAATGATCTCTGAAATAGATTCAAAATAAGAATTTGCTTCCATAAACTTTAAAGAGAAACAAAAATATAATTTCTGCCGAAAATAAAGAAAAAGCCTTTGAAGGAAACGAATTGTAACTGACACTAGCCAGTAGCCGCATACATATGACTCTGTAGACGACCATGCCGAAAAACAACGGCGAGAACGAGACAAATCTGTAGAAAAAAAGGATGGAATTATGTGTCTAGTGATAATTCTTTCGCAGAAAACTGATTTCATCTTCGCGAAGTTATTTTCTACCTATTATGAACTGGAAATTTATTCTTATAAAAATCAAACTCAGAAGAAAAAAAGGCAGACCAGCGCGGATTCATCAGTTTAGAGAGAATGGCAAGCTTTGAGTGACCAGACTCGTACTCTCCTGTTTGTTTTTTGAAATGCGCCTTGGTCTGCCGTTCTTCTTCTGAGAAAGTGCGGGAAAAAAAAAGTCAAGGTCGCAATTTTCTGATGCTGTTTTGAAGTCCAAAGAAAACTTTTAAATGCGAAAACATCGTTGCGAGAAATTTGACGAAGCTTCAACAAAACTCACAAAGAATAGGACCGTGGCGCCAGAGGCAAAAAAGTTGGCCAGTTTTTTCTTTCCAGAAAGGAAAGGCTCTTCCTTCTGGGTAACAGGGTTCCAGGCCTTGGTTCTGACTCGGAACTGGAAGTCTGGTCGCACCGAATCCTAAACCTTCGACCTGGGGCCTCATCAAGAAGTTATCAAAACCTCCTCAACTACAAAGTCCAACAATCCCCATTTCCAAGCTATTTCGGCATGATATCTGAGAACAATCACGATGATTACATATCCAAAAAAAATCAACCTTTTCCATCCTTCCAGGAACAACGTCGCCCAAACACTCATTAAAGCGGCGAAAATGACAGTCATTCCGTTATCAAAGAGGTAGGTCATCTGAAGAGAAAAGCTGTTCAAATCTCTCGAAATGTCAGACTTTCGCATAGAGACAGCTGCTGTTGAGTCTTTGATAGTCGCAGTAAGTCTCGCACTGGGGGCAAACGATGACTTGCGCCCCGATGCCGTCGGTTCCGCAGATGTCATTGCTGAAACTCAATTCGAAATGTAGATGATATCAACAAAAAAAAAAAATGTAAATTGCACAAAAAAAGCTGCTGCGATAAGCGAGCTAGCCAAAAATTTTTTAAACAAAAGCGAGTTTTTACGCTCAATTTTCGCAACTTCTTTTTTCGAACGCTTGAAACCGATACTCGGTATTCATTTTCTGAACAAATGGAAAAAAAAATTACCCAAAGATATAATTGCTAAAACTACTTCTTATCAGAGTTGAATAGATATATAAATCTAAAGAATCATCAAAAAAATTTTGAATTATGTTTGGCCATGACTTTCCTGTCCAAAGTAAAACTGGATGAAAAGGAAAAAATTCAAAAGAAGTTTAAAAAAAAACAAAAAAATCATTGAGCGTTTTTTCGGAGCTTTTGTTGAGAAGTACACTTCTTCAGAAAAGCATGTTTTCGAGACTTCTGAGTGCACGGGAAACCTGACGACGTCGTCATTCATCCGAATGAGGCCGTAGGCGACGCAAATCACGCCGACCAACGCCGCCCAGTACAGAGACTTGGTGTAGTAGCCAAGCCAGGCAAAGTAGAAGGCGACTTTCGTTCCAAAGTACCTCCTGAACGACGGATCAACACGGACAGGAGTGCGAAGCCAACTTGACAGCGTCTAGAGGCTGATACTTGATGACGTTGCGCCAGCTGGCCCAGTTCAGGTAGAGCATCTCCCGTTGAGAAGTCGCCCCAGGCTGTCCGCTCTCCTTGATCTCTTCCCTCGACCTCAACTCCTTCTCAGGAGATGATTTCCGGAAGGCGGCCCTCAGAATACCTGGTGAAGAGGGAAGGCGGCCGTGTAGGTGTAGCTGGCCAGGAGCCTCTCTATTCCGAACCGATAGGTGGCGCCACCGTCTTTCCTCTGGGCGTTCTTGTCGTAGTGGGCTCTCGTCAGCAGGTCATACACCATCCGGCATCGTTCCGCCACCGGAAAGAGCATCTCCGGCCTGTCCCAGTTCACGAATCTGAAAGGACAGGTATAGAAGATGTGGAACTGTTTCCTTCAGAAACTGACTTTTATTATTCACGCGATGATAAGCTTTTTTTTAAAGCCTAAACGAAAAACGTTGAAATAATGATAAATATTGATTATGATGTGGTTGATTTGATTGTTTTGATGTTTTATTTTTTGTATTTGTCGTGCAGATTGCGGAATGGCGAATAAACATTTGAAAAGAAAATGAATGTTCCACGAGTGATTTTCGAAAAATAATTTAAAACGTTTTCAAACAATGGTTCGGAGATCGACTTGGAAGAACGCCTTTTTTTCAACAAGCTGGATTTTAAAAAAAATTAAAGAATTTACTGAATGGATAGTTTATTCAAGCACAGGGTTGACCTCGAACCCTTTCGCTTTGTATTTGAAGATGGAAAATTCATGAATAAAAGTTGTGCAGAAAATGAACGAGCGAAATTTCTCACTGTTGTCGGCGGTCGGAGGAGTACGGAGCACTGAAAAACTCAGGTTCGTCGAGAAGTTTCTTCGTCTCGTCGTCAAAGTCTAGCACGCGAATACTGTTTAGGAAGTTGTCTATCGGCCCAGGAAGAATCTTTCGATTCTGAAACCAATGAAAAAACATTTTAAAATAAAGTCGACGTTCATTTTCCAAGCGATAAAATGATAATTGAAAAAAGAAAATTTCGCAGGCTCTGTGTCGGAACAGAACTCGATTTACTAGCAAAATCCCGAGAAAATACCTGAAAATAGACGTCATTTCGCATTATTGGAAGCTTGACGGACAAAAGCTGGGCTTGTCTTTCCAAAACATTGAAAGGAGCATGAACCAACGTGAAACGAGTTCGACCGAGCTGAAAAAAAGAAGTATTTCGATTCCCCAAAAAACTTTCGGAAGACCTAAAAAGGTTTTTTTTTCTAACTACTTAAAAATAATTTGCGAGTCCTCTTTTTAAAACGAACTACATTCCCCATCTTCTTTACCAACGTTCTTTCTCATCATAATTCCTGACTTTTTGCAGCTTTCGAAAAACTTTTCAAAAGGAAACATTAAAAACTATGAAAGACATTTTCCATTTTTGTAACAGACCGTCGGAGAAATTTCGACTCTTTCCAACTCGAGGCCCATTTTCTCCAAATTCCCTTCGTAGTACTTGCGCCGGAACTCGCGCTTCTCGCGGTGCGACACTTTCGTGCGACTCGTTTCTGCAGGGTGCTCCTCTTCCTGCAACCGACTTTCCACGGGAGAACAGATGAGACGCCGACCTCGTCTTCCGAATCCGTTTCGTAGTTGATAGAGGATTCTCCGCCTTCCGAAGTGATGGTTCCATTCACTTTCCGGCTGTCTTCTTCCTCAAAGGCCAGAACAAAGTCTATCTGAAACGAAACAATTTCATTAATCAAAACAATGCGAAAACCTGACGCTTTCCATCCCTCATAAAACACGATTTGTCCCATTCCAGGTCGAAAAACTTTTTCAGATCTTCGCTTTGACGCTGCAATCAAAGGCTTTCAATCCGACTTCACTAGTTTTTTGAATTCTCGGGAAAAACTCACATTATACCTATTGGCAGCTATTTCTTCCATAGGAATCTGTATCGCCTCGCGAACATTTCTCACATCGACGTCGCCCTGAAAAGAGTTTTTTCGAGAAAGTTCCAGCACTAAAAAACCTGCAGATCCATAACATCTTCTACAGTACTCGACTCAGGCGGTGGGTACCGCATCGTCTCTGAAAAATGAACAGATAAAAAATAGCACCCAAATACAAAGTTTCCGACTGGATAATTATAACGCCCATACTTTTGAAGCCATGAACAATAACCTGAAGTTGCCGTTTCCATTTTCAAAGGTGAATCGGGAGGTCGATAAAAGTAGGTAGCTGACATTTGCGATTGCTACCGGATGGTCTGGCATTGCTTTCCGGGTAATTGATTTTTTTTTTCAGGGTTAACCAATAAGATCTGGGAAAATTTGGAAAGGTTCAGAAAAACACTGGTGCTAAACAAACGATCGATGTGTCAACCCGTAGCAATCGCGAATTTCGGGTACCTACCCGGTAGCATCCAGATACCGACGCGATACTATTCAGGTACCATATAGATAGTACCCGGTCGCACACAAACGACCTCCGATTGACTTTGAGTTGCTACCCGGTACCTATTTGTATCGAGATCCCGATTGACCAGTGTTAATTATAATTGAAGCAAATTTAGTTTCTACAGCTTCTAAAAATGAGTAAGCGTTTTTCATCCATATTTGCTCAAAATGAAGGTAACGAAAATTGATATATTGAATAAAAATTTTCGCGAAGGAAAAAAAATCACAATAAATCCGTTCGTTGATCCCTCAAAACGCTTATGAAGTTTTTTTTTTGAAACAACACCTAAAATAATGATCCCTCGCAACTCTAAAATATTGCTCATATAAATTCTAGAATTTTTTTCTATTTCTTACTGAAATTCGAACCACAATTGAGAATGAAGAGAACTATTTTGCTTGTGAGAAAGAAAGGGATAGGTATGATTATTGACGAGCGCAAAAGGATACTTGCGTCGAAGATGACCTTGTGACAGGAAAACAAATGAGAAAAAGAAACCCGGACGATTTTTTCGAAAACGGTCAAAAACTCTATCAACTCTAAATTGAATGAATTGTTTAAAAAAAGGGAATGTACGGTTAGATCAACCGATCAACGTCGCATTTCGAGAATAGATGGCATTTGGAAAGGAAAAACAACATTTTCATAGTGACTCATCAATGTATTCTTGACGGAAAGGCTACTCACATTCATTCCCTCGGAAATCGACAGCACATTCTCTAATAATTCATTCAAGCAGATTTTGGAAATAAAAATGTTCGAAAAAAACTGAAGTAGTTGTTTTCCAAATTTAAATCTTTTCGAAAAAAAAAGATTTGAAACTCCAGAAAACGTTATAGAAAATACTGAATGAAATATAAAAAATAGAAAAAGAAAAGAATTGGAATCAATACTTTAACATAGAAGAGAAGATCCATTAAGACACAACAAGAAAAATATTACAGCGGCGAACGGACGCTTCCCTATAAAAAATGACTTCCATTCTTCACTTCTTAGAGAAAAAAAGGAATCAATTTTAACAACTTCAAGATCCTGTTCAGGAGGCTTTCAATTAAAGTCTTTAATTAAACTTTCAGGAAAGAATAACTTTGCTAAAGCAGTTTCGAAAAAAATAAAATAAATTTCCGATTTATTTACCATTTTCTTTGTCGTTTCCGTTTCCGAGAAGCGTTTTATGAGCTCCATCTGAAGTTCGGCCCCTACCACGCTTCGCTTCCATTTTCTGATAACCTTAGGGTTGTAAAATGAGAATTGCTGCGACAAGAAAAGAAAAAGTAACACACCGAGGACCTTATCAACTCAAATAAGCCGCTATTTAGCGCCTTTTCGTTGTTGCAAAACCGATACAAGCGTCCATTAAAATTGACCGCAGGTCTTGAAAGCAATGTTGTATCAGCAAACCCATTTACGCCAAGTGAAATTTAAAACGGTTACGATGAACGGGAAGCGACAAAAGAAAAAGTTTGAAACATATTATCGATCATTTCTGGATAGGATTCAAATTGGAGAGATGAAAACGAAAAAAAAGGGAAGCAAAAAGTCGGCGATGTAGTGAGATACTATAGCAACAAGAGAACAAAAAAACTAGCTCGTGTGGCAAGAAAAAAAAAACATTGCATTCGATGATGGATCAATTTATATAACTTTCAAAGTATTGCTTCTATTGAATAATAAAACAAAGAAACAAAACGTTTCAAACTCGAAAAAAAAATATACAGCTAATTACAAAATTTAAGCCTGACATATCGAAAGTTTTCAGAAGAAAGTGAATTCAGAAAAAAAAACACAAAGCATTCAAGCTCCAATGAAACATTGAAGAGAAATGAATGAAAAGTTTGGTGCATGTTTTTCTTTTCAAAATCAAAAAGTAAAATAAAAAGTAAAAACAGACAAAGTGCGCGTGAAGTAAAATGCTGGTGCGGTAAATGCACATTCTTAGAACTACAGTACCCTAAACAAAGTTTCTGAGATGCTTTTCGAGGCTTTTAAAAGTCTCGAAAGCTTATTCAGACGAAATCTCAAGGATATGATCAAAATTATGAATTCACAAACTTCTACGACAGAAAAATCCACGAAGGAGAAAAAATTTGGGTTTAGAGTCTGATTTTTTTTCTAGAGTCAAACCTAATTTTACTACTTGTTAACTTTCGTAGCTTCAAAACAATTTTCTCATGATGGTTCGCCCCAAACATTTGCATAGAACGTGTGTTCAAACGTGGACCTAGATTGAAAGTTGAACAACCTACGATCAAAAGAGGCCGCTATCGAAAAGCACCAATATTTTCCATTCTGCGTTTTTTGCATTATCCATGGTGTCCAGGGTTTTTTATTATTCGAAATTATGACCTCCAACAGAGTTCCTTATTCTGCTTTTCTTCGTTCAAAATGGTATTAATTGAAGCAAGAAACCTCCTTTATCAGCATTTTCATAATATACTTCCATATAATTATGTTGACGTATTACTAACTTTTTTCAGGGAACTTCTAAGTGCTCGAAACACTTTTTTCATTTATATTTAATCTTTATTTGTTCACTGCGTTGAAAAAACAGAGGGTGTCTGATGGAGAACTTATATTGGGAATTTTTCGCCGATCTGTTTGTCTCCGACTTTCACAAACTCGAACTCGTTGCGCATTTCCGCTTTGCAGCAGATGTGACTCATATAAAATTGCGTATTCTTTTTGTTTTTTCAGCTTTAACATTTCCATTCGTTTCCCACTCCACTCCATTACAAAGATTATCCTTCAATTTCCCATAAAAAATTTGCTGAAAAAGAGACATTAGATGGACAATGCGGTCGAGGAAACTACGGACTTACCGAGTGTGGGACATTGGTTTCACAGTAAGATCTTTGAATTAAGCGATTCAACTTTTTGATCCGTTTTTGCAGCTCTTCCCACGGTCTACATTATTTTCATCGCATTATGCATCCTTCTTTGGTTCGGAATCGCGGCGATGACATGCATTTTGGTTCGAAATGTACATTTCCATGTACCCAACGAGACAGTGCAGAGCGATCTATACTTCATTATATTCATACCATTAGTAGGTTGACCCCCACTTCTTTTGGAACTGAAAATTCCTTCCCAATTGTGAACTGCAGGTCGTATCGACGTGTTGCGTCTTCGGAAACATTCTCGTTCGTGCTTCGGCTCTTCTCTACGCCGTTGCACTCACGTTCGTAATTTTTCTACTTTTTAAAAAAGTTTTCCACAGAAGTCTGAAGATTAAAGGTTCCAAAAAAATACCACGTGGCAATGATGATTTTTTTTTTCTTTTTTGAACTTTGAGGTCAAGCATTTTTGATCGCCATTCTCAGAAGTTCTGTTAATGAGTTTCTCTGTCTTACAGTTACTTACTAATATGTCTTCACATGACTGTTTTTCTCATCGTACGACTTTTTGGAAATCGTCGCGGACTCGCGAAATGGCTCATCGACAACAACAAAGTACTGAAATAGTGAAAAAGACATTACGGCATTGATATGGGAACTGTGTTCAGGTGATTGTCTTCAACACGAAGCCGTACTGCTGTTGCTGCAACTGTCTTCCCACAATGAAGCCGACGCCGTGAGACTCCTTCTTTTCGGAAGAAAGACAGAGAATCCTTCAGGACCCGCGTGAGGAGGATCAGTTACCTGGTGAAACAGTCTCCGATTGTCCGAATCTGCATTCAACTCGTGCTGATGGTCATGGCGGCTGAGGAAATGGACGCTGACATGACGTAAGTTCGTCTGTTTCTGAGCATCCTCGCTGTTCTTTTCGCAGAATCAGTCAAGTTCTTAACGGAGTTGGGGTCATATCAACTCTGCTGGCTGTTTACGTCAGCCACATCCTTGTCACAACTACTTTGGTATGGGTTTTATCCTCTGATCAAGTCTTCATTTGGTTACTTCTGATTTCTTCTTCTGAAAAGTAACGCACAACGGTTCAGGAGCGACTGGAACCATTCAACATGTTCACAATATTCAAGTGCGTTAACATCTCGCAGATGCTCTTCACGTTGCAAAAGTTCTTCCTGGACCTTTTGGCGAAAAACGGAGCAATGGGAGGCCTGTCGATGGCGCCGCCGACGACCGTCAGTCGATGTGAGAACTGACTACGGTCTCGGTCACCGAAGATCGAATTTCAGTCTGGCACAACACGGCGATGACCGTCTGGCTGACCATCGTCGCCCACGTCATGGTAAAGAACATCCGGCCCGGCAAGAGCAAGTTTTTCTGCGACAAGCCATTTTCTGAGAACGACATTCCGCTGACAGATGTTTTGTGATTTCAAGGGTTTCTAATGGGTATGTTCTGTATGCCAGTCGATCGCATAATTATCTTCGGTTCCGCTGCCAATGAGTAAAAGTTACCAATGAATAAAAATATTCAACTTGCTAAGATTTGATTGAAAAATTCCTGCAAACGGAACAAAAATGAGACTTCAAAGATGAATTTGTTCTGTCTTCTTCGGATTTATTATTGCTAGAATTTTGTGGATTGCGCGGAAGTTCGCTCGACTGAGCCCTGCACCTGGAATCCGCGGCCCACGCCATCTGAAGACGCTCCATCCGACGACGCGGAAGTTATCACCCCTGGCGCAGAGAAGAAACAACTTTCTAGCCCTTCAGGATGATTTAATAAAGGAAGTTTTCTCCGAATTATTTATTACTTCAAGACGAATATTTGGCAGTGTTTTCATTCGAGATCCTTCTGAATGAACTCTTGTACTAACTTACCAAAACGAGAACAAATTTCCCCTTTGGAAATTCTAACTTTTCTGAAACTTTTTTGCCTTTTTCAAAGAAGTTTAGCATAAAAATTTGCAGATTGGGTTTTTTTGTTACATGCAAAAAAATAAAAAAATAGTTTAATTCCGAAATTCGATTTCTTGGTTTTTTTCACTGCCCAAGCTTCAACTAAGCTTGCAGAAAGCAATTTTTCAAAAAAATGAAGCAAATCGCCTGTATTCAAAATTAAATTGAAAGCCTTCCTGGTTTGAACTATTTCGCCAGAAAATTTTCACATTTGAACCATAAAATGCGCAATAAAACAAAATATTCTTCATTAGAATCTTTTACTGAATCAATATAGAGCAGCACTGTCATATTTTGAAAACCCGCAAATTATTGGAACAATTTCGCACAAGAAGGTTGGCTACGGAAAAAAAAATTAACGACTCTAGTCTTTTTTCTACAGAGGCTGACGTGGATAAGAGAAGTGAATGAGAAGAACAAAGATATGCACAAACAAACGATAAAACAAGTTGCAATTTGCCAAACAAGGGGGAAATTACCAGTTATGGCTTGAGAACGGCGATTTCGCAAACTTGACTCGCCGCGCAGTTCTTTTCGGTGGCAAAAAACCGGAAAAACTGTCGAATTGGAGGCGAAGCTCGTGCAAAGCTGACATGCAGGTACATAACCCTGAAAATGTTCAATATGAATGCTTCAGTTAAAGAGTTTGAGAAGCTTGGAGAAGATTCTCACCCAGAACAGATTCCTCGTTGATCTCGTCGTCTTCGTCGGCAGCCGCGAGAGCTGTCAACATCGCTTCGTTCGGCTTCCAGCTGTAGATGAGGGCCGTCGGCTGGTTGGCACAGTAGTCTCGACAGTCTTCGCCGGCGACGTCTTCTGCCTGCACGACTACCGGTCCTACGATCATGTGATCTCTGAACCGGTCTCGTACTTCATCTTCTGAAAAACTCTGTTAATAGCAACGACTCTTGGAAAAAAAGGTGGATTGACGAAAATTTTTTTTGCATTCTTTATCAACTGAAGTTTAATTCTAAACTGAATTACTTTTTTAGGGACATGAATTACCTTGGTGCGATATTTTCCAGATACGTTGGATCTGCTTATTGAACAATCGCAGAATTTTAAGAGCATACACTAAGAATAACTGCCCAGATAAACGCGAGACACTGGCGGTATATTGACGAGCTCGCAAACATCTCGCTTTTTTTCTCGCGCCGGTCTCGCATTTTTCTGGGCGCGAGCTCGCATTTTTCTAGGCGCGAGCTCGCATTTCTCTCGCAATTTGAAATTTTCCGAAATGCAAGATAAATGCGAGATGGCGCCGTGAAAAATGCGAGGTCGCGCCGAGAGAAATGCTGGATCGCGCCTAGAAAAAAGCGACATTTTTGCGAGTTAGTCAATGTACCGCCACCGAGCTCGCATTTATCTCGTCAGTTATTCTTAGTGATAGTCAAAAATTTCATCTTTCGCACTATTTTTGTTACATTTAGAAATTACAAAATCATTAAAATGAAAAGCTTCGAAAAAATCGCTTCAAAACTGTATGCGTCAAAACTATTGTCGAAAATTATCTAATCATCATTTCAGTCTTCATAACTTGTTTGCATTTTTTTTCTGTTCCGTCTTGTTTTGAAAATGATATTTTTTCGAGATATCAAGAAGCATAGACATCATAAAACTGAGAACCGTTTGAAAAGAAGTGAATCAAACCTTCGTCTATGCAGAAGCCAATAATAGCGTCGTCCTTCTTGACGAGCGGGCCTGTCGTGGAGCGCGACTTCAGAAGGCAAGTCTGCTCTGTCGCGAGCCATTCGTAAGCTAAACAAGAGAAGTCGTCGCGGCATTCAGTTGCACATCTGGAAGCTCAGAATGAATGAGCAAAAAGGATAAATTCAACTTGAAGTCAATAAGGCCTCAAAATCAAAATTTAGACTCACTCTCTAAGATTGGCGTTACGAATTCGTCGGTACTCGCCGCCTTCTATACTCATTCCTTTGTCCGTGTTGAAACACTTGGCTGAAATTCTCATACTTCATATAAAAGGAACTGTTTTTTTCTAATCTTGTTGGACTCGGATGCCTAACTTCAGGAATCCTTGAAATGTAGTCATTCTGCTTTGAAGTGACACTAGCGAGTCTTCTTTTTCATTTTCGTGAGTCTAATTTTAGCGTTCCGGAATCCTTGTTAAAATTTGAACGTCATTTTGGAAGGGAAAAACAAGAAGTTATTTTGAAGAGCGTCAAAAAATTTGATAGAAGCTGTTAGTCCTTGAAGATCAGTATGAAATTTAAAGAAAAAGTGTTCAGTTTTGTGATTTCTTTCGTGTTTCCAACCATTTGTGCTGATCAGTAATTTTTTTTTTCTGCGCAAGTTCTTGCTTGGAGAATTTTAATACAACTTGTAGTAAATTAATTAAGACTTAGCAAACAATTAGTGAAATAGGTTTAAAAAATTTAAAATGAAGGCATTTTTCTCAATGGTTAATGTAAAGCGTGAAACTTTTGGTAACAGATCCCTAGAAGGAAAAAAAAAGGGAAAGATATATTTTTGGTATCCTGCGCAGGAAAGCTCGAGAAAATAAAAATAAAAATGAATTTTCGGAAACACTTGCCTGAGCAGCTGACGTGGGCGATCATGTAGATGAAGAGAAGCATGCGGTAGACGGGAAGCAGTTTGGAAATTCTGGCTTGCGGATGGCGGCTGTTGACGACTTCTTCGCAGACTTCCGAGGTGCTCGGCTCGTTCTGAGGGTAGTCCATGGCTAGTCGCGCTGCAGCCTGAGTCTGTAAGGTTCAGGTGTGACCAACAAGAAAAGAACAACGCCTAAATTGACTAGTATTCTTTTTGAAAACAGAAAAACTTTCCGAAATCTGGCGCAGGGCCGAGAAAATTGGGCGTGGCCCGTGAGGTGGGACTCCACCGGTGGCACTTTTTTCTTCCGAAGAGGCGGGACATATACCACTTCCTTGTTTGAAAAACTGACCGTAGGAAACAAAAAATCTTTTTGCGCAGAAATTGTCGTTTGGCGGTTACTGTAGGCATGAAGAACTCTGAAAATTCTCAAGATTATCCAAGGTGCCCAAAATCTGAAAAGTTTCATACACTCTGGATATTAGGCTTACCGTCGCCGTAAAATTTTAAGTTCACATGAATTTTTACTCTGGTGAATAGAAATTGTTTTTTTTTCTTTTTTTTTCATATGAAAAAAAAGTAATGGTAAAAACCCTTTTCTGTGCTCATTTGGCGCCTTTCCAACCCGTGTGTCTTTAAAAAGCAAGCTTTTGACAATGAACTATACTCGAAAGGAAGTGAAAGTTGTTACGAGAACGGAAGCAAACAAAATACACACACACAAACACACACAGATAATCTGAATCTCGTTGAACGAATTTTGAAAGATCCACCGACGGCTCAACGATTTTGCTCATTTTGCAAAGAGTTAACACCGGCTTATCTTTTCCCCATGGCGTCTTCGTTTTTTGTTTCCAAATAGCGAGAGCATCACCGTTTTGGCAGCTCCAACTTAGTTCCGGTTTGTTTAAGGGGCATAAAAACATTGCACGAAATTCTCGTTTCATTTTTTCTAGCTAGATTCATTTATTTATACTTCTCGAAAAAAAAAATTATTTCTCTTAAGCCGAGAAGGCTTTTCCGATATATATTCAACTCGTTTTTGTAATATATAAAATCAATTTTCTTGAGCAATCAGCGCAAACGGTGATTCAGTTTGTTGATTGCCAAACTTTTTTCTTACGAGAGCTGCCACCAAAGTTGTCGAGATTAATAACAGGAACTACTTTCCTTGGTACGTTATAACAGGCTTACACAAAGCAGCTAGAAAAGACTTATCTCCCGCTATTTCTAATACTTTTATAATGGTCAATATGCGCGGAGCCGATGAATTATATTTCAGAAAAAAACACAACATTCAAAAACTCATTCGTCAAACAACTTGCATCAGTTATTTTTTAGAAGCCGTTTCATGATATTTATACTAGACAAAAATTGAAATATATAATATTTTTTTCAAAAAAACAGACCTACAAATATCATGAAAACAGCGTGAAAAAAATGCAGAAATTACAGTATCCTGTCTTTTATTTCCAAGAAGTTGAGGAATTAACTACGTATCTGTTTAGTGAAACACCGAAAAACTTCCTTTTTTATCTTCTATTTCTCGGAAATCAGCTCACTCCTTCCATCAACGGCAACAGCCTTTTCTGATCCTTTCAGCTTTTTTGGAAAATATCTCAGATTTGCGGGCGTTTTTCATTTTCGGTTATCCCCACATGACGCTCTTCCTGATATGGCTCGTAATGAATGAATCGGTTTCCCGGTATCACTCAGGAAAAATCAGGGCAAAGCAATAAAACTATGAATATTTTTGATGAGAAAATAATATAGCGAAGAACAGTTCGCAAGCATGATTTTCCAAACGTTTTTGGAGACCTTTTTTCTTTCTTACTGATCGAAAACTGAACTTTTTGTGATTCGTTTTACGTATTTCATAATTTGGTGAAGATAGCTTCCTTCTGATAATGATCCTAATTAGTTTCAAACCATTTACAACGCCGTTTTGATAAAAATTAGCAGGACCCTGTTGCTTCTTTCTACAAAAAATATACCATTCATTTGGAGTTTTACTGATATTTACAGTTCCAATCAGCAATCCGATGAGAGGGTTCAATTGCAATACGAAATCTTCCCAGGTACTATTCTGAAAAATAACCATCACCCAATTTTGTGGACTATATCGCAGCGAGAGTAACGCTATACCGCGGGGGAGCCGCGGTATAGCGTTACTCTCGCTGCGCTCGCCTCTCGCTGCGACCTCGCAAACGTCTTGCGCTATATCGCTCTCTGAAACATTTTTCTTCAAAAATGTTTTTTTCTTGAATTTGATTGATTTCATCATAAAAGTCAAAAATAAAGCAAAAAAAATGTTTTTCAAATTACAAATTTTTGAGAGGGAGCGATATGGCAGTGAGACTTTGACGAGGTCGCAGCGACATGTTGACGAGATCGCAGCGAGAAGCCTTGGCTATATCGCGTGCGGCCCGCTGCGATATAGGCAATTATGTTGGGTGCATGAACTTTGTTATTTTTTATCGAAGTTTGTGACTCAAAAAAACTCCTTCGACTATGTCTCAGAGGTATTGAGCTTTTTTTTCACTTTCTATTCTCCTCTTCTAAAATTTTTGCCCGAAAATAGCAAGTACCGTAGAAGGAATTGCGCCTTGATGCCTTCAAATCAAAAGGGAACTTTGCCAATTCTCAGAAATGAAAAGTCTATCTATAAACATCACAGGGAAGGTTTCTGCGCGCAATTCTCGCCACGAGGCATGTAGGCTTAATAATTGATACGAATTCGGCATTGTTCTTCTCCTCCTACTCATTTTTTCTGTTCTCAAGACGTCATCGAAATCGAAACTTCCTGTGCCATCACCTGGATCATGAAGGAAGCGAAACCGTGCTCACAAATATAAGATTTTTCTTCTTTCAAGCGAAGTACTAACTTTAGATTTCTAATGCAAAACGGCCGCGATAAGTTTATGGCGTCCATCCGAAAACTCCCTCTAGCGTGATTTCGATGACGCTCATTAACAAAAATTGATTGATCGACATTTTAAAAATAAGACTTTCTATAAATGAGAATCAAACACCTAAGGCCAAAATCCACTTTTTTTTTCAAATAATTTCCAATAATTATGACACTGCTTCTAAATTTAGTGTCCTCATTTAAATTGATTCAAAACAACTTTTCTTTGAATCATTAGGTTAGCTAACAAGAAATGCACGTTTCTTGATAGCGGCCACTTTAATAATTAAAAAAAGACAAAATACAACACTCGGTCGTTAATTTTTACAAGATAATTTTACAAGGCGTATTTTGAAGGACAGCTTGTTGTCCTCTCAAGAGCGCTGTAGTCATCTCTGACACTAACTAAACGGGCTCATTGTCGAACTAGAAAAAAGGCGCGCCACTAAAATTTGATGAACCTTTTGTAAAAAAATTACTTTTGGAAAAGCGAAATGATCATAAACAAATTTGAACTTCAAAATATGAACAAGGACACCATTTTTCTAATTTTAGCGATATTTCAATAAATCTTCTTCTTGGAATGAACAAAAAGCAACCAAAACCACGCACGTCAGCTCAGAACCTCCACTGCGCCGACTCTGCTGATCATGCTAGACCATTTTTAACCATTTTTCTATCTAAATAAAAGAAAACAACTCTTTTCGACATTGATAGATAAAAAACTACAGAGAATACGATGCCTTATTTACTAAAGACGGAACTGTCAAATTAGGTCATTTTTAAGACTTGCTGACGTTTGCAAAAACTTAACTGTTAAAACTAAAATTGTATGATTGAATGTTATAACCGCGTTTCCGTTTTTCAAATTCGCCTACTTTTTCGAACATTAAACTCGTTATTAATGAAAATATCGTGCAAAAACCGCGATCGGTGTATGCACAGTTTGGCCTACAGTGTGAAACCGTTGAACTGATGAAGGCGCTCACTTCTTATTAGCCACCTCAACAAAGTTAAATAAATATTGGTTACAAAAAATTTTAATGTTAAGTTTAATAACCACTCGAACGGAGTTGATTCCGCGGTCCACTTGCAATTCTCAGGTTTTCGGCCCACTCGTTTTTCCTCCCGAGAGACCAATTTCGAGTTGAACACGATCCAATTTCTTCCGATGACTGCACGAATTCCAGTGACGCCATTTCAGGTTACCGAGTTGACTTGAATTTTCTGAAACCAGGTTTTTTTAAATATAATGTTTGCAGAAAATAGTTTAATATCACTTGAAATTATAAACTTCGTAATGACTCTTTTGGTTCTAGGTTCAAAATGTCGTTGTTTTCGAACATTTTCCAACATCAACCATCAAAAATTGCATATTCTGCGACATGCATTACTCCGTGAACGCATGTCAGCGTGCTTTTTGGCGAGGAACCAGGAAAAACCCGCAAAAGTCAGAAACGAACGTTTCTAATAAAAAAGAGGAACTGGAAGATGCTTAACAGAAGGAAATTGAGAAAACTCAGCTTCCGTGTTTAAATGTGCACTCAGCCGTCCAATTTTAGAGCCGAGAATCCAAAATGAGAATAATATCCGGCACCTTTTCATGGTTGAACCTTGTGTCCTGGTGGAAAACACGTCGGAATTTGTGATGGGTCGTCTGGACCAAGAGACCTAGTAATTCTCCCACAGGTAACTTTCCAGAAGATTCTGTTTTCTGACTTACGCTATAAACTCGTTTCGAGATTCACAGCAAACCTTCCTTTTTTTTTATTCGAAACAAACAACATTTGCAGACTTCTGAGGTCTTCCGCATGTATGAGCTCAAATACCAACCTTTGAAGATGCAGAAGTCTCTAAAATTGGCTAAGGCGTCAGAATGCGAAACGAGAAAACATACACGGGCACCAATGAAATATATATTAAGGCCATCATACTTATCCGATCTAAAATCTTATCCCTTTTGAAGAGCGTTATTTTAATAAAAAGAGGAGCTTTTGTCGATTGTCTTTCTGTTTTCATTTTGAGAATGCTCACACGTGGAAAAATGTTTTATTAATTTTGCACTTAAATCAATATAATGAAGTTTTTCCATTCAAAACCTTGATCAAAACCCGATAATTGCGATTTCTGTTGTGGCGTTTTTCCTTCGAGCGGGAGAGAAGTCCCTGCTGAGAAAAAAGGTGTGAAATCGAAGAATGTACACCTTACTCTAGGTAATCCTCCGTGGAAACTGTACCCTGCGAGAATTCGCTGGACACAGCGATATAGCCGTAGTGTTCGCTGTTGTTGCTCAGTAAAATTTCGAGTTGGGCTCGAACCTCAAGGATTTCATCGATAAATGTTCAGTTCGATGATATTCGAACCTCTTCTATGGGCGGTCGGTCGATCGGATTGTAGGCCCAACATCGCTCCATCAACTGGTAGCTGCAAGGAACTTTCCAAATGAAATCCAATTTCTGATTTCGTTTTAAGTTAATCAAAGTCAAGAAGAACAAAAAGAAAAAAAAACTGACAAAGGCTCAGGACAGAACTCGGTCTGCTGGAGACGGTTTCCGCCGTCAAGGAACTGAAGGATGTCTGTAGGCGGGATGGACGAGTACGGACTTTCGCCAAGGGAGAACAGCTCGAAAAGAAGTACTGAGAACGACCACCTAGAACCAGGTCTCTCACACCTTTTGCGGACGGAAATGATCTTTGGGAAAGCAGATTCAAACTTCAGAAGGAAAAAGTTTAAACGGACACGTCGCTGGCATAGGAGTACTGGAACTGCTTCAGAGCCTCGGGCGCCATCCATTTGATTGGGAGACGTTCGCTTTTCCCCATGTAAACATCCGAAATCATTTTGCGACACATACCAAAATCTCCAAGCTGAATTTTCAAAGCTTAAAAATACTTCAAGCAAACAAGAATAATTACTTTCACTACAAGTCCGGTGCACAAAAGGACGTTTCTGGCGGCCACATCCCTGTGAACGAACCCTTTGCTGGCTAGGAAACTCTAAAATGGGATTTTTTGACTTTCTACGAACGCATAAAGAATGCGTCTTACCAGAGCGTCCGAGATTTGCCAAGCAATTGCGATCAGATCTTTCAGACGGAGTGCAGCGACGTCTCCGTCGTTAAGCTGCAAACGAGGTCTTTTTGAATCTACGAGATCTTCAAACCATAGAAAAGCTCTCTTTTCGGCTGCGAATGAAAGAAAGTAGATCTCCGAGGTCACAGACGTCGGTTAAAATCAGAGGATTCGATCCCTTGGTCACACAGCCAAGAAGACTTGAAAAACAATTTTTTGAAGGTCTGATTGCAGAAGAGTCCGATGAATCAATCCATTCAATAGACGAAAATGAAAGAAGATTTTTCAGTTGTTTTGTTTAAAAATGATAAAGTTGAAAAATGTTACATGAAGCTCATAAGTTATTTCGTTCGGTATCTTAATTTTCTCCAATAACCCTTTTTTCCGCAAAAAAATTTAGCTTTTTTTCAAAAAGATTAGTTTAAAAAAGGTTTTCAAAAAAGTCGACGCTCATTTTTCCTTAACTAAATCGACTGTATTAGATTTCCCAACCGAGTTCTTTGAGTTCCCGTCCGAACTTTTTCAGCGAGTAGCTCACGTTCACCAAATGATAATCAAACATTTCAAATAGTTGTGTTCAAGTATGGCTTCAAAAGGTCATTTGTTATACTCCATCCAAGTTACCTGGTGACATGGGAATGATATCCTATCTGCTTCATCGAGGCGATTTCTTCCTGGAAGTCTTTGCGATTCTCTGCATTTGCATAGACAGGAAGACACTTGATGGCCACCTCAACTCATCAAAAGTCACGTTTTTGGGGTATTTCTTCACTTTGTACATGCCGTCATTGTTGGTGCTGGAGGCAAGTTGTTGCCTTTTTGCAACTGGAGGCTCTCCTATGAAACAGAAAAGCATTACTTTTATGATCATACAAGTAGTATTTGTGTACCTTTATAAAATCCTTCATAAACCTTCGAGAAGGCGCCGCTGCCAAGCAACTTAGTTTCCAGAATGATCAAATTGTCCATACCCACTTCGTAAAAGTCTTGGCTGGAATTGGACCGAAAAAAAAAAATGTACTCGAGAAAATTTCTGAACTACCTTTCATCTTCTTCAGTGCGACTCTTGAAACTGCCAGTAACTCCGCGGTGCCGAGTTTTGAGGCTGAAAAGGACATTTCAACACAATTATACTACATATACCATTCTATTCACAGATGAATCGAGAAAAAAAAACTATAAAAACTTCCAGAAATCTTCATTTATGGCATTTTCTTTCGCAGATCATACTTCGGCGCGCCGTGGCGCAACAAGTTTTGTGCCTTTCAACGGTCTACAAGGTCACAAGTTCGATCCCGCCTCGACACAACCAAGGGGTTTCAGAAATGTTGGTTGTGAGAAACCACGACTTCAAAATCGCAAGTCGTGATACACAAGGACGGATATCACTGATATCAGGATAGGACCTCGGCTAATCGACGCCCCAGGGCATCGACGCCGCTCGAGCGGTACGAAGGCGTAGGAAGAAGAAGAAGAAGAAATCATCTATGAACTTAAATTCATACCCCTTTAAATCAGTGATGAATGAACTCTAAAATCACATTTTCCAGGTGAACTCGTACTTTGTCTCCTCTTGGATAAAGACATACCAAGATAGAAAAAGAACTTACTGATTGACTGCTTCTTTTCTGAACTCCTTCATGAAAACGTTGACCCATGAGGCCTGCACTTTTCGGCATTTGAAGAATATCAGAAGTGCGATACAAGCCAAGACGATAAGAGCGGCACTAGCTGCTATCACAATAATTTCTGGAAAGAAGACGTTTTTGGAAGGAGAAGAATAGTACAGCTACCACTAGTTAGTACTGAACATAGGTCAAACCTGCCTGGGAAAGAGCTCGGTTGGCGGGAGTGTACATGCAGGTGTACATGCTGCCGGGGACCGACTGAATCGAAGACATAACGGCGTAGTCGCAAAGTCCCGGGAACTTGAAGCACTCGGCGAACACAGATCGTAGACAAGCTCAAAAGAGTTCTATCATGGTGATGTGCAAAAACGGGTTGTTAAGAAATTTTGAGGTATAGAAAAGTTAGAAAAAATCCAGGAAAAAAAATGAAAACAAAAGCTGTGAAAGTTTATTTTATTCTTAGATAGCCACTTAAAATCCTAGAACAATTATTTCTTGCTTTTCTGCCTTTTTGTCCGAACCAGCCAGGTACTCGAAAAAAATAGTAATAAAAAGACAGAACCTACCTGCTTTTTCAAAAGTACCATAATAGATTAGTCGCAGCAAGGTGTCGTTATTATGCAGTGAGTCAATTATTTCGGGCTTCAAAATTAGTCTAGAAGCAACGAAAAATGAAGAAACCTGATGGGTCGTGAGAGGTGGATGACATAGAACCGTGCAGTTGAGATCTGTCAGGACAAAAACAACGCTTCCAAAGTTTTTGGGAAGAGCGTCGGCTGCGAAAAATTCCCCCTGCTCCTTCAATCGATAAGGAAAACAAAGCAATCAGTCATACAAGCTTCTTGAACATGTTGTACATCTGCAGAGAGGCGTCAGACGGGTCTACGATCACTTGTTCCGCCGTGACTTGCTGAGAAAGCGCAAACCGTCCAGAACTCGATCCCTGATTCGTGGGATCCGTCGCTGAGTATCCTTTTCAAACCCACCGGATATACCAGAATTGGCGAGTTTGTCTGAGTGGATCGAGGGGTTATGGAGAAAATGCGGCAGTCGCCGTCGCAGGAAGATGTAATCTGATCTGATGAGTTGAGTTTATAAATACTGATAGTACATCATCCATGGCGTATTTGAAAGCATCGAGCTTTTTTTCAGCATTTTCCTTGTCTCCGATAGCCGTTATGACTCCGATCCTCCAATGACTGCATTCTTTTCGCTTATCCTGCACTGAAATTGAGTGAACAAAGTTCTTCGAGCTTTATCGAGTAAGTTTCAACCTCGTTGGACGCTGCTGGCCGTGGAAAAGGAATCGAAAAACTCACACTGGCATATTTCTTGTTGCGAATGACGATTCAACTCATAACGATGACCCCAGTCTCTGGCGAGATCCCCATCTTGTGGACCAATGTTGCAGGCTTGCAATGGAGAAGAAGTGGTTCCCGTTGAAAGCGAGTAGGCTGAAGACGTCGACGCCATTTTGGGCGTGCTTTCAGTCGAGGTCTGATTGTAGACCGATGTTTTGTTTCAAACGAACAGAAAGAAACTACGCTTTCGACGGTAGGGAACGCGCAAAAGTAGTGAACCCTCTGGAGGCAGCTCTGCCAAAACCAGGATCCTGAAGACGTGTTCATCGCCACACATTGAAAGCTGTCGTTGCCTGAAATGTTCATGAAGTTAAAATGAAAAACTGCCGAAGAACGAGAAAGAAAAAGGGAAACTACCTGGAAGAGCGTTTTGCAAGTTTTGGAAAACAAGAGGAGAGCTGTCCGACCAGCGCCAGCGGACGTCCAGTCCAAGCCAAATTGAGTCGCATTTGAAAGTCGCTGGACGAAAAAGGCGAAAAAGTCAGCATAAATCGAAGGAACAACAAACCAGATGCTATCCGCGCAACTTCCTGATTGCTTATTTCGTTTTTAATAGACGGAAGCCTAGCTCCCATCAAATAACAGCTTTCTTCTGCCTTAAAATTCAATTATACTTGAAAGTGGACTAATCTTCAAAGTTTATCCATTAATTACTTATACATTACTTGAAAATAACAACCGAGGTTTTTAGGTGGCAAAACATACCTGGTAAAAACTGTCGGCTCCTATTGCAAGGATGGTTTCGTACGTTCTGAAAGGGCTAGCATCAAATAAAATAACCTTTATCGACTAAAACTTCAATTTGATAGAAAAAGTAACTCACAAATTTCCTTTCGACATTTGTCCTTGTGTACCGAAAAAAAGAAGATTTACAGAAAGAATAGTGAGTAATTTTTTCATTATTTTGCGAATGCGTGAGTAATCGTTACATTTGTGCAATCAGGAGCTCCGCAATTGGGTTGTTCCTAATCCGCTCTCGATAGACAAATATAGCGATAAGGGGAAACGGAGCAATTGCCTGAAACTACCGAAGGTTTCGAAATCGAACTGAATTTACGAATGCATATGAACTTGAAAAAAAAAATTTTTTTCATTGCTTTCTAAACTGCTCTTGAATTCACTTTTGTTCTATTTTTTCACAATCCACTCACCTATGATAAAAGAACTTCAATTAAAAGCTTACTCTCTTTTTTGGCCATGAGTTCAAAAACGAGAAGAAATTTCGTTAAGTGGGGCGTTCATGAACTTTTTGTAGGAAGAGAACATTCATTCGAAGATTAGAATGTTCAAAACGAACTTTTATCAAGCACCGAAGTTCATACGTGAAAAATGACATTGGTGAATATAATAATAAACCGTGAATTCTAACCAATCAAGCTTATTTTTTTTTTCATACGACTTCCCACTAGGTCGACTTCAGAAAAAAGTTTTCTCTTGGCAATAACGGTATATATTTTGTTTCTTTGTCGGTTATGAGGCGGTCGAAGTCGAGAAACGATTTAAACAACGCGCAAAATCGTTCAAAAATGGACAAAAGCGAAGATAAAAAGAGGAAAAAAAACTCAAACAGAAACTTTGTTGCTGATGTAAGTTTTTTCATAAACCCGACTCAATTTTTCATACTGTTTCTACTAGAAAAGCGAAGAAAATGTAAGAAGGAAAAAAGGATCAACTACCAAAATGATTGTGGCAGAGGTTGAAATATATGAAACTGAATATACTCCGTTCCGATGAAGTTACAGAAATCGTCAGAAGATGGGAAAAAGCCAAAGCAACGTGCACAAGATCCACAGCTTCTCAATGTTTGCAGCAACGGCGTTCACTTTTAATTTGGAAGAAATTTAGTTCGTGAGCAAGTATCTCATGCAGCATTCTTGGTATCATGGTCTAATGCCGCGAGAAGAAATCGAAGAACTTCTCCAGGTACAACATTTACGCGGGAAAAAACCTATCAAACCTCAACTTCTCCTAAAGCTTTTTTCCTACTCGAAAGACACTTTTCAGGTGGAAGGTAACTATCTGGTAAGAAGAACCACAGAAAAAGGCGTCCCTCTGTTCTGCCTTTCGGTTCGGCACGAAGACCAAGTCCGTCACTTTCCGCTCCAGTACGAAAACGCAATGTGGAATTTGCGAAACGTTGGTTGAATTCGTGACCTTTTTCCTGTTTCAGTTCCTTTCTTCAGTTACTCACAAAACGACATCCCGACCTCGTCGATTTGCTCAATGAACTCGTCAACGAAAAGTTCGAGCTGCCACCATCAATGGCTGTTCTCGGAAAAGTCAGTGGCAACATACAAATACACCAAAACCGAAAAACTCATGGTCAAAAGTCCTAAAAAACGACATATCATATTTACTTACCAAATTTGGATGAAAGTAAGTCGTTCACGTTGATTTAAAAAAATCATAAATTTCTGGTAAAAAGCCAAAAAAATTTTTCAGAAGGTTTATTCTAATTATTGAAATTTCAGAAAGGTTTGTTCTAACTAATGAGAATTTTTTTCATTAAAATGACTCACAAAAAAATAGTAGATAAAACTAAAAAAATGATCCGAAAAAAACGATGATTGAATATATAGAGTTGACCTAATAGAGACAAGAAAAATAGGACTTCTAACTAGGGAACTACTCGGACTCGGGTTCGGGTTTCGAGTTGAAACTTTAGTGGTTTATAGACCCAAGTCAGAATAATTTAAAACAAGAGAGAGTATCTGCTAAAACCGATAGAGAACTTAGAAAAAATTAGTAGAAAATGTGAAAATAAGGCCTGAAAATTTTCAGAATGCTGCTTTTTCGCTGATTTTATATTTTAATACAATCTCCATAAATGATCCGGCCGGCTAAGATAAACTCTAAAAAACTTTTTTCCAGCCAAAAGAAGGAGGAGAGCAAAAATTTGACAGTTTCCACGCCTAAACTGTTCATTTTCGAAAAACTTTTTCTCAGAAGCCTATGGGGTTTAGCAGATAAACTCTCTTGTTTCCAAGTACTCTTACCCGGGTCTATAAGCCACCGAAGTTTCAACTCGAAACGCGTACCCGAGTCCGAGTAGTTCCCTAGTAAGCGGAAGATAGCCGTTCCTTGTGCTCTGGACCGCGAAGCTTGTGAACTTTAAATCTATGAATTTCAAAAGTTCCTAATTATCCCTATCTTTTTGAATATTTTTCTCATTCTGTTTTTTTGTAATTTCCTGCTTACTAGGGAACTACTCGGAATCGCGTACGCGTTTCGAGTTGAAACTTCGGTGGCTTATAGACCCGGGTAAGAGTACTTGGAAACAAGAGAGATTATCTGCTAAACCCCATAGGCTTCTGAGAAAAAGCTTTTCGAAAATGAACAGTTTAGGCTTAAAAATTATCAAATTTCTGCTTTCCTCGTTCTTTTGGCTGGAAAAAAAGTTCTTTAGAGTGTATCATAGCCGGATTATCCAAGGCGAGTGTATTAAAATATGAAACAAGGTGAAAAGCAGTATTCTGAAAATTTTCAGGCCTAATTTTCACATTTTCTACTAATTTTTTCTCGGTTCTCTATCGGGTTTAGCAGATACTCTCTCTTGTTTTAAATTATTCTGACTTGGGTCTATAAACCACTAAAGTTTCAACTCGAAACCCGTACCCGAGTCCGAGTAGTTCCCTAGTTAGTTTTTTTTTTGGTTGAAACATACAAAAAGCCGGTTCAAACATACGGGAGATAATTTCACATGTAATGTAATCGATTTCAGGCGATTCCCCGTCCTGACTACTACTTTCTTCACGACAATATAACACTTGATAGAAAGCTGGGATGTAAGATTGCAGTTACTAGAGAATTGAAAATAGTTTTTCAAGCCGGTGCGTTTGGAGAAGTGTGGAAAGGGAAGCTGAAGCTCATGGGTTACGCGGACGTTGATGTAGCCGTGAAGAGAATGAAGGGCAACGTCACCAAGAAAGTCATCGCTGAGTTCATGCACGTGAGTGATACTCCAACGGGTGCAGTGAATAACCAGTTGTGTGACGACAGTGAATGAAATTGGGGCAAAAAAAAAGATTTTCTTTAATTGACGCGCAACTGTTTCAGGTTATGAAATTGACGGCTTGAAGGGCGACCCATCGTTAAGGTTTTTCCCATTGCACTGATTCGAATTTTATTTCAAATCTTCAGCAATAACACCTAGGTCCAGTGATTTTTGTTCCGGAAAAATAGTATTATAAAGCACACTTCAAGCGACCTGTTGCGACTCTTTTGCCTGAGCTATTATTAGAGCTAATAGTTGGAGACTATTTAGAGCTCGGCCCTATGGCAAGTCTATCTTGTTAAATCATTCATTTTTTTGTTTTTTCAGTCTGATATAATTGACTAGGCGGTGAGCAAGAACTTTTGAAGTTATAACGAACAACCGCTCTTTGGCGAGCTAGAAGTCCAAACGTGTAGTTGATCAAGTTGAAAGCATGGTCTTACGATCCTTCGCCTCATTCTTCTGCGCGTAGTTTATTCAGTTGCGCCTTGACGAACTCAGAATGTAGCGGATGTTGTGCTGGAGCCCGGAGACCGTGCTCTAGATTGAAGCCTCAGAATGAGAGCGACAACTTCGAGTGAAGATTTTACACGCAAAACCCTAAAAAAACAGAAAAGTTAGCTCAAAGAAAACTTAACATTTTAGGAAGCAAAATTGATGCGACAGCTCACGCACAAAAACATAGTCAGTGTGTTTGGAGTCGCGCCGCAGGAAGAGCCGTTGATGATAGTTCTGGAACTTGCTGCGAACGGGACAATCAAAGTAACTGATTCCTCAGTCGCCTACGGAAAACTATGACTACAGAGTTACTGTAAAGTGAACCCGAATTGCCCCATAAGTCAACTGGTTAGTTTTGCGACGGACTCTGTGCGTGGAATGAGTTATCTTTCGTCAAAAAAGGTTTTTTCCAACTTATTTTCTATCACGGTCTTTTAAGGTCATACATAGAGACTTAGCAGCACGAAATTTGCTATTAGGAAGTATGAACGAGGTCAAGATTTCCGATTTTGGTTTATCTGTCGCCGGCAAGACTGAAGTTACAATTGAAAAAATGAAACTTCCAATAAAATGGCTAGCACCAGAAACTTTGGAATCGGTAAGAAAATTCCTTCATATTTTATACTTTGATGGCGAATTCAGGGACGGTTCACAACAAAAACAGACGTTTGGAGTTTCGGAGTCACATTATGGGAAATCTTCAGTCGATGCACCCAAGATCCTTTCCCCGGACTAACCAACGCTTTGGCCCGAGAGCTGATCAAAGTGAAAACGAAGAGTTATCGAGATCAACTTATGTTTAGACTCAAACTCCGCCTATGCAACCACCACCAGAAACGCCGCCTTTGATATCCCAGATGATGAATGAATGCTTTCGAAAAGTTTCCGAACCTCCTGGATTCGATGAATCAACGAGTTTCAGTCGCCGGAAGAACGTCCGTTTTTCCCGGTGATGCTCAAGAGGCTCTCTCCAGAAGAAGACGTCACGGAATACGACGTCGGCCAGTCTCCTCCGGTCCCGTGTACATATCCAAACGCTGTATATCAGGTTCATTGATGAGGCTTCTTAAAGGAATAGGGGCAGTAAAAACGGGTTTTCAGGTGAAAGCAGTAGCTCGTAGTGCTTTTCATTGCGAATCGAACGTTTTTCTCCAAAAATCACAAACATTAATTTTTAAGAATACCGCGATTTCACTTTCCCGCTACACTGCGACCCATAATTATAGACCCACCCTAATTTCTCCGATTTTTAAGAAAGATTGAAAAAAACTTTCAGCCACCAAACTTTTTTTGTGATAAACCTTGTTGATAAGGAACATAATCATAATATAATTATCAATCACCCAGTTGAAAAAGTTTTTTTCAAGATACGAGAAAAATCTGATTTTTTTGACCGACCCAGAATTATAGACCCACTATAAGTAATCAACAAAAATTCATTTCACAAAGTCAACAAAGTATAACAAAAAGATTAATTAATAATGTGTGATGCCTCCTTGTTTCTGAGCGACTTCGAAAAATCCTGTTCGGCATGCTGCCAACGAGTGATTGCAGCAGTGACTTGTCCAAACCATCCCACTCGGCACGAATCGCTCTTTTCAGATCGTTGACCGTTGTATACTGCTTGGCATTCGCGTAGACCCTTCGCACAAGGACTGACCATAAATTCTCTACAGGGTTGAGGTCAGGACTGCACGCGGGCCAGTCCAGAAGAACCACGTTATTGGCCGCAAACCAAGCCAATGTGGAGTTGCTCGCGTGAACAGATGCATTGTCTTGTTGGTAAATCATATTAGCACGTCGTCGGCGACGGAGATAGGGCAGGAGATGCTGGGCAAGCAGTTGCTGGTAGTCTTGCGAATTCGTTCTGGTCCCAATAAAAGAAAGAGCTACCGTCCCATTGCCGCAGAAAGCCGCCCAGACCATGAGGCTGCCGCCGCCGAAGTTTCTCTTGGAGAAGTACATCGGATCTTTCCTCAAATCTCTCCAGTAGTGAGCGTACCCATCTGGCCCATCAAGGTTGAATTTCTTCTCGTCGCTGAAGATGATCTGAACAGAAAAATTGGGAATCATAAGGTGATAGAAAACATTGATACCTTATTCCAATCCGTGGCCATGTTAGAGCGTGCAAACTGGAGCCGTTCATTCTTATGGCGTTGCTGTAGACGAGGTGCTGCCTTCATTGGAGTATTCAAAAGTCGACCGGACCGATGAATTGTTCGTAAGATGGTGTTCTTCGAGACGTTTTCAGGAATTTCGGATCTGATTTGGTTGGCGGACTTCGTAGAGTTTGATGCTTTTCGACAGACGTCTCGTTCAGCTCGAACCGATAGCAGCCTGTGCCGTCCAGAATGTATTGCTGTGCCGTATTCTTGCGGATTCCTTGCATAACGGTCAATAGTTCGTCTTGAGCGACCCGTCTGACGAGCGATTTCCCGATGGGACAAGCCGTTGTTGAGTAGAGCATCGATTACCGCTTTTTCGGTATTATCAAGTTGAGTAGATTTAGGCAATATGGCTTATAGTGATACACGAGGACTTTTTCTCTTATATACCACTGAAAAAAACAGGAAAAACGTGTTACCTCAAACGAAAACTCGGAAAACTCTGGGGTAGGTCTATAATTCTGGGTCGGTCAAAAATCAGATTTTCTCGTATCTTGAAAAACTTTTCAACTGGGTGATTGATAATTATGATATGATTATGTTCCTTATCAACAAGGTTTATCACAAAAAAAGTTTGGTGGCACAAAGTTTTTCAATCTTTCTTAAAATCGGAGAAATTAGGGTGGGTCTATAATTATGGGTCGCAGTGTATATAATTTTGAAAAATACTTTGGATCGGTGTACGGACAACTGTTTACAGTAGTCGTGCACGCGATGTTGCGGACGTGTCAATAGGCTCGCATTTAGTTGGAAATAGCCGGATATTTGCTTCGAATCAAGGGTTTCCATTTTGAAAAGTCATTCAAGCGTAAAAAACACGTTTCCAAGATCACCGTTCGACAGACAAGAAAGAGCTCTACAAAATGGTTTATTCGTCTCCAACTCCATTTTTTACTGCCCCTGTGCCTTTAAATATTATTTTTAACACGTCTGAATTCATTTTCCAGGACTCTGGACAAACAGTTCCAAACAGCAAACTTCAGAATACCAAGAATTGAGAAATAAAACAAACATGGATTCACTTGAAATGTTTCTGATACATCTCAACTGTAAGCCATAAAAATGATTTTAGAATATCAAGTGTTTTTCGAAGAAAAAAAACTTTCAAGTTTTTTCTTCATAAATTAAAAAAAGATGTTTTTTTGTGAAAATATATTGACTGCGTATGATAGCGTATTTATGTATATATATAATATATATATATATATATACCCAAAATGCGAACAATTTATAAAACAAGACTAGATCATTCCAACAGACCAACAAGATACATGAGAATTACACCCAAAAAAAGAGCTGCTAACTCTGCGATACTATCCAACAATGTGACGGCTTCGTTCGTGATAAGCTCGGGAATGATGGAAACGGCAGCGATGTAAATGAAGCCTCCAGCTGAAAGTTTCACAACGTTTCTGACAGAAACAAAATTTTTCAGCCACACCACTATATTTCCCAATTTTAAAATTGAAATTTCCGTTCCTGTACATATTTTGTTCACAATCTTCAATGCTTACAATGAAAAAAAAACGGTTTCCCAAGTTTCCACGAATATCATCTCTTCAACTGTTCATGACAATAAGAAAAAGACGATATACTAGCTACACAAGGTCAAATGGTGAACACTTTTAAATATAACAAAGAGGCGTATTAAAATTGTGCGAAGAAAAGAAGGATCCATTCATAAGTAAATTATAGTAAAATATTACCTTTCCAAAACAAGTACAGTCAGGCTTAAGCGAAAATAGGTATTCCTGTATCTTAATGGCGCAATTTCTCGTTCTCTTTCGATTCATTCACTACTTTTCAAAAAGGAAAACAAAACACCAAGAAAAGCCAAACGAAAAACTTTTTACCAATAATGAAAGAACAGGAAGAACCTGTGAAAGGAGAAATCCATTGAATCGACGAGCCGCTGATATCGGTGAGAATCAATGCAATGACGCAGCCACTCAGGGCACCGAAAGCGGTCACCAGCTGCATTTGAACCGCCTAAAGACTATTAACAATATTTCCAACATAAACACTCTCGATCGTAAAACCTGAAATACTAAAAACAGAAAAAAATTATAGCTAAATATCTTCTATGCCTTAATATGAAAGTTTAATTCTATTTCGCGATTAGAACAAGATCCCTTTCTTACAAAAAGCTAACGAGAAATGCACAAAGTGAGAAGAGCACAAAGTGTAATCCATTTATGAAAAAAATTTTTTTTTCTCAACTTATTAACCATTTAAACTTCACAGATATTAAAAAGGATAAGAGCCGTTGGAAAAGTAAATTTATGAAAAAAAGAACCGTTTTCTTGGTGAATCCGGAATTAATGAGGATGGCAAAATCTCCAATCTCATGTGGCACTTCATGCACCAAAACCGTCACCGTCGTCACTGAAGTTTTTTTCAAAAAGTTGTTCAAGTAGCCTCAAAAATACTCACTAAATCCTGTGGCACGCCCAGTACAATAAGACGCTCCAATGGCCAAACCGTCGGTGAAATTGTGAGCAAAGTCGGCAGCGAGGTTAAGATATGCTGCGACCTGAAAGCAAAATTTACTGAGGGAGTGGAAATCAAGGAAACTTTTGATTTCTTTTCGATTTTCTCGAGCTTTCCGTTGACGGCTACGTAGTGGTGATTGTTAACGTGCGAGTTATCAGGTCGAATCGAACGAATGATTTTTTCGATCAAAACAAAAACAAAAAAGCCTGAAAGTTATCATAAAAAAATAAAATGATTGCCTCAAATGATGCGTATTCGAATAATAAAAATGAGGTGGTACGAAAAAAAGACCAGCGAAAATTCAAAGGCCGACTTTTCCGATTTTTTCATATCGCTAGAGAACTTTCCGACGGCCACCTTTCCGCCGAATTTTTTTCCCGACTTTTTTTCTCGATAAACTCTCTGATTTAATCTTCATGATTAAAACAAAACGAAATAGGAAAAAAATGTTAATAGATGTTTTATAAACCGAAAAATATATAGTCACGTAGCTAAACTGTCACAACTTCAGACTCACATGATTTCTTCTTTCTCCTTTCAGAAAAGTTACTGAAAGATCTTTTGATATCATTTGTATTATGACGATCGAAAAATTTTCAAAACAAAGAATTTCTCTGACAGGGAAAAACTATCGAAATAAAGGTTTTCCTAGAAAAAATTAGGGAATTTTCTATATCTCAGACCGATTGGAAAATTTTAAGGAAAACTTATGAATATAAAACTTAAACCAAACTAAGGAAAAAAGCAAAAAAGGATATGAGCGGACCCGTCAGTACGAATCCCCCGGCGAAGTTATCATGAGAGTGCGAATGGCCGTGTCCATGAACATGACCATGGCCAATTTCATGCCCGTGTCCCGCGATAGTCCCATGATCATGACCATGGCTTTCCATTGAGCCCGGAATAAGATGCAAAAATGCATCGCCCAGAAGTCCGCCAGCTCCAAACGCGAGCAAAAGACGCAAAAGATTATTCGGCCTCAGTGACACATCCTTAAAAAGCGAATAGTTACAAGAAAATAAGTGAATGTATAACCCCGACAGGAATGCTGAATAAAATGACCAGTGGCGCAACCGAAATCAAAACGACAGAAAGGATCGCGTAAAACGACTTATTGACGTCGGGAATATCAATAGCGTTGAGGATACTTAAACGAAAAGTTAATGGGAGTCTGACACCTTCTTGTACCGTGTGAATTCATCTCGCAAAGTCAGATCCTTTCTGGAAACGGCATTCTTTTTTAACTTTAAAAACTTGCTCTAAGTCATAGAAGTTCTTTAAAATCTAAAGATTCAAATAGTTTTGTAAAAATTTTCATGAATGATTTCGAGAAAAAAAATTGGTTGAATCCTCACTAACAGTGTAATAAATCCCAACTTAATGCCGTGTTCAAATTAATTTCCGCGGAATCCATAATGGTCTCTGAATCTCCAAAATTTCTTTATAATTTTCTATCTTTGACGGTTATTTTGTATTTCGCGAAATCAGTTTGAACACGACATAAACAGTTGAAAACTTACCTCTCAAAACTTTCCTCGTGAGTGATGCTCTCCGGATTGGCATGATATGGATTTTCTAATAAGTCGACATTTATAAGTTTCGGGCCATTTCCAACCTTTTTGTTCGTTGACATGTTCGTGGAAGTGCTCATGAAGACTAGAATCATCGTGATCAATCTGTAAACTTCATTGTAATTTTGATGGAGTGCGAGTTTAAAAAAAGATACTGACCTCAGCATCGTTGTTTGTTGATGAAATTCAGGTTCGGTGAATTTACGTGCGCAGAAACAATGCTTGCAAAGCAAAAAAGTCCAAAGAAGAATTTCATCACCTGAAGAAATAACGCTTTTGTATGTATAGCAAAAGTCTCATTTTTTTTTTGAATTTCAGCTAGCTGCGTTTTTCGAGACGAGCTTTCGAAGAGAAGAAAAAAAAGCCAACTAACACATAGTTTATCAAATGCGCATCTCTATGCCACGTTGCCAGTTACGATTCGTTCGATTTCTTTGATTTCAAAGATATAGAAATAATCCTCCCATGTCCGAGAGTGGAAAGTACAACGGGGTCATTACCGTAGTCTCTTGTTACCTACTACCTTTACCTCGCATGATAGGTTTTAAAAAATTGCAAAAAATGAGGAACTTTAAAAAATTTACTGTCCATGGCTCTGCAGAGATCTGAACACCGAATACGCTATATTGACCGGCCATCGACCGTCTTAACACTTTACTTTTTTTTAGCTTTCTAACTAATCAAAAAGTCCTATAGTCTGTTCAGATTTTGAATGTGAGCATCAGCGACCACTTGACATTAATGTCAAATGGTCGCTGAAGCTCCGCCCGCGATAAACCAATTAGAAAGCGAGCCATCCACAGAGCGCTTTCGAATGACGTCATTCTACTTGACATTCAAAATCTGAACAGACTATATATACGGCGGCCGGTGGCCGGTCAATATATTATTACGCCGTCAGTTTCGGAGCCAGGAAATTATTTAAATTTTTTTCAGAAAGGAAATTTTTTTTATTTTGCAATTCGTTAAAGACCTATTTCTGGAGGTTACAAGATAAGTTACGTCACAAAAAGTGCACAAATTTTAATTTTATTTTTGAAAAACCTAGCTTGACTATTGTAATTCGACCGGCCGCCTTCACCCAACATACTCGGCAAGGATGGCGCACGGTGTATTCTGCTTTTTTGCACTCTGGTGCGTAATTGAGGTCTGCACCGTGCGATTTCGGTGATTTTTTGGTGCAAAGCGTGCTGCACCAGTGCGACACCAAAAAAGCACCAAAACTGCACGGTGCAGACTCCAGTTTAGCAACAGAGTTGAACATGCGTGGTATGCGCTGCATGCCTGAGGACGAAAACGCCTCGGACATTCTCGGACATTGGTAACGCGAAACGGACGTGCTCCGGACGTTTCTGGGGTATTCTAGGATCACTTATGAGTTCTGAGGCTACTAAAGTGGTCACTAGAAATGCCCCCGACACGTCCGATTCGTGACCGTTTCGCAAATCCGAGGCGTGCAAACTACATTTTTTTAAAAATTTCTGCTTGTGTGCTCTAATGCATATTTTCCAGTAACTCGCGCTTCAAGACCAATAAACTAAAACCGGGCTCCCCACTCATTATTTATTTTACTTCATGAAGTTCAGAAAAAATTAATTCAGCTTTGAATTCAGCTTTTACTCTATATGATATATTAATACGTCGCCTTCAAAGAATTGCGCTTTAAATCGTAAGAACGTTAGAGTTGGCTTGAGATTTTTTCGAATTTCGTTTTGAAGGGAAAAAACTCCAGAACGAATGAACAGCGATTGCAATTCTTCACAGATTTAGTTTAGTTCATCCACCTAGTGGTATTTGTTCTCCTCTGCAACATCGCCATACCATTCTGATGTTGCGAAAATGAAGAGATTGATTGATTCGAATAAAAAGTTTAATTTGACACTGAAAATGTGTATGAAAGGCTTTTTTTTTTGCTTTAAAGGGGAAATTTTGTCAAAACCCAGCAGTTAACATTGAAAATTGAAAAAAAAAGTTCCTTCGCATTTTGCTGTCGCAATAAAAAATAATTATCGTAAATCAGAACAAAACAGATAAAGATACAACTGAAATAAACATGAAAAATCACCTGAAGCACTTGAGCAACAAGAAATTCAAATGTTCGCGCGCAAGCTGTCTACCGTAACTCTAGGTGGAGCAACCTTTCAAAGCCGCTCCGCATTTTCAAAATTTTTACATTTTCTTCCACTACGCAGAACGCCGTGATTGAACAGCGGTTGGAACAACGTTCTCTTCATCTTTACTTTATTTTTTTTTCTAAAAAAAGTTCTGAACAAGAGCGTTTCAGAGATACTCCAAAAATAATTATTTTAAAATATTTTACAAGATTCCAATCTTTTCGCGCTCTTTTTCTTCCAATGGCGTTTCCTTCTCATCGTGTTTTTGGCCCCTGGCAGCGACTTATTGGCCTACGTCTGCTTCAAAATGTAAACGTTCAAAAATAGCAACCCAAACGTTTAAAAACGTTCAGGAGCGCCATTTGTCTTCTGGTTTTCCTGGAAAACTATTTAGTAACTAATTTTCCAGGAAAAGTAATAAAGCTTTATTTCTCAAATTTTTATGCCTTGCCAACATTTCTAAAGAGAAGATTTCAGTTATGCTGTTGCCGAGATCACGAAACATCAAAAAACGGAGTGCCAGGAGACGACCAGATTTTGGCAAGTCTGTCCCTGAAATAATTCTTTCATAGCCGTCCAAATATCTCGTTTCCATTGTTCTATTGCGTCGATTACGTAAAAATGACATGCGCGAGGGAATATGGAAATATCTCGAAGCAGGATAATCGGGACACCAGATGAGGAGCTTCTCTAAAAACGGGTTCAGTTAGCGCGGCTTATTCTTATTGGTGATTAAAATGACAGAACTGTGTTATGTGTGCAGTCCAGTCTAAGCTATGTTTGAGATCATAGTACTTGAGAGAAACGTTTCAGTTCGGTCCAAAGAAAAGTCCTTCGGATGGAAGGATAATTGCAACTGTTGACTGATCAACGAAAACCAACAAATGCATCGACCCATTATGGGAAGCTTTATGGGAAACGTCGGGACGTCTTGATTCATTATCCGAATCCCAGCACCTACTTCTCCCGCGATGACGTCACTCTAGAAATCAGACGTTGTGGATAATATAACTTGCTGGTGAGGTAAACATTTTTCGTCACTACTTGGAAAATCAGAAGCCGCGCCTAAAACTATTTCCATTATATACATTAAAGATCTTTTTGATTTCAATTACTTCGGTATGAACAAATTACTGCCCGTTTCATCGCCAGCTTGTCACTCAAAAATAGCTGCGATCTTAAAACGCTTTCTATTCCGTTCATATTCTCTTTTTCATCTTCAAATATCATACAGACTTCGAGTGAAAAATTTGCCAAATATATAATTATAATTTTTTCTGCTTTCTAGTGTTACTTTAAATCATAATTTCACAGCCATTTATGTTACCCTTTTTATTAAAATAGTATAGTTTTTGTTTGCAAATTTAGAAAAGGAAACTTATGAAAAAAAAGTCGTATTAGATTTTATCTTATCAATTCAGATAAATAAAATAAAAGTAAGATCCTTCTCAGAAAATTTCAGTGGAAGACGTCCTTCAAAATGTATTTCTATGACTAAGAAGTGATGAACAAGTCATCTATAAACTGAACTCGAAGAGACCACAAAATAGACAAGCTAAAGCGTCGTACCCCTTTTTCTGGATTAATCTCTTTTCTGCGTTAAAATGTTGCTCTCTGATAGAACCTGAAACGTCTGCGGAACCTTTTTTGGGTCCGTCGGTTTCTCTTTCGCAGGCGAATTTACGGCTTGCAATAACCGCGATCGGGTCAAAACGCACGCTTTCAGTTTATCATAAGCCGGATTCAAATTCAAACACTCCAGAAACCTCGACCACATGACGAGACGCATTCCGCACATCCATAGAAATTAATGGCATTTATTAGCCACGTTCTTTGGTGGATGATATAGTTTATGTCTCTAGGATTGACAATCCGAGCTTTGGCATTTTTGCAGTGGTGCGCAATACGGTCGTGATGATTTTTCGATGTGCATTCAAAAGAGGTAACATTTGTGAATTTTGATCACGACTCTTCTTCTTCCTATGCCTTTTTACCGCTCGAGCGGCGTCGACGCCCCAAGTCGATTAGCCGAGGTCCTAACCTGATATCAGTGATAATCAGTGGACTGGCTCCAGTTACATATCCGTCCTTGTGTGTGGCGGCTGGGGATTATGAAGCCTTGGTTTCCCAATACCAATATTTTTAAAACATCTTGGTTGGGTCGAGGCGGGGAATGAACTTGTGACCCTGTGGAACGTATACAGGCACACAACCTGTTGCGCTACGGCGCGCCATTTGATCACGACTCTTGATAATGAAAAAATCCTGGTTATTTATAGATTAGGTGTATGTTCACAGCTGAATACCACAAACGCGGCTTTTTTCAGAGATGGGACTGCAGGTTATGTGACATTTTGACATTTGAGTCAAACAAAAAACTATGAAAAACCGTTGATAATCTCATATCTGCTGAAAATGACAATCCAGTCAAACTAATGAAGTAATTTGTCTTCCAGTAAAACTACGTCATCTTGAAAAGATTTGAAAACTATAATAAAACTGCCTATCTTGAGAGTATACAGTGCACTCTCTCAGTTCTTTCAATGTTATACAATTTAGCTTGAAAAATAGAATTTCTCAGAAAAGCCGTCAACTTCTGTCCAACTCAAGACAGTTTGCCGCCAAGAGAAGCGGCTTTTCGACCGTCTTCAGTCGCGTTTTGCCTGACGGAGGTATGACTCCGCCCCCCAAGAAGAAGCTTCTGCGCGGTCTATAAATGCCGTCATAACAGCGACGCCTTCCGTCCACATTAAGATTCCCATATATCGGCTTCTTCAGGCTTGACCGGACTGTTTGTTCCCTGGCCGACTATCTAAATTCGAATATTTTCTTCTGCCTTATTCGATAAAAAAATTTGAAGTAGATTCTAATTGTTTTTATCTTTTACTTTTTATAAAAATGTGTTCAATGTTTTTATTTTACTAATTTTGACCGAGGAGAGAACACAATTTCGGTAACTTCAGCCTCCCCTTAAAGAGAGTTTCATATTTCCGGACAAACCTCGGTAAAAAAAAAATGAAGAGAAATCGAAAACATTTTTTATTAATCAATATTCTTTTTCGGACGTTTTGAAGCTTTTCCTTGTCAAAAAACTTTCTCGGGCATTTTTGAAAGCTTATACGAGAAAAAAGTTTGAGATTTTGAAATGAGGATTTTTGTTGCCAGCTTTTGCAGTTCTCAATGAATTTAAGCACACAATAAAGCAAGCTCTGAGTAAACAACCTAACAACCTTAAATTATCGTTGAATTAGCTCTAATACGAAACTTTTCCTGTATTTTTAACATGATCCTCAGCCGCCAAAAGTTTTTTGATACTACTCCAGGATGCTGCGGATAGCCCTCGCTTGTCTGGTGGCCTCGGTAGCCGCCATTCCGGTAGACAACAACGTCGAAGGAGAGCCGGAGATCGAATGCGGCCCGACATCCATCACTGGTTCATTCGAAGGTCCCAACTTTCTCAGCCTAGACTTTCATTGCAGTCAACTTCAACACAAGAAACGCTTTCGAAGGACACGTCTACGTGAAAGGACTTTTCGACCAACAAGAATGCCGGAACGACGAAGGCGGACGTCAGGTACCCACAAGCTCTTCCAGAGACTTCGATGAGGCTATTATTTTAGGTGGCCGGCATCGAACTGCCCTTCGACACGTGCAACGTCGCTCGCACTCGGTCCCTCAATCCCAAAGGAGTTTTCGTCTCAACCACCGTCGTCGTTTCTTTCCATCCTCAGTTTGTCACCAAAGTCGATAGGTGAGAATCGAGAATTTTTGTCACGAGTGAATCAGACTGACTGAATCCGAGCTATATCCAATATCCACGATTAATTCAGAGCTTATCGTATCCAATGCTTCTACATGGAGTCCGACAAGACTGTCTCCACTCAGATTGAAGTTTCCGATTTGACGACTGCCTTCCAGACCCAGGTGAAAAATTTTCAAATTAGCTTTTAAATAAGCAGCCGAGTTGCAAATATTGAAGGTAGTTATGAACTAATTTCAGGTCATGAACTCATTTTATGAAAAGTTAGACTCAGACGGTAGTTTCAAAAGAACACAATTTGAAAGCGAGGCGTTCTAACCAGAACAAAAATGAAAATAAATGAATTCGACTTTTTTATTGGATGAAAGTTCTTTAGGGAACGTATCAGCAAATTTTTATGAAATAATCAAACTGTGAATTTTTTGATGCGCTTGTGATATTTTTTTTTCTTAGACGTAATTGTGAAGATAAAAAAAGGATTTTATTGTAATAACTTTTCACCTGGCTTTCAGGTAGTGCCAATGCCAATTTGCAAATACGAGATCTTGAACGGAGGCCCGACTGGGGAGCCTGTGCAGTTTGCCACCATTGGACAACAGGTACGAGTTTTTGATGATACTTCTTGGATATCAGTGTGCTCTCTAACGGGCTCCAGAAAAGAGAATTGAAGAAATGTTCAATATATTGATTGGCTAATAATTTTCGATTTCTTTTTAAAAACTGGCTAAACGGATATTTAAAAAGTAATTTGTTTTTCCATGAAATTTTTTTATTAGAAAGTAGAAATGTTTATGCCTTGTTCGAAATGACTCTACGAAATTCAAGATAGTCGTCAGAGTGTGAAAAATTTTTTTTTGAAGAGTCTGAGATGATTTAGAATTTCGTCGGAAATACTTTGGACACGCCATCAAAGAATGATCTTATAATCGTACTTGATATGAATCACGGCTTGCCAGGTCTATCACAACTGAAAAACTTTTAAGGAAAAAAGGCGTTTTTATACTGATTACAAATAAAAGCTCAGAAATGAGGTCAGTGAAAAAAATTACGACCGTTAAAGCGTTAAAGAAATATCCCCATTTTATTAAGTCAAGTTTTGAATTCAAGGATGAAAGTTTTTTGAATGTCACGATAAAAGGGATACTTTTCTGATGTTTTTTGGCCCCGGTTCTAACAGGACAAATAGTGCGAAATAGCAGAGGTGGAAGAAATGAGGGGCCCTCCCGGGCGCAACATGCCCGCCTCAGCCATCAGGCCTCTGAGAAGAAATGAGCCGCGTCATTATGTGTCGATGGCGTATAATACCACGTTGCAAAAAGTAGGGCGAAAATGGTCATTTTTTTGTTCATTTTTTTCATTAAATCGTGGATTTCGCAATTTATTCAATAATTTTTTTAATTTTTTTCAGTGGATATGATGTCCAGTTGAACTTTTTCATGTGAAGTACGGTTATATTTGTTCTTTTCTTCAGGCGAAATGTTCCAGATTTATGGTTACGAACCCGCTGACTAGTGAGAGAATAAATTACCGTGATCATTAAATTGGAAGTTCAAAAAACCTTGTTTTAAAGCTTCGAAAACAACGATTTTACAAGATTTTAGAAGATTCCAATTTTTGCGCGTTCTTTTTCTTCCAATGGCGTTTTTTCGCCATCGCGGTTTCGGCCCCGGGCGCCCTGGGCAGCGACTTATCAAGAAATGGCCATGGCGGCCTACGTCGGTTTAGAAATGTAAACGTTTGAAAACGCTTAGGGGCGCCATTTCTCCACCTCTGCGAAATAGTGTGGATTTGATTTTTCAAAAATTCAAGTTTGAGAGACTATAAAGTTTTAAGTACTTACCGGCAAATTTGACGTTCTCTCAAAATCGAATTGCGGCATCTAGTGAACTTTTTATAATTTAGAAGTTTTGATGTGAGCCGAAAACATTGCCTCGTTATTCAAGAGAGCTGAATCTTAAATTTAAACACAATAATTAGATAAACGAAAGTTTATGAACATAATGCGTTTCAAAGATAAAGAGATTAAAAAGTTCAATTGAAAGCGAAGACCAGGTGTTGATCAGTTCGAGAAGAAAACTCACTCCCGAAAACGTAATCTACTGAAATCTTAACGACTACTGCTCCAGGTCTATCACAAATGGACTTGCGACTCCGAGACCATCGACACTTTCTGCGCCGTCGTCCACTCCTGCACCGTCGACGATGGAAACGGCGACACTGTCCAGGTACTTGGCCACATTTCATCGATATTTATAATTTCGCCCAATCTCTAAGATCCTCGACGAGAACGGCTGTGCTCTCGACAAGTTCCTGCTCAACAACTTGGAGTACCCCACTGACCTCATGGCTGGACAGGTTTTGTTTTGTTAGACCGATTTCTAAAAAAAAGTTCTTCCAATATGAAACATTTACACCTCTTTCCCATAAATGTGTAACAAAAAGTTTTAGGAGGCTCACGTCTACAAATACGCCGATCGCTCTCAGTTGTTCTACCAGTGCCAAATCAGCATCACAATCAAGGTTCGAAAGTTCTAGCTGAAGTCTTTTTATATTACTTTCACACTCACTTCGAGTCATAATTTTTTTTTTTGCAAAAAAAACTGTTAGTTTTCAACATTTCTGAGCTTGTCTTGTATGGTGTTTCAATGTTTTTCGAAAACAGAATGCGTAGAGCATCTCAAGTGTCTCATAGATTTTAATAAGCGAACTATTTTTTTTTTGAGTATTTTAATCTGACGCAGTGATTTCGATAACAAAATTCTCCATAAAGGAGAGCATAGTTAGCATGGAAATTGAGCATCACAGTTTTTTTTTTATAAACGTTTCCTTCACTTATAATTTCGAATCGAGAACAATAACAAGCTACAAGAATAATCCAGTGAAAGTCTTATGTTTATACTATGTTTTCATCCCAAACCAGAAACTGATGGACTTTGCAGGAACCTCACTCGGAGTGCGCGCGACCTCAATGCGGCGAGCCTCAAGGCTTCGGGGCCCTGCGACAGAACCACACGGCGCAGTTCTTCCGCGTGCTGAAGAAACGTTCCGTCGAGTTCGAGAACGTCCTCGACGTACGAGCCGAGCTGACGGCGCTCGAGGTGCTCGACGGTGACCTGCCCTCGTTGCCGTCGGCGCAGGCGTTGATCGCTCAGCCAACGTCTTTTGACACCGAGGCCGTCTGCATGTCCCTCCACAGCATGAGTGTCCTTATTGCCTTCCTCGCCGCCCTTATGATTGTCTCAGTGGTTGTAACTTACCTGTGCGTTCGTGTCAAGAAGTTCTCGCCTTAGGTTCAAACTTCTCGTTTTTGTTGAATTTTAATTTATTTTCTTCTTTTTTTCTCATAGTTATCTATTTTGCCTTGATCGTGCATGACAAAAAAAAATTACCGAATTTTTGTGCAATTAAGCATGCTTTCACGAACCTCCTGTTTTTAGGGAATAAATTTTTTTTCAAGCATTTTGTTGAAAAACTTTTCTGTAATTTTCGACTTCTTCTTTCCAAAATCTTAGAGAGGAGGGTAAGGAATTAAATTCAAAGCTTGGAAGAATAATTAATTTTTTTCGTGACTGTCAGCTGAAACGTTATATAGACAAGCTCTGATTTGGGAACCTAAGAGATGGAAATCATCTCGAAACATCTAAACATTGAATCCGTTTAGTACAGGTACAGGGAAAGATTCATATGCTTTCAATGGAACCGCGCCTTTGTGTGTGATGATTCAGCCATTCCGGCTGTAAGCATCCGTTTTTCTTTTCCTTTCTTGTAGTGCTCAGTTCTTCTTCTACTTTCAAATAATTTTTTAACTTGAGAAACAAATAAAATTTCGATGATCATGTAACCGATGAATTTTAAAGCACAAATTGAAAATTCTGTATTTTTTTTTGCGATTTGGAATGCGAGAGAAACTATTTAAGGAGTGGGAACTCCAATAAAATATTTTTAGAACATTACTTCGGGATTTTTTTTCGCACAGTTTTTTCACAACAAATACCAGCTCTTATTCAAAAACTTTATAGTCAAAATCACGCATATATTAAGAGATTTCAGTTTTATTTTATTTTACTTTTTTTAAGTTACATGTACCAGAATTACATCTTTTTTAAAGCTTTACAAGCAAAAATCTTTGCATGGATTCGGACACTTGTAACTTTTCATAGAAGAAACAAGACCTCTCTAAATTTATAATAAAATCACGATCTGTAGATTGTCTAGACGTCGACAGCGATCTTTTTTCGGTCTGCGGATTAAATCGAAGAGAAACCAAAGTCTCTATTTGTTGTCGACGCCCTCAAACTGATACCTAGGTTCCTACCCGCATCTTTACTTATTTCTTTTCTTCCAGATAGAGAATTTTTCCTTGTAAATTCGATTGTTTTTCTTCCTTGAAAAACAGTTTTTAGGCTTCAAAATCTCTTATATTTCTTTCGAAAATTTTTTGAGAATTTTTTATACAGAATGAATACGTTGTTCTCTACAGACTGTTTTTTTTTTTCGAAAGCCCTCAAAGTTTATTTATTTGGGTCTGCCTCACTGAGAAACTTGTGAGAGATGGGAGGTCTCCATGGTCCCGCGGCCATTAAGAGGAAATCCTTGGCGCGACGCCAGCCAGTGCCATTTCCGGCCTTCTAAAGTAACTGAAAAGTGTACTTTTAGCATGAACTACCCGCTGTTCTTTTCATGTCAAAACTTATCGAAAGTCTTTTCAGAATTCCTTTGACGCTTCGAAATTGATTGTTAACATGAGAACGTTCTTTTAGCTTGCTACTAAAGTAATTATTCAGATTTTCGAAATCTGCTCCCTTCGAAAAAGAAGGTCCTTTTTTAATCTAAAAGCTTCGCTGTGCTGCAGAAAACTAAACTCTCTTATCGAATCTAAACATTTGTTTATTATTATGGGTTTTTGCAGCATCCGTAAGTTACGAAAGACCTCAATTTTGAGGTTTTAACTTTTTCACAGAAAGCTCGCGGTACTTGTGAAGATGAATGGTCGAGGCAACCTCAGAAACTTCTCGAAATCGAGAATATTATGCTTTTTTCTTTTCTTTTGCTTTTTATAAAACGTCATTGACATGAAATCAGGGAAACAACATTTCTCTTTTAAAAGCAGCATGAATATCATAAGCGAGCATCCTCACAAAGCCTTTGTTCCACTTGTTTTGCTTTTCCAACTCGATGAACTTCAACTTTGCAAAGAAAAATATCTTTCGAAGTGATTCACTTGACAAAAATTGGCCGAAAAATGTTTGTCATTTTTTGTTAACTTTCTTAATTTGAAGCTTGATGGAAAAGCTCACGCCATTACTTCATATGAATGTTTTTCCTTGAAGCGAGCCTCAGTAATTGAGCAGCTCGCACCTGTCTTTATTGACGCACCATAGGTATTATGAGTTCCTATCTAAAGGTAATCCCTATTCATTTCTTCGCTTTCATCCACTCAATTACGCCCATTTCAGATGTATATTCTCCTAAATCTTTCTTCAAATATGTTCGTTTGAGCATAATCTGAGAACCATTACGGGAACGGTAGTCAAGCCTATTTTTCGACTTTCATATCTTATCATCTACCACTTGTTTTTTGGTTCACTTCAAAGTTTCTTGGTGTTATTTTGCGATTTGATAAAAGCGATTGCCCAGGTGTTCACACGAAAGAAACTTGATTATTGTTTCCCAATTAACATTTTGGTTGCTTTGAAAATATCTACTTTTTAAACCTCAAAATGAGAGAGATTTCACTTTCTGATAAAAGCGGGTTTTTTTTTTCATTTTTACCTTTTTGTTTTCGTCACCCTCTCAGACTTCCTAACAATTTTACGCTTTCCGCCGCGCCATCGATATGAATATTTTGGTTGAATGGAAGAAGAAAGGCGGTCTCCATGGCAGCTGTCTGCTCCAGAAAAAAAACTCGCCAACCTAACGAAAAGTCAGCTTTTCAAGCGTGTTTCTAAGGAAAACTACAAAAAAAGCTGCTCTTTTTTGAAGCTTATGTTATTATTATCAATTTATAGCGGATTCACGGCTAGCTTTGAACGCAAAAAGGCGTGGCCTGTCTGCGCCCTCCACCGACCAGGCACTGTCTCTTTTCTTATCGTGTCAGGACCCTTTATTCGATGGCTCAAGCCAGCCGTGAATAAGATATTACTGTTTTTGCTGACTCTGTATCGGCGACGCTCTTACTTTTACGTAGTATTTTTTCATTAAAAGTGAAAGAAAAGAGAGGGAAGTATTTTTGAAATGAAAGAATGGAGTGTCGTTTTTAACTTTTTTTCAGCAAATTTTTTTTCGCAAATTATCGCCAATGAAAAATTTTTTTGATTTTTTTAAAAATTTCGTCACAATCTGAAACTGCAGTTTTAGAACAAAAAGAAGCCCTTCATTTTCATCCCTGAAACAAAAAAAAAACGCTTAAGAAAAATATCAGGTTTGATAAAAAGAAATAGTTGTCTCATTTCTTTTCTCTCATTTTATCGATGTTTCAATTTTGACATCGCATGGGCGCATGAATCGGTGAGGACTGTGCATTCAATTCCAACTTTAAAGACCACTCTACAATATTCACTTCAATCTCCAACTCGTTGATATTGAAAAGTTCTTTTTTTTTAATGGGGCTGTCCGGTCGCTGATTTTGTAGCTTCTGAGGCGTTCTCAACACTGGTCGGTCGGCGCTAGCTGATGGGTGGTCGTTTATTAAGTAAAGCTTAAAAATAGGGACTAAACAGCTACACGATAGGTCAGGTATAGTCCATCCGCCGCGACTTGACAGTTTTCGTGTGTCTGCGTCTCTCTGTTCGCTCATCGGCGAGGTAAGATAAACATGAAAACATCATTTCAAAATAAGAGAGTCGCCGAGAGACGAAGAGGGTGCAGAGAAGTCTCGCCCTTTCAAATCGAAAAACTGACTATGGGATAGCTAAAATATCCAAGGACCATCTCTATGGTACCCATTAGCTAATAACGACCAGATTAGACGATTGAGCTCAAATCAGCTATCCGGTGGCTACTTTTATATTTCTTCCGACCTAGGAAAACTTCTTTAGCTGTGTAAATTTGTGTTCAAAAGGAATAATAATTTCGGAGAAAAAGTTATCATAACGCCCTTTTTTTTACAAATTAGCCTAATCCGAAAGGCGCAGAACAAGTCAGCGCCTAAAAAATTTCAATTTTTTTCCCTCCTCGAACATATGTTTGTGGGAAAAGTTGAGAATGAGCGAGTTGTCTCTCGTTTCTTTTCTTTTGCTTTCTTTTAAATCAGTAGTAAGAATTTTACTCGTTTCCTTGGTAACTGTTAATTAATTGCAGTCGAAGCTTCTTCGCGAGGAAGTTGACTCCATATTTTCGCTTTATCGCCTGCTCATCGATATTTTATCATTCGAAAACAGACTTCCAAAAAGCAACTTTCTGTTTTTTGTCAATCTCCAAGAGTTCCGAGAACTGAATGACTCAAAATTCAAAAAAAAAATCAGTAGCTTTATAGTCTGTGTGCCAGGACTTGAAATTTCACGGAACGACATTCCGCTGTTCCGCTGCGTGTTTTCGCGAAGCTTCTTTCGAGTCTACACCACGCTTTCGATTGATTTTTATTGCTGTGGGAGCAAATGAGACACTAAGAATAACTGACGAGATAAACGCGAGGTCGGTGGCGGTACATTGACGAACTCGCAAACATCTCGCTTTTTTCTAGGCGCGATCTCGCATTTATCTTGCATTTCGGAAATTTTCAAAATGCAAGAGAAATGCGAGCTCGCGCCTAGAAAAGTGCGAGCTCGCGCCCAGAAAAATGCGAGACCGGCGCGAGAAAAAATGCGAGATGTTTGCGAGCTCATCAATGTACCGCCAGCGTTTCGCGTTTATCTCGGCAGTTATTCTTAGTGGAGTAGAGTACCTTGATAAAAGAAAAAAAAAAATTAAAAGCACGATTAAGATTCGAAAAGGCGCGCAGCGGCACAGCGGAATGTCGTTCCGTGAAATTTCAATTCGCGGCACACAGACTATAGTAGATATTATTTTCCCACAGCCTGCCAAATTCTCAGAAGAAATCGGAAAACCAACCAAAAAACAGGCCTACTTTTCCTTATGTATTTTGACGTCGTAGGTTGGAGAAAAATACGGTCCACCACAAGATTCAGGTGTTTAGAGCAAACAAGTACAATACTTTCTATTTTCGCCGCCCCAGGCATCGTTTACATTTCGATTTATCAGTCAGGTCGACAAACTTTGACATTTCGCTTCTTCTTTGAATCACGAGCCCGTTCAAGCTTCTGTTTTCTCTTTTTATTATAATAATAATTTATTAATTCATTTTGGTGAAATAATTTAGGAAATATTTTTTTTGAATTTATCGCCAATATACTGATACCGATTAGTTCTCATCCCATACATCAAATAGATCTTTTTAGGGCCCATAATAAGAATAATTTTACTTCATGATCCTAGATTATGTTTTATTCATCTTGGCTTTTCTCCAGACCTTTCTCAGAACCTCCACCGGACTTTTATTCTTTGCGGATCTGGTCAGTGACATTTGCAGATTAGATGGGATGGACATTGTGAAGACAATTATCCACCCACATCGAAATGAAACCGCCGAGAATGAGACGATACCGTATTCTGACATTTGGATCGCAAGTCAGTTACCTCCACTGAACTTTCAATATCGTGAAAATTCACAAAGTATTACAGACATGGATCCTTTGTATGCAATATTTCTGTCCATGTCCTGTATGTTCGTGACGGTAGTCTTCGCCTTGGCATGTGTCCATCTTTACTTTGTCCTCAAATACGTTTCCAACGAGCGCATCCAAACTGATCTCTACTACTTGGTTTTCATGTACCCGGTGAGTTTCTTCAGTTTTTCTTTCCAACCCTTCATTTCTACATGGACTCTTTTCTTCAGATCACAACTTTTTGCGGCCTCGTCGGCATGTTCATCCCACGCGCCGCTACATTCCTCTACGCCGTTGCTTTAGTGTGAGAAAAATTACCGTTTCCTAGCAACTTTTGATCTCCTACAGTTACTTCATGTTCTGCTTGTTTATAATGGTCACACTTCTATTCAACATCTTTGGGAGCAGGAAAGATATGAGCGCATTTTTATTGGAGCGGTGAGCGAGTGAGGCAAGGTTTTCGAGCAAAATTGTCATTTCAGGGGCATAAAGATCAGCTTCCAAGTGCCGCCCCTCTGCTGCTTCAAGTTTTTACCGAAGATTAGGAGCACGGAGTGAACTTTTGTTTATACTTTGAGAAATGCTTTCGACCCCGATTCGAAAAAGAAGGTCCCTTTTCTGATGTTTTGTTTCCAGCGAAAATTTGCGAAGAATCGAGTGGCTTGTCTTCCAGACACCAATCATCCGCACGTGTCTCGAGCTGACAAACGTCGTCGTTTTCATGGAATTGGGTCACCGCCGAAATTTGTGCGTTCAGAAAAAGACTGCTAAGATCTGGCAGTTCTCCTTAAAGAACATTGACTTTTGAACCCCATTTCACAGGGTTTACCTACAACACCTGCACATCAGCATACTGTGCTTTTGAAGGCTGTAATCAGTGTAGAGAATATCTATAATTGCGCTAATAGCCCAAAAAAGTTCCCAAATGGGCAAGGGAAGAATTTGTCTGCGTCGAGAAATGAATTCAAAAACAAGCAGAAGTCTAACTCTTCCTCTTTCAGATGGTTCGTTTTTTCTCAACTCGGTGGCCTCGTCTCCATGCTTCTCGCCTTTTATGGTTGCTACGTGATGATTCCACTTGGACGAGTGTGTTTTTTTTTTGTTTCGATATCAGAGATTTTTTTTAATTGAAATTTCTGTCCATTCAACGAGAAGCAAGAGTCCGCAAAACAGCATAAAACTCTCCCTGACCTCATAATTTCTCAGGAAAAACACGCCCCCTACCGTTTCGACTTTCTATTTCGGACAGTGGACATTGCTCAGTGCATCTATACGATCCAGAAGTTCTGCTTCGATTTTGCTGCGACATTTGAAATCGTCCAACCAGATCGGTTGTTCCCAGCAACGGCCAAGGCGCAATGTCAGCCTTTTCGCAAGAAGAAATCTGAAAACTCTGTTTAGGGTGGGCCTCGTTCATGCTCACTTGGGAGATGATGGTACTCTCGGCACTGACGACCTACTGCCTGAGGCCGACCAAGACGCTTCTCTTCGACAAGTACCCCGTCGTCGACTCCACCACCCGACATCGTCCATTCGACTCCACTGGTCCGTCTTTCCCAAAATACTCTCAATAATCGCCATTTACAGGTAGTTCAGAAACAATTTCGAGCACAGTTCAACCTAAAAGTTTTTCTGCGAGCAACGAAACTGGACAGTTCAACTCCATTTGAAGCGTCACATTCTGCAAATTCCTCACTTCTCTCGTTTTTTTTAGTCGCTATCCATCATATGTATACTTTTTTCCGGGTTCCAAGTTTAGAAGAAAAAACCGGTTTGCAAATATTCTCACTGGATCTGATAGATTTTACACGTCCTTTTTCAGACTTACTCGAGATCTTTTACTCACTTCCGTCAAATTAGAGTGGCTAAATTCTTTTCCATTTTCTTTGACTAGCTCGTGATAGATTCTTTTTCTTTCATCACTTCTGTCTTTTCACCTTACGGGCTTGATCCGCATAACCTAGACCAACCTACTAACTTTCTTGCGATGCACTATTACCGCTGTGATAGAAAATTACGCGTTCTTCCCATATCTCCAACTAATAAAATGATTCGCAGAGTTATTTTTTCGTTGTTAAGAAAATGAAAGATAATTAAAGCATTCAAGGATCCCTTCTATTGTGAAAGTTCGTGTCCATTCGTCGAGAAAAGAATAGTTTCGTTGAAGTGAGACCACAGTTCCGTCTGCAGAAAGAATGATACCAAGACCGTAGGCTACGGTTCACAGGCAAATAACAAGACATTTGATCGCGTTTCGCGAGAAACCCATTTATAGAAGCGTGGTCCGACCGCGCTGCTGACGTCGATGAACGTTGAAAGTTCGAAGAAGTCGGTGTCGTCCCTTGATTTATCGTCTTTGGTACGGCCGCGCTTCCCCTTCTTGATTTTACGATCTTCTATGCACACAATCGCGCTGATCTAGTTTCCTGTTTCTCTAGTTCAAAAATCGAAATACTTATTAAAACTAATTCCCTTTTTCGAGATGCTCCTAATAAATGGTGATAGCCACAGGAAAACTGGTGTGAATCATCTATATAATTCTCTCCTTCATATGAAATGAAGAGAATTGCTCTATCGGGAATTTCCGTTTGCACAGTCGACAAGTTGCACTTTCAGATTGAGCAATGGAATTAAATCAAATATAAATAGAAAACATTATTTAAATCCACTGCAGAGACGTCATAGGTGTTGAAAAATGAACGGAGCAAAAAATATCGTCAGCCTTTTCTTTTCATGGATCGTTGAATCAAAGGAAGCGCCAAAAAGTTCCACTAAAGAGATATTGCTCTTCTGGAGCAACCCAATCGACTTTGGGACATCTTACATTTTTTTCCTTGTAGTATAGAAATAATATCTTTTTTAGTTAAAAAAAATTTTTTTCTTAGTTAGAGTCATGAACTCAAAATCTTCTAATTTATTGCGCGAATTTTTTTTTTCAAAGTAACATTTTCAAGATGAGCAACCTGAAGCCGTAAATGATAATATTGCTGAAAAGGGGCGTCAGTCTGAACTTTTCCTTCCAAAATCGTAGCTAAATAGACATCTTTGCGCGTCTCGACGATGCGCCGAAGAATTGGTTGGGACTGAACTGCTGACGTCACAGTCCGGAGAACTTCCACGCGCCGACGGCTATTTCGAGACACTCGAGCTGTTGATTTATGACTCTTCCTTATAATCTCAGACCCCATACCGTATCGCTCTAATTCTTTCTTATTTTTTATTCTTTATTTGATGGTTTTTTAGCAGTTACTCGTTTATTCATATCGGATGGCAACGTTGATCTTTCTCTCGACTCAAACAAGAAATAGTGTACCTACTTTGGATTTTTTTTCTTTCAGTATTGACTCACATGGTTATCGTTTCAATTTCCAACAAATTACGTCACGTCCCACTTTACCAAATGAAGCACGCTTCAGTCGTCAGGACTTGCCTCTTTTTCAACCTATTCAATCAATCAAAATGTTTTATTTCTCACACAAAAGTACTAAATTTCACGAAATAGATGTAGGGAGAATTTGGGAACATATGTGTCGGAACTTGTGGTGATGGAGGGAAGAGGACTCGCGGTCGTGTTAACCCCCCCACTTGAGTAAATTGGAATAACCTTGAAATTATTCTTTTTAAATGTCGATTATGTAGCTTTCATATTTTTTTGTTGGATCAAGAGTGTTTAGTTCTGTAATGTTGTTTTTAAAACCATTTCTCAAGTTTAGATCTGAACTTATTTTTTTCATACTCAAATACTATGTTTCTATCCATATGATTCCAATGATTGAATACTCTTTGATTAATGAACCGGTAGTGTATGTCAGAAAGTAGAGGCCGCTCTATTTTGAGACCATTTCCTCGCAATTGATTCAATCTACTTGTTGTACCTTGTAAAGGGATTGGAGATGGGCACCAATAGTATCCGTAAATGAAATTGTGAGCAGCAGTTATGTCTTTCTTTAAACGTCTTTGCCAAAGGGTGTTTAGTCCAAGACTTTCCAAAATTCCAAAATAAAAGCTAGTTAAAACATTTTCAGAAAGCTTCTTCATTTAACAATCTTCTCGTATCTATCCAATGTTCTTTATCAGTTAGTTAACAGAATTCATTTTGAATTAAATCTCATTATTCTCAAACGATTGCTTTTGGGAATGAGCGATCCGAAGGAGACATATGACCAATCGCCCGGAAAGTGAGTCAATTTCTGAAAGATTTACGAGCCAATAATCGCCCCCACTATCGCGTTGATAAACTCGGCAAGACTGTTATGATTGGCGGTCCTCTGGGAGTCTTCGCTCTCTTTTCGACTTTTTTCGATGCTTTTTCGTTCTTTTGCCCTGTTTTTCATATGTCGCTGAAGGTTTTTTTTTGCAAATAACAAATTTGCCTATTGTTGGAAAATGACGTCATAGCATAAAAGTAGCTCTGCAAATAAATTCCTCTACTCTGGTTGTCAAAAAAAAAAATGGAATCGTGAGAAAAATAAAAAATCACCCTCATAAAAGTCCGATAATAAGATTTTTTAACAAATATAAAAAGAGACCTTATTTTTTTTCTCCAAATCGGAAAAGGGTTGCGGTATTTTCTTATAAATCTTCATCTTGACCACTTTCCTTTTTCCGTACTGAATAAGACTTTCTTCTTACTTCCACCTTTTGTGAACTAGAGCTTTTGAGCGAGGTTTTAAAACATTCATAAGAATGAAGTGGAACATTTCTCTCTCATTCGGTACCGTACCCAGTGGTTTGTTGCCTGCGAAAGAGAAGATTCCGTTTCCGCCGCGTTTGGTGTGATCAATCAAAATTATCCCGCACCCATCTTTTCTTCAGTCGACTTCTTTATTTTTAGCGTCGACTATTGAAGATTTTTCTCCAAACTTTTGTTTATATATTTATTCTTCTATCTTGTCAATGACCACTAGGGAAAAGATAAATAAAAGGATGTGGCCATAGTTTGATCTCGAATAATTAGCTTTGAATTTAAGGAAATCTAGTTTCTATTCTTCAAAGAATAAAACAGCGTTCCAGAGCTCAAAAAAAAGAAGTTATAACATGAGAAACTGCTTTTCGAAACTCCGCCCTTTTCTTTATCTGCGCTCCGCCTCTCACAACACGTTTATTTGTGTTACGTACCTACAAGATGCCTAAACCTTCTGTCTTATCAGTTTGGCCAATCACTTCTTGTCCTGCAGTACAAAAAGTCCGTGAGACGTTTGTTCCTTTGTCATCAGTCGTGGTGTTTTCTTCGAAAGGCACCAAACAACTGAAGAATTTTCCCAATGACCTTGCCTTTTATGCTAACCGCCTCAACCTTGCCTTTCGGACTCAAACTTTATTTTCATAGACGGAAACCCTAGTTTTACAGCTTCAACCACGACGTCCAAGCTCCAATGACGTCACTGCGCCGCGCGCTCGGCGCGTTGGCGATTATTTTCTTGCTTTCATCCGCTGTTAATTCATCGAAAGGTGCAGACATCGCGGTCTCAGTCTCCAATCGAGCTTTTGCTCATGCTTTCAAGGTAAAAACAGCGGATTCGTGTCCAAAACTGTAGATAACGATCTTCAGAGAGAACTCAAAGAGGCGAGGGACGCCATATTGCGTCACCGTCCGGAATCGCTGAACGACACGTACTTGACACTGGAAATCGTCGTCGACAACATACAGATCGTCGAACTCCACATGCCCCACTTGACCTACCAAGTGAGTCTGAAACTTGATTATTCTATTTTCGCGTTTTCGCTTGTTACACTTCCAAGCAAGCAAAAGCTTAGCGGGTTCTAGGTGACAGGACCAAAGGCGCTCGATGTGAAGATGGCAGGCGGAAGTGCCCGCGGAATCGGACTTTACTCGGCCGTTTACAAAACCAAACGTGAGGGACAGTTCGAAGTCGACCTTTCCGGCTTTTTGCTGACCCTTCCGCTAAGAAGTTCCACAGATGGAACATTGGTGAGGCTTGACTTCTAACCAAATTCCTCAAATAGTTAATACTCAAAAGTTCAAATTCCATCAGTCACAAGACGTTGCTATCACATTAAAACCCTAAGTCCTTAAGGCACCCTTATCTAAAGAATGCATCTACGTTTGTTGATGATATTTCAAAAAATTTGCGACGGATATTAATTTTATATTCAGAGTGTCTCCGACGGATGCTCATTGGAGATCGATGAAGTCAACGTCGTCATGACTCCAGCGATTCCCGATCCTATTACGGAAAAACTCCGGTCGCGAGTCATCAAAAACGTGGAAGAAACCTCCTGTCGTCAGGCCAGAGCATTTGTATCACGTCTTTCGAAACGATACAAAGAAACTGTCAAATTCACAGACATCACTGAGGTTGGTGTTCCGACTTCCTATATTCTCTCACCACCAGTTACGTAGGGTTCGAGTCCGCCAGCCTTCGGAATATCCCTCTTCCTTGAAGATGGTCTCCACACGACTTCCAACGCTGAAGACAGTTCCCTCGATGAAAACAACGAGCACAGCATCGTAAGACTCCAGCCCATTTCTGTCAGTATATATTACATTCTCAGAGCGAGACCGTCGAAGTGAAGATTGACGAAGCCACAATAGCGGCTGAACTCGAGAAGCTCTACACGGCGGCCAACACAAACTTCCACTGGCACGTTCTACCCGAACTCGACGACTTGACCAAAGGCTGCAGCGGGCAAGTGGAATGCCTTGGACTTCTAGAAGGTGAGCCACAAAAAAAACGTATCAAAAAAAAAGTGGTTGGCGCAAAATAGCGCCGAAAACACACAATGATCCATCATCGTCACCCACTTCTTTACAGGACAGCTCGTTTCGGAACTTCGTCAAGCCCCGTCCGTGAAGTTCAGCGAAGGCATAGCCCACGTGACATTGCCTCTCACGACGACTTTGACGCATGGGTCGAGAAATTTGTTCGCTGTGGACACCGACGTCGAGCTGGCCGTTGACAAGTTCTTTTTGCATTCGCCGGAAGACGGACGAGTTGATTGGTCTGCACGATATAGCTTGGTGGAGGCTAAGGTGAGCATTGCTTTCTTCATAGAACACCCGCATTAGTTCTCCAGCAGTTTTTTTTTCGCGAAAATAGTTTTAAAAAAGGTTGAAGTTTCAATTTGAAGGTTACACGGGTGTTTGCTTCACGGAGGATGCACTGGCTGGCAGAAACTATCGACGCCTTGCTAGTCAACAACAAAGTCAACATAGAGGTGGGTATTTCTGTGAAGCGATGTGACTTTAACACCGTGTTTCAGGACATCCTCAACAAGTACCTTCGTGGAAGTCTTCCAGTCGAAGTACGCGACGTGACTTGGCGTCCAACTGTCGCTCGTTTCAGTCGAGGCGCTGTCGCGTTTCATCTGCTGCCTCACTTTTCCCCTCCCCTTCACTTGCTCTCATGGAATCACTAATATTTTTCACCTTTTTTTGAAGAAATTTGGAATCCCCCCGTTTTTCAAACTAATTATTACTCAATTTTATTATTTGTTCTCTTTTCTGTCAATATATGTGCTTTACTATTACCTAGAATCCTTCATATGAGCCATCCAGTTCAAAATCACGTCTCTTCAACTAAAAATCATGTTCATCGATCTCAGCCTTTGCATCGATCTCTCAAAAACAACAATATCCAAAGAATAAATGTTGAGTTATTCATAAAACGTCGAAAATCGATTCAAACATAAAACATTCGATTTTTAATTTTGTTTGAAAAAAAATTTTGAAATTTGTACAGGTTAGGTTCGAAAAGACCTCTGAACGATTGGAGATAAGAAAGTTCTAAAATAATATCGAGCTCTGAAGAAGAAAAAAACAGACGCCTATCCACTATTTAAACTGAAACCTGAAGCATAAGAACACAAAAATTTCTTCTAAAGGGAATTTTTCTACTTCATAGAATTATGATCTAAAGAGATTCAATCCAGATCAGGGGGAAACAAAGTGCCTATGCAGTAAAACCAGCAGTGGTGTCCTTGTACTTGAGCGATTCCATGATTTCTTGAGCTCTCTCTGCAAACTTCTTCGCTTTATCCAAGTCTTTTGGAACTCCGTCGCCCAATTTGTACATCCTGAAAAGTTGGGTTGTCTCATCTGACAAGAAAAGTCGTTCTACTTGGAACTTCAGAAATTAATAAAGGAAAAGACTGTTCAATTTTCTGAATGAGAGATCAGGGGAATTCATTCCTAGGAGATTTTATCTCTAGAAGGCCGCTATTCTCGAAGATGCAAAAAATGAAACATTGAAGATTCACACTAAGAATAACTGCCGAGATAAACGCGAGACGCTGGCGGTACATTGACGAGCTCGCAAACATCTCGCTTTTTTTCTCGCGCCGGTCTCGCATTTTTCTGCGCGCGAGCTAGTACTTTTCTAGGCGCGAGCTCGCATTTCTCTCGCAATTTGAAAATTTCCGAAATGCAAGATAAATGCGAGGTCGCGCCGAGAAGAATGCGAGCTCGCGCCCAGAAAAATGCGAGATCGCGCCTAAAAAAAAGCGAGATGTTTGCGAGTTCGTCAATGTACCGCCACCGACCTCGCGTTCATCTCGTCAGTTATTCTTAGTGTCAGTTATCGAGAACCAGGCAGTTTTTCAAGCTTTCGTTCTCAAAAAATAATAAAATTTTGAAAAATTTCGGAGCCGACTGTCAAAGTTTTAAAAAAATTGAGCTGAATGTCACTTCAAAAACTTTACATTTTTTGTCAACCTCTTGAACCCTCTTCCTGTTAGACGATAAAGTTCTGAAAGATGGCCTCGACTAATCAAAAAAGTGGTCATATGTTTTTTCTTCCAAAAAAAAAGATAAAAGCCTTGATAAGGGATTAGAAGGAGAACGTGACCAAAAACAAGGAAATTTTGCAGACCTATGTTGTTTATTTGTTTTGAATCAACTGACGCGGTTGCAAAAGTTGTAAAAAAAAAACACGAATGATTTGAGAGAATGCAAAAGATTGCAAACGAAAAAGACCCCGGAGCGGTACACATGGACTCTCCCACCTCGAAACGTTGGCACAGCTCTGAGGAACGTCGAATTCGCACGCCCGGATGGCGTACTCCAGGGACTTCTCCATATTTCGAGGCAAAGATCCCAGTGACGTCCGATCGAGTTCCTGGAGGTCGCAACTTCAACTTCTCATGTTTACAAAGATAACCAAACTGAACCTGTGGATTTTTCGCAGGAAAATAATACTGAAAAAAATCTGAGGTTCATCAAAAGCATTATATATCATAACAATGTTTACGTGGCTCCAACTACAAGTTATAACATTCGCTCGAAGTTTTAACTTTGTAGGTTTTAAATTATTTCTTTTCGATTAGCAAGTGCCAAATTTTTTTTCATCTGACGTGACTTTTCATCCTGGAACAAAACTCTAATAACTTCAAGCATCTCTTTCGAAAAAACCGAAAACATCAAACTATTTCAATAATTTTTAAAGCGAGATTTTAGTAAAAATGATGTTTTCTCCATCAAATGAACCACAGCCAAAAAATAAATTGAGTAACTGATTGCCTTTTTAAAAGAAGAAAAAAACCTTCGCTTCGCCTTGGACAGTCGTTTTGAATTTCTCCTTGTTTCCCATGTACCAGGTGCTGAGAAGCCAACATGCTTCGCCGTCCTCCAGATCACACGCTCTAAACGTGATTGATTTCAGAGGAGCAACAGAAAACCAAAGAATTTCCATGGAATCAGAAGCAATCCTCACTTTTTCATGTATTTCTCCGCGAGGTCGGACTCCGCTGGTCGATCTTTTTCGCCATTCCAATACACCAAAGACAAATATCTCGAAAGTCAAGAATCAACTTTTTTGAGCCGATAATCCACTCACCGACACCCTTGTCGAATATCCGCGTCGCACGCGATTTTCATTGGCGCCAGCATTTTCTTCAAACTTGGCGTGCACTCTGGAATCGTATTTGAGTGCACAAGGAAGATAAGTTATTATCAATTGAAGCAAGACTTCTGTGGTGGAGTTCAAAGTAGAAGGAGTGGAAAGACAGAAGAAGATCCCTTGAACGGTGTATCGTGGACAGTCTTCACGAGTTTTTCGGAACTAATTCTCTTCCCTTCAAAAACTTTGAAAAAGCTACCGATCTTTTTCATTAGAACTTCATAATATTTCTTCCAATGAGCTTCTTTTTCGTTTCACTTTTTGAACATCCAGTTCAATTTGCGACCAAACCTTTTCCAGCAAGCAGATACATCCCATACTTGAAACAGCTTTTGGGGTACTGGCGCTCCTCGCAGTTCTTTTTGAAAATAGCCAAGGCTGAAGCAAAGTTCTGCTGCAGGGCCTCCATATACTCCCCTAACAGCTGACATGATTCAGGTCGTTTTTCCTACAACTGAGAGAAAAAGCAATAAAAATAGGTTAGGAGTTCACCTCGTAACATCCAAATCTGTACTCAATTCCAATATTTTTCACATACTCCGCCCTTTCGGCTTGTTCTCGTTCAACGTCTTCTTTGGCGATTATAGTTGACATCCCCTCAATTGAATTTATCCTTTTTTTTTTTAAATTTTCCTTATTTCCAGATTTTTGATATGGATGAATCCAATAAAACAGTGATGAGCAGCACAGTGTGAAAGTAAACACGTTTACTCAATTTGATGTATTCGAGAATGAGTTCACAATCAATAACTAGCCAAAAGGCAGGCTGTATTTAAATTTCAGGCAAAATAAATATTCACTTTAAACAGAGAAAGGAAATAAAACTTGTGATTGCCAAAAACCACAAACTGGCGTTACCGAGGATGAGAGGTAACCGCTTCGAAAAATCCCATCGACCAGTAAAATAACGTTCACCGCGGGAATAAGAAAATAAAATGAACAAGAAACACGTAGGGTAATTTCATTGAAAAAAACGGGTAATGCAATTACATCTTGATCATCCGGCATGGCTTATAAATATGAATCAAGCGGTAAAAAAAGCAAGAGTTATAAGTAAAAAAATTTAGAACCGAAATTTTTTTATTATGGTTAGGCCGATGCTTATTCTTCCATGTCGTCCTGAAATATTTTCAAATATTTTCTTCGATTGATTTCTTGAAAATGAAAAAGTACAAAAGAAAACCGAAGACCTACCCCCATGTTGCTCAAAATGAAGTCTACAGCAGCTTCCTCGTTCTTATCACACGCCAAATAAGCCTGAAATTACATTGTTCAGAATGAAACAAATAAAAAATATAGACTTCGACAATAACTCTCTCGGGAACTTGGAATCCCATGGACTTGATGCGATTCACAGCTTCCAGCTCCTCAGGAGTGAGTTCAATAACGACACGCTGAGCTCCTGGAGGAGCTCCCCCGGCTCCTCCAGCTCCTGCTGCAGCCTGACCACCAGAGCGTCTCTGTAAAGATTTAGAACTTGAAAATCGTCATCGAAAAAATGAGAATGAAAACCTGGATGGGTGCATTGAGCAAGTCAATGAAGGCCTGTTGGTTACCCTGGATTGCCTGGACAAGACGAGGATTCATCACAGCCATTTGCTGAGAAGAAAAATGTATATTACAGTGTGGGATGTTCAAAAAACAATTATTTTTTTATTTTTTTATCGATTGGAGTAAATTTTTGAAATAATTTTTTTAGAAATGCAAAAAAATACGATCGGAGGATGAAAAAGATCGTTTAACAGTAATACTGATTCTCTTAAATAGTGAGCTTCTCCACAGATTCAACGACAATTACACGTTTTCAAAATCTTTTTTTTTTGACGCTTTTTAGATCAGCTTCTGATCAGCTCAGATTCCTATAATCATAACTTGAAGACTGAAACAGAAAAAGGTAGGCAAACCCAGAGCCTACTTTTTTTTTCATAAACATACCTGCAAGATCGTAGCGAGCATCTCAGGGTTTTGTTGAACCAAAGCTCGCAAATCGTTCAATTGTGGCAAGTTTTCGAGCATCGCGAAGTTCTCAGGAGCGTTGGCTGACAAGTTCTCTTAAAGAGATAATTTCGATTTTATAATGATTGCCTTCAAGTTTTTTTTTTCGATTTCCTAACTTTTTTCTCTGAAGATAAGAAAGAAAATACGGCTCAACTCCCGAAGTCATTTTATGATACTGATCAAATTTAAGAGCAGATTTGGCTATTAACCACTGCTCGAATTTTCATTGTTTTCATGCATATTAATCATGTTGAAATTTTACAGTAAAAGCCAATGAAAATTTTCCTGCCTGACCCTTTTACATTTGCTTTTTCTTCTCCATATAGCTCATTTTTTTAATAAAAACTTTAGAATTCTCTATTTTCTTTTCTTTGTTGTAAAACAATTTAAGTCTTGAGGGCATATTCAAGAAAGCGGCAAAAGGTTCACCAAAAGTTTCGAATCGCCTAAAATCGCAAAATATTTTTTGAATCGCTTACACCAAAGGTTCTCACGAAATTTCTTCAAAAAAGCGGCTTATTTGATTTTAACAATACGATTTTGAGCCAATTAAAAATACACATATGTGAACTGTTCACGTTTCTACGACCTCTGGTTGGTTCTGTAAACATACTGCTTCTGTGTGAAAGTAATATATCAGCTTCTGCGAAGCTCACCTTCTTCGTCTTCTTCCGCAGCGCCGCCATGTTCACCTTCTACGTCAGCAGGAAGACCTGTGATCAAAAACTCGACAGCTCGATCTGGATTCCAATATGCAGCTCTCAATGCCGCAATTACCTGTTTTTTAATATGGAGAACGAGGAATATTTTTTAAATTACCTGGCTACGAGGATATCCCATCGAACTAACAGCCTCGATCATACCTTCTTGTTCCACAGAAAAACCTGCAAAGAAAAAATAAGCCAAGAAAAAACTTGGTATAAACCTGAATCCACAGAAGGTGGTGGATGAGATGGGATATTTTGTACCACTTGAGGAGCAGTTTGAACAGCTGAAGCAGCGGAAGTAGCTGAGGGAGTTTGAGCTGATGCGGAGTCAGATGAAGCGACTGGAGCGACCAAAGGCTCTTCCTTTTTCACTGCTGGCTTCTGAAAACGCAAACAGAAAGTCAACTTTCATGATCTTGAGAAAAACACAAAATAGTTATCTATTTTTTTATTTTATCTCACCTATGGAAAAATAAACTCAAGAATTTACCTCAAACTCTGAAAATCATCTCATTGTCAATTAACAATGTACTAACCTGATTATATAAGTAAAGTAAGAAGGAAAACTAACCCTTCCAAGCATTACAACAACAAACTTGTTAGGCTCGAACCCGACTTCACTGACCTTCGTTCCATCTTCGAGGATCTACAAAAACCGCTTTTCATAAACCTCAACTACAGTTGTACCTTTCCGTTGTAAATAAGTTTCTGCAAGCTCGTTTCGTAATCTTCGCCACGCGTAGAGAAAATCTTGGCTTTCATATCCGCAACCTTGAAAAATTCGAAATATTAATATTAGAAAATTTTTTTTCGAATTCAAAAAAACACCTAACCTTTTTTTCTACAATGTTTCAATGAGAATTATCGTAAAGAACGTGCTAAACGTGTTTTAAAATTTCATTTCTCTTCTATTTTCATAATTTCAAAGTCGAAATAATGTGCACTAAAAATAAAACAAACCGTGTCGGTTTCTTCCAAATCGAGAGTGAAGCTCGCTTGCGTCAAAGTTTTGAAAGAGACGGAAATCGTCATCCTCTGAAATTGAATAAATAGCACTTTTAAACAAATCTCTAACCAATATGTGTACTCTCCGATATTAAAGAAAATAAAAAACTGTCGTATAATCACTGGTACATCGGCCCACAAAAAAAGCTAACGGAGTGCTCTTTCAAATCCTGTCGGAATTTGCAAACGGTCAATCAAAAAATAGCATTCAGAGGCTAACTTTCTGGCATTTCAATACTCTTTTTTTGTGTGCATTCCGATACTATCCCTATGCCATCTGGATTTGATAGTGCTGAGGAAGCTTTAGGAGTACGCTGCCGAAGTGCACTCCAATAGCTATCCCACCACGTATCATGTTTATTGACTGATGGAGTGAACACCTCGACTAACCTTAGATTACAAGACAAGTCGTAAAATGAAAGAGCAAATGATTGAGAAATTCGAAATTCAAAATCAATATTCAATTTAATATCTTGAATTTAGAGTTCGATTGAGACGGATAATATAGAACTCAAAATACTTGATTTGTGAGTGAGAAAAACTTGAATCAGAGATATTCCCCGAAAAATAGAAAATTGAAATTGAAATGAAAATACTGATGATTTTGCCGCCGGCGCCTCAAACTAAAGGCGCAAATGATTGTAGATATGAATGGTCTCGCAGCGCCAACGTTTTGCCGGGAATTCAAAATGTCAAGATTTTAAAAATTCATTTTTCTTTCTTTTGAGTTGTATATACGTGCCGTATTCAGAGTTATTCCGCAAAGTTCGAAACAGCCGTCCGAGAGTGAAATATATCAAAAAAAAAATCTTGGATAGTAGAAAATATTTTTGACTTCGCAGAAATTACTTTACCCGCGGCAAAAGTATTTCACTCTCAGAAAATTATTTCATTTCCACAGTAGTTCGCTTTTTTCAGTTGTAGTTCATCTATAGCGGGCGAAAAAATTTCTTAATTTGTTTTTTTGCCAACTGGCCTTGCTAAACTCTTCCAATAACGGGTAATAAAGTTTGAACAATCGGAAAATCCCCAATTTAAATTTAAAGCTCTCTTCTCAATTTTTATTCACCGTTTCATTGCATGATGATCATAAATTTACGAGAAAATGTGATTGCACGAACAAAGTCCAAAAAGTCTCAAAAAGGACTTTTGGAAAAGAGGCCTCAAATTTCTGAAGTCTAAAAAAAATAAGAGGATGGAAAAAGAGAGATTCCGAGAAAATTTTGACACCTTTTTAGGAACTCAAAAAGGAGCTTTAGGAACTCAAAAGGAGCTCTCTTCTTTTTAAGGCCTTTTTAAGGTCGATTGGATTTTGCCTTTGTGAAAAAAAAAACTTCTTGTCAACTTTTGTTCGCATGCTTTTTTGACTTCATAACTTCCGTTTCGGGTTGTGTGTTAAATTTTACCACGAGCAAAATTTAACATTTTAGTTTTTTTCTTGTGAACTCTTAGACCTTTGCAATTGCCCATGACTAAGAAAGTACGATGCCATTAACATAAATTTTTGAGTATTTTTGATAATATTTTAAAGATTATGCTTCTGAATTTAAGGCGCAACATCATCAAATGACGATTTTTGGGATTTTAGAATGTGTTTTTTGCATTTATAAAAATTTTCAAAACATGCATGGTTAAAAAAAAATTACAAACTTGCGCGATTTAATAATCAATACGAGATGGAGAGTTTTCTATCGGAAAATAAATCTTTTTTCTTGCTCAGCATGGAATTTCATTGCTTCATGTTGGACTGTGCTTCAGAATAAACGCATTCGTTTTTAAAAAAAAAACTGAAGGAGTCCCTTGTGTCTTTTGTGTCTACAGGAGCGTATTTTCTCATTTGTCATCCCTGCATTCTTTCTCAATACTTTTCCTTCTTCTTCGGGCTGTCGGTTTTTTTTTTCAGATAAAAACGTTAAAATCTTGATCACGAGTATATTATTTGAGATGGCGGCCCTTCAAAAAGCGCATAAAGAATTGTTGGATTATTGGGCGAAGGAGCCTCGCGATATTCCTAAAATAGAAAAGGCTATCGCCGATATTTCCGTGAGTTTTTTTTTGATTTGGATTTGCAATTATTCATTTATTTGTTTTTGTAGAACGTTCTTGGCACTGCTGCTCCAACTGGTGATCAATTTTTCCTTGTTGTTTCAAAGTTCGTTTCCATTTGTTGTTGAGAAGATTTTTTTTGATTAAAGAGATCTGCATGAAATCTCCGCTCTTCTCGCTGTTATCAAGAATAATATGGATGTTTTCGACGATGCTATTACTCAGGTTTTCCGATGATTTTTTCAATAGATTTATGCTCTTTTCAGGTGATGACCTTTTACGAAATGGCTCCAAATCATGCAGAGCACAAGTATTTGATGATTGGTTTGCATTTGATGTACCTTCTTGCTAATAACAGACTCTCCGACTTTCATATGGTCATTTTTCCATTAGCGTAAAGGATAGTTTTTTTTTTCATTTCAGTTGCTCGAGCAAGTGCCTCATAAAGAACAAGTTTCTAACGCGTATATCTCGACTCCGGTTCGACTTGAGCAGTCACTAATGGAAGGAGCGTACAACAAGGTTTGTACTTCTTTTTTTTTCTCGATTTCTGTTTGTGGATGGAAAATTTGAGTTTAAATATTTTCTTGAATGGATAGAGTAAGCTTTTTTTACAAATAATGTCAATTTCCATAAAATTATCTTTTTAGATAAATTTTTTTCAAATCGATGTTATGAGCCGCCGATATTCGCGTTTAGTAATTATAAAATTAATATGTAGTTTGAAAAAAATAAAAATAAAGCGGAACTTGATAATTTTTTTCTACTCAACGAGATTATAAAACTATTATATTTCTTCTGATTATATTCTGTTGATACTGAAAGTAATTTATTTTCACAATTATCAGAGATTTTTGGTTTCTGTTTTTAAATGCGGTATGAAACGGTTGATGTTTCATGAACTTTTATCTTTTAAAAAGAAGACCACTCTTTTAGAAATAACTTTTTCGAAGAAGAAGATCAGGTTTCTATTCAAATATTGTACATAAGTAAAAGATCTTTTCGACCTTTTTAACCGTTTTTTTAGATCCTCTGACTTTGTCTGGAAGTTTTGATTTGTTCGGCATAGGTCCACTTTAAAATGCTTTTTCCTGCTCAGGTTGTTCTGACGGAGAAAAACATCCCCTGCCCTTACTACTCCATCTTCATTCGGACGATGGTGGACACGGTGCGGCGTGATATCGCCACCTCTATCGAAAAATCCTTCAAAGTTCTGACGGCTCGCGATGCCGCCACCATGCTTCTCTTCGATTCTGAGGCACAGCTCCAGGACTTTGCGAAACAGGTTGACTCAAAAATTGAATTTTTCATTTTTAAACCAGATGGCCGAATACATCAAACAATTCAAAATAGCTGTTTTCTTATTCATAACTACTCTTTCAACCGGCTTATTTCTAATTCCCTTATCAAATTGAAGTCTATATTGAAAAGTTCCGTGAGGACGATTTTAGAATAGAATTTTTTTTTGATTTCAGAGAAGTTGCTATTTCACACTTAATGCATTTACTGGCAAGATCTCGAATTTTATGATGTTGAAAATTTTTCAGCGCAATTGGAAGCTACAAGGTTCGAGCTTTTTGTTCGAAGCTGAGGTGCCGATGGTGCAGGACAATCTGCAGCCACTCGACACTACGAGAATCGCCACTCACACAATATTTTATGCAAAGCAACTTGAGCAAATCGTCTAAATGTGGTCTGCTTTCCATTTCCCTTAGTTTCCCTCTCGTTCAAGATCTTTTTTTTAAATTTCATTCATACGGAATCTTGTAGTACTTCGTTCGACCTGTGTAAAAATGAAAAATTTTGGAGCTTATTGAAGTCTGTCTTTTAAAACGATTCGATGCGTTACTGAGCTCGGTTAAGCTGAGAAAAATCCATCAGTTGTCTGTGATGTTTCTTTTTCTTATACATTGAAAAGTTTATTTTCACATGAGGGTAGAGCGGATGGGACACGGAATAAATTAACAACGCCTATCAATATGATATACAGATGTTTTCTTCCCGTCGGGATTTTCTGTTTTATTTTTTTTTCTGACAAAACCATTTACACAAACATGTTGGTTGACTTTTCAAGCTAATCAAAAAATTCTAGATACCGAATCAAAATATGTACAGAGTGATGAGTTTGGCGTGAATGTAAAGCGTTAGCTTTGTGTGACGAGTTGTGATAATAGATTAGGTTGAAGAGTAGGCGTTTCCGTTTTTTTTCTCATTGAGTGGGGATCGGATAAGCAGCTGTTGGTAGGGGATGATTTACCAGACGACGCAGCGTTGAGTTGGATTCATCGGGGAGCCCGCAGGACACTTGAACGCCTCGGCGAACTCTGGCTGATTAGACAGAACCACGTTCACCCTGAAAAAAATTTTTATAAGAGGATATCCAAGGAGAAAAGCAATAAGTGAAATCTCTGGAATAATTGGCGCTTGTTTTGAGCTGTCAAAATGGTCACCTTGCGGTTTCAGGTGAGTGGGGATCAGTGAGAAGCAACAGTTGTTTGGTTTCCACTGTCTTGGAGCCGCACCAAACCTAAAAAACTATCTAGAAACGACTTCACAACTCAGATACCTGGGCGTATCCCAAGAAGAAGAGTTGTTCGTTTGTAACGTTTTCTAGACCTGGAAGACGCGCTTCTGCGCCATGCTTCTCCAAGTACCTCTTGTAGGCCTGTAAGTGATTGTAGCTATAAATTACAAAAAAATGGTCCCACCTTGAAAGCCTGCTTGACTCCGCCATTGTCTGCGATGTTCTCGCCCTGAGTGAGTTTGCCGTTGATGCTCAAGCCAGTACCTGCGATCTGCAGAAGAAAAATGGATGAGGGCCCGAGAATAAGGCAAAGTCACCTCGACGCTCTGGTATTGATCGATGATGCACTGAGCGCGTTCGGTGAACTTGGTGGTAGTGGTGTTGTCCCACCAGTCGCGAAGGTTTCCGATCTGGTCAAACTGTCGGCCAGTGTCGTCGAAGCCATGTGTGATCTCGTGACCGATGACCGCACCGATGCTTCCGTAGTTGAGAGCTCTGGACTTGTTCCAGGTTGATGGCGGTATTAGTATGTTGTAACTCACTTCGGGAACGAAGCGTCGAAGAATGGTGGCTGGAGAATGGCCGCAGGAAAAGCAATGGCATTTTTTGTTGGCGAATAGAAGGCGTTAACAGTGGCGGCGGAGGTGACGAATTCGTCGCGATCGACAGGCTCCAGAAGCCGGCGGTAAACAAAGTCGCTACGCCAACGCGTCGTCTTCTCGTTCAACGAGCTGTACGACTCGCCTTCCACGCCATCCAGCTGAAAGGCGTTATTTTCGCTTATCTCGAAACTCCAACCAGAAAATGACCATAATAGGGCTTTTTTGGGTTTGTCCATACTAAGTCGTTTTGTAGCTGCATTCGAGCTCCTTTTGCAAACATTTGGTGTAAGTTCTACATAAAATCTCTACATAATTCTTCATTGAATGTCCCACTAAATGTCTTATGAACTTCTTTGATACTCATTTATTCTCCGATAGGCAGTTTCAGCTTTTTTTTTTGAATAAAACCTTTAAAAAGTTGAAAGTTTCAGATTAAACAGTTTTAATCTTTTGAATCGTGATTGGTGTAAGAGTTTGTTCGAACGCTTCAAGATATTTTTGTCAACTTACCCCTTTGTACCAATTGTCAAGGCGCTCGTCATTCATGATGAAGTCGGGGTATCCGATTTGCTTGATCATTTCTTCGGCCTTCAGAAGGGCATACTGGAAGAAAAGAGAAGGTTCCTAGCTGACTTTATGTGCCAAACCTTTTTAGTCTCGCCGTCCATCCAGTCGTTGGCATGCATCATAATCTTGAAGGCCTCTTGGATGTCTGATATCATGTCCAAGGTGCTTGTTCGAGCTTCTTTGTTGAAGAATTTCCGAACGTACATGGCGCCACTGGCGTAGCCAAGTCTGCCTCCTGCTGCTCCAACACACTCCTTCCACTTGGGTTGCCTTTGCTTGCGGCCATACATCTCAAACGCAAAGTCCTGAAATCATCTCTTGTATACCTTCCAAGGACTCCGAGTCACCTGTTGCAAGTCCTCGTACTTAGTTCCGATCTCGTTCATCCACTGCGCCGCGTAACGGAGCATGACGTAGTTGGCGATGATTCTTGGTTCCGTCTCTTGTAACAACTTTGTCATGCTGCAAAGCCGATTAGAGATGTTTAAGATGAGAAAAGGACCAGGAGAGAATAATTCAAATGTTTTATGATTTAAGTAAAACCATTTTTTATGAATCTATTTGATATTTTTTTTCAGATTAGAAAAGTTATCTTGAAGAGCCGGATCTACAATTTTTATTAGAATAACTGGGCTTTCAACTTTCCTCCATAAAAATTCTGCCTTTTTTTAAATTTTTCGTCAGTACAGTTCACATTCTTGTGGCTTCCATTCAAAAAAATGATATGAGAAAACCTTTTGAGGTATTTGACATCAGAGACAATGATCTCTGGGTTGGACTTGACGTAGTGATGAATTGAGAATGGCGTAGTAGAGAGAAATAGACGGTCCCAGTCCAGCTAAAAAGTATTTTTTTCTCTTGTCTACGAGTTGAAATTTGAGAGTTGAAGTGTTATGAAAGACTGACGATTGGTACGAGTTCCTTGATGTCGTTGAGGTGCATGAGGTTATACATGGCGGTGAAATTTCTTCGGTCCTCTTCGGCAACGAGAACGTTGGCCCACCGCGTCTCGAAGTCGATGATCTCGTCGACGTCGGAAGCAATCTTGGTCTCATTGACGGACAGGCCGGCGTCCTGTGTATAGTATCGCACCTCGAAGATAATCATCTTTATTTTGTCCAAGACTTCGAGAAAACCTTTCCGATGGTATATTTGCGATAGGCCTTGAGTTGCTTGGAGTACTTCTTATTGTCCAAATAATAATCCCGAGTGGAGTATCCCAAACCCAAAGATCCCTGGTCGAACTGTAATAACAAAAAAAATTAATTGCAAAGTTCGTAGTTAATGTCAGCAAACGAAGAAAATATTTTCAAAGTACCTCGTGATGGCCTAATTCTAATTTGATTTGCGCTCACAATGTTCTCTTTCCTGGTCTTTGAGACTAAAATACTTGTTTTCCTCAAAGAGATCATTGAAATTCTTAAAAACTTGTACAGAAAAATATTCTTATTCGAAAAAAAGATGTAATGTTTTTTTTGACGAGTTTTGAAATTCCACCAATCCATTTCCCTCACTTCTACATTTTTGAGTGGAACTTGCATTAATGAGGCGCCGAGAGACGTCACGAGAGTCCTCAGATGGTCCCCAGTCGAAGAAGACAGAGACGTCTCGTGAGTTGATCGTGTTGATTAACAGCTTGGTCAAGTCAAACTCACGGGAGTGCCATTCCTCGTTGTGAACCATTGGCCAGAATCCGAAGGTCTGTAAAGAAAAAGCTCACACACGACAGAAGTCAACAAACCTTGATTTTCTCGAGCATCTCACGGGCGCCGACTGAGTCGTGACGCTCGATGTCAGCACAGGCACGGTAAATCTGCTTGACGAGTCCGATCGATTTGGACCGTGGAATCGACGGCTCTTCATACAGTTCTGCAGAACGGCTCTCTGCCAAGGTGGTGCTAAGAGATCCTTACCTCGCATCTCGGCCAACACCTTCTCACGTGCTGCCGTGAACTGACTGTACGAAGTGAGGTCGTCTGGAATAGGGTTAGCCGCTACCCAGCTGCTGCAGGCGTACTGATAGAAGTCGTCGCAAGGATCCAGCTAAAACCACTCTGTCACAAAATCCATGCACAATGAACGAACCGATGTGTTCATGGCAGACTTCAACAGGGCCGCTGCCTTCTCGAAGCCTGGCGTCCGACTGACGTCAGGCTTCACAGTGGCCGCATCGTTGACGAACGGCACTCGCGGCTTGGCCGTCGCTGAGCCTACCAGAAGAACGGCGGCGGTCGTAGCTACGACGACTCCCCACATCCGTTTGATGGTTACCCTGTCAACAAAGTATCCTATTGGAAGGTCTTTTGATAGTATTCAGGCGATTCGAAAATTTTTTTTGCAAAGTTATATTTACGATGAGAGAGAACAATAATTAAAATTCGCAGAAAGCAGTTGGGAAAAGGAAAACATGTATGATCAAAAAAAGTCGGAACCTTACGATTCTTCAGAGTTTATGAACCAACCTATTTGGCCATGTAACTCCGATGAACAAGGTGATTAAAAATGCCCCCGCAGTTTTGACACGAATTTAAGAAACGTGTGACGCCAATTTCTTTTTAATTATGTACAGCAGGATTTTTGAAACAAATTGCTCCGTGGAGGACGGAAACACGCAACCCTTTCTGCTTTTTGCAATTATTTTCGAAAACGTGAGACATCGCTGTACATCGTGAAGTTTTTGAAATTACTGATTAGTTTCACAGATAGCTAGTTTGAAAAGGAAAAAAACGAGAAAGGGTAGCCGAAGAGCAGCCACGAGTTCGAACTCTAGTTTTTAAACGTTTTCCAGACCAGCTTAGTCATATTTAATTTATCGCATATCTTTACAATTTCGCGGGAGGTTATTTGGAAAAGCGAAACAAAAACCTACAGTTTAGCTCTTTTTTTATTCTTCCTTCTGTTGGAAGAGAAAAAAAATATTCCGCTTTGATATTAAAAAAACTGGAAAAAAACTGTGATATCATAGCTGTCAACTCCAATTTCTAGGTTTTTTTGCCATCCCTTTTTCTTCAAGAGAGTTATTCTGAAAAATAATCTTTGTAAAACCTTAAAAGGGGACTCAATTATTATTACGACTTTCCGCCAGGCTTTGATTTTTGAGGAACTGATGTCTTAATTTGTTTACTGAATTTTCAAAGCAATTTTTTTAAAAAAAGCAAAAAGAAATAGAAAAAAACTTTGTGAGACTTTATCTCAAAGGTTTGAATACTCACAAAAATGTTCTCTTTTATTGAAAAATAACTTCTTTCTTTTTGCTGAATCGAACGAAATCGTGAGATTGTAATTATTTTAAACAAAACGTACTAACCTCAAAAATTTCAAGCAATTTTTTTGGTTTTTTTAAACTTCAAATAATAATAAAAAAAGAATTTTTTTAATAAAAATTTTCCAGATTTCCTTGTGAAAGACATTTTTTTCCCGCAAAAAAAGCAGAGTCTTGATAGAAGATAAAAAGAATAGACAGAGATGATAAACCAAAGAAGGAAAAAAAGACGGATATCGTTCCAGTCCTTATCATAGCCTGGTTCGAATTTCTCGTTCCGATATGGACGAGGCCTGTTACGATGGCTTTGGACTTCTTAAAATGGTTTACTGATCTACGAGATCACCATAAATTTGTTCTTATTCCTGAAATTTTCCCTTCGAGTTGCAGATGGAACAGATTGATCAAAAAAAAATATATATTTGACTGTCACATTTGGCGCGGAAAAGCTTTTACTTTGATAAAATGTCAAAAATCGAAACGCAATTTGAAATACCGCTCTGTTTTAACGAAAAATACCGGCAAGCAAAACTTCTTGTAAAAGATGTTATTGAGAGTTTTCATCCCACTCATAATTAATAGGGCTTCCTTTCAATTTTCGTTAAGGATTTCAGCGGAAACTGTTTGACTAGGCAAGGACAAGACCCGGGAGAACTATCGGAATCGGAAGAAAGGTAGTTAAGATTGTCAAAGCCATCCTGTTGAAGCAAACTCCATAACGAGAGCACAAGAACCCGAAAACAGGCACCAGAATGAGGAGTCTGCTGGAAAAGAGGCGAGTTCGAGGCGGAGTCTTGGAGCTCTTCGACCCCGCCTCAGACGATCGGCCACTTGCTCACGTTTCGCCGCCTCTTCACGGTTTTGGCGCTTTTAAGTGCTCCTTGTCCAGCAGTTAAACTAGTTTTTTTTGGCCTCCTTCGGAGTTCAGAATGTTGGATACTCAAAAAGAAAGACTAACAGGAAGGCTAAAAATGAACATAACTTCAAGCAAGGTGCACTGTTCGAGAACAAGGAGCCTTATAAAGACCTTTCCGAGGGGTTGGACGTTTCTCACGGAACAGTCAGACCACATAGCGTCACCTGCTCCTTCACATCTGAACCTCTAGGCCTTGGGTCAGGCGCGAGCAAACAACGCATTACCTTAACCGGTTCTTCCAAGTTACGTCTTCAGAAAAATACCATCTGATTGACGAAACCAATCAAAAAGTTTTCGTGGAAAGTTTGCAAAGGTTTGGACAATCCATATAGACATTTTTATTTTTGAGGTATATTCGAGTGGTGCCAGAATGGCGGAATGAATGATACTTGAAAACTAAAAGGATTTCCAACTGAAAGATAGAGAAAATGTGTACCGACCAAGAACAAGTTTTTGTACAAGTTCCTACTAAAAACAGATGCGGTGCGACTACGTCGTCGTTTCTTTTTTAACAGCGTTCAGCCGTAAAACTTTGAAAGAAGTTTTTGCAGTTAAATCTTACAAAAACCTTTGAAAAACCTGAATTTTACCGGGCGTCGTTATTTGGTATGGAGAAAAAAGTCGGACGAAATACGTTATATTTTGGAACTACAGAGTTTTTCCACTTCAGTATGGATCAGCCATCCGATTAGGGTCTCACCAAAAGAGCATAGTTCGCCGCAGAACCGTAGGCGATTTTTCAAATGGGAAAGTCAGTTTTCGTTTGAAACACGGTCAAAAAATTATAAAAAGAAAGATATATGGCTTCAATGAATTAACACTCGGAATCGTCTTGAAAAGTTCAATACTTTCGTTTAGATTAACCTTTTTTTATTTCTTGCCTTCGAACCAAAATGAAAAAAACATAAGCAGGAATTTTAAAAAAATTTATAGGATTTTTTTCGAATGTCGTTATTATAGTTTATTGGCTTTCAATATTTTTGCTTTATTATATATTTCGTAGCGGCGAAATTTTTGTTTTATCACTATTTTATTATCGAGGAAAGCAATAACAAAAACTGTAAGGCAAGTGAAAAAGCCTAATCAGACTTCTAGGTAAACTTGTTCACTATCTGATGGAAAACCAAGAAAAGACAAAAATAAGGATGTGACCTTGATCCGAACAGAAAAATCACTTTGATTACAAAAAAGAGAAGAAGATGATTGTAGGTGATGTCGCCGTCGCATTTTGTATCATCCGTCCGGGGTCAGGTGAGAGTGGGCGGACGAAAAATTAACATTACGTTTTTTTTTCTCGTCTTCTACTATGGGGTTCACTCAAAACAAGTTGTTCACAAGTTTACTCTTTCGGTTTTTTAAATGTTGTGGTCTCTGATATTTTTTCAAGATATCGGCGAAAAGAAAACAAAAGTTTCGCGCCAATTTTTTGGAGGAACCTTCTAATTCAAATACGTATGAAATATGAAAAGAAACGACTATGCCGTGGCCTCCTTTTAGGTGATGTCTCAGAAATCCCCAGCTTTTATTTTTCTGATTGAAATATAAGTGACCAAAAATGGACACCTGTTTCGAGGTGAAAATAAAGACCTAAAAAGTTTTTTCAGCGCAGCCAAAGTCAGAGCGCAAAAGTCCATTCGCAGGTCACCCAAGTTGAAAAGGAAAAGTGCACAGTCCGCATTTCTCTGAATGTGTTCGCAATGACCGCAAACATGTTGCAAAACCGCAACATTTCAGAGCCGAAGAGGGAGCAAATAGTCATTGTAAGTCCAACACGTTTCTTTTTGAATTCTGAAATCGGAGGCCCAAGAATGCCACTACGAAAAAATGACGTCTAGGGTAATCGTGTCGTTGCAAAAGTTGAAAGACCGAAAAAATGAACTTGGAAACGAGTTGCTTCTGTTAGAATCAACTAGTCGAGCGCAAAGCACCTAAGAAATGATGTTAAATAAAAACAGAAAAGTATTCCATCCTTTTTTAAAATATTTTATCTAGGCATTCATGGCAAGGGTCGAGTTAGACTGTGCCCCAGGGTCCGTTATTCATCTTAAAAAGTTATAACTGTTTTGAATAAGTTTAGCTCCGAGTTTCGGTTGGCTACTAGCCTCGGCTTTGAGGCTTTATGTCACATATCCCTCCTGAAAATGATAAAAGCCAAATTTTTTTCCATTTTTTTCTATCTTTTCAAATATTTCATACAATTTTCTCGAAGCCATCCAGCCTTGTTTTGCCTACGAAACGTACAGCATCAAAACGTGAGTTCGCACAAGCGTTTTTTGCACTTTTCCCGTGCAAAATCCCTCGAGCACCACTCGCCGAGTCTTCGAGTGTTTCCACGGCTCCACTCTGTCTTGCGATTTCCTTTGCTGGAACATTTTGTACTAAATCAATAAGTTATTTTGAACAAAATGTTTTTAGACGGCTGAAAACAACAAAATACTTCTAAGCTGTATACTATCAAATAATCCTTTCGAGATTTTGATTGAAAAAAAATGTACATCTGAAGAAGAAGGAGAAGATTGAGAGCCTTTTTTCAACAGGATTATGCCGGTTCTCCAAACATTTTTGTTGGAAGATGCTTTTTTCTGTGATAAGCTGCTGAGTGGGGTCATTTTTGGAAGTTCTTCGAGAGCAAATAGACTTCGATGGAGCACAATAGGAAAGGTGCTTGAGCTCCGAATTTCAGCTCCGAAAATCGGTCAAGGAAGAAAAAAGATTTTTTTGGTTAAAAAAGTTTTCCTTCATTTTGAACAGCATGTACAGATAGATGAGCAAATTTGTCATGTCAAAAGGGAAAAAATAACTGTTTTTGATTTTTTTCTAGACTGAGAAAAAAATATAAAATTAGTTGGAATTTTTGCACAAGAATCCCAAATTTTGGCTATTTTGGACCAATTTGGAATATTCTTGTTTTCAGGGAAAAAAACGTGATATGTTCAAGAAAAATGAGAAAGTTTTTTTAAAAAATTCCGTGGTTATCCATTTTTTCAAATTTTTGTGGTTAAGCTCAAAGAGAGTCTCAATGCGTGATGGTTGAGATGCATATATTGAACTCTGCCTGACGAATAGTACGAAAATAAACTACTTTCAGGTTTTTTTTTTGCTTATTTCGTTGCGTTTTCCTCTCAGGAGACATATTAGTTTTTTGTTTTTTTCTTTCTTGGGCTGCAGAATCAATTAACTGTTATCTTATCTGAGAAAAAGACAAGAAATCGCTTCGGCGACCTTATCAGTTACCTGGTGCTGAACAGTCACACTTTATTCGTTGAATCCTGTCCTTCTTGACTATGCTGTTTTGAGTTGAATGTGCACATTTTTCTTGCTTGAGCCGATCGAGAGCCTTTCTTGAGGTATGACGGCGACGTCGTTGACCAACCGCCTCCGGGGACGCGCCATTCGATGGCTCGAGGACAACCGCGGGCTCGTAATCGTTCTCTTCTGTCTTCCCGCCAGTCTTGTATTTTTCCTACTTCTTTCCATCTTTTTTTTTCAACTTTGTGCACTCAAGGGACAACTGTTCAGCTCTTCGATCTGTTCATCCAACTTCGAATTTGGGTCCAAAGAAAGTTCTCCGCAAAGACGTCCCACGAGCAACGAGTTAAAGATATTCAGGAGCAGGTTCAGAGTTATCCCATTTATCATTCGACTGAATAATTTCTTTCTTTCAGGTGTTAGAATGGAGCCGGTCGCCGGAGGAAAATCGCAAACTTTTGTGCACCGCCCGTCCCAATTGGCTCAGCTTGTCAACCACGTTTTTCAATAAAGTGAGAAAAATCTCTTTGGACCGAAAATCTCTTTTTGACGCAAACTCGACCGGTGTTTCAGCAAAATTAATTTGTTTATTAGATCTTCGCATTAAAAGTTCTTTTGAACTTCACGTCTGCTCTAAATGACGATTTTCGTTACGTTGAGCAAATTTTTCAAATTGAATGAGAGGAAGCCTTCAAAATGCATTGCAATAAAAAAGTCTTTTAGTTAGGAACTTTTATTGCATTCACGGCTTACTTGGTATGAATTCACGTGGCGGTTGAAGAACAAAACCATTGCAATAAATGGTCGAACGGTTTTTTTTATAAATTAGAAACCTTTTTTAACAGGCGCGGTTTTTGATATTTTTGAAACCTTTTGATCTGTAAAATTATTTCAAGAAAAAAGAAGAAAAATAAAAAGAGAATCATGCTAGTTTTATTCGCATTATAAGTAGGGAGAATGTTCGTAACTTTTTTCAAGTTTTGTAAGTAGAAAAAACAACAATATGCAGACAGGAATGTTATAAGCAGAACCAGCGACACGAAAAAGTTATTTGAAAATAGTGCACAGTGCAAAAAATAAGACGACAGCGCTCTAGCCCAGCAGAAGGGAACTCATCAGAACGATGACTCCGACGAAGGCGGCCACGGCGAAGGCGATCAGGGACACGTATCGCACGAACCACGACGCTTCTTCTTCTCGCTGCAAACATCTTTCCCCTGTCCCCATCGAAAGGGCAAGACTTACGCTGCTGAAACAGCCTGGGATCGTCGGATTGACGCTTCTTCCTTCAGACGCCTCCTGTGTGTCCGTCGAAGTATCCTCCGGGGCCACTGTTATGTTTCTATCTGTAGTCGCTCTCATTTCGAAAATGAGCAACGTCTCTTTCGATCACGTCATTGTTTTTATCCAGCTTGGAACGTCGAGTCACTACTCTACAGAATTTTTGCAAAGTGCAGGGCCTATGGCGGAATTCTGCAAAAAAGCTTCATGCATTTTGCAAATCCGTGCTTTGCATTTTGCACTTTTTTTCGTCTGTACAAAAGTGAGCCCAAAAAGAAATGCAAAATGCGAGGCTCTTCTGGGCAAAATGCAAAGCTCTGATCTGCAGAATGCATGCAACTTTTTTTGCAGAATGCCAGCATAGGCACTGCACTTTGCACGATTTCAGTAGAGTTTTTGGACTATAATCACTATACTTTGCTTTTAGTCACGAATCGACTAGTCGATGAAAAAGTCAAGCTTCTTCAGCAAAAACCTTAGGCGATTCAGATATTCTAAAAAAAAGTCTCATAACTTGAGAGGGTGCAAACCTCCACTTTTTGCTGAACGGTTGAAGAACTCCAGTAAATTTGGGCTTAAGCTGACAATACCTATCTTTTTTCTTTTGCACATAATTCACCTGAGAAGCTTTTTTTTCTCGACTTATAATATGGTTATTATCAAATATGTTTCCAGAAAGCCTGTCGACAAGTGCTCATCGATCTTCACGAACCACTTCATCTTGATGAGAAGAGCTTGACCGTGACAGTTGAGCCGAATGTGACGGTCCGAGAGATCTGCAAGTTCCTCATTCCTAAGTGAGAAGGAGAGCCAGAAGCTTTGCGAACCGCTTTGCAGGGGCTACACCCTCGCCGTAACTCTTGAAATCGGCGACGCCACTCTCGGAGGACTTGCCTTCGGAGTCGGCATGACCACCTACTCTCACAAAGTTCCCATTTCCTCTTTTTCAAGTCTTGTGAAATAACTGTTGATTCAAAACATCTCCTAGGTTGGTCTGTACCAAGAAACAATTTTGGAGTACGAGCTAGTGACGTCATCCGGCGAGGTAATCAAAGTAACGAAAGATAATGAACATTCTGACCTTTTCTACTGCTTGCCATGGTAATAATCTTGGCACCTGCATGAAAAACTTGACGAAATTTTAAGGTCACATGGTACTTTGGGTTTTTTGGTCGGTCTGAAGCTACAGATTATCCGTGTGAAGCCCTACGTCCACATGAAGTACATTCCAGTATGCGAGCCAAACTAATCTGACGAATTCTCGCCTTTTCCAGTGTTTCTCGCAAGAGGAGTACTGCCAGAAGATGATGGAACTGTCTGGAGCTCTCGACAAGGTGAGATCTCTCGTCGACGATTCTGGAAAGTGTGACGTCAGAACGCTGCAGTGGCGGATTACGTCGAGGCGACCATCTACGACAAGGACAACGCCGTCATCATGCTCGGCAACTTCGCCCACGTCGATTCCCTCGACAAATGGCTCAAGGTATATTTTCCACGCAAACAAAGAACATCGAGTCGATTATTTTCTCCAGTTTTACTAACTTTTTGGGACGGTATGCAAGAAATTAGTGAATTTTACCCATAAACGGCAACTTTTCATAGGCCGGTATGAAACTTTATCATATAATAAGATTGTTATCATTTGCCTTGACACAACGTTTTTATGTTAAGTTGAAAATCAAGCCGTTTTTGTGAACTTTTTTTTACTGATTATGGCCAAACCTATATATATATATATAATGTTTGATGTTTATTCAAACTATTTACCACATAAATTTTGAAGTTTTATCAGTGAAATGGTCCATCGTCAAATTCGACTCGCCCAAGGATGTTCTAGTGAGTCATTTGCCAGGTGAACGACGTCTGTCGCTGGTGGAAGCCGTGGTTCTACAAGCACGTCGAGTCGTTCCACCCGCGGGGCGGCGAGGAGTTCATTCCTCTCGAGTCGTACCTTTTGCGACACAACCGCGCCATCTTCTGGGTTCTCGAGAGCATGATTCCTTTCGGCAACCATCCTCTCTTCAGGTTCACTTCTAGTTTTTATCAAAACTAATTTTCAAAAGTTGCTGTTAAGTGATATATAATGTTACCGTAATAGGCAGTATCCAGGTCATCGATCATTAGAGGTGGGTTCTCATTGAAAATGAAAGATTTTTAGACTTTCTTTTTTTTCCTACGTATTTCTTTAGTAAAACCAGGGCGTTTTTATAGAAAAACGGCAAACATTGAAATGAAACTTCTTTGGTTAAATAGTTGATATTCTGCTGGGATCAGTATGAAAATGTATTAGGTTGAATCGGTTAGGTTAGAGAAAAACTCTTTCTGGTTATGTTCACTTGGAAAACTACTAAATTTTTGAATATATTTCCAAATTCTGAACCTTCCGTCTGCAGAGCGTTGATCGGCTGGCTGTGTCCACCGAAACCGGCATTCCTCAAGTTCACGACAACGCAGGCGGTCCGCGAAATGACTTTTGCCAAGCAGGTGATTGACAAAACAGAGGAGGTTTCTGGACGGTTGCCAGGTGTTCCAAGACATCGTCATGCCGCTCAACACCTTGAAGGAGCAGGTTGACACGGCGATGGAGCTCTTCGACACGCTTCCGCTTCTCGTGTACCCTTGCAGAGTCTACGACCACCAGCGAGGTCCGCAGGGGCAGCTCAGGTGAGCGGAAACAACCTGCTAGCTGAGGAAAGAATTGAACTATGGAATCGGAAAAAAAAGTTCTTATGCTATTTGATATTTTCGTGCGTCTCTTGATCTTTACGATTTGAAGCAATTTGGTTTCTTTGAGTTCTTTTTAACTCGCTCATATGCATTTGAAAAAATATTTTATTTTTTTTTCAGTTTTGTAATTCTATTTTATCAGTGTATCAGCGTTTAGTCCGACTAGATGCATAATGAAAAATCGCTCTTGAAAAATCCTCCTGCAAACTTTGAGTCCTAATCTTTCATCTAACCTTCACCTTTTCTTGGCATTGAGAACATTTTCAGGGCTCCTAATGAATCGCTCTTAGTTCCCGGGACGAACTACGCCATGTTCAACGACCTCGGTGTGTACGGAACTCCTGGACCGGTGAAGAGACGGGAACACTACAACCCGACACGTGCTATGCGCGCCATGGAAAAGTTCTCATTTAGCAGTTTATTCCCGACTACTAAAATAGAAAGCGGCCTGGGGTAGGAGGGTAGCACAATTAGTTACATAGAAGCTAAAAGGCTTTGTGTTAGAGGAATCGTACTGCTGAACCAAGAAGCTTCGGAATGAATAAAAGAAAGTTTTGCAAATTGGTTCGCAGATTCACGCGTGACGTCGGCGGCTACTCGTTCCTTTACGCCGACATCTTCATGAGCGAATCGGAGTTCAACACAATGTTCGACATGACCCTGTACGAAAAGGCGAGTGAGCAGTAACTGTGCAGAGATCATAGAAAAGGTTGCAGTGTCGCAAGCTGTATCAGTGCGACGGAGCATTCCCGCGACTATTCGACAAAGTCAAGCCTGAAATAGACGTCATAGCCATTGGAGAAACCTACGGGAAGAAACAAGACTAGTTCCTTCATGATAAACTCCTTTTCTTTTTGCCAAATTGATGAAACTGAACCAAACGCCAAAACGTAGTGCTTTTTATATATTCACAGTGAAAAAAAAATTAACAATCTGAGTAACAAAACGGAGTCAATAGAAGCCGAGAAATTTAGAATAATACTCACAAGAACTTAAGTAACAGAGGGAGCTGATAAAAATGATTATGACACGGATAACATTTCCCTCTAATCTGATGTATTCATAAAAATTTGATCCTCAAAATAAAATTGAAACTAAGTGTTGTCTGGAAACTTAAACGTGTCCATTATGGACATAACAAGAAATGGTTAATTAGAGGGGAATCGAGATCGAAAAACCCGAAGAAATTTTAAAACCATGGATGATAAGACGGAGGCATACGGACTAGATTTTCTACACGTCGTGCTTGTTCAATCAGCGATCCCATCTGATAGACTGCTCGCGGACCGCTCAGATCTGCAACCGTTGCGTTTGATAATGATGAATTTTTCTTCAATATTTAAAGGATTAGAAGAAACTGAAACTAGTTCCGTAATAAATAGACCCATAGAATGTCAAAATTTTCCCTTTTTCTCAGGTGCTTGCGACACTGTAAATTTTCAACCAATAGATAAAAAGGGAGAACTTGATTTTTAAAAAAAGGTGGTTGAAAGGTTGGTTAACGTAAGGCTACCCTAAAAATCTTTCTTTCTTTTATGATTTTTTTTTTCAGTTAAATTAATTTTCATCGAAAATTATATTGAAAAATTATACTTTATCACAAAATCAAACGAAAACCAAACCTTGAATGTTGTTGGTGATCGTATTGACGAAATTAGTGACTGAGGCGCAAACGGTAGCCTAAATGAGAAGAAGACTTCGGAATCCACCACAAAACGATCGAAACCTCGCTTTTTCCTTGTGACTGTGGGTGCTCGGCATGTTCGTCCCAGAGCAGCGCCTGGAGGATAATGTCGGGGTCTCGACGACTCAGACACTGTCCGACGGCCAACATGCTCCAGAAGAAGTCGCCTTCCGTCGACATGCCCAAGAAGAAGTCGAAGTTTGGCGTCAGACGGAACGGCACAATCTTCGTTGTTGTTTCCAGATGACCTGAGAAGCATTTTTCGATACTAATGATTCAGCAACACAATCACCAACCGCTATCACTTCTAGCATCAAAACGGTAGTTCGGGTTGTAAAGAACGCCGGTATTGGCCTGTATGCTCATGTCTCCCAGGTAAAGAGGGGTTAAGGAGCAAGTCCTTTCTAGCAGCGACAGTACAGCCAAGCAATGAGCCAACTGGCAAACATTTCGAGAATTATTAAATTTAAAACGTTGAAAAAAACCTGTTTTCTCATCATGTAGTACATGGTCGGATCCGGATATCGTGTGTGCAAGTAATAGTTCAAAATGTTGTTAGTGACAAAGTACTGCGAGAAGTTCCTGAATCAAAAAGAGTCCGATAAGTAAATCATGAAAAATTCATATCCGCAAAACGTCTCGATGGGCATAAATTGATCTTTTCTCAAATTTCAAACAATTACGATCGTGGTGCTTTCTTTTTTCCTCGATAGTAAATTGAATATATTTTCATAGAAACATATAAAGGTTGCTTTTATTTTTCGTCTTCATGATTTAAATAATTTTTTGAAACTCTTCGTTAAATAGCGAAAACCTTGATAATATAAAAAAAAATAAGAACAAACTCGTAGACGACGTTGAGAGCGCTCATGGCGTGCTTCTGCTGCTCCTCCTTGCCGTCGTAGACCGACAACGGCGGCAGTCCGTTCGCCTCGCGGTGCTGCTGCAGATGCTTGCAGTACTCGGGCCACTTCTCCCAGTGGGCCAGCTCAAACTGCTGGAAGAAGGTGAGGACGATGTCGTCTGGGTGCTGGCCCATGTCGGCGTATGACGAAGAGACGATGTTTATTGGGTGAATGATCTGAAACTCGGAGTTGAAGAGTCTTCCGTTTCACAAACAACCTCAACGAGGGCAGCTGGCGAAGCGATTCCTGTCTCCGAAGACTGCATGTACGGTTGGATGGCTGAAAAACGAGTTATTCTTGGTCTGCAACATGGAATTCTGTTTTTGAAAAGCGAGAAAGAAAATTGGTAGAAGTGTATTTGGAAAAAAAAATTTCAAAAGACCATTCTTATTTGCTGAAAATTTTCGATGAGCCATTGATTCTGCTCGCCTTGGTAAAAATTTTAAAAAGACTAGTTTTCTTCATATTATGTTTCTGGTCCAGGAAAATTTTACGTTCCGAGGAATTTCGAGATCTTCTCATTAAAAACTGGCTCAGGAAAAACAAGGAAACTAATGAGTATTGGATAAAACTCTAAAAGGAAATAGGACTTAGCATACTTTTGCGGACAAACAAGGGTAAATTCGCTCACAAGAGATCTCATGCAGAGAAGAATGGCCACTGATTCTCAACTGTGCTACTGTTGGAACATGAAGATGACGTCGAGCTGTTTCCTGAAAAATCAGAGTTGGAAAGAGAAGACTCGGGAAATCAAGCACCCTTTCTTTTTGGAGCATGTTGTTGACGTGCTGGAAGAACTGAGAAACGCGGTTGATGGGCTCCTCCCAAACGGATTTGTTCAAGTAGTAGGAGCACGTCTGTAAGACACGAGGTGCAAATAATTCATCCAAAAAACAACTTTTCCAGTTTGCGCTCGTAAATGTATCCGACGAGCCACTTTTCCGCCACGGACGCCGATTTCGACACGTGGATCAAAACGTGAAATCATGGAAACGTATTGACCAGCTTGGTTCTGAAACTGAATCAAATGAAAAGAAACGACAGGGAAAGTATTCTCGTTAGCTGATTAAAGGGGAGGAAAACTGACCGAGTTGTTGACGTGGTTACGCACTTTCAGCACATTCATCAAGTCGAAAGGCATCTCTATGCAGGCGACGCGATGAGTGAACTGAGCCAAGTAGTTGCTGACGCTGTCCAACGGAACATTCCTATAAAAAGTTAGCTTTGCAGGAAAAAATCTCAAAAATTGCAAGAAAAGTACTTTGGCATTTTGTCGAGTCGCTTATTGAGTGCCTTGATCCAATCGATCAAAAATTCGGTGAACTCGAGAAGTTTGACGTTCGTCATGAGTTTGTTCAACACTTTCGAGGTCATTTCGCTGACAAACTGGAAAGAAAACAATTTAGAAACAGATGGGCTCTTAAGAGACATACGACGTATTCAGGCTCTACTATGATGACGTCATCAGAAGCACGGGGGACTTCGTTTTCGAAAAGCAACTCTTCGACGACAGAATCTTCTGGCCGGAGACACCCGCGAGCGGAGCCGTAGCCAGAGACCGGCCGCGGAACTTGCAGCTGAAGACGTTGAGGCGTCAGTTCGAGAGATGCACGAGCGCGATGTCGCTCCAGGTCTTCTTCCAGATGTAGCCTCCATCGTTCGATCAGGCCCACCGAGGTGAAGGAAGGCTCAGCTCCTTTCAAAGGAGAGCTCATCTGGTTGTAGAGATCCCTGAGCCGATAGTTGTTCCCTCATCAGGTCCTCGAGGAACTCACATAAAGAGTTGGTCTTTGAGGGCGATTGCAAATCTCAAATGTCGTTCTGTCCACAGCTCCCGCATCTCGTCCAATTCACTGAGCAACCGATTGAAAACCTTGAAACTTTGAATCAGCTTGGACATGTGACTCGACGTCTTTTCTATTTTTGTTTCCGATTCCTAATAAAAATTCCAAATATGAACTCCTGTCATAGTCAATTTCATAAAAACCTTTCTTCGAGTTGTAAATTTTATTTTTTTTTTTCGATTTTTGATTGCAAAATTAAGCATGATTATCTTCGTCGATTCACTGATAATAATTTCTGTTTTTTTGGATAAGTTAGCTGCGATATTCACCCGAACGTCGGTAGGTCTGTGACGCAAGACGATTCTGAGAACCCTTTCCGACGGTAATTTTTCTTCGTAGGCGAACTCGTCCGGCTTCTCGTCTTCTTCGGGCTGCGAATCTTCAAAAAGCAAACTAAGTGAGATGAGGAACTGCACTGAAAAACCTTCAGCACAAATCCTGTTTATGAAAGAAGGACTCATCACTTCGCGGAGGCCGTAGAAAGTTTGCATCGGATAGGCTCCGGCCAGCTGAAAAAAAGTACTCAAACAAGAAATCACAATGCCCTCTAATAAAAAAGAAGAATCCTTTCTGGCCTTCTTTTCTTTTTTTTTTGTTTATGAGTAATTGATTCCAGAAAATTTTTCACTAGGATCAAATAAATGTTTACCTTGATCAGAATATGAATGAATGGCGAGTGCGAATTTCGTTTTATGTCCGTCATCAATTGAGGGAGCCTGAACTTTTTCATTGCAAACAATAACTTTTTCATGCATAGGAAAAATTCGCTTCTGAAAAGCCTATTTGAACTTTCACGGCTTCTAACTAAAGATCTTATAAAAAAAGGAAGATTCAAAATTTTTGAAAGATATTGAAAACTTGAAATAAGAAAAAACATCTCAAGATCTTTTTACGGTTCTTGTTTCTCTTAAAAAGAGCTCCTTGCGGAAAGAAACTTACCAATATAACCAGTTGTACGTGTTGAGGTAGCGGACGCTGTTGCGCACAACTCTCTTCATAGACTCTTTCGCCTCGTCTCCACAAACATCGATGTGTTTCGAGAGCCAGAAAACACTAAATTCGAGAGAAGGTCGGTGGAAACGTCCGACTGACAGCCTACCGAGCTATGTACTTTCTCGCCTTGGGCTCGTTATCTACACGGGCGGCGCACAGATAGTTGTTGACCGCTGGACGCGCGAACGCTTCCGAAGACGCAAGAGATGGTCTGCAAAAATGTCGCTGACCTTTTATAGTGATATTAGAAGATTTTGATAAGATAGATCGAGATAGATTGAAGAAAGCTTTGAAAAACAAGAAATGCATTTTTTTTTTCACAGAGAAGGAAAAAAGAAACGAACGGGCGCGAAAGGAATTTTCGGTAGAGATAGTGGCCCCAAGACTTCATGCAGCTCGTGGCAACTTGAGAGATCGGAATCTGCATGTCGACGAGCTGCGCCGCCGCAGAAAACGTGCACTCGGCGTCGGAGAACCTGAAGAGGCCGAATGTCCAAAAGATCAAGAAGTGAGTTGGATCACCTGCCGATTTCGCTGAGGACACACGCCTTCTGGCAGTAGAGCTTGGCCAGCTGTTCGCGGTTGAGTTCCTCGGCGCGGAGTTCCTCGAGAATCTCGAGAGCCTCGTAGTTGGACTGCCGCCAGCCCTTCTCGTCTCCGTCTTTTCGCGAGGCCTTTGCCATCGCTCGCAGGACTCGCACGTGTTCCGTCACCTTCTGATGAGCGTCTAGCATCGGCACCGTGACCAGCGTTGCCAGTCTGAACTTTGAAAATGATGACGTTCGGAGACTTGAATGACTTCTCGACTCCTCAAACATCAGAAATTTCAGGGCCGCGCAGAAAAGATGAAAAATTATAAGCTGTAGTTATGTACAGTTGTACTATGTAATCTTTTGAATTCTAAATCCAAGTGAACTCGTTAGGGTTCACGCGGATCTTTAACCGAGCTGTCAAAAATTATTAATATTCAACTTCCTACCAAAGAATGAATCAAACTTGTTCAAATAGTCGAGTGCAATGTTGTAGAAGCCAAGTGATCGAGCCGCTCTAGCGATGGCCAAAGTTCCCTGGGCGGCCGAGTGAATCGGCAGAATGGACTGGCCGCTGGCCGCTGCCGGAACGACAACCTCAAATGAAAATATTTTCTAACGGAATTCTCTCTTTCCTCTCACCCCCAACTTGTCCCATTCCTCGAATTTGTTCAAAACTAGCGTGTGCATTTGACACCGCCAATCATACATCAAGGAAATGAAACTCATCTCGTCGGCTATCGTCGGCGTCCGGTTTCTGAAAAAAAGGCGTTAGATATTGATTGAAACGAGAAAAAAAACCTCCAAACTTTGATGACGGTCTTCATTTCGGTCAGCACTTGCACTTCGTATTTGTTCGTTTGCTCGAAAATGGCGAAACGGAGTTCCACACATTCTTCCACCTCTCGGATCATGTTCATTGACTGGAGATGTTCAAAGATTATAATTAAAAAAATAATTCATTTTACTTATTCTTTAATTCTTGTAGCTACTTTTTTTATTTTATGATTTTCTTAGTTTTCGAACTTCTTTAAAAATAATCTTTATACTTCCTAGCCTAAAAAAGTTACAACAATTTAGTTTTTATTTCGAAGTTAACTTCGATTAAATTCTCATCGCTTTTTTTCTTTAGTTTTCCAAAATAAAAAGAACCACTATAAATCATAATTAACTCTCGTTATCGTCTTTTTATTTTTGCATTCGCTTCTGTGTCTTTTTTGTGTCGTCCTTGGCTTTTTTTTCTTGGAAATTCAATCCATTTCACTCTACCTGAAGCAACTTGGCATGCGCATTGGAAACGACACAGGGGAGCGACCGCCAGCGAGAAATGTGCACCTAAAATCGCAGATTGCACCAGAGAACGGACAAAATATGACTGACTTGAATTGCATCTTCCAGCGACCTTTTCACCTTCTGACGCATCGTCGACGAATTCTCTTCGTTCACCTTAAGCTTTCTAATGATAAACCAGAGTTTTTTCTTTCATTTTTTGGACCATTCACATAATTACACGCTTTATAGATCTCTTCAACCTTTTCATTCAGATAACACTTTTCGTTTATGGAAATAAAACCATATGAAGTGGCTGCAAGCTTTTTTGGAATTTCGACCCAGCCAGTCTTTATCGTACGTTAGTTAGGTTAATTACCTTGAAAATGCCTTTTTTTGGAATATTCAAAAATTTGAGAATTTTTTTCATATGTACTCTAAAAACCGAAAAAAATGGAAAAAGGTGCTATCTCAAAAAAACAAAAAAATAGATTACTAACCATAATTAAAAAAAGTTTCAAACATAAAAAAACCATTTTGAGGAAGTATTTTTCCAAGTGACTGCATAATAATTAAACTTTTTTTCAAAATTTCACTCAATTCATAAAACTTCACTTTCCTAGATCTGAGACTTATAAAGCTATGCTACCGGCACACTTATTTTTTTGTTTTCATCACCTGAAAAGAACTTTCATATGAAAGAACTCACCATCAAGCTCATTATAGCATTGTAAATGGTGAAAGTTGGAAGGAAGGTTGGAGGAACACATCCTTGGATCTGTAATCGATAGTTTAAGATGGAAGAAAGGCAAGAATGGAGACTTGTTGTCGGCAAACGTCGGCTGTCACCCAGTCCGGAGTATGGATAGTGGAAAGCATCAAAGACTGGAGATTCTGGATGTCTTCAGAATTGGAGAGGTCGCGCAAGGGTTCCCAATGCATGAGTTCTTTCAGTGACCTGAACAGAGGGAGATTTTGGGATTCTCAAACGGAGACTGACTGATCGTAGTAGCTGAGCCATAACTCGTACTCCCGGTTGCGAGTCGGATCAACGTGGAAGTCTACGGAGTTCGAGATGGACTCGCCGAGTTTGCCTAGGACGCCGCTGCTGCGTTCTTCTATGTACCTCATGAGGCCCTCCCAGTCACCCTAGAAAATGAATATTTTTTCTGAGCTAAAATGTTTCCAACCAATTGGGCTTTGGCTACAATTTGTGATGTTTCGGAGAGAACAGCTCTACGGTCCCAAACAGCCGCAAACTGGTCGAGTTCAGATAGTTCGGAGTACAAGTCAGCCAGGAGTTCGAGAACGTCCTCAAAAGATAAAATTAGGACTTATGGTGAAAGAGTGAGAAACTTGAGATTGCTGATCGACAGGATTGTCAAACGGATTAGCGCTTTGCAGACGCGGAATGCATATCGCCTGCCGTTCCAGGAGCTCCATCCCGAGGTGCCAGCACTCGTGGCGCGTTGAAATGAACTGAAAAGGGAATCTTCGTCAACTGAATCAAGGTTTTTGTGTTAAAGGGTGTGATAAAAAAAGCATCTCAACATCATTTATGAAGAGAGATTCTCAGAAAAAAGTAACACAAGATGTAAACTCTAGTGTAGGGAGTTTTAAAGCTATAAAGCGTCATAAATGTGACAACTAGTTGGATGGAGATGTGATCGCAAAGATTATGTCTTTTAAAATTAATTTTCTTTCTTTCTTTTTCATTTGAACTTTTCAGCTATTGTTTATGAAAAGAAATCTAAAAAAAATTGATTTTTTTTGCTGATTTCTTCGAGTTTTTTTTCGTGTAGCTGCAAGACATTTCAAAAAGAAGAGAGTGTGAATTCTCAGATGGAAGTTCTTTTGTTTGAACCTTGATGAGAGCTGGTGGCAGAGGCGGCGAAAAGTACTGCACGGCTCGCAACCAGACTGCGAGGACGGACTTCTCGGCTCCGGAGACGAAAGAGTTGTGGACACCGCTGCTCAGGAACGGCACAATCAGAGCTGCAGGGACAAATCTTTGACTGGATGTTTCCCCCTCAACCTCACCTTCAATCGATTGCCGCTCGTTCGCCTCCAGTCCAATCCATATCGACTTGAACACATCTACCCACACATTGGCCAAGAAACCCGTGTCTGGAAACCGACAAGATGTTTATATTATTAGAGCTTCCAACCTTGGACTCCGAAGGCGATGTGCGCTACGCACTCGATCGACTCCGCAAAGTCGAAACTCGCGGCCTCGTCGAGGAGCGGCTTCTGATCTTCGAGCATGGTCAGCAGGTTTTTCGACAGTCCTCCGTCATCAGTTTCCATATGCTCGTTCTGAATAAATAGTCACATGAAAACCTATCCAGTTTCTCAGTTACAGTAGGGTGAAGCTGCATAGTCTGAAGGTTGGCTGAAAACTCGAACGTTTTCCAAAACGTCGCACAATCTTCCATCAACATCCGTTTACGTTTCAGAAGTGTTTCCTTCATATCTGTGAAATAAAAAGTATAGTAAAAGAGATTTGAAACAAAAAGAAAATTGAGGCTATATTATTGACAAAAAAAGCGAATATATTACCACTAGCTTTTCGGACACAACGCAAAATTAGCCAGAAGACGTGACGCAACCAGAAAAACTCGCGGAAGCGTGCCCAATCGACGCCACGCATCACGAAACGAAGTCGCTGATAGACGTCTGGCGTCTTCAGTTCGGGCGTCGTGTTCTCCCAGGTGCTCAGAAACTTCTCACGAATCTCGGCGTCCTGCGATTGGATAGTCTCAATAATTTCTTCATGCTGAGAAAACTATCTTTCAAATGCCCCGATGGCTTCTTTGTGTGAAAGTGTGAGCATACATTTTGAAAAATTTTCGAGATAAAAATTTTCTTATATTACCGGAATCCCATTTGGATTGATGGCTAAATTATTCTTTTTTCCTATGAAGCAGAATTATACCGACCGGCGACGTGAGTCCCCAGTGAAAGCCTTCGAGAAGACGGTCCGCCAGCTCGGTTTGTCTCCAATTCTCATTTTCGAATACTTTCAAGAGCAACATCAAAAAGTTCGGCTTTATATCTTTGGCATTTCTGAATACAAACTTTTTGTCATAAAAAAAAAAGAAGATGATTTACGTACTTGAATCTTTTATCTATGACATTCTGGTAGCGAATCAACAACGGCAATGCAGTTCCGATAGTTGTCTGCAATAAGAATCGTTATTTAGAATGGTTGTAAATAAAACTCAAATGAAAAAAACAACCGAACCCAGAAATGACGTCATTCACTTTCAAAAAAAAATCGAAATTTTCTTAATTGAAAAATTAAACGGACCTCGGGGTCGCCCTCAGAGATCATGGCGCCTATGACACGCAGTACGTTCTCGGAGATCTTTTCGTGGCTCGATCTGTCGATGAGCACCAATAAAATGTTCTGGCCGATGTAGCGCTTAGTGTCTCCGGAGATGAACTCGATTCGCGGTCGGATCAGTTCCAGCGAAAGAGACACCAGCTCATTAATAGCTCGATCTGAAAAGCCTTTTTTATAACAACCCTTTTTTTGAATCAGACTTGAGAGAAGTCAAAAATGCTCTACAACAATAAAACATCGATTTTCTGTTTAGGCACAGAATTGATCGACTAGGCGGCACACAAGAAGTTATTAAGTCATATAGAACAGCCGCCTTTGGCGAAGTGGAGGATCAGAATATTTTGGATGTTTTAGCTGGACCTTGTGCTCTAGTTGAAAGGCCAAAACAAGAACAGCCACTTGAATGAAGACTTATACGGAATGAAGGATTTGTGCGAGAAATTTATTTCTAGAAAAAGAAAAGGCTCTCCGAAGTCACCTCGTTCGTTGATTGTAGCCGGTGTTTGCATTGGCGTCGTAAGATGTTCTCTCGCTGCTTTTTCCATTATCTGAGCACAAACATAATCTCAAAACCAACTTTCGAGAGATTCCAACCCGAATGAATGTCTGCAAGCACACTGTGTCCAAATACGCCGGTTCGTAGCTGCAAATGGTCCGCAGCAGAGAGAATGGAGTGAACATGTGCTGAGTAGGCATGCTGGCGGTTCTAGGAGAGAAAATAGACATTTCTGTGCTGGAGATTGATGAGATACTTGTTTCCAGCAGCAAACTGTTCGTTTAGGTACTTGTTGAGATATTGGTTCAAGGTCTCCAGCTCATCCAGTCCATTAGGCGAGTGGTTGGTTCGCTCCAGCAGTTTTCCGAGCAGGACATTGATGCAACGAATTAGCTAAACACGGTCAATATTTGAGCTGGCTTTTTGTACCTCAAGAGTTGGTGTTTCATAGGAAATACAAAAACATTAAAAGTAAAATCAAAACGCAAGTTTTTTTTTCTCATTCTCAATGACTATTCAACTAAAAGGCTAGTCATGAACTTGAAAAACTGACATTAGCGATGCCGGTGTTCAAGCAGGAAATGATGGCACGCTGCAGTGGTCGAATTGTTTGAAGAAGCAACGGTTTTGGCTGAAAAAGAACAACAGAAGACGTGAACGACGCCTCTGAAGACTCACGACGACATTGATGATAGAGAGAATGAGTTCCAAAGCCTGCTGGGCAGGCGTGGGCATGTTTGAGGATTGCGACGACTGGCTGCCTTCCTGCCGCATGTTGTTGAGAGCCTCCTGCGAGATGGTCATCTGCTTCTCGAGCATGATAGGTCGGATCGTGGCGAAGTTGCCCCACACCGAGGGCTTCAAGGCGGCACGGAGCAGCGACTGGCTCCGTTTGCACATCTCCTGCGCCGACTGCATCATCGTCGGCTGCACTCCCGGCTGCGGCTGCTGCAAAAACTCCCTTGCAAACATTTTTTTTTCTCATTATTTGCTCTTATAGAAATGCTAACCAAGAACACGGCGGCTGACTTTTTGGATCCAAAAATATTCAAAGGTTTGATTTCTAATCGTCGGATAGAACAGTTTGTTTGATAAAAAAAGAAATAATTTCACGAATGAAAATTTTTCCAAACATCACGAAAAAATTCATGTTCTTTTATGGAGAGCTGGTTCATCTAAAGCTGCCTTTTTCTTCGAAGGTATGATAGAATTTTAAAGTATTGCGATAAAAAATTACAAAAAAAAAGATCAATAAAGTCGAAGGATTAACCAAAAAGGTTGGAGGAGGGACCTGAAGAGCGAAACGGATGAGAAGGTTGACGACTTGGTCGGTCTGTTCCTTGTGGATGGCCTTCGTCAACGGATCGTCCTTCTCGCCAACTTTGGCAAACGACGGAATCCCTGAGCTGTCGGAGGTCCTGCCGCTCGGGTCTGTCGTTTCTTCCTTATCGTTCGACGTCTTCAGTTTTTCCAGAAGTTTGTCAACCTCAAGAAACGTCTTTGAAGAATATTTTTTTCTGTGGGGAACCTCCATGGCTTGTTCTGCGGTTACTTGAGACTGCGGATCTGTGAGGAAAGCGCGTAGCAAATCCCACTTGATGATCATCTCACAAACATCAACAGCCAGTTTCCGAGTCAATATACTGAAACAAATTGATGAAAAAAAAATGAAGCTAGATCAAAAAAGGTATATACAAAGTTGATTTCACCTGTCCATGACGTTATTTGGCGTCACTATAGCCCTCTGAACAGCGGCCATTAGAGGTCCCGCGAGTTCGTGGCGAACTTGATAGTAAACCCGGTAGTTTCGAACGACCATCAAGCTTCAAATAACGGTGCATTGAAAAAGGAAATTATTTTTTCAGAATTGACTTTTCTCAGGTAATATGTAGGGAAAAACAAACTTTTAATTTTGTTTTTGAACTTTTCTTGACCAAAAAATGATGAGCGCAATGAGAGGATTGACGCGTGAAAAAGAGCTTTGTAATTGAGCGCAAAGTCTTTGGCAAAATCATCGGAAGTTAAACTAGAGTGCATCTTTTTTTAGAAAGAAAGTCCGTTTGAATCTTTTTTGACCCATCAAAACTAACAAGACATGCTGAACGTGGGCAAGGTTGTGCGACTCTTCGAGAAGAACACGTCGGACGCTCGTCAGAATTTGTTGATGACCGTCCTCCATCCTCATCGGCACCGCCGGGGTCAAAATGTCGATAGCTTTGCGAATCTAAGATAAAAATAAACGTGAGAAAGATGTTTGAAACGAAAGATACTTGATCCCGATTGTCGGAAAGATATGTCGAAGAGAGGCAATGGAAGACTTGAAGGACGATCCGTCGGTTTATCGTGAATCTCTCGATGATGTTGGCCAAGAAGTAGAAGCCAGTATAGCGGGTCGTGGGGTCTTGGGAGTTGGCCAGAGTCAGACACGGCCAGGCAAACAACATAAACACTCGGAGTCTGCCTCCTTGTCTTCTGAAAACAAAATTGGGGATCATTTCAGAAAAAAAAATATATTTTATTTCTGCCTGCTTTTAGTTTATTTCATTTTTCGAGGCTATTGAGCAGGGTAAAATAATTAAAAATTCGATTTAAGTTCAGAAAAGAAAAATGACTATATTGGTGAAACAGAAACGTACTTGCAGGCGTTGTTGTGAATGTGCTGCGGAGCATATTGAACAAAAAGAGTGCAAAGTTGGTAAAAGACGATGACCATTCCGTCACTCATCCTCAGTCGGTGCGCATCGACTACCTGCGAAAATAACTTTCTTTGTTCAGAAAAATCGCGAAAAAAAAAGGCATCTCCTTGTAAGAACTAGAATAAAAAAACCATTAAAAGATGCATTTTGAAATGTATTTCACTCTAATCTGGAAAACTTTTGATCTTCTTTTAAAGATCCTCGAAAATTTTCAAAACGCGTCTTCTTCTCACCTTGGCAAGTCTGGACACGAGATTGGCCGGATCCTCTTCGGTGGTTTCAGGAGAAGCGAGTCCAGGACCAACAATCTGTGTTTTTTCATAAATATTATTGGCATCCCAGTATAACGAACCGTGTCGACGTCGTAGCGCTCGAAGGCCCAGTGGAGGGAAGGAATTACGAGGTACTGGATGGCCTTGACCATCCTCAAGTCAGTCACAGCCTTCTCTGGATTCGTCTCGAACTTTTCCATCACTCGAATGAACGCGTCTCGACGCCAGTCCAAGGAAACCACCTGCGAATAATCCATTTTCGTTGTTCATACTCTTCCGTCTCTGACCGGGATGATTTCTTTTTCGAGGAACTCGCGAACGTAGCAAAAGTCGGTGACGAAGTTTCCCACGAACACGAGCAAAACGTCAAACAGAAGTTCGTAGTCCTCGTTGTTCATTCTGAAGTCGTAAATTATTGAAATCATCACTCTGATACTGAGTCACCTCAGATAACGAATGAAGCAGTTGATGATTAGTTTCGGCACTTTGTACTTGTGTTCAGTCATCCAGCGCACGGTGATCCGCTTGCGGTCGTCCTCTCCAGGAACCCGCACAATGTATCGCTTTTTGAACTCGGCATTGTTCCAAAGCTACAGATTCTTCCATTGATTTTATAGTGTAGAACATATTTTAGGAACTCTACAGCAATTTCGAACTTAATGAATAAAAGTAGATTGTTCATCGTAAAACAGTTAACAAAAAGGGTTTTCCAAACATTTTTAGATCTAAGTAGAATCTAATTAAAACTTTCGAGGATCAAACTGATTATTCTTCTAAAAACTGACACGACACAGACCTGTTCTGTTGGAAGCAGCTTTTCAAACTTGACGTTTGGATTTGGTAGGAAAAAATATTTTTGAAAACTAGTAGGGAAAAAAAAGTAGAAAAATGTATTTTTAATACTAAGGATTTTTTGAATGAAAAGTTAACATCATAAACAAGAGAGAGTAGTCTAAACCTATCCTCACTAAAAGAGATAAAAAAAACTATTAAAAAGCAAGAAAAAAGTGTGGATTGATTCACAAATTCTGATCGCAAACGAGACATCACAATCATCCTACAGAAGTGACCTACCTTTGTGGTAGTCCTTAAAATTTTTATCTCTAAAATTGTTCTGAGATGGTTGGTTATTATGTGGAAACTGTATGAAAAGCTCATGTGACTGCTATGTCGCTTGAACTATAGAGGCATTATTTTCCTTGAGAAAAACAGACAAACGGGGATTTCAGACCTCTTTCATGCGTCCGACAGGAGACGTTGGCGAGACGAACCAGTCGACGTGGATCCGCGAGATGTGGTCAATGAGGGTGAGCGTGAGTTGTTCCCTTTCGATGAGCATCAACTCGGCGGCCTCGTTGTCCCCGACGACGTCCTTCCACTGGCCTTCCGCGTTCTGAGAACTTTTTCAGTGACTGAAAACAGGCTGATCCTACCAAGGCGCGGCCTTCGATCGCATTCTCAAAGTAAACGACGTTCCGAATGAGTTCTTCTCGGACAGGAAGGGCTTCTTCGCGCTTGATGATTTGACGGAACAAGGCGCGTCTTTCGAGCATTTCGACGCTCTCTTCGCTGTAGAGGAACTGGATGGCCTGCTTCGGGAACCGCGCCAGCATCTTGGCTATGTTTCTATTGAAGTTGGGTGAAACCTATAAAAGACGTCACTTGAAAAATAATAAAATAAAACGTTTAATCATGTTCAATGAATGATTTCCCTTATTTATCCCTTTTTGCTTGAACGTGAAATTCAAAAGATTATTCAAAATCGGAAAATTTCGAATCACGTTTGATTACTGAGATTTCTTCTACAAAGCCGAATACTTTTGTCGGCGATTCAATTTAAAATGTTATGTAAGCAAAAAACGACTATCTTTGTTGTAGGAGGAGCTTTTTCTGAAAATTGGCGAAAAAGTGCGGTTTTGAAGATTATATTCTCAGAACTAGTCAATTTTGTGGACTTTCATGTCCCTCTACCAAAAAAAAACATGTAAGAACAAGGTTTGTAATTTTCGAACAGGAAGAATAAGAAAGAAAAAGACATTTTGCGTGTAGGTGTATTCGAAGGACGCAATGAAGGAAGCGATGGCCACCGCTTGTTGGGCCGTCGTCGCGGTTTGGCTTCCGGCCAGGATTCTGATCGCCTCGCTGATCGCGTCGATTTCGGCCAATCTCTTGTCACTCGTCGATTCGGAGGGCAGCTGTTTCTCCTGGTTTTCCACTACTGGAGACGAGTTTGGCTTCCAGTTCGTTATGTGACCCTAAAAAAACGAATAAAACTGAAAAGGAAATGCATTATTTTCGTGTGATTTAAGATGAACGTACGACGATCTTTTCGGCTAGTTCTGGCGTCAAAATATCGGGATTGAGGTCGAAAAGACGCGCCAACTGGATGACTTCAGTAGGCAGCAGCTGGCTGCTCCCCATGATCTCTTTGACTGTTTCCTCCCCGACGGCGGATAGAACTTCCAGAGAAATGGGAGCGCACTGAAATTCCTTCTTTGAGGTCCTACGAGTCTAGTTTTTCTCTAAACCTTGACCAAAGCTTGCATTCCGGCGGTGCTCACGATCTCGTTGTGCAAATCGAGAGTCGCGCGGAGAGCCACTACGACCAGCCGATTTTCTGGATTCCTCACATCTTCCGCAATCACGTCGGTCAATGTCACCGGGCTTTTTTCCACAGCCAACTCAAACTTCAGTTGCTGGAAAAGGTCACATCCTACTAAAGATAAAAATATTCGAATCATTATATCCAACACGAAGGCAAACTCTTTTTAGAAATGATCCTCGAGATTCTCTCGTATAAAGAGTTTCGAAATGACCGAGGTATTGGCATTTCGAAACACAATCCCACTAAAATATCCTTTTACCTCCATCTTCCTATGCAATGTTGTCTCCTCCGAGGCGATTTCTGAAAAGTCCATACAGTCCTCCGACGGCTTCATCATATTGTAACAAGCAATAAGAGCCCCTAAAAAGTACTGCTGAACTCAAATTCATTTTTTTAGCCTACTTAAAGCGTTGGCGCGGAGAATTTCTATCTGGTCGCAAATCGGGATCGGCGGCAAGAAATGAGCTGGACAACTTTCCGACTTTTTAAAGCTCTCTCTTCAAAATCATAAATTGGATTATTATTTGGTAAAATCTTGAGTAACCGTTGCAAGAGTCCTGCCGCGTCCTGTTGGCAATGTTCGAGAAGAAGTCCGAGAAAGCGATGCCACCTCTGGCGATCCTCTGTGAAGGGGTACAGGGAAGGTTTCACACTCAGAAGCTCGTAGATGGCGTCGAAAGAAGCCGTCGCGTCCGCCAACGACAGGTACGGCGCCGTGTTCAAAGTTCTTTCTGAAGATTTTTGATTTATTTTTCGCCTGAAGAGCAACGAATAAATGCTCAAAAAGTGATTCTCGATACCAAAACCCACCAATATCCTTGACGAAGTAGCCCTTGAACCGGAAAATGAAGGCGTCGTAGGTTTCGCTAATAGCCGACAACTGGGCACACTGTTGGAGTAAAGCGCGCATCTGATATGAAAAGTAATTGATGGAAAAATTCAAGCTTGGAGAGAACTTTTTCGCGGACGTCACTGCTGCCGTGGAAGAAATGTTTGGAGTAATATGAAACAAAAATGTGGAGACGTCGTTCGTTTTCTGCGGCAACTTGAGGCGAATCTTGAGGCGAGCACTTGTTGATGACCTTCCTGTGCAACTTCTCCAGGCCTTCGATCGCCATGTCCACGGCCCCCGAAGAGATTTCGTCGACCGTCCCAATCAGAACCTTGAATGGGAAATTTCGTGGATCTCGTTTGTCCAAGGAAATCAACTTATTTTTTGATCTTCCAAAATAAATTCTCAGTTTCTACTGAATTCACACTGACCTCGACCATGCTTTCGACAATCTTGATCATATTGTCCTCAATGAAACTCAAAGGAAAACTGTCGACCATGTAGCCCAGGGCACTGGCGCCGCCCAAGCGCGCGAACCAGGCTGGTCCGTAGCACAACTGCATCAGTTTCTCGACCAGGTAACGGCAAAACGGCACTTTTGACATCTGAAAACGCAGATGAGTTGGCCGATTTGAGATATTCAACATATTCTGGACATACCAGACTGATGTCTTGAAGAATCCAGCCACAAGTGTCACTGATGTGCAGTAGAGCGACCATCGCCGAGAAACAGAAATCCTTGTTGGAGTCGGAAAAAGCCGAGGTGAGGGCATCGACGAGAATGGCTGCGTCCATGCACAGGTGCAGAGTTTGCTCGTTCTCCGACTGTCTTATCCACTTGTTGCCGCCTCAAAATCATCCGTGGATGCTCCCATTCAGAGGAACCAGACTGACCGACAAACTCGAGAACTGCTTGGATGGACAGCTGACGCAAGACTGCGTTGAAGAACTTTAAGTACTGACGCAAGTCTTTTCCGCGGACTCCGTCTAATCAAAAAAGTTTCTTTCATCTTCGATCTATCACTCACAAAAGAGGACGAGCAAAGCGTTTATGTAGAGCTGTCGGTCTTTTTCTCGCGAGCACTTGTACACATTGGTCGGAGCATCGGTCAGATCGAAGGTCTGCAGCAAATGAAACTGCCAATGCTGAAAAGGCGGTACTCACTTTGAACTGTTTTTTGAGATGTTCGACAAGTGAATTCGTCCAGCTCTCCGAGGAAAACTCCATCGGTCCCAACGCCGTCAACAGAACCGATTTTGCAAGCTGTAACGGTTTCTTTTTGTTGCATTTCGAATTTTTTTTAAATCCCGCATTTTGAAAAATGAGTGAAACGAAACTACCTCCATACACTGTTGTCGTAAGTGCAAGTTGGGAATTTGAGCAAGATTGGGCTGTGGACCTAAGGGAGACTGGGCGTTTGGCTCTCCTTGCAAGGCACAGAGCCTGAAAATCGATAGTCCCGAGGTGAAAAATCAATTAAAATAAAAGGTGAGCACTTTTTGGGAGAAAACAGCAACTATAACTATTTAACTATAATAAATACCTATAATAAAATTTAAAAAATGTTTTGTCAAGTTTTCTTCTGATTATTGCACTTATGAATCAAAAAAGTACTTCATAGTTTCGACGGCCGTTTTCATCAGTTCATCAAGAGGCAGTTCGGTTCTCAAGAATGGACCATGAAGTGAACTTGGATCGGCGCGATCAAAGTAGATGATCACACGTGACTGAGTTGTATCCTTGTCGACGACTTGCAACTGCTGCAACCCCGAGAATCATTTTGCTTTTTTTTTCGCTGAAACCTGTGGCTCGTTGAGCATTCTTCGATTGGCTCCGCCGAATTTGCCGAGAATTCTGAAGGCGACGTTGGCCGAGTTGGGGTCGGTCGAAGTGCCGACGACGCGCCAAAGACCTTGCATAAGAGCGCCGCGGACTGGAGCCATGTGTTCAAAGAGATACTCCGGCTGCAGATTGTCCACGCACAGCTCCAGAGTTCGTAGGCCTGAACGTTTTCATGACATAGACAGATTGGGGATAGGTAAAAAGGGGATAGGTTTTTATCCTATTTGCTCATCTTTTCTTCTCAGTAGGTTTTGCAGCAACAACAACAAAAAATCACTTTTTTGAAGTGCTAGTATTTTTAAGGAACACACACCCAACTGTTAGTTAAGCAAAACAAAAAACGTTCTGAAGAGCACAGCAGTTTTCCGCTTCTTTCTATGTTTCAAGATTTCGAACCTTGCTGAACTAACGAAGAGCTTCCGTTGAGCGCACAAACGAGCGGGTCCATCAAAAGAGGCAAGTAAGGGAGCAAAGATGAAAGCCTGACAGGAACGGTCAAACACAGCTCGACGAAGAGTTCCCGCATCTGGATTCGATGTTGACAGGACTGCAAAATGAACTCTGAACCTTGCGGAGACCCAATAAACTACCTGGAGTTTGTTCAAAAACTGGAGCAAATTGGGCAGAAGTGGAAGGAATTTTCCGTAGAGAATATCGTGAGCGCCGCCGCCTATGGACCTGAAGAGGGCCCGAAGGAGCAAAAAGTAGTTGAGCGGCTCGCGAGCGCTCAGGGCCAAGGTCGTCGACTGGCGGATCAGGTCTGGCAGGTACGGCTGAACAAAGTTGAGTTTGAGAAAGTTCCTATCGCCGGTATGATTCTGACTATCCTTCTCACGACCTGAGACCGTAGGCAAGAATGTCGAAAAACAGTGCACTAGGAAATTTCAGATGAATGGTTTTCGCAAAAAAATTCAAAAAATGAGTAAAGTCATGTGAAAAGAGTAAAATTTTTTGTGAAAATGTATTTTCCTTTTTTTTTTCTTCCTTCTTATTTTTGAAGACTAGATTTGAAAGGAACCAACCTTGAGCATTTTCTCGCCCTCTACGTTTGGTTGGTGGGTTCCGATCGCGGAAAAAATTATTTTGAACAGCTTCACATAAAGACTTGTCTTCTCATTGCTCACTGAAACGGTTCCATAAGACAAATAACAACAGAAAAAAAAATACCCGACAAAAAGGCCATTCTTGACATGAGATACTTCAACATGATCTCTGCAAAAAAGGGCACTTCATTCCGGACCAAAAACGTATTGACCAATATTTGCAGGGGGAGGTTTCTAAAAAATTTTGATTTGAAATTTCAAAAAATTCACTTGAATATGCGTTCGATGAGAAAATCCATGTATTTGGTGAAGAGTTCGCGGAATATTTCGTGGTTGATTGATGTAAACTGAAAAAAGGGTCAAAATATCAAGGGAATAGCAAAAAATGTTTTTAATTAATTTTTTTGTGGTAATAAGTAACGGAGATCAAGACCAACGTCGACACGATCTTCATTCAAAGAGTAAACACGAAATCATGAGAAACCAACCACACTGGTGAGAGACTCGAGGGTGTCTTTCTCGTCCTTGGATCGATTGGAAGAGCCTGATCTGAAAAAAGGATATGAGAAAGAAAAACGGAGAAATCTGACGGCAGCTGATTGCGCGGAGCATTGTGCGGCAGAATGAAGACGTCCATGCACATCACGCCGTACTTCAGAAGCCTTTCGTAGAGATCACGCTCTCGAGAAACGTGATAAGAGTCTGGAAAGAGTTGGAATGAACTCAAAATTCGGAAAAAGGGCAGAACTCTTCGTCAATCGCGTGTCTTTGACTTGATTCGTCGCGAACTTCGCCGTTTGCAGGATGTACTTTATAAGGTTTCGACCGTCCGAAACCGAGATTGGCGGCGGAGTCACCTTAATCAGCACAATTGGTTTTTTTTTTTGGTGACATCATACAAGACTAAAAAAACAACTAAATTTAACAGGCTTCCAAGTTAATCAGTACTTTGAGAACTTTAACTACGCAAAACTTTGTTTCCTGAAAATCTGAAAATATGCAAAAAAAAATCCATCTTTCATTTTTTTCCTGGTAGACTGTTTAAAGCTTTTTTCGAGCACTTCTATCAAAATATTTCTGTAATTTCTAACATTACCCTTTTTTTTGTTACCTTTCGAAAAGTTTTTCCAGTAAGAAGATCTTAAAAGCGGCTAAAAGTTTTTTTTTTTTAGAGTTTTGAACTTTTTGTGAAGGCTGGAACGAAAACTGACAGCCCATAACGAAGTGAGGATAGCATCAGGAGTGGCGAATTTTCCTTCTTTCGTGGGCGGCGGAAGCGAAGAAATCGGCACTTCGTTCATCGACGCCACTGCAAACTTGATATTTTCAAACTGAAGCTTCTTCAAAGAGAAAATTTTTTTCATTTTAAAAGTTTAGTAACTACTTCGAAATAACCGTCTCTCCAGAAATCATCGTACAGAATTCTAATACCATTTCCCTTATAAGGGAACTGGAAAACAATTTCATAAATATGGCTACCGCTTTTTTATAAAATTGGAAATGGCGGCGCATTCAACGCCCCATTTTTCCTATTTCGAAGAAAATTTGTCCAATACTGACCGGGGAACTCGAGTTCCTTGACAGAGTCGACAGAATCCCGTCGTTCCCTGGGCTTCTCCTTCGGCTTTATCTCGGAAGACGTCGGCGGCGCCTCTTCTTCTGCGAACCTCTCCGGAGGCTTGTACTCGTAGTCTAGCTCGTTGGCGTGGATTTGAAACAGTAGGGGCAGATGATAGACTGCTACAGTTTTCAACTTCGCCACCAAAGACTCCAAAACTTCGAAAATGAGATCGCGAGTCTGGAAAAGAACACGATTACAAAACGCTGAAAAATGAACTGTGACAAATTTGTTGGGAAAAAGGATCATTTGAAAACTGATTTGAATTCGAATAGGTAAAAAAAAAGAGTTGAAGGAAATAAAACTAACGGGTTCGCCTTGAGATTCCATTCGAACCATACATTCTGTGACGCTGTTGAGAAGACGTGCGGCCATTATTTGAACTTGGAAACTGACGGTCGGATCATGGAGCTGACGGCAGAAAATGAATGCCACACTGCAATATATGTGATAGTTTTAGAACAGTAACCCCCTTCAAAAATTAGTAAAAAATCTTTGAAATCAAACTTCGATTCAGATTTTGTTAGGGTTATACATCAAAATTATTTCGGAAAAATGCAATTGAAGAAAAAAGAAAGACCTGTGATGAGATCCTATAAAAATCTCGAAGAAAAAAACTTTTCCTTTCAATTATTCCGATCAATTTTTGTTTCTTGAACACCTTGAATTAAATAATTAAAAATGGAACTGACTAAGAAAGCATGGGGAAGTTTAAACTGTTGCGCATGTGGTGGAGGAGGTCGGCCAGCATTTGATACAGGAATGTTCTGGATGAAAAATTAATTTTTCTCAGCCACAGCAATTTACCTTAAGTGGTCCACAGAGGTGAATCCTTTTCCAAGCAACGCAGTTTCAGAAATCAGCCTTGGCAGAACCGGTAGGAACTTGTTGCGAATTTCGCAAGAGAAGAAGTACTTAAGAGTCATTAGAACGTCCCTCAAAAGATAAAATGTTAAGAATTGAAGAATAAGTCAAAAAGCTCACTTCCTCACGGTTATCAGAGCAGCTGGACAATGCTCCAAAAGCTGCAGAACGCCGGAAACGAGCAAGTTTCCTTGGCTTTGAATTACATCCATGTACTGCAAATAAAACTTCAATTAAAGTTTTTTTTGTTTGCAAAAATTTATTCTTTTTGTGAACTACGTTCATTTTAATCTGATGAAAGAAGCTTACCATTGGGACTTTACCCATAATATTGACGAAATTGAGGAATTTGGCCTGTGCGAGACAAAAGTCATCGGCGAGCTGCTGATTGTAGGTCGTCAAGCCTTCTGGATTCGGAACCACTGCGTTGAGGAATTGAAGACCGTGGAGCATAAATTCTGTCACCTTAATCAGGTTCATTCTCATCAGTAAACGAATAAAGGATGTTCTCAATAATTTTCGATTCAAAAGAGAAAGCGTACCTCGGCTTGAATATTCTGCTTGTGATATTGAAAGAAGAACACGACGAGCATCGGAACCTCTTGTAGGCATTTGACTGACAGAGTAGCCCGCGGAATCAGATTGTACTGAAAAAGAAGACACATTTTTTTCGTACTTTCTTTCAAGCTACCTTGGTATCTGAAGAGCCGCCAAGTGTGACCGCTTGCAAGTGGTAACAATATGCCAACTCCTGAAGAACCTTTTTCGAAGAGTAATGCGAACGGGAAAACCTGAGAGATGACGTCTTCGTCGGAGCGATTGCTGATGTCGTTGGGCGGTTTTCTCGTGATGAACATCCACTCAGAAGCCGCGCTCAAGTCTTTCAACATCGTCTTGAAAGCCGTCATGGCTGCTGTTATCTGAAAAAAAAAGAAAGGTACAAAAAACAAGAGTGATCTCACATCGCTGCTGTATTGGGTTCTGACGGAACGGCCCTGATCGATGATGATTTTGATGGCCAAAATTGCATTTTCTTCGTTTTCGACGGTTATGAGTCGGAGCATTATTTTTTGCAGGTCTCTGGAAAACCGTTTCACAGCGTCTATGCTCGACATCCTCAGAATCACTTCGAGCATCAGTTTCCGAAGAAGCTGCAAGGACAATGGTACTGAGATTTTCCGAGAAAAAGAGTCACCTGAGTATTGTTTTCAGCTATGAACTGAGGTGTCGTTTCGCTGAAAAGTTTTATGAAGCAGTGCATCAGGTTCTCGATTGGATTTTGATAGGCTGGTAGTTGATAGCAAGTGTCCAAGCTCGCCCAGATTTCCTGAAGAAGAGAATAAGGAAATAAAACGAGGTAAGGCTATCAAGCTATTCTCGACTCTCTTTATGATAAACCCAACTCATAATTGTTTTTTTCTCAGAAGATAGTTTAAAAAAATGCTTCACATCAAATGAGAAAGTTTTTGAATATTAAAGAATTTAACTGTCCTAGTTTTCTGTACTTGTCAAGATTTCCAGATATAGAACTATTAGACAGAGTTTTATTAACAGCACCTGGAGTGTTTTCAGCTTCAAGTCGTCTCGTTGAGCGATATCGCCAAGGTTGACAATTCTGCGTTCGAGCTCGACCAGAAGAAACGAAGTAGAGGCCTGCTGGTGGAAATTTTGCTGCTGTGGAGCCATTCCCATCATTGGCTGCTGATGTTGAGAGTACTGAACTGGTTGCGAAGAAGTCGAGGGCAAATTTGTCGGGTTGGCCGTTGCAGCGCCGCCAGCAGCTATTGACCCGTTAGGTGGATTCTGCGAAGAGGACGGCAAAGAACCGCCTCTTTGCATCTTAGACTGAAACTGAATATTTGAAAACTTTGAAAAATCAGTTACCACACGAACTTCAAGAAATATCGTTCAGAATTTCAAAAAAAAAAAGAAAAAAAACTTCTTCCCAAAACAATTTTTGAAAAATGAGATCACATAACCCTGGAAAAAATTCAAATGACATCAAAAAATTGAACTACTTCAAATAAATAAATAGCAACTCTAAAAAACGTTTACTTCATTTTTCTTTTGCAATAGCTTTCAACGACCCTTCGAATATAATTAGCGGAATACTCTCTAACATGGAGCGCCAAAAGGACGCCACAACTCGTTCTCTGACACACACTATTTCGTCGTTATATATCTAGCTGCGTAAAAACGTCGGAACAGTTTAGGTCAGAGAAATAGTTTTGGCGCCCTTTTAACCCCTCACAAAAATCTCACCATATACCAGCAGAAAAAAAAGAAACGTAGGAAGAAAAGAAAAATATATAAAAAATAAAATTTAAAAAGAAAAACTTTCAACAATCTATAAGCAAAACCCATCCAAACCATGGAGTAATTTTTTAAGTTGAAATAAATAAACAGACTATGTTAATTTATAGAACCTTCTTAGGAAGTAAGAAATGATCTTCTGAGGTTAATTTTATAAAGAACAAAGAACAACAACAACGAAAACAACAACAAAAAATTAATTCAAATTTTGAATGCCGCGCTAGAGACGCGCAACTGTCGCACTAATTTGTGGGCGTGGCTCGGGCTTCGAGCCACGGGGTCGTGGCTTGAATACATATGGAGACTCAAACATTTTTTTCAATTGTTCAGTCTTCATGGATTTGTATAAATATAAATCTTTTCAGATGGGAGGCATAATAAGTGCCGAAACGCCAATAGGAGAAAACGTTTATTTGAAAAAGTTATCCGGTCTCGAGCCAATCAGTGATAATGAACCTTTTTGGAACACTCTACTTTCTTTCAATCTGAAAATCGACGACAACGATATGTTAGTTTTCCTGTTTTAATTCCAATTAGTTATAATATCGAAAGGAAGGTTCAGTGAATCCGCAAAAAGCCTGGAAGCTGCGTTAGAAGATCACATGCAGTCTTTGATGTACAATACTCAAACCACAGGGAACTTTGCTGCTTTCATCCGAGTTTTTTTGCGCCGAGCAACTGAGCTGAAAGTTTCGGAGCAATGTGAAAAGTTAGTTTTACAAACTTTGATCGATACTTTTTTATTTAAATTTTCATCATAAAGCGGAGCTGAAATTTTTTAATCACTTTAGTAAAGAGGAAAATATTCAATAATATTTTTCATAATCCTGCTGTCCTTTAAATCAAGAAAAGTTACCAATTTAACAGTGATTGAGCTCAGTAATATTACAGCAAAATTTACCTGTGGCAAACAGCCAACGCGCTACTGATGTTCCGGTACATTTTCAAGTTCCTTACCCAGCGAATGACAGAAAAGGAGTTCGTACGAGTTTTCTCGAAAAATCCTTCGCCACAATCGTCTCCAAAATCCTCGCTAGATGATGATGAAGAATCGGAAGAATCTAACGACGAAGAAGTTCAAACAGGTTAGCTGAACCTCGTGTTCTTTAAAACTTCATTCCTTTCAGAAGAAAACTTGAATGAAAAAAAGAAAATCGATTTTCAAAGTACGGCCGAAGAGTTCACTTATAACCTCTGTTCGATTCTTGTCGACATACCTGTGAAGTGAGCCAAGAATTGTTGTCCAGAAATGATTTTATTCAGCGATTTGACATTAGCGATTCACGTGGAGGCGATTCGGAGCCTTCTAACCCTCCTCAGTTCTCAGCTGTACAACGAGGCGATAGTCAACACTTCCATCGTTTTCCGATACTTCATTTCTGGCGCTTGGTTAGTTAAGCTGGACTTCAAGTTCACGATTTCTTTTTCAAATTTCAGTTCAAAGCAAGCCGCTGAGCTGACGAAGACGTTGCTAAGAAATTATCTGCATCACAACAGTGAATATCAGCCAGTAGCCAAGAAACAGCCCGAAAGTCTGGTATTCGGTCTTGCGGGTTCGTTAGCCTTCAAACTTTCTTTTGTCAAATTATTCACTTTTTCTTTTTTGCTCATTCTTTGAATGAAAAAATATTTTAGCAAAATTTACTTATGCAATAACCGAAACATGTAGTTAGCGAAGGAAAACTGATCCCGGGCTTGAAAATAGATTTTTGATAGAAATATATCTTCTTTTGCGAAGTTATCGAAAATATTTTCAGATTTCAACAACAAAATACGAAGAAAGGGAAAATTTTGCCATTTTCAGCCTCCATGTGGTCCATGGTGCAGCTGGCAGCCGGGTTGGATTCTGAAGAGGAAAACGTGCCGCCGCCGCTGACGCTCGGCAGTTTGAGCATCTTGTTGTTGCTGAACCTCGCCTGTCATCACCGTCTGGACAACGCCAATCCATTCAAGGAAACCCTCGCCCTTTTCCAGAACTCGCAGGGTAACCTTGACTTTGACAAAAAGCTCTCTGAAAATTCACAGCTTTTAAAGATTAAAAAGCCATGAAATCAAAAAATAGATGGAAGTGAGTTTTGAAGATGAAAGCGTTTTTCAACTTCATTTTTTGATTTTCGAATTGCTTCGAATCGCTTAGCCAAGAACTTTTAAAGGGTCCTCATTGTTTATATTAAAAGGTTGCGAATCCTTTTTAGCTTCCGGAGTTTTTCGTTTTAACTCCCACATTTTTGCGCCGCAAATCGTATTGCATTCGATTCCCTGATTTCCACTTCTAATCATTCAGAGGTTTCGACGTTGCCGACAGAAGTCGAGTCCTTCAAACTCGACTACAACGGCCTCTACGAGCGGCTTTGCGCGACTGCCGGACAAGAGCCGCCGATGTTGCTCCTCTACCTTTCGCTGCACGGAAACTCGGCCTTTAGAAACTACGTTCTGTCGCGGATCAACCTCGAGAATCTAGTTGGTGTATCCTTCGAAGGTCTTTCTTCAAGGCTTCCAGGTAGTTCCCGTCCTCCAAATACTGTATGAAGGAGTGTCTACGACAACCAACTCTCATCACATGTACTTGGCGTTGATTGTCATGCTCATTTTGAGCGAAGACGACTTTTTCTGCAAAATCATTCACGAAACGGTGAGTTTGTCGCGCTTTTTCTTGTATAAACCTTTTTTTCAACGGCGTTTTGCAGATAGTAAGAAATATCGATTGGCTGGAAGGGGAAACGAGTCTTCGTGAGATTTCTCTCGGAGGCCTGACCGCACTAGTTTTTGTCAGAACCATCCAGAAGAACGCTATAAAAACGAGAGTGAGCTTTGCTGGACTTTTTCGAATTTATTTTTTGAAGTTTGAAAATGAACTATTTTATCAAGTGGAGGTTTCTCTATTCCCTACAAGGTTTTAAAAAAAGTTACACAATGGTGAATGGAGTACATGAGCGTGATATTCTTTTTCGGCTTGAAACATTTGAAAATATTAAATTTTGTTTAATGATTTTTTAATGATTTGAAACATCATCACTTTTTTTTGAAGGGATACAACTACGATAATATGATGAAATTCAATCTCATAACACTTTTTTAAAGTTGAAATTCTGATGTTTAGGACCGTTACCTCCATACGAACTGCCTGGCTGCGCTGGCAAACATGTCTGCCTGTTTCAAGCAATTGGCCCCGATCGTCTGCCAACGATTCATCTCGCTCCTAGAGGTATTTATCGCGGCTCGAAGATCAAATTCCTGGTGATCAGCTGCTGACGAAGCGACATTCAAAGATGGTGGAACACATGCGTGTGAGCAGCGAGTTGGACGTCGTCGATGGACAGCCCGTCAACTTTGTCAGTTTCTAGCCGACTGAAGTTCGACCAAAAGCATTTCAGCACGACGACATCACGGCGCTCGAGGAGGGCATCAGAACCATTTTGGAGATTATCAACAGCGCGCTGACTGCCGGCCTGAGGTTCCTTTTTCTCAGAAGAAAAGAATGACGAAATTCTCTTTCCAAGACACAATCCGCATCTGATCTACACCCTCCTATACCACCGAAGCCTTTTCGATGCCTACCAACACCATCCAATGTTTCAGGTCGCTCCATCATGATGTCTTCCAAATCTCTCCTTTCTTTTTGCAGGACCTTCTGGCCAACATTTCAGCGGTGATTGCTCATTTTTCGTCCAAAGTCGTGCATGTGAAAGCCGGAGATGGAGCAGCTATGATGTCGATCATTGAAAAAGAAGCCGTGACGTGGCCGACTGATCGGCTCGCCAAGTTCCCTGAGCTCAAGTTCAGGTAATTCTACAGTTTACGTGAGAATATTTCTGCGTTTCACAAGAAGCGAAAGGGACTCTGTCAGTTTGTTGTATTTCATTCGTAAAAATATATTTGAGTTTAACTGTCAGAGAAAGAAAAAGATAATTATATTTTGAAATGTCAGATTATTTTGCATTTCGCGCAAGTTACTTCGAACAGGGAATTAATTATCTACCTCTATCGTTTTCGAATAAAACTGACAAATATAAAATGAACTGTTTGACATAATTTCGCACCATGAACCGGTGTTCGTTTTACTTTATCCTTCTGCAGGTACGTTGAAGACGAGAACACGGTGGATTTTTTTGTGCCATACGTCTGGCGTCTGGCTCTCGAACATTCTGGGATCTACTTCGACGTTTCTCGCGTCAAGCTGTTCAACGCTCGTTCGTTAAGCTCTACGACGGCAGAAGAATAGGTGAAAGCTGAAATATTTTACCCTTTTCCAATTTTTTTTTTCCTCCGTTAATTTGTTCAAAAGTTCTATGGCGGCTATTGGAAGACGCAGAACTTTCGCATAACATCAAATAGTATTAAATGACTTTTCCTCGAGAGACTTTCCCTTCGAGACTTCCCGAAAATTTTCATAATTAGTTCCGCCAAGTCTTTTCGAACCGACTCTACTGGATTTTCGCGGCTTTTTCTTTTTTTTTTAATCAATCGTTAGTATCTGCTACCGTGTCTTAATCTTAGAAAAAGCGTTTTTACGATTTAAAGTTTGAAAATTTTTTCAACAATGTTTTTTTTTTCAAATTTCAAACGATCTTAATCATATTGAGATATTCATGACGAGGAATTCGGAAAAAGGCGGAAAAGTCGCTAAAATTCGTGCTGTCAAAAAAAAAATGTAAATATTGCAAGTTCTTTTGTTCTCAAGCTTCCAACGGACTTTCGTTACTTTTTAATTAAGAAAAGTATTCCCATGAAACGGAATGACTAAAATGATTTTGAGCTTTGTGTAAATATTGTTTTTGAAAAGTTAAGAATTATTTCCTCCTTTTCATCTGGCTTCTTGTCTTGTGCAGAAGTGTACTTGCATTGAAATACGCTTCTTTTCTTGTGCCTTTTTCATATTTTATTGCTTCTGTCTTTCTGTGATAATACCATAATATATTTCAAAAAATCGAAGATGCCTGGTTTTCAAGGTTTTGACTATTAATGATTAATAAAAGTTTATAACGATCAAAAAGAAACCGCTCAACAAAATTCATAGGCCTTTGTTGAAATAAACCGTAGTAGGAGCGTCTGGTAGCTTGAGGATCTGTTCTTTCAAAGGTTTCTCCAAGAGCTCGACCTGAAGTTTGAATTTTTATCAGTACTCAAATGACAATGGGAAGAAATTCTCTGCTTACCGGCAAGCTGCTTTTCTGAGGGAAAAGAGCGCAACAAAGAGGAGTGGAGAAGGCTAGCATGAAGCCACAAATGATGGTCTGCAGCGGCGCCGCCATCCAGGATCTGTACCAATTGGCCCGAGCAAAACGCGTAAAAAGCAGTGGTCCAAGCACCATGTTCGGTACAGCCATACCCACGCGACTGATCACAACTTCTGGAATCGCGTAATAGGGCGCCGCTGTAGAGAAACCGATGGTCCGACCAGCGGCATCCTCCACAGGAATCCCAGATGTGAACTCTCTGGAAATCTTGATTTGGTTAACTCGTTGAAAAACAAATCTTGACTTGTTTCGCATCATTGGTATATTAATCGCGTTGGCGATGGCAATCGCGGCAAAAGGTACGAGTCGAGCCAACATAGGTGGAGCATTCTGGAGAGAAGATACAGTATGAAAAAGTGAAATAATAAGGAAAATACCTTTATCTTCGATATCAAGTGGTTGGCGCCCAAGGCACAAGTCACAGCTCCCGTAGTTGCGGCGCAGTAGGACTTGAGCAGAGTGGCGTCGTCCTGTTTGTGTGTACCTGAAACCGTTTTGATTCAAGGGCGGTGTCCCAAACGCGCATCACCACTGCGGTTAGTGTAGTTGACGATGGCATTGAAGGACTGATTGAGCCAATGGAAAAAAAGAACGTGGTGAAATCTAGGTTACTTCTTCGTTTTTTCGTTTTTCTTATTTTTCGCAAGTAAAACTGAGGGAAGCGAATCGTAAAAATATTACTCCAGGAAAATCATTCTTTTTTTTTCAACAGGTTCAGTAGCTTCAATTTTATTAAAAACTGAAGAATTAAAAAAAAACCTTTGGTAAAAGGTTAACATGCCGCCAGTTATGAGCATATTGCAAGGCACCTGAACTTGATAGTTATAAAAAAAGAAAAGTTTTTAGAATGACGAACTTGAGCGCTCATCCTTCCTAAAATAAACATTTTCTCGCCCGTGTCTGGATGGTAAGCCGAGTCGTAAAGGTTTTTTGCTCTCCAAAGCTCGTCGACTGTCATATTCGGGTCGAACTTGCCCAATCTGAGTCGGATTGGAAAGAATGAGTCTTCACGATTTCAATAGGAGTTGTTGTATGAGAGTTTTGTGAGAGATTAACTTGTATTGTGTGATTATTTGACGAGCGTGATCAAGCTGTGCATTCGAGGCAAACAAGTTCATCGGATTCGTGGTGGCGAAGAAATGGTAAGCTCTTCCTGAAAAATCGATTTAATGCATCTTCGTGGAGGCCACCTTCGAACAGATGCTGATCCCAACGCGGCTTCGAAAGGTTTGGCAGTTCGCCGCAATTTGATAAGTGATCCGACATATCTGAACACTATGAAGGTTAAAACAAGAAAAAAAAATAGAATACCACAATTACTGATAAAAAACTCTTGGAAATGATGGCCACATACAACGCGTTTGCGTGTTAGTAATATTGATTCCTACGCAAAATGTTCGAAGTAAAACAAAATGAGCTCAGGGGTGTGCGGATCCTGAAGGAAACGCCACCCTCCTGGGAATTTTCGTGAAGCTCTTAACTCGATGAGAGCCGTTCTCGGACTGAACAGAGCACCGCAAATAATTATCTTTTTAGAGATATCGGGGTGTCGAGTTTCTGCAGTTTCTGGAACTAATTATTTCAGAAGAGTTTCAATTTCAGCACAGCTTTCCAAAACTTTTTGTTTCCATTTTTTGCTATTTATAAACTTTAAAAAACAGCAAGGAACTCCCTCCGACGGTTTGAGACCTTGAGAATTCGTGTATCTGGAATAATATAACTGGATCCATGTTTGTTCGACGAAGTCCTCACCCTTTATGGAGCTCCATTCGGTTTAGAGAATTCTCGAAACTCCTTTGATACATTTTCTTATTTTTTCATCTGTTTTTGTAGTCTTTTTTTTAAACATTTTCCAAGGGTCTGAACTAAAATTAAAAGCAAAAATATGATTGCCAGGTAGATTTTTTTTTCTGAAATGGTTGCTGAAAAAAAAATCTCGAGGTGCTTCGAAAAACCCAAGGCTTGGCTTTCAATTTTTGTGTAGGATATAGTGAATTTTCAGTGTCCGCATAGTAGGAAAACTAACAACCTCAGTCGAAGATTTTGAAGTTTTAAGATTTGAACAGTCATCATTTTTTTTTAGAGATTTCTACAGCGATTTTCGAGCAGAGACTCAGGACGAATTAATCATATCCAAATATCCTTTCTCTGGTCAGACCAGCCGCGGCTTTTCCATGTCTACCGTCTCGACTGCAGTGCTTTTCTTTTGAACAATGAGTTTTTGCGATTGTTCGTAACAAGGAAGAGACCAATCGACTTGGTTCTAACCTTTGAATCGAGAAAAATGCCGCGTAGTTGCAGCAGTCGTAAGAATTGGACATGTGAAGAGATCGTCGGCGAGTTGCAAACGAGTTGAGTTGTGTCGAAAACAACACAGCGGCCGACTGTTAACACACCGAGACCTGAACCGGTGTTAAATTGTTAGTGGCATTGATAGTCCACGAACGACGAGTTTCTGCTTTCGTTTTTTTTGTCCCTCGACTCGACTATTTATGCCACTGCCAAGGTTTTGTCACACCACGGTCTCGATGTAAACTTTACTCTATTTCAATCAACGTCCGCTTTCTTCGGTTTTGCGTTTTGTACACATATTTCCAGGAACGATACCAATTCGTTCAAAATTAGCCTTTCATCGCAAATGTGCTCCGCCGTGCAACTGATAGATTCTCGGACATTGGTAACGCGAAACGGACGTGCTCCGGACGTTTCTGGGCGATTCAAGGGATCACTTAAGAGCGTTAAGGCTACTAAAGTGGTCACTAGAAATGCACCGACACGTCCGTTTCGCGTCCCGTTCGCGTTACCAAGGTCCGAGTTGTTTCCTTGGATCAGGCTTGTGCGCCAGGCCGGGCTTTGGGCCTCATTTTCAGGAAAAAGCCCGCGTGCGCTCGGGCCGAGCCGGGCTTCAAAAAAAAATTTAAAATTTCATTTAAAAAATTTTCACCGAAATGTGACTTTTACTTCTGAAATCATAGTTTTTGTTAAACTTTAAGAGAAAAAGTGAGCAAAAACGTAATTTTTGTCGTAAAAAAACTTGATATTCAACTAGAAAAAAATCGCGCGATTCGGGCCGGGCGGGCCATTTTTTCTTGAGGCCCGCTAAGGCCGGGCCGGGCCGGGCTTAGGAAATGGTCGGGGGGCCGGGAGGGTGACGGGCCGGCCCCCCGACCAATTTTTATCACAAGAAAAAACCAAAGTCTTAACATTCGTTTAGTTTTTCGGCCCATTATCAGGTCTAAAGACGTCAAAAAAGAGAAAAGACCTTGAAGCCGCCATCTTCTCGCTGTTTTCCAGTATTGTTGAAGAAAAGATCGAAGACCATGGTGATTGGTTAGTTGAATCTTTTTCCCTATCGATAAAGCGCAAATTTGATTTCAGACTGTGAAAGTTTTCTGAGCACAAGTTAGAAGTTTCAAAAGGTTTTGAAAGATAATTCTTATCAGAAACTCTGACTTTTTTCTGAAAATAGAATCTGGCCGCTTCGAAACACCGTTCTTTGAAAGCTCAGATGCACCTAGCAAGGAGGCGGGGCCTAGGAAGAAACGAAGAAAAGACGCGCGCCGACATTACTACGAACTGTTTCCGTCTTTCTTTTCTTTAATTCTCTTTCTTTTGTTCACGCGGCTGCACAATACTACCGTAGCCCACTACGGATGTTTCGACTGCCAAAATTCTTCTTTTATCTGTCCGCTTGAAAATTGGTTTGAGCTGCTTAAAGCTGAAAAAACTAATTATGCAGCTAAATAATAGGAAAAAACTTGATCTGAAGTCCACAACAATCTGCAGATTTTCTGTGTGAATCTTCGCTTGAAATAGTCTGGCCCGTCTGTGCCCTCCTGTCTCTCAACGGTGCTTCTGTTTTAGCGGGATATTTGTGTTCATGACCAAACCTATGAGATAATAAAGCGCAGGCAGTTCAAAAATGTTTGAAACTGTGAAGATTGAAGCAGCAAATAGAGTACATGAAACCGAGTTCAGCTTTGGACTTTCTTCTAACTTTTTTCCTTTTTAATCGCTGAAAATTTTCCCTCAGAAACCCGTAACGTAAACTAAAATTAACTCAACTGAATTCGCTCGCACCAAATTCGCTAAGTGGCCAGGTTTTGGGCAGAATTCATCATTTTGAAGTTTTTGACGAAACAAAACAATAATACCTTGTGGTCAATCGCCTCACATGGGGAATCTTAAACCTAAAATTTTGGATAAGTCGATTGGCTCAACAATTTTTTGATTTTTGATAGATTGAGAGTCGAACCATTCCGCCGCTTTCTGCGCAAACATCAACTTTTAGAGTTTTGATTTTCAAAAGTTGCGGAGTTCTGGATTTTTTTAAAATGAGTTTAAGACCTAATTATGTCTTGAACGCAAAAATTATAACACTCATTTACAAAATTTGAAGTTTGATCAGATAGTGACTATGAGGGTTCGGTTCCTCAAAGATTTTTTGAGCGAGTTCAAAGAGAATTCCAGAAGGCTAGGCTGACTCTTTTTCAGAACAAACATATTGAAAACATTTAGACTTGAAACGGTCCAGACTATCAAAACAGGTGGGAAGATACCTTCTCCATACAACGCGTCTTGATTCTCGGTTTCGCTCTTCAAGGCCGTCGCTTCCCTTTTCTTGACGAGAAGGAAAAAACGTCACAAATTGCGGCTTTGACGTCACAAACGGACAGTTTGAGAATGAAAAACAGAACGCCCACTTGTTACAATGGCAAAGCCTCGTCAGTTCTTGTTACCCATTTGTCCTGAACTCTCATCGAGTTTTGTAACTGTTTTCCTAGGCTTCCAAAAAAAAAAATCTGGCCTAGTTTTTTCGTGAGCATTTTTTTGTTTCTAAAATCATTTCCAGTTACTCAAAACGATTTTTGTTGTAGAGTCGAGATGGTGCAGATCTGGCAGATGGAGCCGTACCCGTGTGGCGATCCTCGTCTGCCTCACCACGTCTTCCCGCCCAAGATGATCACTCCAGACGAACTCAGCAAACGCACCGGAACCCTCTATTGGAAGGTAACCCGTTTTCAATGGAAAAAAGCTTCTCAGGGTATCTTTCATGCAAGAACGCATGTACGATGGAGAAAAAAAACTGTAAGAAAAAATGCTGATGACAAGGATTCAGGCCTTCTCTGAGTTTTGCTCTTAACTTTCAAAAAACCAAAGGCGTGGTCAATTTTGGACTTGAACTAGCTACCTTGCGCCTGCAAAGGAATTTTTTTTCTCAGATTCGGTAGCTCCAAGCAAAGTTTCTTTTTTTTTTAACAACTGAACTATGTTTTCCTTTAGTGGGCATCTACATCTAAAAGAAAGAAAAGCTGTTACTTCGACGCCATCGCGCGTTCTCGTGTCCAATAGAAAAAAAAGAAAAGAAAACTCTAATTGCCTTGATAAAACTGAGAAACCAGTTAATGGGGATGGCATGCGAAAAATCGTGACGGTTGCGAGAAAAAAAGATCGAAAATAATGGAAAAATTGACCAGTGATTCGATGATAAAACTTTCTAAGTGTTTTTAAGTTTTGAGGATTTTTACAGGGGCTGACATCTAGGTTCAGGTTTAAAAAATTCCTCACTTCTTAGACTTTCTTGATGTCTTTAGTCCATGAAAGATCGATAATTTCATATCAATATTAAAGACTTACGGCTGACCACTCCAGGAACTAATTCCCAGCAGGAAACGAAACATTTTGCGACAAAAAGATGAAAGGTTTTTCAAAAGATCGAAAGCAACATATGAGGCTTTTTCGACAAAATTAGCCTTTCGACAAAAGTTCGTTTATTACGAGAAATTTCATTCTTCTCCACACTAAGTTGGTACAATCCAAAGGTCCGAGTTGAATGAAATTTGACACCAAATTTTATTTATTTTTATTTTTCAAATTCCAGCTGGACACACTGGATCAAATCGCTCTCGCAAAAAGATTGACGACTTTGAAGCTGGAGAGAAATTTCAAGCGAGAAGATATCTTCACCCTCGACGCCGAAACAACCGCTAACTTTGACGACAAGGTTGGATTGAACGAAAAGCGAGAATAATGTTGGGATTCAGCTCGAGGAGCTCTTCGAAGAATCGAGTACTCCAGTGGAACAGGCCAGGATGATCATCGAAGGCTGCGCCTATTACGACGTCGAGGACAAGGTGAAAACCTTTTTCGCGTTCTGTATTTCTCGACTTTTTGATTTTAGAACGGCGACTGGGTACGTATCTTCTGCGAGTACGGAGACCTCATTCTGATCCCAGCACACACCAATTTCCGCTTCACGACAACTCCCAGGGTAAAACTTGACTTCTACGAATACTGAAACAGGCATTTTCATATCAAAATAGCGATATTTACCTCTTGATAGAATTTATATTAAATATTTCTTTTTTTGCAGAACTTTGTGAAGATGCGTCGTTTCTACAAAGATGAGACCAATTGAAATGACTTTTCGACCGATTCAAACGAGAAAAAAAAACAATAATGACTGCCCCTGACCCTTGAAGACTGTACATGTAAATACATATTGTGTGTTAGTCATACGCTTATTAACGCCTGTTTAGTCAAATAAACATGAAATTATCAACAACTGCGCGAGAAAACTGTATTTTTCTCGAACTTTCGATTTTCATTGATAAAGTTTATATAAAGAAAGAATAACCTCCTCAAGGATCCTCTGTGGAAGAAAAGTAAGGATTCTTTTGAAAATTGAACAGAAGCCGGGTCGAAAAACGATCAACGACATAACATATCGGCTCATCTTTCAACTACTGCCGCCTGATAACGAAAACTGGCGTTTTTCACGCATCTTTCAAGTCTACACGCACAGTTCTGTTTATAAAGAAGTGCGATTGAAGCTTCTCAGGAGAATTTCCGCTTTTGCATATTTCAGAGCACACTACGAGAACCCAAAATAATTATTGTTAATTATTTCTCGTCTTTTCCGTGGAGAAAAAGGGCCGCGACCGAAAAAGTTCCGTTAAACCCAAACGAAGTGTCATTGTGTGGAGGTGACGCTCTACTTGCCATGTCTCTATTTCCGCCCAAACAACGAGACGAAAGTCCTTTCGAATTGTTTCTCTCTCGCATCGAATCAACCGACCCAACTCTACTATTTCCTATTTTTAACGATCTGTGACTCCAATCAGAGCTTTTTTAGGCGTGATAGGGTTTCGTTTCGAAATAATAATAGTTTTCTGAGAAAATTAATGAAGATTTTTCAATTCATCGCTCTCTCTTTTTCGAAAATTTTTCTAGAAACTGCACTTGTGTGCTACGTAGAGTACAATTTCTATTTGTATTCTCGATATTCTAGGAATTGATGAATTTGAACTCTATTATTTTGGCGTCATTTAGACTTATCCCTACGTTTGCAGTGATAAATCACATTCGGTACATACCGTATGTATTTAACACACGTCTTCTCTTCTATTTCCTTCATCTTGCAATTTCTTCGTTTCTTCCGCCCTCTATGTATGCAAAAAAGGCAATAATGTCGGCGGCTAATGAAGAGTAATGAGAACTTCATTTTCTCTGTCTGTTTTTCTGACCCAAATGCTTAAGCGGAAGCTTTCTTTTCCTTGAATAGAAAAGGTGGCAGTCAATCTCTTTGTATTGGGTTTTGTCCATTCACGACGATGAAGAACAATAAGTTAAGCCGAAAACAAGCAAACAAAACTGACCCGAGAGCCTCTCAGCCTCGTTCCTCCCACTCCATTTTTTCTCTCTCTCTTGACTTTTAAGGCCAGCATAATTCTGTCGCATTTTTAAATTTCCGAATTATCTTCGCGAAATTTTCAGAATTTGTATTTAAGTATGAGGGAAGTCGCCATTCAAACAGTTCTGATGTTCCTACTGTTAGACACAGTTTTTTCAAAGGTATTGTTTCAATTTGGACTGAAAAAATTATTTTACTAGCCATCAGAGTACTCTCGGCTTGTAAAAATAGAGTACTCTGATGGCTAGTAACTCGAGTGAGCTTTCATCTCGTTGACCATGATCAATTAGACAAATGCTCGTAAATTTTGAGATCTCGTAGCGTTTTCAAACTCAGTTTAAACCGACCTGCTCGAAATGGAAAAAAAAACGAATTCAGAGTGGAACCGAAAAAAAATTTGAATTCCCGCTCGAAGTTTCGCAGCAAGGTTGCTCTGTGGACAAAAAAAAAAAACAATATATTGTTTTTTTTTAAATTAAAATTTTTCGGTTTTTTTCTACATCTTTTTTTTTCTAATTTTGCTGTTTTCAAGATAATATTTCCAGGTCATTGAAACCATCTTTGCAAAATAATAGGCAAAATATGTTGCCTTGGTGAAAAATGTGGATTTTCTAGGCTTTTTTTAAAATTCTTCTACACTTTCCGTAGTCGTTGCGAATGAGGTATAATCTGCTTGTTGTAAACTTTTAAAAAACGACCTAATTTATTCGGCCAGATTAAATGTTCAGACAGTGCCAGCATGTACACCGGCGCCACATCGTCTTTGCTTCGTTCCAAGCTCAGAAATGGCTGTTACGCTGACTGCCACGGAGAAACTCGCCGCTTCTTATTCTCAGGACGTCGAAATACAGCACGTCATTCCTACCGGCCAGAATTTCTCAATTATTGTTGACGTCATGCAGAACAAGGTAGTAAATCTCAGACCCGCAGAAAGCGTATCTTCTTAAGGACCGCATTGCTCGTGTCATTTGCCTAGGCGATGCTTTGGGAACTGATTCCGTCTCGGTCGTCGACGACAAAACTGTGGTTTGTCTTTTTCATTCTTCACCTTATCTTAGAACTTTGGGGTTTCATCAGATGAAGTAAACCGGCGTTTTTAGAATCAGTCGCCAAAAAAAGTCTACAGACAAGATGATATTCTTCACTGCGAAGCTAATCTTCTTATTGCTTCCACTGAGGTATTTATCACTCAAAACTCTCTGATAGCTTTTCGGGACGTCTTTTAGCATCTCCCATATCATCTTGAGTTGATAACTCCGAACACGGCCGGTAAGTTTTTGATTCCCTATCTTCACATATTTATTTGATCGATTTTTCAGTTAAAAAAGTTTTAGAAATGTTCACCATTGCTTTTTTTTGATTTCTGTCAATTTACCAAGTTTTAATGAAATTTTATCAATTTCGCATAGAGAGAATATCATTTAAAAACTACTTTTTATAGACATTTGTAGAAAGTGTTGCTTATTGGACTTTTTCTGTCATGAAAAAAATTTTTTTCGGGTTTATTTAATTAAAAAAATGTGGATTGTATTATAAATAGCTTCTCTTATTTAGAATAATAAAAAAATCTGTTCCAGACCCACTAGTCTCTCCAGCTATCAACGTTGGACCGTCGCCAAAAACGGACGTTTCTGAAGGTCTCAGCGCCGATGTGCGAAGGCAATTCAGCAAGGCTCATGGTTTTCCTGAAGGGAATACCCTAGAACAATGTTATTTCAGCTATTCTGATGCTTCTCGCATGGTTGTTTTTTGTGCCGTCCGCGTTTTTGTTTGCGCGATTGGGCCGAGATCTTTTTACCGAGCAGCGTATCCTCGGAGTCGCCGTTTGGTTCCAGGTTATTTTTTTTTCACAAGATTTTTTAATCTTAATCTTCGTCAGTTTCATCGCATCGCCAACTTTATCGGCGTCGTCTGTATGGTCGCCTCTCTTTTGTGTATTTTCATTTCGAAACAATGGACATGGACCGGTTTAGGTCGGTTTCAATTTGATTTCTTTTCCCAAAGTTTTGAGGTTCCTTTTTCGATGAACAGTGATAATTTGTAACATTTCATCTTTCTTCAGGCTCCAACGCCAAGTACTGGACGGAGGTCCATACAAACGTCGGTGTGATTGCCGTTGCTCTGGCCGTTGTTCAGGTCGTCGGAAGCTATTTGAGGTTTTGTTTCAGAAGAATTGAGTAGCTCGACTTTCAATAGGTGCGATCCTGGACATCCAAAAAGGCTTGTCTTCAACTGGACTCATCGTATTTTGGGAATCGTCTCATATTCCCTGGCTTGTAAGTTTTATGAAATTCACTTTCTGTTCCCATTCTGACCTAGTGAATTTCCAGTGACGGCGATCTTGGTAGCCGCAATGAACTTCAAACGGATCTGGAACGAACCAGCCCTTGAAGTGGTCTTCTCGACGATTCCTCTCTTCCTCTGTGTAGCACTGTCGGTCTTCTTTCCTCTCGTCGAGTACCGAAGTGCCGCCAAGTCTTCGTTCGGAGTGCGTATTTTCGAATTTTTCGAGTTTTCATCTGAATAACAGGGAACCAAAGTTTAGTTTCTTGTTTTTGTTTTGAGTGATATAACTCAGACGAACAAATACGAAACGATACGCATGAACTTGCGAAGAAGGTTACTCCAGTCTGAGGAACCCCGCCGATGGGTAGGCTTTGCTTTGTGCGAGCGGGAAAAGAAACGCTTTGCTAACTTTCGACCTTACCTTCTAACAACTCGTGCATTTCCCCAAGCATCTAGTAACGGCTTTGAAACATTCAATCGACTTTAACCTTGCGCAAGCCTCTCTTTTTCAAATTACATAAAGTATGTATAACCAAAAAGTATTTATTTCCGATTATATTAATAGTAGATGAAGTCCTTATAAAGAAATTCTTTATCAGTTCTCTCTGGAGCCCTTTTTCAGTTTTTCGGAACCAAACTTTTTAGTAAAACTTAGTAACTGGCTATAGCTGGAACCTTAGGCGAGAGAGGTCGAGCAGCTCCTCCCGGAGTCGGACTTGTCGGAGTTCTTGGAAACGCCATCTGAGAGACCACGAAAACAAAGGGTAGATTTTCGGTACCCGATCCCTCTGTTTGTCTTTTCATGAACCCCAGCAGTTCAGAGTGGGTGAAACCACCTACTTCCCTACTGCGTCCTAGACCTTCTTTTTTTTTTTCTTTTCTACGACCTTTGATTCTGAAGCCGAGTTCAATAATTCATTCTCAAGAGCTTGAAGAAGCCTACTCGAAAAATCAGACCTTATAGCAGCGCCGAATTTATAAAAATCAGTCTTTCTAACCAATTATTGCAAACAAAAGGTAGAGTAAAGAATTAAACTAACTCGGGCCGGATGTTCTCGGATGAATGAATAAAAAAAAAAAAATTTAAAACAAATGCCATATTCAGGCTTCGCCGATGCGCCAGCCTCTTATTTTTTGGTCGATCGGAGTTTTCTTCGCTTCTGCTGTTGCACTCTCTTTCCTCGTCGCAAATGGCTACAAAAAACCTTAATCCATTCTCAATCAAATTTTTTATCTTTTGTATTCAATTCACCTGCCCTCTTTCACATTCCTCGATTATCGACCATAACTGAAGCGAGAACTGTTTGGTTTTATATTTGAACTAAATAGTTTTCTGATATCTACTTACTCAATTTCCCATTCCCTTTCACTCAACCAAGCTTCATTAAAAAAACGAGATCACTTTGCCAGCATTCTATGATATCCAGCGAGCTTTGATGGTTCTGACCTCACGGGAATTTTTTTTCCGAAAACACTTCGCATTATATAACTTTACCTTTGCTGTTGAACCCCAGAGATAAGAAAAATAAATAATTCGTAAAAGAAAGTCATTTAAATGATTTCACAAAAACAAAATTTTCAGTTTTCGCAGGAAAACATAAAAGACAGTCGACCGCAGGCCTGCGTTGAATTCCTGCAGGATGATTTTTTAAGGAAGAAAAAAACTCTTAATAGCTCTATTATTTCATCGCTTTTTTTTGAGTGGAATGAAAAATTTCTAGATAAGTTTTAAAAATTAATGCCGTGTTCAAAGTGATTCCGCGAAATTCAAAATAGCCGTCAGAGAAAGAAAAAGACAACTGAATTTTGGAGGGTCAGAGACCATTTCGCATTTCGCGGAAATTACTTTGAACACGGCATTAAAAACTATGGCTGCAGCAGCCGAAGTATCCAAATTGTCTTTTCGGATTTTACGGACATCGTAAATCCACAACAACAAATTGATCACTGGAGTGGAACTTACTCTTTTTTTTTTGACATTTTTTCCTTTTTCAATTTTGAAAGTTTTTAGATGTTGATATCCAAAATTTAGCACGAACCGTGGTGAACTTCTTCTTTTTTTTTGTTGGAAGTTTCTTTCATTATATATTTCAAATCGAAAAAGGAAAATAGAATTATTTTCCTCAGCTGCGTTCTTATGATCCTTTAAGCATCTTTCCTATGTTTACAAACAAAAATCGAACTCCTGCAGGATGATTTTTTAGGAAGATAAAATCTCTTAATAGCTCTATTATTTCATCAAAAATTCTGACTTTTTATGCTTGCTAATTTGAGCTCATAAACTCGTTCCTCGGAGTCTATCAAAGGTTTTTTCTTTCTGACGACTAGAAAAAACTTCTATATGACAGAATCCTGAGGTAACCTAGTTATTTTTCTTGTTTCAATCGAGTGTTTTTTTTAGACTACCTGGGAAAATGGGTGATTGGTGCGAATCCGACGCCGGGGGCGTTGGAGTGCCTCCGAGAACGCCCACTGGCGCTCGGAGCACGGTTTTCGTGAACGAAAAGCTTGGCACCGAGTTCTTCTCAAATCTCGCCACGATTCGAGCGTCAGTTCACGAATACATAGTTCCATTCAGTGTATCTCATTTTTTAGGCAGACCTCCTTGTGCGACGTTGTGTTGGAGGCCCAGTGTTCGAATCCTTCGGCGGCCTACACGACGGAGGACGAACTCGCCACAATGGCACAGCCTCCTTCCGCCTTGATTCATGCCCATCGAGTTGTGCTCGCTGCTGCGAGCCCATACTTCCAGTTAGTTTGGCTATATTTCTCGGGCAAAACTGAAAAGCTCCTCAAAAGCTTTTCTTTAAAAAAACCATTCAAGGAGCTTTTAGAGGAACCTTTATAGCTTCCTCTCAAGATCCTTTGAGGACCCGCAAAGGAACTTTTCCGTTTTATCTATGCAGGAAAGGTTTTTTTTCCATTCCCATACTTTAGTTTCAATTTTATCAAAAAACGATTTTTCTCTTTTTTTTTCAAATTTTGATTTCTCGTTTTCAGTGCAATGTTCACAACCGGTATGCTCGAAACTGTTAGCCGGACAGTCACTATGAAGGTTTTGTTCTTTGTTTTGACATATCATATCGAATACTGGTTTTTTTTTTCTGGTTGAAATTTTCTCGGGCAAAACTGAAAAGCTCCCCAAAAGCTTTTCTCAAAAAAAGACCTTGAAAGGGTCCCCAGCAGATCTTTTTACATCATTTAAGTTCTTTTTTGCATCGTTTTCACATCCTCTGACAAAAAGGATGCTGGAAAGCAACTAAAAAGATTCAAGAGGATTCAAAAAGGATCCTTTGAGGCTATGAAGAAGGTGCTCAAAAGCTTTTTTACATCATTTTAGGAGCTTTTAGAGGAAGCTTTTCATCTCCCTCTCAGGATCCTCAAAGGAACTTTTCCGTTTTCCCTATGTTAATTTCTCTTCGAATGTTTTATTTCCGTTTTTTATTTAAATTTTTCCAGTTTTCATGAGATTGTTAATTGGCCCTAACGTCTTTAAAATTCACATTTTTTTGGAATATTCTCTACAAAAAAAACCGGATAATCGATGAAATATATTTAACTGCTTCCCCAATAGTTTCTTGTGTAAATTATATACTTCGGGTACAAGGGAATCAAAAAAGTGAACTAATGATTTCAGAAGCAAATAATATTGTTCGAGCATGTTCGAATCCCTCAATCGTGAAGTTATTTCTTAAGGGAATCGATGGCGACGTACTGGCCCAACTCGTCGACTACATGTACAGCGGGAAGCTGCACGTGGAGGAGTCGACGGTGCAGTCGATGCTCGCCTCGGCCAGCCTCCTGCAGCTGCACTTCGTCCGCGAAGCCTGTTCCCGGTCAGTCCTCAGCCCAACCTTTCTCCACGACTGCTTCTTCAGTTTTTTGTTGGAGCAACTCGACGTCTCCAATTGTCTGGGCATCTCTGCGTTCGCTCGTCTTCACGACTGCACGTTGCTCTCTCAGGCCGCGCAGCTCTTCACGAGACAACACTTTGGGTATCGTCTTCTTGTTACATGAAAAAAATTACGTACAGTAAATGATAGAAAAAAGGCTGTTTTCTGTTCAGTGAGCTTGTCGGCAGCGAAGAACTGCTTTCGATGGACGAGGACAGTTTCCTGCAGCTCATCGCCGACGATCGGATAACTACCAAAGTTTTTTTCGTGGATTTCTCTGGCAAAGAAACTGTTTAGGGCGAAGAAGCTGTTTTCGAAGCGGTTATTAATTGGGTTCGACACGAGTTACATCTACGCGAACCGTTGCTCCCAAAGTTAGTTTTGCCGATATTTTTGAATATACTAATTGAATTTTTTTTCACAATCTCATTATCCGTGCATATGCAGTTTTTTATTTTAACGTTTTCTAGGTCATTCAAAATTGTTTTATAAATGCTGACTTTTTCAAATTATTTATGTCATTTGTTTTAACATACAGTTATATTCATTGAACACTTATTTTTAAAAATGTCAGAAAAGACATGCATTTTTACATGGTAAAACGGCTAACTTGGTTTGAAAGCGATTATTATATTGAATGAATGGAAAAATTAAAATTTTAAGGATACTTTCTTATGTGCGATTGCCACTCCTCCAAAGGAAGTACCTTCTGAATCGCGTCTATTATGAGCCTCTGGTAATTATTTTCTCATGTGTGAAGCATCTGAAATGTATGCTTTTATCAACCAAAAGTTTTATTGATAGATAAATCGGAATTTTCAAAAATAAGCCGATTTATGATAAAGGGCAGCGCTGTTTCCAAAAGCTGAAATCCTCAGAACTGGAGAAGATGATTCAGATTCGGTCGAACCGCATCTGCAAGGACATGCTTCTGAGCGTTTGCAAGTACCTTCTGGAGAAGGACGTCGAGGTCGGCGCCGCGACGGTTCCTAGTAGCGGCGTGGCGGCGGCGACGCGACGCGCCAGTCTCGCTTCGGACGTCGACGCCATGTCGGAGATGATGGAGCGATGTCCGCAATGGCTGCGGCCGCGACAGCCGGTTCCGCTCTCGCAGGTATTCCAGGTCTTCTCCACCGTCTAACTCGTCTCGTTCAGTACCTTCTGGTCGTCGGAGGTCAATCTCCTAAAGCCATTCCTAACGTCGATTTGTTTGACCCAGACTCTCATATCTGGACTCCGTGTAAGTTTCTCCGAAAATGTGTACATTATGATTGAAAAACTGAAAATTACCCGAACAAAAGGCTCTCCTTCAGGTGCGCAGCTGCCTCAGCGACGCTGCCGTAGTGGTGTGAGTATTTGCCGAGGCTTAGTCTACGCCAGTGGAGGATTCAACGGAGCGCAGCGCATCCGTTCTGTCGATGTCTATGACCCCAGAAGGTTGCACTCGAATCGGGAACGCTCTTCTTATTTTGATCCATGTTTAGAGATATGTGGATATCCGGAGCACCTATGGGAGCCCGCAGAGCAACGCATGGATTGGCGGCCAGCGAAGGGACGCTTTTCGCCGTCGGCGGCTTCGATGGATCCACAGGCCTCACTAGCGCCGAAATGCTTGACCCGCGAGCTGGTCTTGTCTTTTTTTCTACCCATCCGGAAAATTCAAAAAATAACGATTAATTAAATGAATGCCATGTTAAGATTTTGAAATAGCTAAATGAGCCTAATTAAGGTGTTTGGACGCCTCTGCCGTCGATGAGTGTCCGCCGGTCGAGCGTAGGAGTCACGGCCCTCAACGGCGCCATTTTCGCGGTCGGAGGATTCGACGGTGCTTCCAAACAATGCTTGAACTCGGTTCGTTTCTTGTCTACCTTACGGAAACTTCTCGCCTTTACGTAAACAACTCACAGTGTTCCAAAAGAGACGGCGGCAAGCCAAAAAAAAGGTCGTCGCAATGGGGCGAAAACGCGAGTTTTTTCTAACGCAACGCGGTGCGGCGCGTGTCACCCCCACAAAATTTCATTCACTTTTAATACGGTTTTTTTCTCTTTTTCTTGCGTATTTTACCATTCTTTCGTATTTTTTCACGTTGTATGTGTTCTTAAAACGTGTTTATCGCGTTTTCCAGAGATTTGAAGTGATTTTCGATTGTTCTCGTCACAGAAATTTGCATTATAATGACATTTTTGATGACAACTTATTTCGCATAAGATATTTCGTTTGTTTTTTTGTTTTAGAACTTTCAAATGGACTTTCTTAAGAGAAACGCTGTGAGATTTTTCTCAAAATTTTTTTTTCGAGGCAGTATCCGACGAATTTATTCTTGAAAATGTCATTTTGGGTGACAACTTTATTCGTACAAGCTATTATGTATCTGTTTTTTTGTTTTAAAAACGTTCAAATGGTATTTCTTAAGAGAAGTGCTTTTGAGCCTTTTTCTCAATTTTTCCCTTTGGAAGTTCGATTTGACGAGTTTTCCTAAAAAAACGACATTTTGGGAGATATTTTGTTTTTGCAAAAAAACTTTTTTTCGTCTCTTTCTTCATTTAAATTTGTTCGTTATAATTATATACACATTAAAAAGTCTCTGAAAACTTGCGAGAACCTAGGAAAAACATCATTTAATGGTCTTTTTCCAACCACTAAATCCACAAAACTTGACTCTCATCCCCGCGCACCTATTGCAATAAACCGTGCCGCTGTTGCAGTCAGCCACGCCTACTGACCACAGCTGCCGCTCGTTTGGGAACACTGTGCAACTTCAGCACATAGAAACTCCTTTTTTCCAGCATACACCTCAAATCGTAGTTTAAATTAAGGTAACTGATTACTGTTTTCGAATATTAAACAAGTAAATGGAAACTTTTTTTTGAAAAAGATAAATGACTACCACGGACGTCAAAAAAAGCCTGTTTTGAGTCTTAAACTTTCTAACAAGTTTCATTATTTCTCGCAAAAATCAAATTTATCATGCTTTAAAAAATGATACTTGCTGGGGTGGAAGGGGAAACACGCAAATATTGTAAAGCGGTTCGGAATAAAAGAACACGTTTAATAAATAGTAACAAAGAAAAAAAAAACAATTTTAATGAACTAAAAAGGAAAAAATAGAAATTTATAAAAGAAAACGGTTTTACGCCCATTCCTCCGCGCTTTCCGTGTTGGAAGTGTATTCGTCTGCGAATCGACGGAACTTATCGAGAAGCTTTTCGAGAGCAACTTCTCCACGAACCTTCAATCAATACGTATATATACATCGAAAGGAGATATATCAAAGAATTTGAATCTAATAAGTTTAAACTTATTCAAACTGGAGCACTAAATCTAATAGGTCAGAAATAGATTTTTCATATAGAAAAATTGAAAATCATGATATTCATGAAATATCCAACTACGATGAAGGATGAGAGAAATGTTCAAAAAAAAAGCGCATAGAAGGTAACCCACCGCGTTATCCCTGGTACGAACGTTAACCGTGCTGTTTTCGGCTTCTTTTGCTCCAATAACCAAGATGAAGTTAAATTGGGCGAGTTGAGCGTTGCGGACTTGCTTGTTCAGGGTATCTGGGCAGTCTGGCTCGTATTCAACCTTAATTTTCGCTTCAAAGCCTGGGCTAATATTGCAAATGAGAAAACCTCAAATCCAGCGGCGTAAATTCTTTCCTTCACACTTTTCGCGTAAGCACTAACCGATTCGTGAACCGTTATAATTTTTGCCTAGAAAAAGCTTCGAATGAAACTGGAAAAGTAACTCCAAAACCTGGCGAGGAGAGAGCCAGAAAGGCCATTTTCCGCCATAACTCTCCGTTAGAATGGCCGTCATTCGCTCTACGGAGCCGAGAACTGCTCGGTGAATCATCACTGGTCGCTGTTTTTCTCCCTTTTCACTTAAAAGCAATTATGAGGAGACGGAAATTCACGTCTATGACGTCAATTGATAATTGTTTGCATTATTTCAATTTCTAATCAATATAACTCACTCGAAGTAGTTCAAATCGAAACGATGGGGCAGTTGGAAGTCAAGCTGAATAGTGGCACATTGATGACTTCTTTTCAAAGCATCTTGAATGGTAATATCAATTTTGGGGCCGTAGAAAGCGCCGTCTCCTGGGTTCAGCACCCACTTTCTGCCACTTTCGTTCAGAACGTTGGTCAAAGCCTCTTCAGCGAGGTCCCAGGTCTAAAAATATTGCGATTTCAAAACATCGAGGCTGAGGTTACTTCGATATCTCCCAAAAAGCCTTCAGGTCGCGTGGACAGGTTAAGCTTGAATGTGAAGCCGAAAACCTTCTCGTAGCAATATTCCAGGAAGTCGAGGCATCCCTGAAGATTATTGTAGTTTTACTAAAAACTCCCATGAAGCACCTTGATTTCGTCCGCGATTTGATCTTGTCGGCAGAAAATGTGAGCGTCGTCTTGTTGGAAGCGTCGCACACGTGTCAGACCACTCAGAGCCCCCGACATCTCGTTTCTACAGAATTCGCTAAACTTCGTTCAAAAGAACAATAGGAAAACCTGTGAAGTACTCCGAAATCGGCGAATCGGAACGGGAGCTCGTTGTAGGTATGCGGCTGATGACCGTACATCAGACAGTGGCCTGGACAGTTCATCGGTTTTAGCCCGAATTCTTCTTTCTCCACCTCCAGTCTGAAATTTTCTTTTTGGAATCCTTCATTGGTATTTGAAAATACCTGAACATGTCCTCAGAATAATGCTGCCAGTGTCCGGAAGTTTCCCACAGCTTCTTATTGTACATATTCGGAGTAATAACCTCCGTGAATCCGCTGAATTTGTATTTACATACTCTCGCAGATCAATTGATTCACCGAACGCGGTACTGCTTTTTGATGAAGTCAACGAGTTTGTTGTAGATCAAAGCACCTTTTGGGTACCAGAAAGCGGAGCCCGGAGATAACGGATGGAAGAAGAAAAGGTCTTGCTCGCGTCCCAGCTTCCTATGGTCTCTCTTGGCCGCTTCCTCCTGTTCAATAAAAATTTACAAAAGAGCACTTCCATAGCATACTCTGTTAAAATTATTTCTAATGATTCGAACAAACTTTTAATAAACATGGATACCTGAAGCTTCTGCCATTCCTTAAGTTGCTTGGCGTCAGGGAATGAAATTCCGTAAAGACGTTGGAGTGATTCAGCATCGGCTTTGCCTTCCCAGTAGGAAGCAGAAGTTTTGGTTATTTGCAACGCCTGAAGTTCCAAAATTACAAACTTGAATAAATTATTTTACTACCTTTATCTTGCCCGTGTGACGGACGTGCGGCCCTCGACACAAGTCGATCAGAGGCCCACAGCGATAAACGGTCGTCGTAGGCGTAGTGACTTTCTCGTTCAAAATTCTCACCTAAGAGTAGTAAGGATGAAAAAACCAACAAGAAAATGTTCATCTTTTCTTCTTACATTAGCATTCACTATTTGAAAAAAAGGAACCTTGAATTGATTGTATTTGAACATTTCCAACAGATCTTCTTTTGAAACTTCGAGCCGCTCGAACTTCTGCTTGTCCTACAACTAATTTTCATAATTTGGCAATGGAACTGACAAAACCTTGACAGCAGCTTTCACAATTTGATCAATTTTTGGAAAGTCATCCGGTGAGATCGTACGGTTCTGAATCAATTGGGTCTTTTGAATAGACATATTCGTGCAGCTACTTCATGCCACATGTCGTAGTAGAAACCTTCTTGAATAGGTGGTCCGTAACACAGATGGCCACCGCAGAAACGCTCCATAGCTTCTCCGAGAATGTGAGCTGAGGAGTGCCAGAACACCTGAACAGTTTTAAAAAAACTTTAAAAGGATAAACATCAATATAAAATACCTGCTTAGCCTCATCATCGTCAAATTTCAAGAGATGAAGGGTAGCATCACTTTCAAATGGACGGTCGAGATCCCACACCTTCAAAGCGGTTTTAACGTTTTGCCTCTTTCAAAACGTTTCACCTGTCCGTTAACTTTTGCGATTACTGCACTATCAGCGAGACCTTTCGAAATTTTTTCAGCTATTTCGATGGGAGTAGTGCGCCAGGATTTTCCATCGAACTTTTTACCGTCCGGTAATGTTATTTCGATCGGCGACGATTCCTATTCAATAATAAAAAATTTCTTCAAAGAAAAACTGCGTTCCTGAATCATTTTTTGACATTGAATGTTCATTCTAGATAATATACCATTTATCCTATTAAGAAGCAAAAAAATTTATGAATCACAAAGTTCTAAATAGTTTAAACGCCTTAACTGACGGAATGTTTTTTTTTTGATAATATCTTATTGGAACGTACTTTTGCAGCCACTATCGCATCATACTCGGCTTTCAGTTTGTCCCAGAGAGCTATACGCTTTTGAATGAACTCTGGCCATGGCGACAAGTCAGTTGGCGCCAACGACATGTTCTGCAAGAAAACATTCGTTGAAATGCACGAAAAATCAACGCGACACGAATTTCGAAAATATGAAAGATAAAATATTTGAACTTCAGAAGCAGAATTATGAATAGGTTTTGAGCGGTTTTTTAATCCACGTACTTGGTTTGAAACAAATCGAAACTTCTGATTTGCTTGATTTAGTGTTAGACGGGTTGATAGAATCCCAACGTTTGAAATATTTTTCACCAACGAGCGAACGGCGTAATGCATATCCCCATCATCAAACAAGAAGTTATGACGTTAAAAAGTCAAGACGATTTTAGGCCCTAAATTAAAAAATATTAACAAAATTCTCTTTTGAATCACAATTCGAAAGTATAAATACAAGCATGCTTCATGCAAAGTGATGATAGGAAAGTCATAAATGACAAACATGATGAAATTGAGGAACGGATTTGGAAATTTTTTCAGCAAAAAGGCGCAGAAAATGAGGAGGATTGCAGTTTGCAGTCGGTGCGCCCTCAAGGGTTTTTAGCTACAGAGCGCACAAGTCAAAAGGCTCCCCACTCTGACATGAAGCGCATAAAAGCCGTCACAACTCTTTTTCTGACTTACGCTATTTCGTCGTTACTCGCAGCTATATAATGACGAAATAGTGTGCGTCAGAGAAAGAGCTGTGATGGCCTTTATGCGCCCCATGAGCAGCTTCTGCGACGTCGGCATTTCATAAACTCAAAGCTTTTTAGTTCCTTTTCTCACGACGCTTTGCAGTATAAGCTAGTAAATAAATGATCGTGATCGTAAAGATCGAATATATTGCAAAGAATACATAGGATTTATTTGTATCACCAGGTGGAAAATTTTTAAAGATGTAAATTTTCTTGGAGTTTTGAAGTCATAATTCTCTATAAATGGAACAACTTATCACCACGAAGAAATTAAGCGCAATGATCCGTTGGTTGTGGTATTATTGTAGGTTGGTATAAAGTACATTCTTTCAAAAACATGGAATTCTTTATTTTTTATCTCTATTTTTCGCTATCAGCAAATTTCAATTTTTCAGGTAGAAGTTCTCGACGTTAGAGCGAATCGCTGGAGATGTGCCCCGTCGTTAATAAACATCCGTTCGGGAGCTGGTGTTACTGTATGGCAAGATCATATTGTTGCTGTTGGAGGACATCGAGGCGCGGAAGTTCATCTTTCGGTTGAGGTTTTGAATTTGCGAAGATATAGGAGTTTTTACAACACGTTCAAGATGTTAATCGACAACACGTGGCGAGAACTTCCTTCCATGACCGTCATACGTAGAAATGCAGCGGTTGTAGCAGTCAACGGTATTGGAAAATTTTGAAAACAGATTTTCATTCGAAAATGGTTCTCAGATTATTTGTTTGCTGTGGGCGGCGATGATGGCGCTAGTCATTTATCCACAATAGAGAGTATACAGCTGCAGGCCGAGGCTTTTTCTGAGCCCCAAAAGATCGATGCTTCTGTTGCTGAGTGGAATTTATTACAGGTTTCGTACAACTTTTTTTCTAAATTTCGAGACCACATTCTCACTTTTCAATTCATTTTTTTAAATTTAAAAATTTAAAAAAATTGAATGCAAAAATACACAAAAAAAGGCGATTACAATTCTGTCTCATCACATTTGTAAATCTTTTTTTCAAAGAATGAAGTTTAAAAGCTATTAGAAATAAAACAAAAAAGGTTGTATCAGTTTTCTTTCAGGTTCAAATGCCACAAGGTCGATCTTACGCCGGAATCGCGCTTTTGCCAAGAGATGGATCATAGATTTTCTCTTTCTAACTTTAATGTGAACATGTGTCGTTTAGTAGAGCCACTAATGTTTTTGTATGTGTACCTTAAGCTTATAGAGTGTCTTATACCTTTGTTGTCATATTTTTCCGTGTAGTGTGAAGTTTTCATTGTTGCATACTATTTTAGTTGTATATAAAAAGTTTATATCTTAAATTTTTTTAGAAAGCCAAACTCGTTCGCTATCCAAGAATACTTGTGATCACTTTTCAAACGAAAAAGTTTATAGGTTTTGGATGGTTTAACATCGAGTACACCGTATAAGACTTGTCTGTTTCTGGCAGAGGTGGGGAAATGGCGCCCCTAACCGTTTTTAAACGTTTACATTTCAATTCCGACGTAGGCCGCCAATGTCATTAATAAGTCGCTGCCCAGGGCGCCCGGGGCCAAAACCGCGATGGCAAAAAAACGCTATTGGAAGAAAAAGAACGCGAAAAAGTTGGAATTTTCTAAAATCTTGTAAAATCGTTGGTTTCGAAGCTTCCAAATTTAAGCTTTTTTGAAATTTCTGATTCAGTGGCGGCGGAAATTTATTCTCTCAGCGGATCCCTAACCGAAAATCTGAAACTTTTCGCCTAAAGAATGAAAAAATAGGACCGCACTTCACATAGAAAATTTAACTAGACACCACAACCACAGGAAATTTAAAAAAATTAATGAAAAACTCGCGAAAACCAAGATTAAATGAAAAATGAACAAGAAATGACAATTTTCGCCCAACTTTTGCAACGTGGTATTATACGCCATCGACACGTAATGACGCGGCTCATTTCATCTCAGGGGCCTGATGGCTAGGGCGGGCATGTTGCGCCCTGGAGGGCCGCTCATTTCTTCCACCTCTGGTTTCTGGCATATTAAAAAATCATTATTTTAACACACAAACGTTTTTGTATAGCTCACATTTTTTTTTGGAAGAAATGACGTCTGAAGAAAAAGGACTGGAAAACGAAGAAGTGACGCTGGAGGAAGATGAAGAAGAGTGGACCGGCAGTGGATTGTCCTTGTTAGATTACGAACGCGATGTCCTGGCCGACACTCTTCCCAACAGCGAGCTCTTCATCGTTGCCAAGTTCATGTCCTAGAACTTTTCTTCTCAACATTTCAGTTTAGTGGTCTCGGCATCGAACGGCTTTTTTTAGAGCATCTTGTTCTCTTTTCCGACCGACGACTTCTGGCCATCGTCCTCAATACCAGTCAGCATGATGAGGTTACGCATAAAATACTAATCCAAGCTGAAAGTTTTTGTTTTTCAATACTTCAGAACTTCCTTATAAGTAAACTGAAAGAACTCAAAGTTGGGTGCGAGCCTAAAATCATCAACGCAGACGTCAGTACCAAAGACAGGTTTTTTGCTTTTAACTTTATCTATTAGAGCTATCTGGAAAATCAAAAAAACTGTATAAATGAAAAAATTCTAGAACAGCCATTTACTTGGAAGGCGGTGTCCACTTCTGCTCGACACGAGTGGCGCTGGTTGATCTTCTGCAGTCTCGGTTACCAGTAGAACGCGTTGCCGTAATTTTTGTCTACAGAGCACACAAGTATCGTGAAAGTCGCTCCGGATGAAGAAAAAAACGAGTTTCAGTGTGTTGACGTCATTCCAGGAGTCGTTTGTTTTGCGGCTATACCGCGAAAAAAAGCGCGATGGTTTAGTGAAGGTTTCTTTGAGAACTCTGTAATAATACAAGCAAACCGGCGAATTAATAGTCAAAATAGCATCGATCAACTTTTCTTATTTTTAGCAATGATTGTAAAATAAAGCAAGTTAACCTTTTTTTTTTTGGGGGGAAATGGAAAAGAAAAATAGGCTTTTGAAGCAATCCATTCGGATTTTTGCATTCCAAAGGAGAATAGAACATTTGAGGCCTTCACGGATCTCCCTTCTGCCGTAAGTTCTCTTGGACAGCTTCAAAGGCTTGTAGATCGTCTCTATGTGAAGCACGTCCATCTCATGCCTCGCTTTTCCGTGGCAATCGAGGAAGAACTTTCGGCGAATCAGGTTCTTCACGGTGGTGATCCGGCTAGGATGTCTCTTGCAGCTTCGCTCAGCACTGTTCTCCGTGGACGTTTCGGCTTCAATGCGCCGTGTCCATAGAACTCTTCTCGATTTGATCAAAGTTTGCGTGAAAGATCTCCGCGCCTGTTCCACGACAGCGAGACAAGTTTTCAGAAGACGTTATTTTTTTGTATTGCACCACTTTTTCAGGCTCAATCGGAGCCTCTTGAAGAGATCACACACGTTCCATGGGTCACGACTGCGCTTGAAAGAAAACTCCGTGAAAAAAGGTCTTTTTTTAATTTCAGACTTACAGGGTGAGCAATAAATATTGAAACGCGTTTGAAACGTTATAACTTTCTCAAAAGTCAACCAAACACCACCAAACTTGGAGCAAATTTTATTCATACAATATAGAAACAAAATTCAAGAATAGTTTTCAAAACGTCCTCCTTTAGCATTGATAACGGCCTTCAGTCTCTTCGGATACGCATCGATCACGGCACGAAGGTATTCGTCGTAGATTTCGTCCCATTTCTTGATGAGCGCGGTCTTCAGAGCTTTGATACTTGGGTAGTTCTTAGAAGAGACCTTCTCGGTCAGATATCCCTACACGGCATAGTCCATCGGGTTGAGGTCGGGCGAGGAAGCAGGCCAATCAGCAGCCGAGATGAACTCGGGAAAATTGGCGCGATACCACTCTTGATTCCCTTTGACGCGATTAGCGGGTGCGCCGTCTTGCTGGAAGGTCCATGGTCGGTTTCCGTAGTGAGAATTGGCCCAGGGCAATACCCCCAACTTCAAAATCTACTCCCTGTAGTATACTTGGTTCACTTTGACTCCAGGATCCACAAAAATCAGCGGAGTTTTGCCGTCAGCGGTAATTCCGGCAAAAACCATCACGGAAGCCGGATGCGAAGTTTTATTCAGAATTTTTTCTTTTTCACAGGCACTCTGATAGTCAGTAGCGATGATCCGATGATTTTGGCCGTCCTTGTTCGCCTCTACAGTGAAGATTTTCTCGTCGGTAAATAGCGTCGTCAGATGCGAGCCATCTTTCGTGCCAGCGAGCAGCTTTCGAGCCTTTTTCATCCGCAATGTCTTGTTTTTTTTTTTTTGATTGACGAAGGCTCCTTTCTGCATACGGTAGGGAATCGTTTTCAGCTTGTCCTTGACAATAGTTTTCATCGATCCTTGACTCATTTCGTTTTCTTTTGCCATCTTTCTCATGCTTCTTTCCGGAGTGCGTCTGATTTTCTCTCGAACGGCTTTGACTGCTTCTGGAGTCGTGACGGTGACTGGACGTCACCTTCTTTGCATGTCATCTGAAGTACCGAGATGCCGATAGCGCTGTGCAGTTCGAAAAACAAGAACACGAGCCACTTTCAGCTTTTTAACGATCTCTGAATTCGTCATTCAGCTTTTGATACATTCAATGATTGCGGTACGGTACGGAGATGGGGCCACCATTACCTGAAAACTGAAAAGTATGAGCTGTAACTTCAAAAACATGATAAGTGAGCATGAATGAACGAAATAAACAAAAAAGTTCAAAGGCCAGTCCTTTGTGCAAAAAGCAGCGATCAAACAAAAAACGGTTTCAATATTTATTGCTCACCCTGTAGAGTCAATGAGAGAAATCTCAGAAGTTTTCTGACTGACAAACAGTCGCGATTGTTGCATGATACCTCTGTTCTGCGAGACCTTCTCCAAATGGCGGAAAACTTGGACGCGGCGACTCTTCTATCGAAGCTTTTGCAAATGAAAGGGGACAAACAGGTCTCGAGTTCTGAGTAAGCCAAAATATGGGGGGAAATTTAAGACGGTCGAGGAAAGCAGCGGCTGGCTGATGACCCCGACCGCGGCTCGGATGATAGAAGATCTTCACGAACTATGCGGCGGATTTACTGCTGGTAAAGCGACGTCGACGTTCACCAAGTTCATTAGTTTGTTTCATGAAGGAACTTTCAAATTTCATGAGTTTTCCAGCGCCAGCAAAATGGGATGTTTTAGCGGAGATCCTCAGTGAGGTCAAACAGATTCCAGTGCACCAAAAAGAACTCCCCGAACACGGTTACTTTGTCTCAGTTTCCGGAGAAGTTCAAGCGTTTCAGGTCCCTCGGTACTTATCATCGCGAATACAGAAGAAGTGTGTCGACAACTGTTTGACGTCATCCGACACGGCGTGCAAAAGGCTAAATTTCTGTGTTGGCGCCAACTCGGCCGTTCATCTGGCTCAATGCCCGCCGACGAGCCTTTGTGGAGACAAGAAAATGTGTCTGTACTCGTCAGAGCTCAGCTCGGCCTTGTAAGCTTCTCTTTCAATTTAGTCAAAATAGTTGATGAGATTTCAAAAATTTAGAAGCCGGAGACAAGAAATGAGCTTGTTGCTGACGTCCAGAAGACCCAAAAAAACGTTGCCAGGGCCACTCAGAAAAAAAGAAAGGTAAGAAAATAAAAGTGTCCCGTAAATTTTGAAGATTCAGGCAGTTGAAGATTTGAAAGGGACCGATTCCAGGATCCAAACGACGATCGTCCAGTTCGGCATTTTGCATTATAAACGACGAAAAACTGAAACGGTTAGTTTTTTGTTTTGTGTTCAAGAGCTCAGGTCAGCTTTCATTCAAATCATTAGCCTTACTGAAAAAAAAACAACTTTAATGAAACGGGACAACATTGGTTTGCATTTCTGTTAGAGACCAGGAAATAACTTTGTGGAATTTAAAAATATTTGAAAGATGGGATTTGTCAAGAAGATCTCTGAAGTGTCAATGTAGGAATCAGAATTTCTTATGCGGCAACTGCGTGAAGAACTCGATCTGCATGTCGGTGTCGCTGCTGATCCCTCTCAAAGTCGTCACGAGCTTCGTGAGGGCGGAGAACTGTCTCATGAAAGCGTTGCTCACGGGGGTTCCTGCCGGCACAACTGGCGCCTTGAGCAACAGCGAGAGAAGAGACAAGACCGGATGGAACTTCTCGAAGGTGCCGCTGCTGGTCGAGGAGTAGGAGACGCGGCTGGCGAGTTCTGTCAGAATCGCAAGATCGTAGATGAGCGGCGACGCGAGCAGCGAGTCTTCGCAAGTGTTGTGCACGACAAACGTCTGACGTCCGCCCATGAAGATGCTGAAAAGTTTCTTTCCTCGCCGAGCTTTTTCTGACGCTCACCTGCAGATGTACTCGTCCATCGCGCGCTTTGAGTCCGCCACAAAAGGAACGTATTTGATGACGATGCAGTGGTCAGGGTTCTTGCCATCCGGATAAAGTATTGGATTGGACTGTACCATGTCATCCACTACAGATGACTTGGAAATCTCTTTGGAACGGAACTGTCGAGCTTCGCTAAGGTTCTTTCCGTCGTTGTTTCCAAGATGGTTGTAGGAGACGATCGATTCTGGTTTGAGTCCACTGCTCACCAGGAAATCTACTAACGCTGATTTGAACTTCGTCTGGCCTGACTTGAAGTCGTCTCCTCCGACAAACACACCATGCTAAATAGTTTTTTAGGAGCAATATCCTATTTTTCGCTACCTCGCTTGCTAGTTGGATTATTCCTGGTACGAGTGTGTTCTGCGGCGAGCCGTTTATGTAGTGAGCTCCTTCGAGAATCGACGCCACAGCAAACAAGTTAGATGGAGATATCTGACAGAAAATAGGTTCAGACAAGTCCGTGGACTTCGAAAACCTCTTCTTCGTTGTTTTTGATCGAGTTGAGAACTTCAGCACTCGTACTGTTCAGTCCAGAACGCACGTCCGTGTATCGTTCTGTGTTGGCGGTCCACAGCACGATCACGCATTCTGAATAAGTTGTTTTCAAAATCTGAGGAGAAAATTACCAAGATCGTGTTTTTCTTTGAATTCCCGGATATCTTTCCGAATATGCTCCAAATGTGCGCTCTTGTTTTTGCCTGGGATCACATTGTTTGCTCTATCTCCTTGGTTAGCGGCGATGAAGTCGGGATAGTAGACGGAAGGCAGTGGAACTATTCCTTCCATGTAGGTTCTCAGTTTTTCTTGCAGTTCTGGCTCGAAAACCTGGAGAAGTATCAACTTTGAGAGCTCATCTTTTCTGAATCTCTAACCTTTGCGCGAACCATAGCTTGGTACAAGTTTGCGTTGTTGATGTCCCACCCACTGATGATCAAATCTGAGGGACTCAGAATGGGAACGATATCTTTGAAAGGAACGTGGATTTGCTTCTCACCGTCCCATCCCAAATGTACAGTTGCCGATTGCGTCACCGAACTGAAGACTTGTTTCAAATTTGTTGCGTTTTCCTAGTTTACCCGAAATAGTTTGCTTTAAGGGCACCTTCCTTCGTGCGCCAATTCATGTTGTGTTGGTTGGCGTAGATGGAACCGACAGCCGTAGAACCGTTGTTTCCTCCGAGGCCCACCAGAAGCAATCCTGAGACTCGACTGTTGTGTTCTAACTAAGTTTAGGCTCAACTGACCAGTCTTCTTCGGCTTAAGCTCGGTGCGGAACACATACTCGTGCTCCTTGGGAGTGACGTGAAGCTGGCCATCGCGATGTTCAAAGTGGTTCTTTCGGTATAAAAAGCGGGATTCGAGTTTGTTCCCGTCGTTGCTAACGTTAGGAGAATTAACTACAATCTGCAATACTATCTCTTTATCTAAGGCCATCATAAATTTTTTTTTACCTTGGTTTCCTTAGAAACGCCATTTGAAATGTGTCCGTTCATGTTTGAAAAAATTTCACCGTCGAGTTTGAGTAGACAGGTGAAAACTGCAAAAAATAAATTATAACTTCGGAGGTTTTTTTTTACATTTAGTAGAACACGATATGTGGCAAGGAATTTTGAGGTCACGAAATAAGTTAAAAAATTCAACAAATTAGATTGAAAAAAACTTCGTTGCTCGTCGAGGAAATATAGAAATGCGGGAAAAAACTATCTGACAGAGCAGATAATACGTTTATATAATGCAAGATAAACTGAAATCGAATACGTAACGGTGTCGGGCTGAGTTCTACTTCCCGCCCATTTAGCGGTCGTTCGATGGGCTGATAGACTAAACATAAACTTGCTCCAATAATAACACCAGGAAAGGTTCATGGAGATCATTTCTGGATTGAATGTCTCGAAGAAAGACGAATGGAAACATTCGGAATCTCAAAAGTTTTCATCGGAGTTAAAAAGGAATGTCAGAAGAAAAAAAACATTAGCAGAGGATTCCAAAAATCAATCGGCAACTGCGACGCTTTCCCTTTATGCTTGTTCGAGCATGCTAATTAAGCTATTTTGCAAGGTGAATGCGGAAATAGAACGAAAAAGAAGCAATGGAAAACGTCGAAGTTCCTTTGAAATCGAGATCGCTGAGAAAAAGAAGTAGCAATCCATTTTGAGAATAGCAAATATGTCGTTTGGCAAACATTAGTGTGATTTTTTGGGTGGAGCTTGAAATGTGCCAAGATGGGAAAGTCCGACGGGAAGTGCGAAAAACAGCAATTTCCATGTTTTCGCACTTTGCACCTCATCAATCAAAATGATGTTGTTGTGTTTTCTGGCGATGAATAACTAGTAATTTGTAATCTTTAAGTACACCACACTAGAATATTTTTGATTTTTTTTCCCACAGATATGAAAAACAAAGACAAAAAAGAAGTAGATCAGTTTTCTTAATAGACCTGTTTAGTTTTTCAGATCGCGAGCGTGGAGGTCAAACAAGAAGAGCCAGACGTGTCTGAGGAGGGAGATCTTGAAAATCTTGGAATTCGACCAATCGGAGACGAAGACGTTTTATTTGATCATTTTTGGTTGATCAGTTAAGTTATCAGGTGGATCTGGTTCTTATGCCTCACGGGGAGCGCTACACGACGATGAAGTTCCTGGAGCAAAGAAAACCTACGGTCATAATTATGCACTCGATGTCTTTGGTGATGATGCGACAGATCGAGGTTCTCATCCTTCAATACGAATGCATTAACTGCATCACCTCGATGATACTGAAAGAAAAGAAAATATGAAATACAATAGCTTGGTACTTCTCGTAGCGGCGATAAGACACGAACTTTTCACTTATACATTTATTATTATTTATATACATTGAAAATTAAATTCAACGCTTAGTGGTCAGGCAATTGCTAAGAAAGTGTTCAAAATATTAAATATTCGAAATGCCTGCCCGCAGGCTTCTGTAAAGTAAGTAGAATGTGTTGGAAAGTTGTGTGGGAGGCTTTTGAACACTTGCTGCAAAGCGTCCAAACTCCTCTCGATGAATAGAAAGCAGAAGCTCCTCGATTTTTACCCAAGTACCGACTTGACAGCACCAAGTCTGTCTGCGTCATCTTTTTCATACCACTGCGGTCAGAAGACCTTGTAATTAGCACAAACTAGCGCCACTGACATTTGAGAGATAAGCGGACATAGACATATCAGGCTGTTTCTGAATATCGGGAATGATTTTTAATTCTGGTATTTTCCAGTGCTCTTCCTGAAGTCATTTTAAAATGGTTTTCGACGTCATTTTCTTCATCTCCAATTACATTATGTTCATTCTTTTCCATCAGGCTCCTTTTCTTCTCGTTACGTTTCCTCCTCAGATCTATCGCGCGTGCAATCCAGAGCTGCACCTGCAGATCTACTGCCTACAGTATCGCGACTCAACCGAAGAGAGCCGCTATCTTGAGGCGATGAACCGGGAAACGCTTGCCTTCGAGAGTCTTATCAAAGAACAAGCTGTATGTTGTAACAATTATTTGTTGTTAACTTCGAAAAACGAGTCAGAGCACCTAATGACGGCTTTAAAATGATTCAGACGCTGATGATTGCTCGAGAGTTCTTAGTTGATCGAGAGGATCCTCCACGAATCAAAGTTTCTACTCGCCAAGGAGGCGGCAGATCTTCAGACTTGGGTCCAACGGAAGAAGACTCGCAGCCAGTTGAAAGACCCAAGGTTCTTCACCTCGTTGAAAAAGTTTATTTCTTCTCTTCTCGTAGATCATCGTGGATATGAGAGAGTTCAACAGCGAACTGCCTACTGTCCTCTACACCAAAGGCTATGACGTCGTCGCCGCCACTTTAGAGGTTTTGAGTATCATTTTAATTTCCGGTCCATTTCGAGAGAGAAAACGAGAAAAAATATAGAAGTATCAAAAAAAGAGAAAATTCATATCATTTTTTGAAATAAAATATTTTAATTCTTGAGGTCGGTGATTACGTCCTTTCGAGCTCGATTTCCATTGAAAGGAAGGCTTTGGACGACTTGGCCCAGTCACTACAATCCGGAAGAGTTTTCAAACAAGCCGAACAGGTATTGGCTTTGGTTTTCGTTTTTATATGGAAAAAAGGGAACCACAGACTTTTTCTTTGCAAGCAAATGATTCGATTTAAAAAAAGGTTTCCTAGCAGAAAGAGAACAAAGTTCAAAAATTCGGTTCTTTCTATTATCCTTTTCTTTTTCCAGCTACTTTTTAAATTCAGATGCTGCTCCATTACGCCAACTCTGTGCTGCTGATTGAGTCGAATCAGAAATTTGAGATGAAAATCGTCAACGGCGGGCCTTTCCAGGTGGAGCTTTCAAATAGGACATATAAAGAAAGGAAAATAATTCAGGGCGAACTGAGCCGACACTGTCGTGAAATTCGAGCCAGACTCTGTGCCCTTATTCGCGCTCAGCCGCGGCTGAAATGCGTCTGGACCATGTCGCCCGCCAATTCTGCCGAGTTTTTTGCCGAGCTCAAGGTTCAATTTTGTCTGAAAGTTCCACCAATTTTGCGGATGTAGTTGAACTCCGACGAGCCAGATATGGACAAGGCGATTTCCTTGCGAGGAGACCATGTCGAACAACAACCCGAGGAGGATTCGCAAGGTTTTGTTCGAACTCTCGTTCATCCCCTTCATTGACAGAGAATTCAGAATCTGGCAAAAAGAAAAAAGCAAATCCAACCATCCAGCGTGCACTGACCACTCATCTCGGAATGAAAGCCGGCGACGCGAATCGGCTTTTGACTTGCGGAAAGGTTTTCGATAATCAGTTTATCAAGCTAAACATTTTTTTTGAGGTGAAAAATCTGGTGGAATTGTTTTCGCCGATCACGTCGAGCAGTTCCCTCGAGGACTCTTTGCCAGGCAGCAGTCTCGACTTTGTCACTGTTCTTTCCAATTACGACTTCAGCGCTAAGAGTTAATGTATAAATTTGTACTTTTATTGAATGTGTTTTACTTTTATCGATTTTGTATTTTCTGATCTCATAACGTCTCACTTTTTTGTTTCAGTCTGTGAAATAAATAAAACATTATTAACAGTGTGAGTCTTTGAGGTTCAAAGGAATAAACACACCTTTCCAATTTTTTTGTTTCCATCGTTATAGAGAAGCGTTCTTTCCACAGTCTGTTAATTTTTTCTTATCATAAGCTGCTTTTCTACTCTTCATTTTCTTTTTTTGTTTTGATTCTAAAGACATTTCCCAATTTTGATCGTCTTTAAAACGAACCGTACGTTTCACAATATTCTCAAAGTGATATCTAATAGAAATATCCTTTCTTTTTCTTCTTAGAACTTGAACTATATTTTTCAACTCATGCGAAAGTTTTCATTTCAGAACTGAATGAGAGCTGAAAAAGTAACAAACAAAATAGGGTAGAAAAAAAAACATTTGAAAGTGCTTAGCGATTTCATATACAAAAGACATTTTTAGCGAACGTTCTAAGTATATTGACAGACATAGGACGTAGGTACTCTTGAAGTTCTCAAGAGAAAAACAAGGGTATCGAAGAATTATTGACGAAAATGTTGACGAGAGCGATCGCGAGTCGAGAGTTTATTGTTTCAGTGGCGGCTGGAGAGATGGCAGGGCGGAGCGTCGTCTATCACTTTCTATCAACGCGCCAAAACACTCGCCGACTGCCGTTCAGACGCCTCGGAAGCATGTCAGACGCCGAGAAAGTTGTTCCTCGAGATGAGGTTTGTTTTCTGGGGAAGCTTTCGATACATTAGCAGGAGACTTTCCAGAAGTTTTGATGTATGAAGGAAAAGTGAGAAGATTATCAATTTCCTGCAAAAGGTGATAAAAATGTATCTCGCAAAAATAAAAGCATGCTGTATTAAAAGACCCATGAGAGTTTTTAATTTATCTGAATTATACTCTCCTCCCCCGAGGCTAAGTGGTTTTAAAATTGGGTAGGTATCGTGCTTTTCATAAGTTATTTATGAACTGGAGAATAATGTTGATTGGAAAAAAAAATGGGATGATAAATTTTAAATGAAGCCTTTATGATAAAACTCAAACTAGAAATCTTGCGGATCTACATGCACCAATTTAGGTAATTATTTTTTGAATTGCCAAAAAACTTCTGATCTGAAAGTGATTTATTTGGCCTCTTTACAGATCCACAAGTTCATGGTGACCTGTATGACCAAGGCAGGAGCCTCAGAGCTGCACGCTCGGCAGCTTGCCGACGTCCTGGTTGAGGGTGACGTCAGAGGACACTACAGTCATGGCCTCAATCGCTTGGGTGATCATTCTGCAATCCTTAAAAAGAAAACTTTCTTCAGATATGTATGTTCGCGATGTCACGCACAAAACGTGCAAAGGCGACGGAGAACCTGTCGTTTTAAAGGTTCGATTCATGCTTTTTTTGTTTAATTTTACAAAATGGATGTTACTTTGTGTCAGATTTATCAAAAATAAATGTGTGAAAATGGCAAATGGGTTTTTAGGAACGCGCCGCCACGGCTTGGGTCGACGGAAACAACCTTTTAGGACCCGTCGTCGGCAATTTCTGTATGAATCTGGCGGTCGAAAAAGCCAAGGAAGCCGGCGTCGGCTGGGTCGTCGCTAAAGGTCTTCTTCGCTCATTGGACTTGATTTGATCGAAAACTTTTGACCAGCAAGAAAAAAACAAACGAAAAATGCAATGGTTTGAATTTCCAGGTTCTAATCATTATGGGATTGCTGGATGGTACGCTCTGCAAGCCATGAAAAGCGGAATGCTGGTGAAATTATATTTCTATAGTTCGAGAACGAAAACTATAATGAACAAAATATTATGCCGTGTTCAATTTGATTTCGCGAAATGCAAAATGATCTCTGACTCTCCAAAATTTAGTGATCTTTTCCTTTCTCTAACGGGTATTTTGCATTTCGCGGAATCAAATTGAACACGGCATTAAAAAGTAATTGAGCTCCAAACAACGTATTTTTTCTTAAAAAGAAAGGAGACCCGGTACTTTTTCTTTCGCGTTCGAATATTTCAAATTTCTCTAATTTTTCTCGAGGGCTTTGTTAAAAATAATGCTGACTAAGCTCGAAAAAATGTTTCTACTCGTTTTAAGGAAGCCAGTTATATTTCGAAGCATTTCGCGAATGAATTTTCGAAATAAAATGCAATTGAGACAATATAGCTGATTCACGGCTGGCTTGAGCCATCGAGAAAAGGGTCCTGCCACGAAAAGAGACGAGACAGTGCCCTGGTTGGTGGAGAGTCCAGACAGGCCACGCCTTTTTGCGTCCCAAGCTAGCTGTGAATCGACTATACAAATCAGGATTTGTGAGTTTGGCTCCGGTTTGAAGAAGTTGAACTGCAGGGTATGTCGATGACGAATACCTCGCCAATCAGTTTTCCGACGCGATCTGCCGTGCCGGCTCTTGGGACGAACCCACTGAGTCTGGGAGCGCCGGCGGCAGGAAACGAATCCTTCGTCCTCGACATGGCCACGACCACCGTCGCCGTAGGAAAGGCTAGTTTATTTAGTCTTTATTGCAGTAACAAGTAAGGAAACTGGAGGTTCACGAGTTGAATTCACGAATGTCGCGAGTGAGAGCACAATTGCTTGAAAGCAAAGTTACAGCAATCGAAATGATCAAAAATTAGATGGCATGAAAGCTTAATAATCTGAAAAAAAAACTTCAGAACTTTCAATAAAGCGACGGGTAATCGGGAAACGGGTCTAATAACTCAATTGACTAGGTTGATGGACTTGGCAGAGCCGCCTTTGTGGAAGCAGATCTGAACGACGTCGATGTGTTCGCTACTGAAAAGGGCGGCGCAAAGACAGAAGTAGAACTGCCATCGTCGGTGGAAGTCCGAAGGGTAGTTGAACTCCTCAATTTTCTTCTCGGCGTCCATCCAAGCCCTTAACAGTTCAGAGAATACGAATTCAGTTCTGGGTCTCGCTTAAAACTCACCAGTACCAATGTTGTAGTGTAGTAGAGTAGTGATGTGCATATGAAGCAATTTTCGCTGGCTTCAAAGTCGGCGGAACACTTTCCTCGATAGCACCTTGAAAAAATATTTGAAAAGATAAAAAACCACAGAAGTGAACCCAAAGATGGCAAGTGTCCTCCTGGGAATATATATTTTTTGATGAAGTCTGAGGAGCTACGATAACGGTCATAATAGGCGTCAGGACAAATGATAGCCTGAATTTGGGAAGGATGAGGCTGTGCGGCCGAAATGCGGACCTGTATGGCGGCTATTCCGTTGTCGGTTAGTCGGTCGTTTATTATTTGGAAGTATTGCGGGAGGAACTTCTCGCCTACGGCCTCTATCATTTCGATTGAAACGATTCGGGTGAACGTTCCTTGCACCAATCTATAGCAATTTCAGTTTGTATTGATTCCCTTTTAAAGAAGCAATTTACCGATAGTCTTGGAATTCCAGATTGATGCGACTTTCCAAGCCTGCCTCTGCTACTTTCCCTCTTGCCCAGTCAAGTTGCTCGCGAGAAATCGTGATTCCTGTCCATTTGCAGCCAGAGCGCTGAGAAATCAAAGCGTTTGCATTCAGTTACAGATAGGACATTTAAAAAATTCAAGTTTCTCACTTGAACGCCGCGAATGGCAGCTGCTCCCCATCCGCATCCAATTTCCAGAACATGGTCGTCAGGTCCAAGCTCAAGTTGGTCTAACAATGTATCGATTTTTCTTTTCTGAGCTTCCTCCAATTTGTCGAAATCGACGCCTTTCACTGGCATGTTCACGTCAGAATCTGAGATTTTCTCAATTCAAAGAAACACAGAAGATTGAATTAGATAATAATGCTTTTTGGGCAATAAATTAATATAAATTCACCGCTAGAAAACAAATAAAAAAACTATTTTTTTGCAAACAAATTCGGCGAATGAACTATTTAAAAATTGTAAAAAATACAAAACCAATTCCTTCCTCTTGTGTCTGACATCAATGACTATGTATGTAAATAGGTCTAAAAACGAAAAAAAATCAACTCGCCTTCAAAAATTCCACACGAATAGGTCATCGTTTTGTCGAGAAACAACTTGAACATGTCGTTACCCAGATCATAATGAGCTTGAACAGTAAAGATGAAACATGGTTTTCTTTTATCAGTAACCTTGAATATTCTTGGTGCTCTGTATGACGGTATTCTCGTGGAGCCAGTGTTGAGCGTAGTAAATAACTTTAACCGCACCACGCAGCGCTTCCAGCAGAACCAAGGCTAGTTTTGTGCTCAAACTTTTTTCTCTTGGTCCAGATCTCTCGGCTCTGGCATTCGTCGTTTGTTCTGAGATGGGAATTGAAATGAGAACATTTCACTGGACTGACTTTTGGCACGAATGAGTAGACGCAAGAACTCTGTGGGGTTGGGCGTGACGCTCCAGTCGCCGGCCATATAAGACTCGCCGAGACCAATCTTCGGATCGAGTAGCATCACCCAGCAAAAGTGGAACGGCTTGTGAATACGCATCACCGTTGACTGAGGGTATCTGTAAACTCGAAATGATCCAAAAAAGTCCTCAAAAACTGACTCATTGTTGTTCTCGTTCTTCTTTCCGAATGTTTTGCGAAACTTGACTGGCTCGACGTCTAGGTCGAGTCGTTCGCTTGCATTCGCGAAAAAAGCTCCCAGGAATCTGAAGAATGTTGTATTTTTCGAAACTTCATTTTTTTGGAAAAGAACCTGCAAATAGCTGGTACGCATATCAGGTTGACCAAAAAAGTGTAGAACGAGGACTTTTGGACTGCGACGCTCACCGGAGGCTTCGAAACCGACGACATTTTTCTCACCAAGCAGAGGTTATGCCTGAAAAGTAGAAACACGTTAATTTTTTTATTTTGATAGTTTGCGTGACAATAATAATTATGGTTAACTAGAACATTCTTTGTAATGAGTAATGAGTTCAAAATTGACAACTCTAGTTTCTAATAATTTTTAGATTCTATGAGTGGACAATACATTTTTTTAACGGCTACAGTTTTTCGGGGGAAAATCAATGAAAAAATTCTGATTTGAACCAGAAAAGTTTTTTTTTCAGTGAAAATCATGTTAACCGCCTACAAAGGTTTTGAGCTGTGGGATAGGTTCTCATGAAAAATAGTATGTGGGTCTTTTAGAAGACTCAGTATCTACTATCATACAAAAGAGTAGGAAGTAATGTTTGTGTTTCAAATCCTTCAGAGGATAAATTCGGACTTGATGGTAGGGAATGGCAGAACAGAAATGCAACAAAGAGAAAGGCAGCGAGAGGCGGGGTTTTGTGGTTAGCACAGTGATAAGAGTTCATGAGAATATCCCGTGAACTATCCACTTTATCGATAAGAGTGGACCGAAGGGTAGGATGAGGACGCCTTCGGATTGTAGGGCGACTTTCGTTTTCGCAGTCATTGATTGGGCTGCAAATTGGTGTCAATCCTGCTGGTCCATCAAACTTTTCATGGAAAAGGCCGACTTCAAGCCTTTTTACCGGTCGTAATCTCGAGCTAACCGCCAAGATTCTTGAGGTTCCACCAACAGTCACACAGAAATGTTCAGAAACCAAAAAACTTATTTTTTGAGAACTGAGTATATATTTTTTTTTTCCGGTTCAACCAAGAGTCGGAAAAAAAATAGTATGTGGGTCTTTTAGAAGAATCAGTATCTACTATCATAAAAAAATATATATATGTATATACATATATATCCTAAGTACTTTAATTGACTTCTTTTTAGACGCTTGACTTCGAAATTAATTTATCCAGGAGCCATATTCATCAAATTTCACGTTTTTCAACGAACCGCAAATTGGTTTGAGAACGACACTATTGCTAATTCTATTCTGATTAAAACTTATAACTACATTTTTTTAAAGCGTACCATAAAAACTTTTCGCGCTTGGGGATTGAAATCCACTTCACTCGAAAAACATTAAAACAAAGTCTCCGACAGTTTTATTGGAAGAAAAGTAACTCTGAAGAATGGAAGGTGAACCGAGAGAGGGTTTGTCTCGCCTAAAAATTTTTGTTTTAAAGGTCCTCTCTATCTAATGACCTCGCATTTGTTCCTACAAACGTCTATTCTAGTGAGCACTTCTCCAATCAAAGATCTTTTTTGGAGTCGACTATGTGTTTTTGAGTTTGCTTTCACGTGAATTTGTGCCAGTTTCTACTATAAATGATATCTATCGTGAAAACAGAACAGCAACTTGGAGATAAATTTTGAAAAGAAGTTCAAAGAATGTTTCAGATTGAGGTTTCCGATCGAAAACAGGTCGAGGTGCCCACTTGTTGGGGCGTCGGCGAAGGCGGCAAGGAGACGAACAAACCCAAGGAAATACTCCAAGGAGGCGGCTTGCTCCCACTTGGAGGCGTCGAAAACCATGGTATGAAACCGAGAGCCCGCTAACTTTTTCATGCAATTTTTTTCAAAAGTCGAAAAGAACTTAAAAATTCGTCATCCACTATGCTCGTTTTTCGAAACAGATTTTTGTTATTTTTTCTGAAAATAACGTTGTTTTCTGATATTTGAAGAACCCCTTGAAAATAACATTTCGAATCCGTTTGTGATGTAGTTGATGCCATAAATCGCGCCGATTCTTTTAAACTTTTTTATTGAGTTTACTTTCCTCTGAACCAACTATCTTCGCTTTTTTTCCTTTAAATACATGAAAGAATGAAAATAACAAAAAAATTGAACTTCAGAGGGAAAAACTAAGATGAAAAAAATCGGTTTTAAAAATAATTTGCTTACTTTGATAGTACCTGAGCTGAAATTTGTAGATGATTTCGTGTTAAGTAAAAATCTTTTATTGAAAAAAACTAATATAAAAAGCTCAGTTAAGAACCAAAGCAACTTATTATTTTTTTATTGAGAACATTCAGGAGGCTACAAAGGTTATGGTCTTTGTTCCATGGTGGAAATCTTCTGCGGAATCCTTGCCGGGGCTCATTGGGGACCGCATGTTCGCAAATGGATGAGCTCGGCTTCCGATGCCGACCTTGTCAGTTACGATTCTTTAAAAACAGTTTTTCTTTCCTGATAATGTACCCACGAGGATATTTTTCCCCAATTTGTAGGGCCAATGTTTTGTCGCCATCGATCCTGAGGCGTTCGCTCCAGGTTTCGCTGAGCGCATGAAGGAATTCATTGACACGATGCGCGATTTACCAAAGGTTGGTGTTGCTTTTTTCACTTGCACTGCAAATTTAAGACAGAAAACTACAGAAGATTTTAGGCAGACCCGTCTAAACCCGTGTTGGTGGCCGGCGATCCAGAGAAAGAGCACGAAAAACTTGTCGAGAAACTCGGCGGCATCCCTTATCACGTCAACCAAATCAAATTCATTGTATGAATTACTTCTCCCGCCATTGAAATTACTTCTTCTGTTTTCAGAGCGAAATGGCTGACAAGTTGGACGTTGCGATGCCAAAAATCCTGTGATTTTCTTACTGAACCAGCTTGCCATAGACTTTACTCCTCCGAAGTGATATTTGTAATGTATATATATACTACCTATGTGATTCAAACTCAGAAATTGAAATAACTATGTTTATTTGAAAACTTTTACGATTTATTTCGAAATAAATTTTGATGATTTTTTCAACGTCTTATTGGAAAAGTTGAGTCATCTCTGAAGTTTCTATTTCCAAAATGCTTTTCTTTTATTTTTAAATGACAGAGTTTACTGTAATACGTGTAATGAAGGCAAATAGAGAACAAGATAATAAAGAGTGACTCTCGTAAGAACCGCTTATAAAGACTATCTACTTGCTTCTTTGATTTTTAGCCAATAAAATTTTCTTTTTTAAATGATTAATATTTTATGCTAACGTCGTCAAAAGAAATCGTCATTAATTTGAAAACCGAGTTTTAGGTGGCGCGAAGTTTTTCGAGTACGGTAGTCCGTTTTTCATAGTTTTGCGCCACTGTGTAAGAACGTAGCTTATCGATCCGTCTTCTTTCATTTAACGCGCTTGGTATTTTAAAACTTTTCGGTTCTTTTGTTATTTCCTAATGCTGTTCGAAATTTTTCGAATCCTTCACTATTGAGAATTGTTAGCATCGAATTTCGACGGTTTTCGCTTGTCCGTTCTTTTAAGTGCGTAATATTATATTAATATCTTCGCAGTTATGTATTTTTCATTATTTAGTATTGATCCTTATTTCTTTTTCGTACTTCATGAATTCAGAGGACGTATGCATTAAAGTGCAAAATGAATTTCCGTCATTTTCCTGAAAGTAAAAAATGTCTGAAACTCGCTACGATATAATTTATTTTGACTCTATTGATGTAATAAAGATTTATAAGAAAATTCGGATAGCGAAGAAACAACTTCAGTCTAAAAAGACCAATTGTAGTCACTTTCGAGTTTCAGGAAAATGGCGAAAACCATTTTTCACTTTATTGTCTACGGCCTCAGATTCCCATCAAGCGATAATTTTCAGATTTTCATGGGTTTTGTTTGCTGTTTTCCATAAAGACGGGTCTCAAAGTTATTGACAGTTCAAAATGGCGGCAATGGTTTCAAACATGGTTTGTTCTAAAATATATTTTTTTTCGTCGGAGTAGAAGTGAAAATTATTTGGAAAATCTAGTATTTTTTTAGCGTTTTCCAATTCCTGGTGCAGCTGGACCATCAAATGTTACTCTGACGATCCAACCGTCAACATCCCACAGTGCGTATTTTTTGAATTCGCCTCTTTTCTTTTTTTTGCGTAGTTTTCACAAAATTTTCAGGTTTCCGGAGGCCACAACAACAGAATGCTGGACGGTTTAACCACAACCCGGTATAGTTTTTTTTTGTTATATCTTTCAAAATGTTTTTCATCGATGAAACTGAGAATTTATCATTATTATTTTTTCAATTGACCATTCACTTTTTTTTCAGTTCCAAATGGGCGTTGGCGACATGATGGGAGATGGTCCTGGCCGTCGATTACGGAAAAATGTGGCCAATGTTCGTCGACATGTTGATTATGTTTCTACTGTGTTGAATCACGCAGAGGTTTGTTGCCTTCTTCGTATTGCGTTTTTGTTGGTGAAATTTTTTTTTTGCGTCAATAGAGTTCGGTTTTCCGCGATCAAAGGTTCTATTTCTCTTCTTGTTGCTTATTTTACATCCAAGTTTCTCATTACGTTAACTCACAACTCAAAGGTTTTCTCACTAATTCTTAACACGGAAGCCTATTAAATTTCAAGAACTTAGTTCATGGTTACTACCAGTCGAAAACAATTCCGTAATTAACCTTCATTTTTCGATGCAGAATATTTTGAAAATCGTGAATAATTCGAGAATCAATCTTTTCATTTGGGTAAGCCATTCTTTATGCTCTTCAATCATCATATTCATCATCTTATTCTTCAAACATCTTGTCGTCCAATTTCACTTTTCTGTATATTTTTTTAACTATTGAACTTATGTCCGATTGTTCATCTTAATTTCCTTGGTTTCTTTAAAGCCCTGTAGTATAAAATTATCCCATCATCACAAATCCAGAAATTTTTTTTCAACTTACTCGGAGTTTTTCGTCGAGATTTGAAAAAAAAAAGTTAGTTATCAATTGTTTAATCAAAGATTCAGGATTTGAAAATTTTGTCAGTTGAAAGGCTTGCGTTTCCAAATAATAGTTAATAACTATTTTCTAGTGCTTTCTCTCTGTTTTTTACAGGCGTCATTAAAGTTCTTCTCTTTTCGAAACGTCGTGTAGTAATCTTTTGAAACCCTCAAACATTTTTCATTTTTTTGTATGCAACCAAATTTGCTCGTTATATATTTTCCCATATAATTTATAAGAATTGAACATGTTCATTAAATTGCAGTTAATTTTAAAGGTATCATGGCCGCACCCCGCGGTGGGATTCAGCCGACGTATGCTTTCGAGTCGTGATTTCGAAATAACACTACCTCCTTAAAAGGAGAAATAACTTTATTGCTCATTTTTAAAATTGTTTGCGAGTCAACCCTTTCTCCTGAACTAATTGATTCATTTTCTTGCCCATGTAGGACTTGAAAATTTTCGATAAGAGCTTATAAAGATGCTTTTTATGAGAGACCGCCTCTAAAGAGAGAGTTACGAAGCAGAAAAAAAAAGCTTCCGTCAGAAGGGAAGCCGTAAATACAGAAATGAAGCTGAGAAGTTGAGGCGCGACTGTGGCAGTATGGACGGAAGCAACGGATGCTGCAGCAGCCGGACGAACTCTACCAGAACACGGCGTTGCCCGTCCACTGCACGATGGACGTCCCTGTCGACTGCATCCTCACCAAATTCGTCCGCGCCGCCATGAACAAAGTCAAGTGTCCCGTCTACAGTCTCTGTGTACGTTCACATCTTCTTTATCAAGTTCCTTTTCATCCATATCAAATTTGCCTCTCCTTCCCTGCTTAGATAGCTTTCTCGAAGTATTTGTATTTCGCAAAAGCATTCAATAGCTGATTTTCGGAAAAATATCCATGTTTAATTCAAAAAAAGTCTTTGCGGTTCAGCTTGAATCAAGTGAAAGAAAATTTGAAACAGTTTGTTATAATTATTTCAATTTTTTTCGTATTTTTTTACAAAGCTTACATTGCTCCTCCTTGTTATTTTGAACTTTCTGTCAAAATTGGCGAGTTTTCATTCAATTAAAACTAGGATAATTAAAAAAATATTTAAAAAAGGATGGAAGTGATAGATGTAAACCATTTTTTAAAGAAAATTTCCTACGTGGAAGACACTGTCTAGATAAAACTTTTTTCTAAAATTACAAACTACTGACTAACTACTGGTGTGCACTATAAAACAGACTGTCATAATCGAAATAAATCTGTGAAGTACTTCAGCTTTATCTCAAAGACTTGATTTAAAGACTTGTCTCGAAACTGCGAAAAAGTGTTTTCCGCTGTCTATTCATTTAGATTTTGAATTTCAGTGGTCGCCGGAGGGAAAGCGACTGATAACGGGGGCATCAACTGGCGAGTTCACACTTTGGAACGGTACCGCGTTCAATTTCGAGACGATTCTACAGGTAATCAGGAAGTAGTTTAACTTGCGCCGTCCAGGAGCTTGCGGAACAGTTCGGTCGACCTCGTCGTGGTCCCAAACGCCTCGACTTTTAAATTTCAAATCAATGTTCCGTACTTTCTTTTTTCTTGTTCTTTCCACAAAAAGTGTCATGTAAATAATAGACAATGAACAAGAGAAAGAGAAGTTTCCGCAAATAAAATTGGAAACAATCGCTACAGAAACTCCGTTCTTACCCGGTATGTTTGCCCTTTTCTTAATGTATTGACAGTTTAATAAAGAATAAATAAAATTCACATCCATTGTCATATTTCTTTTTGAAATGGGATTTGGTTGTGAATAATAAATATTAATTATATTTTGGTTTCGGTGCATTTAAGGGAAGAACTTTACAACATTTTTTCAAACAGAAAGGACAGTTATAATAATCCTTAAAGGATCACTTGCCAAAAAATGCTGAATATTACACTTTATATCTATCAAGGCTCGAAATTTGATTCATAGAAAGTAAAAAATGATTATGATTACTGAGGTTAATGTTTGGAAACGGAGAGTTGTCCCGTTTTCGAAATGGGATACGCCTGAATCTCTGCATAAATATTTCCTGTTCTTTGTGCGGTTAGTGGTAAAAAGGTCAGCGCAATTTTTTCTACTTTAACCAATAATTCCTCAATCAGTTGTTTCGAAGCGAATAACGACCTTTACAGCAGTTGCTTCTTCACAGGAGAAGGAATCGAATCCCTATCAGATCATTTTCACAGGATAGTTGAGATCATCCGCAGTGCCGAATTTTTTAGACGAATTTTTTTTTCTCAATTTTATGAAGTTTGATTGTTTTTTTAAGCTAGCGAGTTTTGGTATAAAAAAGTAGATACTTAAATTCAGTAAATCCGTGAATGAATGTCCCACTTTTTTCCACCAAATGAATCATAAATCGTAAAGTCGGCTCAAGATAGATGAAACGTAAAAAATTGACTGTCAAGCTTGAAGGGTTCCGACGTGACTCCTGGGGCAGCATACTTTTGAAAAGTTGGGGTGAGAGGTTAAGAATGAGTGTTAAGGCACACGACTCGGCGATCCGCGCGATGCGGTGGTCGTCGAACGAGCAGTGGCTGCTGAGCGCCGACCAGGATGGCTACGTCAAGTACTGGCAGCCGAACATGAACAACGTGCACATGTTCGCCGCCCACAAGGACGAATCCGTGCGCGGTCTTTGGTACGGTTTTCGTTGCAGCCTCTGCTTTCGTTCTCGAGTCATTGGAACCAATTAAGAAAAAGCAGTTTTTTCATCCCCATGGCTATTTTTCGATACAATTCCTGTTGCGGCAGTTACATCGACGAGGAAAATTATCTTCTGTATCCTTCTCGCTTACAGCTTTGCTCCCACGGATGTGAAGTTTGCGACGGCTTCTGACGACGGAACTTGTCGCGTTTGGGATTTCGCGCGATGTGCCGAAGAAAAAGTGCTCCGTGGCCACGGATCCGAGGTAGGTGAAGCCGGTGACAAGCTAACTTAGGCCTGAAGTGCCAAAATCTCGAATATCAGGTGTAAAATAGTTATCTCGATATTTTTTGAAAAAAATCTGTAATCACAGTTTTGATTTCGGGCAATACTTCTGAGGTGTGCTAGTTCCACTGATTATAGTTTTTTTGCGTTCTTTTTGGAATTTAGTTATTCGTATGTTGAAGTTTAGCACGATCCATCTACTAGTCAAAAATGATCTCCTCCGAGAAGGTCAAATTTGTTGAAGAATTTTTAAAAAGGTGTTGAGAGCCGCTTTGATACTTGTTCATACACCTCTTAGCAACGTTAGAACCCAGATTGAGGATAACCACAGTAACGAACTTTGCGCACCTCGTATCATACAGAAGTTCGACTGTCTTCTGAGAAAAAGTCTCTCATTTTGAGGTTCGCTGCATCGACTGGCACCCGACCAAAGGACTCATCGTCTCAGGCTCTCGCGACACTCAACAGCCCGTCAAGCTGTGGGATCCGAAGAGTGGACAGTGTCTTGCCACTTTGTGCGTTCACTTAAGGGGCTAGGATGATTTCGGGCGTTTCAGCCAAGAACACAAAAGTTCTGTGATGGCCGTGGAGTTCAACCGGAACGGCAACTGGCTGCTGACCGGCGGCCGCGACCATCTCGTCAAGATGTACGACATCCGCGTCATGAAGGAGATGCACACTTACCGAGCCCATAAAAAAGAAGTCATTTGTGAGTTTCCGTCTGTTTTTCGTCTGAAAAGTCGGCTCCAGCGGTCGCCTGGCATCCTGTCCACGAGGGTTTGTTCGTCTCTGGAGGCGGCGACGGCTCCATCGCCTATTGGCTCGTCGACAGCGAAAAGGTAACGAATAGGATATGCAGGGCGAAATCTCCTCCTTTTATTTAGAATCGGCTTCACAATCAAACTAACTTGAAATTTTTCTCACAGTAGAAGTCATTTTTCGATAAATGTTTTTTTTTACTAATCTTTTCTCAAAATTTTCTGTTTTCAAATGTATTCAACTAAATAAGGTATGTCCTATTTTTCGTTTTCAAAATAATAACTCGGCGGTTGAAGCAGTTGAACAAATGAAAGTTTTAAATTGCAGGAGATCGGATTCCTGGAACATGCACACGACCAGGCGATTTGGGCCATGAGATGGCATCCGATGGGACACATTTTGGCCACTGGTTTGAAAGATTTGGTTTCTTTTCAATTAGAACTTGATCAATTTGAGGCTCAAACGACAACAACACCAAGTTCTGGGCACGAAACAGACCTGGAGATACTCAAGAGGACATTTTCGGTCTATCTTCAATAGCCATGGTTAGTGACGTTTTTGAACTTCTAACGAAAAAATGTACGCTTCCACTTGATCGACACCCAGCTTTTTAATTTGTTCTTATGTATTGTTAAGAGCTTCTCTTCTTCCGCTAGTTTTTTTTTTGAACTTACATTTTGCTGTCGTGAAAGCTCTCTGCAAGAAGAGGTGGTTTCAGGTCGGAGCTCTGGACAAGGAACGAGAACCGAAGGCTGCTCCAAAGCCAGTGGCCATAGATCCGTTGGCCGAAGAGTTGGCCCTTCCCGAGAACACGTTCATTCCCGGAATGGGACTCGACGACGAGCTCTATGAGCAGGTTTCTTGCTCATAGAAAAGCCCAGTCCATCTTCAATTTTCAGATGAATCGCGACGTGCATGTGGGCGGAATGGACTCAGGGCTTCTGGTGCCCGACGATCTAACCAGAACGCAACAAGGACCTATGATCGGCGCCAAAAGGACGCTGATCAAGCAGCTGCCAGCGAAAAAGGCGCAACGCCAATTCGAACGCATGTGGAACATTTCCAAGGGAGTTGGAGCAGGTCGGCGCTGTCAGGTCTTTCGAGATGGGGTTTTTTTTGCAGGAACTGACGACTTCTCGGCCGTTCTTGGAGGAATGGGAAGGAACGACGAGCAAAGCTCTGCAAACTCACAAAACCCTCACGAAAACGCAGGACGCAGAGCCAAGCCGAGCCTTCTTGGCGATGCTCCAACGCCGTCGCTTCTCGGCGGTCCCAAGCCGACCCCGTCCCTTTTGGGCCCACCATCGAGTCGTCCTCCAGCTCCGCCGGGGCCTCCGCCAACGGTCAATGCTGGCCCTTGGCCTCCCAAGCCGCCTCTTCGTCCGCCACCGCAGCCACATCAGATGCCGCCGCCATTCCAACCGCCTTTCGACCGCTCCGTGCCGCCTTCCCAGCAGTCCTTCGAACGCTCGGGCCCGCAGTCTCAGCAGCAGCAACAATACGAAAGACTGCCTCCTTTCCAGCAACATCAGTCCTTCGATCGCGATCGCCCTGCCCCGTCACAGCGTTCTGGTTCGTTTGACGTCATCTAATTAAAGTCCATATTTTCAGTGGAAATGGTTTGAGATCTTATCTATTTGAGCCTCATATAACTATCCCAAATTTCCATTCGAAATCGCACGAAAATTACCTTCCGAAGCAAACCGATATAGCGCGTCAAAAAGCGAAATAACGGTGTAGGAGTCCACCCTACCAACTTTACGTAGATTTGCGGACGAACCATCAAACTTGACGTTAAATGTCGGCTAATCACCTTCCAATCAGAGCTTATGCTCAATGATTCGCGTAAACATCTACGATTCCTTTCAGATGCTCCGATGGGACAAAAAACTTCCACTCCGCCTCCGGCTACAGCTCCGCAACAAAGGCAGCCACTTCGTCCGACGCCTCCGATGCCGCCGCCGCAGTTGTTCAACAAGATGGGCGTGCCGATTCCACCTCCAGGGCTGCCGCCGCCAGGAATGTCTTCGGCCATGTGGCCGTTGCCGCCGCCTCTGAACGTACATCAACAGCAAATGCTGAATCGCGTGGGACCGCCTCCGCCGGCTCGATCTTCTGGAGAGGTGAAACAACCCTTTCAATGGTCAAAGAAGTATTATGACTATGGTTTGTAAAAATGATAGGAGGACATCGAAAAGAGAAAAGGAAAAAAGGGGGTGAAGTATGATTTTAAACAATATAATAAAAAAAAGAAAGGGTCGTGCGATACAGACATTTCTGGCGATGTGACCGGCGGAATTTTTTTCGAAAATGTATATTTTCGAAAAAAAATAGATTTTCTTTTAACTTTCATAGTTGATCGAGATTCTTTTAATTTTCTCTTTACTTCCTATCCGATTTTTTGTGAAGAAAAAGTTACAGAAAGCTAAACTTTTATGACCAGGAATATTATGTTCTGTCTTCATTTATTTGTATCCAACTACCTATAATGATTTTTTTTTCATTGTCGTTTTTAAAAAAAATTTAAGGATGTGGACTATCGCCTCCCACCGCCCGCAGCACCTTCGCAGTCAGGAGACGTCGACTTGCGCTCCGTCAGAATGCCGCCTCCAATCAACTTCGGACAGCCGCCGCCGACAAAAGCCCCGCCAAAGGCCGACGAATCCTGGAGGACTTCTTCAGGAGCAGCCGCTCTTCAGAACAAATTGCCGCCGCCGCAGTTCGGTTCGAGAAAAGATGTTTCGTCTTTGTTTCATTTCTGTGTTTCTTTCAGATCTCCCACCATCTACACATCAGCCGAATCTTCCTGTTGATCCACGTCTGAACGATCCGCGGTTAAGACCCAGGGTAAGATTTTTTCCGTCTTATCGATGACTTTTGTCCCAAAGAGTATATTTTTTCGGCTTCTTGATGGAAGATATGTTGTCTCAGAAAAAAGAACAACAACAAAGACATATGCTCATTCAGAACGAGGAGCCGCGACAAGAGAAGAAGAGCGGATGGATGCCGCAGTTCAACACAGCTCAACCGCCACAACTACCCAATCCTCCTCAACATCAACAGCAGCAAGGCACGGGCGGTCCGATGCGCAACGGCGCCGATTCCTGGCGTTCTCAGCCGTCGAAGAACGGGCAGCGGCGGCCTGGAGGACCCTATTGATCCTTCGTCTCACTCTCAATAATGATTTTTCTAAACCAAGAGATCCTAACGAATAAACCTTTCTTTCCCGTCAAAACCCATTTTGGATTGAATTAAAATTAGCTTAGATTTTTTTTCTCCCTGAATAACGGATTTAGCAGTCGTGTTCCGTAGTTGTGGAATCGAAGAGCGTTATACTATGATGACCTTTTTTCTTTCAAATTTGAAAATTACTTTTCATTTGACAATATCCGGTTTTTGATGAATTTTAAATGTATTGTTTATGGAATAGCTTCAATTAATTGTTTGGTTGTTTTCAATTTCGGTTTTTTTTTTCTGCAGATCTTCCTCAATTCTGATTTTACGGGCCTTTTTCGTTCCAAGCTATCCCTTCTCTTAAGTTTAAGAAAAAGTTATCTCTCCATGTGTTATACCATTTTTTTTTCGTTATGGGAAGAAAATCGATTGTTTGGTTCTGGCTTTCATGAACTTTTCTGTTATTTACATAACCTGTTTTCCTTTTTTAAAAACTATAAATGGTTACAATGAGTACAGAAGTCTTTTTAAAATGGTAATTGTTTATTTTTTGAGAACAACCGAAGCAACATGCTTCAAAGAAAAATTTCAAAAAGCAAATGTGACCGAGAAAAAGCACCACGACTACAAGTTAAACGAGTACCGTATCAGGGGCCATCCACCAGTAAAAGAAGCCGATGAGGTTGATGCCAATGGCTGTGAGGATGAAGATGATGATGAAGACGATGAGAAAGACGCGCTCCAGACACGCCGCCAGCCAGTCCCACTCCAGTTCCGCCAAGTTGCGAACCGACCTCGGCGACACCGGAACTGTTAAGCGGATGATAGAAGGAAAATTAATGACGGGATTCTTTAGCAAAACTTTCTTTCCGATTTTTAAATGGAGTGAAGAACCAAAAGATGTCCTTCAGTTCATCAATCCTTCAGCTATGCCCAGTGAATACCTTCGACTTGCCGAAGGACGCTGTCGAAACTCCCGGTAGTGGAGGCCTTGTGAATGGGTCGCGCCGGCCGCAGAAGCTCGGCATCAGGCAGCGAGATGTCGGCGTCGTCGTCCGACGCCAGAGCCACGCCTCCTAGTCCCCCTACAGGTCCCATCGAAGCCAAGCCTCCCTCGCCTGCAAGTCCATCGGTTCCTTCTATTTCCTCGCAACTCACTGATGCAAGTCACGTCCGTACTGATTGTACAGCACTTTCTGGCGTTCGCCACAGTGCCGCCGCCATTTTCCAACTTTTCCATCGAGACTCCGTTGTATTTTTGCGACGATGATGAGGTCTGAACGATTTCTCAACTTTTTTTTTTGAGATAAATATCTTGCAGAATAAAAGTTCTTGAATGAAAAAACTGATATATTCTAGTAATATTTTCGAAATTAGAATCTCCACTCGAAGTGGTCACTCTCAGCATCCATCTAGAGCGCGGTCTTCAGCTTCAAGATCCACTACATTCTGAGCTCGTCAAGGCGCAACTGAATGAACTACGCGCAAAAGAACGAGGCGAAGGACCGTAAGACAATGTTTTCAACTCTTTCGACTACACGCTAGGACTTCTAGTTCGCCAAAGGCGGTTGTTCATTATAGCTTCTAAAATTCTTGTTCACCGCCTAGTCGATTATATCCGACTAAAACAACAAAATGGAGGCTTTGATTGATTAATTGATGATTTCAACTCTTTGAATATTCGCAAAAACAAAGAAAAACTTTTCTTGTGGCAGCTTGTTCACGAGCGAGTTTGTAGACGCGAGTCCAGAGGCTCTGTTTCCGGCATTCCTGTCTCCGCAGTTTCTCTTCCTGCAAGGACCCTCACTTCTACTCTTTGATCAAAAACGGATTGAAGATGGGTTCAAAAAAATCGCAAGTAGTAATTTCGGGCGCACAAACCCGCGCTTTCTGAGCGTAGGCCTGTTTCATAAGCAGTGGCATTTCCATTCGGATGAATCCAGAGACGACGCGAGCCAGTCGCATCGTTTTCTGAGTTGGCGGCTTTCCGAGGATTCCTGGGAGAAGAATAAGAAAGTTTCTTCTACTGAACAAAACCTCGTTTTTGAACGTAGATGACTACGGAGGAACACAACGTCGAGAGAGATATCAACATGATCATTGCCGTGTAGAACCAGCCTATGAAGCTTCAAGTTTTGAGAAAGATACTCAAAAAAAAAACCAATGAGCGGAATGAAGGAAGAGGTGGAGGGCATTTTGTCGGAGACCATGAAGATCAGAATCGACATCGAAAGCAAGGTAGTGATTCCAAGAGTGATTTTTTCCTCTCGCGGTTCATTTATCGATGACGAACTTCAAGGAAGTAAATTAATGCTGAGGAATATTGGGTTCGACTAGATTTTATATTCTTTTACAGCAGTAGAAAGTTCATAATTTCTTTAGTTTTGATAATCTTTTAGAACGGGAAACCGATTTGAAAGCGGTTCAGAAACGCGCAAAATGAATAAAAAAGAAAGCGTTTGGCAGCGAATAACCCGTGAGATTGAGCCTTCAGTTGAATACCGCGCGCGCTACTTTTTTGGCCAAAACTTTTTCTTGATGAACCTTTTTTTTTAAATTTGAACGGATTATGAATATTGACAGCCTCTTCTATCGATTAACATATAAACCAATTCAAGTCATTTTTAAAAATGGCTTGCTGAGACTGCTGAGACTGCTGAAAAACGAAGAACAACCTTGAAGTTGTGAAAAATCAAGATATGACTAAATATTGGATGACTAAATATTGGAGAGTCAGAGAAAAATTGGGATTCCGCGGGAATTTCTTTCAACACGGCATCACCGTTTATTTCCTCATCGTGATTTTCTTCAATCAACTATGTTTTTCCAACCGAACTTTTTCAGAGCTCGTAACTCGTGATTGGAACATTATTTTTGTTGGAATGACCATAAAGATTCTTCTGGGACTGGAAACCTGAAAAAGCCGACGATGGAAATCAAGGTGATGATGGAGGTCGGCGTGATGAGGTTGATGATGTAGTAGAGCGGCTTCCGCTGCATCATCAGTCGGAACTCGAGCAACGTGTAGTTGTTGGGACAGCACTCGTACTTGTTCTCGTGCCGGACCACTGAAGCTTCCTCGGGTTACCTCGAGAGGAAAAGGACGTGCCTGCGGTGGAAAGGACGTTCCAGCCTTCGTTCTCGATGCAGTTGGCCGTTCCGATGGCGTGCGTCACGTTGTGCGCGAAATAGTCGATGAGTGTGTTGTCGTAGGTCCAGCTGCCGAAGTGGAGTCGACACGTCTGAACCCTAATTTCCTGGATCAACAGCGGAAAGAACAGAACGACGTGCAACAAAGTTCAGACTACATGTATTCCTCTAACATATGCTCTCTTTATTTTCGAAGGATAAGATTAACCTGCCTGATCGACTGCACGAAATTTTGGAACAAGGGAAAAGGAGACTCTTCGTTGTTTGTTTTCAATGAGGATTCGTATTACCAGCAAAAATAACGAAATTCGTTTGCAGTGCAGAACTTAGTTATTCAACGAAATTGCATTTTTGAAAAATGGGTAGAATATTTTTGACTTGAAAATTTTGATCTTTGTAATAGTACCGAAAAACAGTTTACTCCAATAAATTTGGGGCATAAAAAAAGTCGCCTAGTGAATGGAAATTTAAGAAAAGTTAACAGCAAATCGAAAAAAAAAATGAATAAACAGAGATCATGGTACTCACTTGAACGTCGAAAGGGAAGAACCTGAAAAATTTCAGATAAATCGGAAAAGTTATGACTCGAACTTTATTAAGTTAGTCATAAAGCTCTTTTTTTATTCAGACCTTAGATTGAAGTAAAGAAAAGAGAAATGTTTGAGTTGGTAGTCCAGTTTAACCGTTAAGATAACCTGAGATTCAAAAGACAGGAGAGCTTATAAATAGTCGGGTAGAGCAGTTCTACAAGCGCTCCTTTGTCTTTCCCCCGGGTCGTCAGCTTCGCCTGCATCAGTCTCCGAGTGTCTTCGTCGCTCATAACCAGTCTGAAAACAGATAATCTCTCAATACACACCTTTTCAATGAAACTCTTTTCCAAAAACTTCATAGATCTGCAAAATGTTCATGAAAGAAGAAGTTGTCTCAGAAAAACACACGAGTTGTACAAAGTGGTGTCAGGAAGCCAAATCTCCTGATGTGGGATCATCAGCTCGGTCACGTTGGAGAACTCCAGAGGATCCCAGCCAAGCATCACGTCGACCCATCTCTGGAAACAGAGAGTTACGCACACTGCGAATTAATATGCGAGACTTTCTTTGCTGAGTTATTCATTTTTTCGATTAGGTGTACATAAATGTCCATTGAATATGAATAAACAGCTTTAAAAAATCCAAGTGTGCAGTATACTTGGCCTTTCGTATCAAAACTGAACCTCCTTTTATCCATTCCTTAATAATTGATGAAAAACATTTATAATTAAAAACATTATTGAGGAGTAAGGGGCGAAAACTTCGAAAGATGTACTGATTACCTCAACAATCCAAGCGTTGAGCATCAGATATTGCTGCGGCTCGTTCTATAAAAAATAAGATTTTCTAAGTAGAACCATTGGCTGATGGGAAAAACGACCACTCACAACTTCGATGATCTGATAGAGTTCCATGGAGAAGAAGACCTTGATGGACTCGTTCTGGAGCCTTTTGGGGATCATGCCGCGGTTGTAGCGCGACAGGATGAACTGCGAGATTTCGTAGTGCTCCGGCAATGAAGACGTCCCCCGCGCTTCTGCATCCATTTTTTCGATTTCGTATTTCGCAGAAGTTCACTCCCAAACAAAAAAGACTTTTTACCGTTCAGACTTTTTTTCCTAACCACTATGCAGTAAATACGTGTCTCAGACACTTGTGGAATTGTTCGTCCTGAATTAGAAAAGCACTCTTTCCAGGACCATATCTCACTGTCCCTATGAAGTCCTAGAAAAAAATAGCCAAATATTTATCAAAATCATTCATGTTAAAGTTCAACTGAAAATTCTGAAATTAAATATTAAAATCAGCTCTGAAAATGTTATATCCGTGCGCATTTTCTCGTGTACACGCAATCAGTTCAAATTTTTCAAATACGATTTGATGGATTTCGGCGGAGTTTCGAGTTAAAACCTTCCTTCCCTTTTTCGGATTTTCTAGAAATTTTCGTTTTTCGGCAGCTTTCTCCTATTTCCTAAATGAGGCTTCGAGAAAATAAAGAAGTTCAAAAGAAGTTTCATGACTATCCCTTTTTATAGCACAATAAGTTGTAGATTGCTTTTACTTCGAACGGAGGGATTTCTCGGATAACGAACCTGTGCTCGGCCATTTGGAGCAGACGAGGCTAGAGCAGACGACGACAACAAACAGAAAAGCGTCGGAGGACATTTCCAAGTACCTGTGGGAGGGACGGCGAGCAGAAGCCAGGCGAGAAGCCACGTCGTCCTGCGCATCGTCTCCGCTGGGCTCCGTCCGCCGTTCCACCGTCGAGTTCGGCCACGCCCACTGCTTTTTGCTCAACTTCCTGCTCCGTTTTCAGCGTGACCTTCATCAAATATCATCTTTTTTAATAGTTGTCTTTTTTCCATAGAATAACAAAAAAAAATTGTTTTGGTTTTCCCTCTCAAGTATTTGGTTTGAGTTAAAAATAAACAGTAAAATTATTACTATTCGTAAAATCTTTGAGACTGTGAAACGGCAAAAGAAATTGCCCCGAACCAGGATCGAACTGGTGACCTTTAGATCTTCAGTCTAACGCTCTCCCAACTGAGCTATCGAGGCTGCTGCGCTTCACTTGTGACGTGCGCACCAGTATGCTTACTTCAGGGAGCTGTTTCATCAGCATGAGCGAGGCGTGAATACGGAAAAACTAAAATGGAAACTTTGAAAATTATTATGTTATAAAAAAGAATTGTATCTCTTGAAAGCGGGCCCGTTTTGTCATCGTGAAAGTCAGTTAGCATTTTTTTGAACATGTCTATAGGACTTTTTTTCAACCATCAACATAAATTTTTGTGATTGCCTATGATAATAACATGATCTTGAAACGGATTCTTCTTCTCAACTCTGTCAAAAAGGTATGGGGAATACCTGTCACACGGAAAATATTCTTCAGAGGTCGCCTCGATAGCTCAGTTGGCACGGCGTTCTGCGTAGTGGAAGAAAATGTAAAAATTTTGAAAATGCGGAGCGGCTTCGAAACGTTGCTCCCCCTAGATTTACGGTAGACAGCTTGCGCGCGAACATTTGAATTTCTTGTTGCTCAAGTGCTTCACGTGATTTTTCATGTTTATTTCAGCTGTATCTTTATCTGTTTTGTACTGATTTACGGTAATTATTTTTTTTATTGCGACAGCAAAATGCGAAGGAACTTTTTCAATTTTTCAATATTAACTGCTGTGTTTTTGACCAAATTTTTCCCTTTAAAGCAAAAAAAGCCTTTCAGCAACATTTTCAGTGTCAAATTAAATTTTTTTATTCGAATCAATCAATCTCTTCATTTTCGCAACATCAGAATGGTATGGCGATGTTGCAGAGGAGAAAAAATACCACTAGGTGGATGAAATAAAGCAAACCTGTAAAGAAAACTTTTATTTCTATTTTTAGTGAGTGGGGAAAGACGCATAGAACCACAATAAGTCATTTTCGGCACAAAATTCCACGTTTTTTACTGAAAAAAAGGACTTTAACTAATTTTGAGGATGAAAGGTATGAAAGTGTTCAGAAAATAAGAAAAACTTTCACCCAAATGTTTTTTTGTCAACTAGAAAAGGAATTGTGAAAGGATCGATTTTTTCCACGTCTATAGTTTTGAAAAAACGCTATTTTTCGAGGAAAAAAATTATTTTTGAATTTAATGAGTATGCGAGTTAGCGTCGTTCTATGTATGCACAAAAGACGTCAAATATTACGGAAATTGTCGGAGGGGCGTCGTCAAAAGAACGCCGTGTTGGGAGAGCGTTAGACTGAAGATCTAAAGGTCACCAGTTCGATCCTGGTTCGGGGCATTTTTTTTTTTTGTTGAAACCGAGCATCTTATAAAAAGAAAACGAAGTTGTCTCTCGGACCCCCTTATTTTCTTTCCGTCTACTATCGAGAGCAAGGAGACTTGATCGAATTCCCTAGGAGCTAATAAATGGGGATGAGAGAAGGGCAAGCAATTGATGGAATAGTTTTGGAAGATCTTTTTTGAGATAGATTTTTCTGGTTCGGCCCGAGGTGTAAGAAAGGCCAGGACTTATGATCTAATAAAATTTAATCGCATATCGCAGCCGTCCCTTGTTCAAAGATAATAAACGTTTCCCACGCCGTTTCTGAAACTACTATTTTAAAATTTCAAACGCATCGGCTCAGAAAATTTAGGGAGAAATTTTTTCAGATACTACACTATTTTTTTTTAAATCCCAGTCAAGTATCTTGCAAATCCTAAAGATCTCGAAAAGGATCCGCGTGCTTGGAAACCAACTCCGAAATAGAAAACAAATGCGTTTACACTAGAAAGACTTACCCAACTGCTTCAAAAATTGATCGCTGGAAAGAAAAAAAAATTATTGTGGCGCCAGGACGCTCAGACAAAATTTCCCTTGGGGCAAGAGGAACTCTTCCAGGTGGAGAAACACTTTCCTATGAGTTGTTCAAAGGTGATTCAGTTTTAGAGCACGAAGAGATCTTTGATCCAAGTTCCGTGTGAAAGCTCTAAATATCCTTCCTAATTTAATTAGTCTTCTGACTTAAATTAGTGAGTTGTTCATTAAAAAAAACGGTCACGTAGGTATCCTCCAAATACAAGTTTATGATGAGCTACCAGAAAAATGAGTTTGAGTTTGGGAAAAAAATATTTAAATGGAGATTTTGAATTTCTGTGGAAAAATTAGAAGCCAGAAAAAAAGTTAGATATGGAACTGAAAGTAGAACACTTGTTCGGAACAAAAGCTGTTCAAAAGTGCAAAAAAGGCCCAATCTCAAGATGAATCTCAAAGCTCTTCCTGCATCGAGAGCTCTTCTGAATGAAGGACTATAAAAGGAAAAGGAGATTTTTTAGTCGAAATGCTCAAAAGGTTCTGAGAAAAATTCGTGAGAAAACAGTAGTGAGACCGGAAATCCGGCTCAAAACGCGCTTGAACTGGCGTCATGTGTTCAACGGACCGTTCGACGTTTCCGTTTCCTGCGAATTTTCCAGACTCATAACAACTACCATCCTGTATGAACTCCAGTGGAAAAGTTACATATAGTCGCATGAGAAAACAAAAAGAGCCAATGTGGAAACGGAGCACCTCTTCAGCAAAATCCCACTATTGAATAGTCTCGGGTCGGATTTGAACTTCGGAATGAGGCCAACCTCACTTGGTGCGATGATTTTCAGAATCTTTCCTCAAGGATTGTCTTGTTTCACAAATCAGGTTTATTTCTTAAAAATGGAGATGTAGATTTATCTCTCATTTCTTTAAAAATTCATTTTCACGAAGCTGGTAAAAACACAAAAAAAACATACCATTGTAATGAGAACAAGAATGAGATGACATTCCAAAAGAGAATCGACACTAATTGCTGCGGCTTGTTTGTCGCTAGATCTTAATCCAAAAAGGCAAAAGTAGAAAAATTCTCGAAAGTTTCGCCCTCTTAGTACGACAAATGTTGAGTCGATTGCTTCTTGACGTAATCTAGTACAGAAAGAAAAGAAACTCAGAGAGATGAATCAAAAATGCGACTTGTTTTTCGCAGAGAAATTAACTTCTGTATTGGAGGTATTAGCAGATGCAAAAATCAAAAGGTATCTTTTTTTTTTTGAAAAATCTCCAAACTTTCACTTCTGACCACTAATATGTTCTAACTGAAAAACTTGCCGAAAGCCACGTTCATCCGCAATGAGGTTTGTGTTCGGAAAAAAGAAAGAAAACAGAAATAACAACATAAAATCTACAAAACAACAAGAACGAAAAAAGCTAGGTTATATGAAGGGAAGAATAAATTCAATCTGATCTTTTCCTTAAATGGCAAAAGAAAGTCGAGAATAAATAGTTACCCTAAAAAGAAGAGAAAAGAATAAATATACCCAGGAAGAACGATCGATCACAAAGAAACTTTGTCCGTTCCAAAGAGGAGAATTTATAAATAGATAATTTAAGGAGCAAAGAAAAAAGTATTGCTGGAGCGAAAGAAAAACTAGACACGATCTACAAAACCAACTTCAAACTTGCAAATTTCATATTTTCTTAATGAAAATGGTTTACAAATTAGGAAGTAAATTATGGAAGTGAGCAATTTGGTAGAGGCTGAAAGAAAATATTAAACTGAAAAGTAAAAAAGAACAACTCGAAAACCGGTGAACACGGCGGAATTTATTGAATTAAAAAGAAGTTAAGTTTAAAACATGAAGTGACTGAAGCTCATCAAATTTATTACTGGAAATTTGACTTTTGAAGACCAATTCCTTCAGCTCAACCAAAGTTAACTGACAAAATGAAGGAATTTTCATCAACATGGCCTAAAGCGTCTCATTCCTGCTCTATAGTTAACACGTGAGAAAAAAAAAGAAATGAATGTGGGGAAGAAGAGAAAAAAGGGACCTGTAGAGCATCAAATGCCGTAAAACTCGAAGAGCCGCTCTCGCAGGGCCGTCGGAAACTGCGCCGTGAACAAATTCCAGTTCTCGACGCCAACTTGTTCGCGGAACGCCATGAAAATCTGCAATCACGACGTCAAAGGTCTTCTGGGCGCCCAGAACTTCTCAACGTACCCTGGCGAACATTTCTTTCAGCTCCGGCTTCGGAGTTTGCCAAGAAACAACGGCGTCACACCAAAAGATGAAGTCCTGAAAAGTTCCCTTATAAGAAAGAAAAAGTTGCTTCCGCCATGTTATCTTCGTTTCGACACCTCAACGAAACTCTACGTTCTAGATTTTTTTTTATTTGAGCACACTTCTGATTTTGACCGCTAGAAAATAATTAATAAAATCAAAAAATGTTTCCAAAAATCGGAGATTTCAAAAATCAAAGACAGAGATACAGAAATTGAAAAAAATCAAAAAAATTTCCAAAAATTTTTTTGGTTTAAAATTTTTTGACAATGCTAAAAATGTAACTGTTTCCGATGCTTGTTATATAGGAAAATCTGGGTTGATAAACGTTTTCATGTCGCGCCCTACTAAATAAATATCAAGTCATGTCTTTTCCATATATGATACTAATATCTATTTTTTGAACTGATTCCAGAAATTATTAAACGAAAAAGTTTGGGAGACAGCGAAACAGTCGGAAAAGGAAGCTCGCAAACCGGTAAGACGCCGGTGGGATTGAGGTTGATCATTTGACAGAGGCCGATGAAGGCGCTCTCCTTGTCGGCGTTGTCCTTGACGTTGCGCAGCGACAGACAGACGTTCCGGATGAAGCGCTGGAGGAAGGCCGCCGTGTCCTCGGCACACTGCTGTCCGAGCCGGCCGATCGTGATCGCTGCAAACTTCTTACACACTACACAGCCGGCTGGCGAAATCGGCCTGGTCCCCTACCCGTATTCTCGACGAGCGTCCTTTGCGCCGTCGGCTGGTAGTTGACGACGCCGATGAGCTGCTCCAGGAACTGCGGGATGAACGGCTTGATCTCGCCGCCCATCTTCAGAACTAGCTCTCCAAGAGCCCAAATCGCGTTGTTGCACACGGAGACCTTCGAAGGGTCCAGGTTCTGCGCCAGTACGCACACAAAAGTGTCTGAAAGTTGAGTTGTGAAGAGTAAACTCACATATTGTACAAAAAAGGTTCTAAAAGGAAATTGGACTATGAACAACGAGATTTGAGACAGAGAAGCCATTTCTGCGGATATTTTCGATGCCATTGAAAACTTTGAGATCTGTACACTATACGTAGCATGAAACTTTAACCGAAGAGCTTGATTCAGAACTGTTATATAACAAAGTTAAATCCTATGTGATTGTTACTGTTTTGTAATTTTTTTTTCTTATTTCAGTTTTATTTTTCTTTCTTCAATTCCGCGAATCCCAGCTATGGTTTTTCAGATAGTAAAGATCTTTTGTTTTCACTAAGAATTCTTCTAATCTTGAGAATCAGTTAGTGAATCTCCTAACTTTTTCAGGTGATACAAAGTTATACTTTATATGTAAACTAACTTGTCTGAGGTTTGATCTGAGAGAAGCATGTTTTGACGAGGTCGCCGAGTAGGGCGAAACAAGACTGTCGGACTTCTGGCAATGGATCCTGAAAATTTCTTCATTTCAGCCCTTTTGATGGGGATTATGGAGAAGCGTCTGCTTAAAACAAAAGTGGAACTGACGACGGAGCAAAAAAGAAGCAGCTCAATGATCCCGCTGCCCTCGACGAGCTGTTCTATGTGTTCAGGCAGCGACTCGGCCAGTCCGGACAACAAGTCCAACGCGACGATCATGAAGTCCTGAGAGCAGATCAGTTCAACTCCTCAGAACTCTTTCAGACCGTTTCTGGCGCTTCGATTTCCAATGGCCTTTGGGCATGCATCTGCGCTTGATGGACGCACCTCCGCACTAGGTTGACGCATCTTGAAAATGATTCGAGTAAGTCATGGAGCGTCTTCCGTCGTACCTGTTGTAGACGGGAAGACTGTAAGGCAGGAAAGACATTCCCATGGCGGACGCGACAGAAGAAACGCACTCGAGAAGGGGGAAGAGCTCCTGAACGTGCGCTTTCACGGGGAAAAGGCGGGTTGAAGACCTTGTCGTCGTCGCTGAGTCTCTCCCACTTGGACATGAGAGGCGGCATCAGCATCTGAACGTAGACAGGCTGGCAAAGCGCTTCTCCCACCGAGTTGGCCAGAGTTCCCAGGGCGTCGTACAAAATCAATAGATTCTTTGCCTATAAATGTTTTTCCACGGTTTGAAACGCTTGAAAGTGAACTCCAAGGAAAATTTCATACATGGCAATGCATTTTTAAATGCCAATTCCCGATTGTTTCAATAAAAAAAACAAAAAAAAAAACGATTTTCGGTCTGGTTTTAAGCTTTATGAATGTCGCCAATTACATTTTTTTTTTCGAAGTTATTTTCGAGTCTCTCAATGCGCAGAAATCGTTTAAAAAAAACCAACCAGTTCAAAATCGATTAATGATAGTAATAAAAAGCGATTGATGGATTCAGTTTAAATCAGACCGATAGACAGCCTTACCTGGTATATGTTGAAGGCCTGGACGAGAGTGCTGAGAATGGGCTGAAGGAATGGAACGAGCACGTCGCAGGCCTCCTCTTCGAGAGTCGCGAAGGCGCTGCAGGCCGCCTCCTGCACCTTCTTGTTGTTGTCCAAGGCGCATTGCAGGAACTTCAATTCAAGTAATGAGATCCGCTCGGTTTGCTACGATTCACCCGTTGGAGAACCGGTTGGAAGTAGTGTTTCTGTGCGTTTTCGTCGTTCACGACCCAGGCACAGTACCTAGACAAAGTCCAGCAGGTTATCGACCTGAAGGAAATGGTTGCCGTCGGTTGGGTGGGGGACGACCAACCGAACGAGGGGCTTCTTGTCCTGCAGCATTTCCAAGAGGAACGGCACGAGTTCGTTCAAATGCGGCGTCACGCCGTCCATACAGCCCTCGGCAATCGCTCCTAGCGCCAAAATCCCAGATTCTTTCACCTAAACCACGAAATGTGACATAATTACACTAAAGCAGAAAACAGTTTTTCTAAGAACTTTATACAAACTTTTTTAATAATACTTTCATAAACACGTGATTTTAAACTCTTGACCAGTTTTTCGAATGTTAGTTTTTTCTTCTATAGAAAAAATCATTTGGAAACGAGTACCTATGGAAAAAAAATCCGAACATATCGAGAATTTTCTCAAAAAACTAGTCACTTGACCGATCTTGTATTCTCTTCAAAACCAGCTTTTTTCGCTTTAAAAACAAAGTTTTTTTTTATGAATTAATTGATCGGTTGGTCTCTAGATAAATAAGATTCAAATAAATAAACTATCATTTTTTAAAATTCATATGCCCTGATAAGAATTCCTCTTAACTTTTTTCGGTTGAAACGAAATTATAATTTTTATGAAGCCAAACATGGAAAAAGTCGCATAATCTCAAAAAATACACTTTAAAAGATTGTAACTGTAGACAGGAAGAAGAGAACGCTTCAAAAAAAGATTAAAAAAAACCATCCAATCCTGGTGGACGAGGGCCTCCTTCAGGATCGGCAGCAACACAGCCAACAAATCATTTGCGAAGATCGAAGCCAACAAATCGAGAGAAGCGGCTGCGCATCTTCCTGCAAAAAAGATGATATTCGAAGAAAAAGCTCAGATGTCCTGGAAAGAAAGAAAAAAACTGACGAATGTTCCATTCGCCGCTGACGTCATCGTCGTCTTCATCTTCTTCGTCTTCTTCCTGAAACTCCTTGGATCAGGTTGTTGGTTTTCTGAAGAGGGACCGACTTCGGATTTCAGAAAGCCCTGTTGTTTGGACTTGTGGAAACGCGGTTTGATGTCTTCATCTCGATCTGGAACTGACGCGTCCTCTTCGTTCCCCTTCAAAATGAGGTTCAAGGAGGAGTTGGGTCGAATTTATCGAACCTTCAATGCAATGACGTCACTTTCTGTGTAGCGCATGCATTTGACGAGGACAGGGACTAATTTCGGCAAGAAAGGGCCAAGAAGTTGGCGGCAAATCTTAAAGATCAATTTGGAGATATAGAAATAAATGGTAAGAGCAAACGTCGTTGTTTTCTGCTAAGGAAAGCCAGAATTCGCAAGCTTCCAATGCGACAGCCTCGTTTGAGTCCTGATAACATTTATTCTAAAGAAAAAGAAGACATTAAAGAAACCTCGGTCTTGAGGATGATGTAATCGACGACATTTGGAAGATTGGGCATCATTTTCTCCATGTGGGTATCGAGAAGAAGAGTCAAAGAACGACACAGTTGCTTTTGAACCTCCTAAAAGCCCCAAACTTTTCATAAGAATGGCAAACAAGTTTTTGATGAATGGAATGAAATGAAGTTTTGGGCCTTCTAAGTACCTCTTCTCCGTCGTGAGCGCGGGCGAAAAGAGCGTGCAAGAAATCGTCGATGACACTGTTGATGGGATCGTTGTTGACCATCAATATGCAGTTGATGCAGTTCATTGAGAGCGCTCTGAACATTGAAAGAAAACTTATGAAAAGACTGAAATATTGATAAACTACGTAAAAAACAAAGATAAACGAAAAAAAAACCGCATTTTGCCAGAATTGCTGCCAAAGTACTGCAAAAGCTTAGGAATTATCGGCTGCAGATGCGTCTCTGTATCGAAACGGTCTGCAGAGTCCTCGAAGACTTTTTGCAGCGCTCCCAGGGCTCCCTAAAAATAAAATAAGTTCATTTTTATTTCCGAAAAAAGAAAATAAGTATTTTAGGTTATACTCAAACCTCTTGCATGTACTCGTTGGGCTGTTCCAGCATCTGCGCCAATGTGGGCAAAAGATCGCTCCAAGTGGAGACTCCTTCCTCGACAACGATAGTCGTAACTGGAAAAACACGAAATCAGTATTTCATATATGATGAAGAAAATATTAACTTTTCCACGAAACTCGCTCAAAAAAATTAGAAAACAAAAAACAGACTGATAATTCCGACGGTGGCGCGAATGAGTGGCTCGGGATCGGCAATGCTGTTCATTGTGTGAGACTTGACGAATCGTCGAACTTCATCATTGTAGGTCACCCAGCGGGTTCTAATGTTGTTCTTCAAGATGAGACCCGCCAACGAGCGACTAGTTGCCTGAAAATTATTATTTTCTGAACGTTTTTGTAGACAGTTTTATGAGAGAACTTGAATGATAACTTTGAAACCTACATCAATTGGGCCATCTTTCATAACGCTCAAGATATGAACGAGGTAGCAACAGAAAGACTCATGCCCGTTCAACTGATTCAACCGTTGTTGAACATTTCGCTGCACTTCACGATCTGTGGACTGTGAATGCTGCAGTAGGGCAATCACCTCAAACAAATAAAGAAGAGTGCAATCAAATAAAACGAATAAAACCTGCTGAAGCTCATCATCGTTAGGTTGCCATGACATGTTTCCTTTTAGAAACAGCAGCAGAGATATTTAAATCGAAACAGTGCGTTTTTTGTAGGATCGGCCGAGAACTCCCAAACACTTCCAGACTAAAAATATTTGCGCGAGACCTGGAAAAATAATAATAAAAAAATAAATTAATTTAATTTAATTTATATAAATTAAATACAAGATCCGCTAAAGTTAGTTTGAAGAAAAAAATAATAAAAATGAGGCGCGTTATAAATTTGACGATCGTAGTCCTAAATACGCAAACACTCATCCGACAAAAAAACAGGAAACAATTTGAAAAAAATTATTTTTTTCGCGCCCACTCATATTATAAAAAAATTTAGTTTTTTTCGAGTTCTTGGTTAATTCTGAAATAGAATAAACGATTCTAGAATACTATACTCAAAAAAAGCATCCAGTACAAAGCAATAGGTTGTAACGTGAACAAGGATTTTTGATATTTTTTTCATTTCCCCAAAAAAATAAGCACAAAAAAATAATTCAAATAATTTTTCATTTTGAATTTAATTTAAAAAAAGCGATATGATAGCGAGGCGTTGAAGAGATCACAGAAAGAAATTTCTGGCGACTTCGTCAGTTTTGTTGGAAGAGAAATGATTTTTTTCGCATTCCCTCTCAAGCCTTTCTCACGATAATCTTCGCCATCAATAAAAAAATTTCATCACACTTCCCTTCAAGAAATTTTTTTAGTCCTTCTTCGGAACAATCTTTAAAAAAATAATAATAATAAACCAATGTTATTAAATATATAACATGACTTTGCTGCTTATCTTGTTGAAATTCCTCACAAAAATTTATATAAACAAGAAATGTAACAAAAACAAGCGTAACAACGGAAAATCAACAAAAAAAGACGAATAACAAAGAAAAAAACGGCAGCTATAACATCTTCTTTAACGGAATAGATTAACAAAATATTGTAGATGTAGAAAATAATTTTTATCTTGAAAAATAACTTTTTTCATTAAAACTCCAGGAACATTTTTTTAAGAAAAAGAAGTTGTATTTCATTGTTCGCTGATTTCTTCTTGCTCCTTGAGCCCGTATACAGCTTTCATGTGTTCGTAGCGCTTGCGGTCAGCCTGCGTCACAGAAGGCCGAATCTTAGTGGAGGCCGCTTCAAAATGTCGTCTAGACACGGCCGAGGTATTCATATCTCCCTGAAAAAAATAGGTCTCCGTAGAGTAAGAAGGCACATGAGAAAGAACCGAAATTAAAAAATCGTTTAAACGTGATGAATGGGCAACCATATTCAGAAAAAAAAGAAGACGGAACCTCTAAAACGCGAGCTTGCAGTGCAAGAAGCGACGCCTCGTGGATCAGAGCAGAGAGGTCAGCACCTCTGAAAAATAAATAAGAAATAGATTATTTGAAACATTCATACGTAAATCCATTGAGAGCAGGAAGCTTGGCGATTTCTTCGAAATCCACGTCCGCATCCAACTTGGGTCCTTTCTGAAAATTGAAGCATTTTTGTATTATATATATATATAATGAGTACTCTTGTGCTTTTACGAAGAATATCCGCGCGGTCGTGAGCAGCAGGAAAATCGACGAAAAGGATTTTGTCCAGGCGACCAGGACGCAGAATCGCAGCGTCGACGATGTCTGCAGAGTAAATTGAACAATCAAGTCATAGCCTTTCCGCCAATACGTCCAAGGAAAAAAAGGGATATAAAAAGCTTTTCATGTCAAAAATGTCCGAAAACAATTTAAAAAACTTTATAGAAGAACTAAGAAACGATTCTACTTTAAGAGATGGAAAATAGTCAAACCAGGTCGATTGGTGGCCCCAATGAGGAAGACCTTCTGACGGCCTTCGACGCCGTCCATCTCCGTCAAAAACTGATTGACAAGTCTTGCACCACCAGAGCTCTCGAAGATTTCATTATTAATTTTCGTCATAATCAATCCGAAAACCTCGTTGTGATTTCTTTTGGGACAGAGAGCATCAATTTCGTCGAAAAAGATGACGCAAGGCTGCGAGTCGCGAGCGCGTTGGAAGACAGTTCGCACTGCTCTCTCACTTTCTCCCACATACTGAAAAATGTATTTCTCTTTAATAGCATGTTTTGCACCATTCTTCAGGGAAAATGCCTTTGTGAAAAAAAAATTGAATCTTCTAACTAAGATTACTTTACTTTTAATGCTTTGTCTAAAATATGAACCGATGTCTGGCTCAGTTGCAAACATTCTCAAAACTCTTATTTCACAAAGGAAAATTACAACATGAACTTTTTTCCCTATCGTAAGATGATTATGGAATTCATATTTCAGAACTGGAAGCGGGAAGAAATATTTCAACAAAAACGAACCATGTTGAGCAATTCGGGACCTTTGACGCTGATGAAGTTCATGCCGGTCTCATTTGCGACGGCCTTGGCCAGAAGAGTTTTGCCGCAACCAGGGGGGCCGCAGAGCAGAATTCCCTGAGGTCGACTGTCGATTCCGAGGGCCGCGAAGTCCTCGGCTCGCTTCACTGGATACTGCAGAGACATTGTTCAATTGAAACATCTCGGAAATTCTTTTTCCTATGTCCTAATCTTGAAACCTTCGTCACAATTTTTCTTTCAATAGAGGTTTTTTTTCAAAAAAAAAAAAACACTACAAGTGGAATGAGTTACTCGGAGAATAAATTATTCTTATCTGGTTGGGTAAAGTAATCATTAAAAAAACGATCTTTGATTATTTACTTTATTGTCTTTTTCAGTGGGCTGGAGTTTTTATCACGTGACTGGTTTGAATCTATCCAAACTCTGACCAAAATGCTCCACTCGAGCTGCTTCCGGACCGCCGCCAAGGCGCCGATGTCTTCCCAACTGACGTCAGGTACCGTTGCGAAGCCTTCTCTCTGGAAAGAGCATTTTTTTCAAAAAAAGTGTTGTTTTAATTCATATATAACTATTTGCCACTTGTCACGTACAGCAAGACTGCATCTTCCTTTGGTGGTGGTTTCGTGATGATGAAACAACACAATTTCGATTCGCTTATAAAATAATAAGTCGACGTGGCTTTCCCATAAAACAAAAAGATGCTTAGGAAACAGCGATGCGAGGCAAATATAATAGAGAATCTCGTGATGTTTCACGACACCACTACAGTTTGAAATTTCTGGGTGTAGTCCGTTTTTCGCGACTTGAAAGGGCGGCATTTCTCTGCGCCCTCCTCGTCTCTCGACGACCCTCTCCGCTTGACGCGCTATTTTCGCGTTCCTGTTACCTCGTCGCTGAGAGAACAGAGAGACTCAGACACTCGAAAATTGTCAAGTCGTTCCAAACGGACTACATTTTTTCATTCACTAGGAGCGAGCGCGGTATAATCGCTAGGAAAATTGGCAAAATGTTTTTTCAGCAAGCAAAAGTACATCACGCGACCGAGATTGCAACAAGATAAATGAGCTATTTGCTGAATTTCTGCCCTTTTACAGGTTATCAGAATCGATTAAATTGACAGCGTTTCGTAGATTTCAATCAATATATGTAAAAGAAAAACAAGAATGTTTTACCGAATCTTCAACCTTAATTCTTTTTTAGGAAAAAAACCTGGTTTCTTCAGTTAATCGGGTTTTCAACATGGATACCAAAGGGAGTCTTCAAAACGTCCCAGAAATCTTGTTTCGCAACGTTTTTAAAGCAATTTCACGACTTCCGACAGTAAGCTGTTTCAACTTCCGACAGTAAGCTGTTTTTGACTTTTTCGGATCGAATAAAGTATTTACTACGTCAAAAGATTACCACAAATGAGAAGAACGTATAAACGTAATGAATTTTTTTTTAGGAAAAGTATATAAGGCTTCTGAGGCTTATAGTCTTTTTGAAGTCAACTCGGTTGTGTCACCCTTTTGCATCTTGAGATCTTGAGATGTAAGAAGAAAAAAACCTTGGCCGCTGGCTGGATCTTCTCCAAAGCTCTCTCAAAATCGTGCAGAGACACGCGAAGACCTCCTTGAAGTGCGGAAAGAGCCGAAGGATCGTCTTCCCCGTGGAGCCACGCCAAAACTGGAAAAGAAAAGACGTCTCCCCGAGAATCGCTCCTCGAAAGACCTTTCACGAGTTCCTCCTCGATCTGCTCCACCGTCAAGCTCTTCTGACCGGCGTTTCGGACGACCATTGTGTCAAAAACGCGATCGATGGCCACTTTGGCAGCCTCCCGAACTAGCGCCTCAAAATTCAGTTGATGAAATCTTCCGAAATTTGCCGACTTGAAGATCAGCTCCGACGTATCCTGGGGTTAGGCGTGCGATGGTTTTCAAATTGACGTCGTCAGCCAGTGGAACTCTGAAAGATAAAAGTAGAATAACGACCCGGAAGAGGTTTCAACCTGCAGATGGTGTTGAGGATTTTGCCTCTCGAACGCTCATCTGGAATTCCAAGAGAGATTTCGTAGTCAAAGCGGCCGGCACGGCGCAGACCGCTGTCCACGTATTCGGGCCTAGAAGTCGTCCCGATCACCAGGACGCCGCCTCAAATCCGAGTTTCAAGCGACCGAAAACCGAAGAGAACCTCCAGTGACGTTGCGAGAAACGTCTTCGGCGACATCAACTTCGCCGTCGGCAGAAAAAGAAAGAACACCCTTCAAAGGCTTTTCCTTCGGCGGATTGATCAGCTCTGAAACTCTGTTCTTCCTCTTCTCCATGATGATCTTACCATCCAAAGAACTACACAATTGACTGACGATCCGTCGTTCCATTTCGCGTGTCGCGGTTTCTCGGCGCGGCGCGATCGCGTCGATGTCGTCCAGAATCTGAAGTGGAAGCGAAAATGTTGAGAAAAAGCGGAGGACTACCAAGATGCAGGGCGAATTTTCCTTGGCTGTCTCAAAAAGACTCCGAATTTTCTCCTCTGACTCTCCAGAAAGCCCAGAAACAAGTTCTGTCGCCGCTAATTGTAGCATTGGGATGTCCAGCTCTCCGCTCACAGCCTTCAATCGGAATTTAAACATTTCGAAAACCATAATATCGAAAAAATACTGCATTCGAGGGGGCTCAAATTTTTTCAATTTTCGAATGAGAAGCGATATCCAGTCATACTCTTTTCAGTTTTTAAATGGAAAATGATGGAAACCTGTGCAAAAAGCGTTTTCCCACAGCCAGGAGGTCCATGGACAATGAAGCCTCGAGGAGGTTCGACGCCCAGAAGAGAGTAGGTCTTCGGCCTCTTGAGATGCATCGCCAGACGGCAAACTTCCTGCAACACAAGTAAGAGAAACTGTTATCTCTCCGATTTCCGTTTTCCATCTTTTTAATATTTCTGGATTGCTTAAAAAGAGCCCATTTAGCCATTGACACTCCCATAAATACGAAATGAACTCCTTTGTGAGCAGATAACTCCCATTCTACCGCTTTCATTATCAGAAGGGAAAAAGAGAAGAAAGACGGACCAGAAACTGTTTCTCGCAGCCGCCCAAGTGCTCGAAGCGAACCGAAGACTGTCGTGGCTGAACGTTCAGAGAAACGGCGCCGAGTCCTCTCGCCGCGGGATTCGGTTTCGACTTCGATTCCGATGCAGGGGGCTGCAAAAATTGTGTTCCAATGTTTTCAAAATGAATCAATTTTTCCATTCATTTGTGGTAGTCCTAATTGGGAGCTGAAAGCGTAAAAAGGCTTGAATTTGGAGCTCGACATACAAAATGGCTCACTTCAAGAACACAGAAAAGAAGAGCTAAAAAAGCCATTGTAGCCTTTAAAAAAACAGCAAACTTTCGGTTAAAATCCTATCGCTGGGTAAACTTGTTGCGAAACTTTGAATGAATGTGCATTTTATCCTAATCAAATTTGTAATTATAGTCTGTTCAGATTTTGAATGTCAAGCAGCTAACTCCACCCGCAAGCCTACAATATCTTTCGCGTCAATTTTTTATATCCAGATGACGATGGTCCTTTAATAAGGCTGCATTTTTGACTTCTTTTTCTATCTTTTAGATCAAAAAATATCAAAATTAGTCCCGCGCGTTAAAACATCGACGCGAAAAGGTACCGTCTCAGCAGGGGCGGAGTTAGCTGGTTGACATTCAAAAATCTGAACAGACTATACTTATGCAATAAAAACCTCCGGGAATGGAAAATTTGAGCTCCCGTTAAGTTCAAAATAATTTTCTTTTTCCTCTAAAAATAATTATTTTCACGTTCGCTGAGTCGTTATTCATTTTTGAACACATATCAAAAAAGAAAGGACCTTTTTCTTTGCAGCGTTTTTTGGCGTTGCTGACGAATTGGATGTACTTTTCCTGTACAAGTTCAAGAGCGCGTTGTTGGCTCGGTTGGTGGACTGGAAATAAGAAGTTGGGTGAAGAGAGGGAGAAAAGAGACCTTGACACTGTCTATGAGCCTGGCCGCAGCCTCGTGTTCATCACTGTCGTCGTCGCCGCTGGAGACGACGATCGTCGCCGGCTTCTGGATGGGCCGCGAAGTCGTTCCTGCGATCGACTGCGGCGCTTTCCTTTTCCGTCCCACCGTCTCAGCTCTTGGGGTCACCTTAATCGTCTCGATAGAGCCTCATTCTTTTTCAACAATTTCTAATTAGCAATGCGAAAAATTAAGATACGACGTGGAAACTTTTTATTCGAAAATTCTGTACAAAACTTCGGGCTGGATTTTTTTTTTTAGGAATAACGTGGATAATTTTACAAAATTCTCGATTTGAGTCTTTTCGAGGTTTTCCGTTAAAATTTTTTTCCTAGCAAGTTATTTGAAATAGTATTCTCCTTTCCCTGAAGAATCATAAATACTTTTCGCAGTTTTCTCTTATATTTCGAAGACTAGTGAAAGATCCTCGAAAGATACCTCCTGGATATCGTTTTCGGCCGCCACTTCCATCGGTTCCTCAACTATTTCATTTGGCACGTTTCCATTCAACTGTATCCGGTTCAAAGCAGTATTCACCATAGAAACAAAAATTTTGAGCTTCTTTCTAGAGTACTCTCTGAAAATTAAAGTCAGGGTCATTTTATTATTATTATTTTTTGCAACGCACGGATATTTTTGCCGCAAATCAAAAGCGACTGTGTCTGCTCGGAGAGCCGTTCCTGCATAGTTCCGACAGTGCTCAAAACACACATATTTTTTTCCACCAATAAAATTTTAGTTTCTAATAAGCAGTATAGAATTAGTTACCTCTTGAACTCTCGGTAAGAGAAGAGGGTCACAAGAAAAACCCTGACTGCCGCCTGGCATTAAGAAATTTCGATTATCCTCAAACGTAGTAAAATGAATGAATGAAAAATTAAATTCTTCAAATAACTAAAGAAAATTTCAAATTCTTTTGAAAATGCCAACAAATTCGTAAATTGTAAGATCTTCATGACATTTTCATAGGAAAAAAATTATAAAGAATGGCGTTAGTAAGAGACAACCACCAAAAAAAAGTATTGGAGAATGTATTATTTTGAGAGAAAAAAAAAATAAGGAATCGAATGGGGCAATGAGATTAACAGGATAATATGCAATCTTATAAGCAAATTCGTTGGAGATTTACAAGAAAAGTGAAAAAGAGTAACTTTGACAATGTAACATAGTGAATAAATACAAAAAATAATAATAAATTTCACAACACTAAATCTTTTCGAAGTGAGAATAGAGGGAAAAAAGGCGACCGACTAAGATTGAAAAAAGAGAAAAAAGGTAAATATTCTATGAAATAATCTGTCTGGGTGAGCTGATCGAATCGAAAACAAAAATTAAATATGACTTCCTGGAGTTTGAGAGTAAACAATAATTTTTGAGCCGAGTAGATTTTTTTACTGTGCTCTTTGAATTGAAAAAAGCCAAACGACGGCGTTCAACCAAAGTAGATCGCAAAAGAAAAATAACGACTCAGCTTCAAAAATAGAGACGGGACACTGTATATTTTTCAAGTTTCATAAAAAAAAATTAAATGCAAATAGAGAAAACTTTTGTAACGCACTGCGCAAAAGGAGTTGAAAATAAATAAATATCCAAGACTTAGCGAACAAAGAGAAAATCTTTGGAAGAGAATATGCCAGTGATGGTTGGAAATGATAGGAATATGAAGAGCACGAGTGATATGGAAGATCTCAAAACAAAAGAGGAAGCTTTAGAGAAAGGAAAATAAAGCAACAAGAAGAAAAAAACGCACCATATTATTTAGCACAAAAGGTCACAACGCGGATGTATGAACATTCAAAAATCTAAGTTAAAGCACTTATCGAAATAATATGTGAACAAATGCAAATAGGGTATTGGGAAGAAAACACATATGAACAAACAGAAGCCCTAGGAGAAAAAACTTTCGCCTGGGTTGGTCTCCTGTTTCAGATCGAAGCCGTCGAGCAGGCCTTCTTTTATTTTTGATATCTCCGTGTCGTCTTGCATGAACTGCAAAAAACTAATCCTCTAGAGAATTTATGATACATTTTATAAAAAATATATCTTATGAGTCAAAGTTTTATGAATTATATTAAAATTCGTGATGGCTTTTCAGATGATTTTGGGTAATGCGAAAAAATCGATCTAATGGTACATAGTGCTAGAAATCTCTTGAAATTTTTTTTCGATCTTAAAGAATTTCGCGATTTCTTTTAAATTAACGCGAAAAAAAAATTACTTTGAAGTACTAGATAAAAAATGAAAGTCGTTCTCCGCACAAAAAAAGGTTTTGGAAATGAATTATAAAAAAACTATCGCCGTTGAAAGATGATCACGCTTGGGAAAGCGATGACAAATTTTTAATATTCATATCTATACTCAGTTAACGATGATGAGGATCAATACAACAACCTTCCTTATTAGAAAAAGAAATACTAGATTTAAAAAAAAACATTTTAAAATGATTTGAAGATAAGTTAAATCGAACCTGTTTAGAAGAGTCACCAATCGGAGGGGCTCCGACGGATCCGACGTTTGCGAGGGGCGTATTGGGCTGAGCACCGCTCTGGGCGCTGCCAGGACCTGGCGCCGGAGTCCCTCCTGTGACGCCAGCGGCGCGAGGCGTCGACGCAGGCGACTGCTTCAACTCGTCGCCGTTGAGGGCCGTCGCTATGCCTGGCGTGATTCCAGAAGCGTTGCTAGACGGAACGCCTTCAGAAACTGGAGGCGCTACTACGCTTCCGTTGCCCATCGTCACTGACGTGTCGCCCATTCCGAACTAAAAACAACCAAATCATTTGTTTAAAATTCAGTTAAAAATAAAGTTTTCATGAGTACTGAGTGACTTTCACGGCACTTGCAAGGATGAGTTACCATAATTCATAACAGCGAAATTAAGTTGATAAATTTGAATTACTATTCATTCCTCATTGGGAAAGACGTCGAAAATGAGAGCAAAAACAGGCAAAAAAGAAAAAAAAGCATATTTTTTAATCGAAAGAAAAGATACCGGCATCGCGGATGAACTCGTCGGCATGCCTCCCATCGACATGAAAGGCGGCGGTCCATTGGCGTCTGGAGGGACGGCTCCAGGCATTCCCGGAGAAGACATCGCCATCGGCATCCCGTTAGGCATCATGCCGCTGGCGCCTGGGGGGAACCCTTGGCCATCCATAAATCCGCCGTATCGCATTCCTGCAAAAAAGAAAATCATTTACGGAGAAAAAAGGATTCGAAAAAAGGTCTTTAACGCCAGAAGATTTCCGTCTATATCCTTTAAAAAGGTCTCCAAAATGACATGCCTGGCGTTAATTTTTTCTGAATCTCACTACTGAACAAGCGATCTTTTTGAGAAAAAGTCATCGTTCAAACGCATTAACCCAACGTTGAATTAAATGAGCGTTCGAGTTACATCCATCGACCCAATCGTCATTTGTTTTTAGTTCATTCCATATTTTGTGATCTCAGCGGTCAGAATATTCAAAACGTCAAAACATCAGTCATTTTGGAGAGCTCTCATTTGCTAACTATTTAAAATTACATCTGGAAACATTTTCTCGACATCCATTCTTTTATAATTATTCGCTTAAGAAAACAGCCTAAGGTGGCTGAAAAAAAAAGTATTCTTTTTTTAATTTTTTTCAATGCAAATCGCCGCTAAAAGTTTACAGAAAAAAATTTTTAAAGCGCAAAAACGTATTCATACCATAAAAAGCAGAAGTGAGGAATATATAATTTTTTTCGGAAATTCCATTTTCAATCATTTTTTTACTGACCCAAGTTTCGAAAAAAACATTATTTATTACCTCAAGAAAATAATGTTTCTTAACAAACATTATGAAACCATTATTTCAATTTCACTCGAAGCTATTCTCGAAGTTGGACGTTATGAAATTCAAAAAGGATTAATTACAATCAACTTTTCTAAAAGAAACATCTCTCAAAAATTCAAGAAGCGCTTTTTGTCAATATTCCTCAAATATCGAAAGAACGAGTGCAGAAAAGTCATTTTTAGTAAAAACTCTCGGTCATTTATGTGAAATAAAACATTTTTTTCGCCGCCACAGAGTGTCTGCGTGCAAGAGTGAATGCTTTGAAAAGGAAATTTCCGGTAAGAAAAATGAAACGAACGAACCTGGTGGCAAGGCTCCTGGGGGAGCACCAGCTGGGGGAACTCCTGGTCGCATCTGAGCGCCAGGAAAGGAGCTGCCAGGAGGCATTCGCATCGACGTCGGCGGCATTCTCGCCATCCGCGGATCTCCCGGGAACATGCCGAAACCGGCTGGCGGCATCGCTCCTGGAGGCATTCGACCAGGTGGAAAGCGGCCTGGGAAGCCGCCCGGATGAACTGCAGAACCAACTCTTTGCGAATTTTTTGAACTATGATGCGAAGGATGAACATTCTTGTCACAAAAAATTGGCTTTGACCTCCTTCAGTGAAACAACATGATCCTGGTTCGCCTTTTTTGAAACAAAATAAAACCAAATATATTCCAAAATTAATCATGAAAATCAAACTCAACAAATTTCGAAAAAACTGATCTTAACATTATCAGAAACAGGAACTTAGAAATTTTCGGAATTGTGATCGAAACTGGCAAGACGATGAAAAAGGCAATAAAAAAAATTCGAATAAAAATTTTAAAACCCCACCAGTTCGTCCTGAAAAGTTATAGATCGAAAATTGAAGAACCTATGGGAAAAATAAATAATCTCACTATTACCAAAATACTTCAGAGCTTTCTAACATGAAACAATTTTTCAAATTCAAAAATTATAAAAGTTCAACAATTATTCAAATGAACTGGAATGAAAACAAAAAAGCAACAACGTAAAAAACGTACCTCCCATCATTCCCTCAGGACCTGGCATTCCCATTCCAGGAGCTCCGAACTGCAAAACATACAGTTCGATAGGAACAAATCAAAGAGAAAAATCGAGAAAATTCAACTCACTGGAGGTCCTCCGTTCATTCCACATGGACCAAAACCGGAAATAAAATTCTGAAACGCCTTATTTATGTGCAAAATACGTGTTGAAAACGAACGTCATGGAAATATTTTGCCTCGGTTGTAGAATCGGCCGAATCTCTCCGCTCAGGAGCCGCACAATACAGGTCCCAGAAAACACTGAAAAATTCAATTTTCTCGGAATTCGCCACAAAAAATGAATTGTACACCGTGTAAACTGAAAAATAAATAGAGTGTCAAAATTAGGAATTATTAGGGTGGCAGGAAAGAAATGCGTGTTTTTGATGTCCTTTAATTTTATCATAAAAACAAGGTTATCACAAATCAGTTCGAACTGTAATTTATATCTGTATCAGCACCTTGACAACAATGCTCACGCAGAGAATGGATACTCTCGCTGACAAACTGGGCCGCCTACGAGTCAAAGAAGTTGCACCCCCAAATTTGGACTTCATCGGAGTTTTTCAATTTTTTTTTGGCTGTTAAGCGATCTAATGATTCGGACAGATGATAAATGCGAAGAGCCATGTCTGAGCAATGTAGCGGAAAAAGCAGAAATTTGCAGAACAGTTTTTCTGATTCAGGGCTAACACATTTTCGCAAAAAAACGAAAAAGCGATACCGTGAAGCCATTTTTCATTCCTCCTTTTTTGCACTCCGTTGCGTGAAAAATTTGTTTTCTTTTGCAGATATTGGTGTGTAATAACTGATGAGCCAGTTTCACAGGTGTCTGTTGTGGATCCAGTCTAATGGCCTTTTTAAATAGCCTTTATCGTCGATTTCTTCGTGTTTTTTGATTTCAAAGGTCTTTTCGCCTAGTGAATAGCGCTAAAGCAATTCAAAATGTTAACTATCAGAAAAAAGCATCATTGGTGATCATAATATTGAAAGGTGCCAAGCTTCTAAATTTGATTTGTACTTTTTGAAATAATGCGAAAGCTAGGTTCGCGAATACATTTTTTGAAAGGAAGTTTTCAGAGCTATTTTTTTTATAGAAAGGCGGAATGAACGTCAGCAAATTATATATCCAATGACGCACAAGGACAAGCCCTTTTCGACTAAAAACACCGTTCCAAATAATATTACTTCTCGGATGAATTAGAAGCCGACAAAATCGAGCCGCATTTCTTTCATGCCAACCTAATAAATATATTTGTTTGCCCTGTCATAAAAAAATATCAACATATAGGGACAGGCCATTTTCTATTATTTAATTTATAAACTTATCCTCGCGAGTCTTTTTATTTTGAAGCTAGTAAAACCTTCTTCAGGTTAAAACTCAACGTATGATTTCTTTTATTCTTAAAACTTTTCTGAGACAGCTTTTCCTCCTGGACCATTTGATTTCTGAGACCTTATGCAGAAACTCTAACTTGCTCTTTAGAAGTCAAAAAAAGTTCTCAAAAGACAACTTTTTTATAAGAGTTTTATCTATTGGCTTATCAAAAATTTTTTTCAAATTAATGTGCGATATTAAGATTTTTTTGCCATTTCTGCGTAAACGCGGTAAATGCGATTTTTTTTCATACGGCCCTTGTATTTGATGAAACAATGAAAAAAACAAATCGGTCAGTTGATAACTTTTTCCACGATTTTTTTCAATTTATTGACAACTCAGAAACTAAAAAAACCAAAAAAATATTTCGAAAAAAATGCTCATGACAACTATCCAGGTTCAGTAATTCAACCAGAAACCCAAGAAAAAAATGCCAAAAAAATACTATATTTTTGATAGAAAAATAACGTTGAATAATTATTAAATATGGACACAGTGAAACTATCAGATGGTCATACTTTACATGATAATCTATGATCATGAGAGAAAAAGTAAAAAAATAAAATGAATATGCAAAAGGACAACTTACGTCCACCAATCCAGCAGAAAAGAGGATTTTCCATCGGGTTTGTAATTGGCGAAAGATGGTGTATTCTGGAAAGTTCGAAAATAATATATGAAATGATAGAAATCTGTATATCAAAAAAGTTTTTGAAAAAATCTTACGATAAATTCTCTTCATTTAGAAAAAATAACCTACATTGAGAACTTCCTCTTTGAAAGTTTCTGCTGTTTTCGAAGCGCCAGTTGAGCTCAAATACTCGTAAATATAGGTTGAAAGCCTGAAAGAAGTCGATTTGCAACATGAAGACCGAAGAAAGTTTTTTCGAAAGGAAACTGACTTCTCCTTGGCGTTGGCGTCGTTTTGGCTCTGTATGAGGTTTGGCTGCATGTTTCCTGGCCCGTCACGTCGTACAGGTTGAAACATTGACGACAAGAGCCGAAAAGTTACTTCTTCCTCGGTTTTCCCAGGTTCTGATCTTCACTCGCCAGCTTTTTACAATCGCATCACGGTAGGACACGGGAAAGAGCAGAGCTGAATATAATTTATACTCTCAAAAGCAAATAGATACAAGCAAAGATACTTATCAATCGAATGAATCTAAATTTCATTTGAACCCGAGGTAAAGATGAAATAAAAGATTTTTTAATTAGGGCAAGGCAAACATATCTGAAACCTTTGAAAGGAAATCGTGTTTGGAGCTGAGTACGATAGAAAAAATAATAAACAAAAGAGTGTACAAATTTGAAAAAGATAAGAAGTGTTTTTTTATCAGTCGAAAATAATGAGACGATAATATTTATCGCATCAAAACTTCCAACAGAAGACAAATTCTAACGAAAAAGACTTGAGTTCTTTGAATATTTAACAATCTCTTCTCTTTGTGAAATATTTGCCGCTTTAACATTAAAAGAGCGCATTCAATAAGAGGCAGCAGTCGAAATGTGACCCAGTTTACCTCAAAAATAGACCTGAGCGGGGTCGGAAGTGAGAGTTCTGGTCGTCCTCGCGCTTACACACATGAATATGTCTTTGCAAAACCGAGTTAGCAACAAAACTGATTTTTGAAACGATAATTATTATGAAAATGAACTATATATGAAAACTTGTATCAAAACAACTAAGTTTTTTTCGAAATTGAGAAATTGAAGATTTCATTTTCAGACGAATCGAAGAGAAGAGGTGTTTTTTTATGAAATGTATTCAGGTGAAGAAACGGATATACCAGAAAAAGTACGTAGGAGTATTATCGATGACACAAGAGGAAAAGCAAAAAGGAGGCTGCTCGAATAGTCGCGCGGGTGTGAGCGTTTCCGTGAGCGTGAGCGAGAATGGAGACGTTAGGCGACAAGAGAAGAAGAGACACATTGTTTTGCGTCAAAACTCAATAGCCCCAAGATGAGAGGGAGCTTCCAAACGCAAGAAATTTCGAAAAGGTTTTCTCATAGTTCCAAACTTCGGCCATAAATCATCACAGAATCAAAAAACGGAACAAAAAAGACCATTTCATAAAATTAGTCATTTTTCGCGCAGAGAATATGAGAAAATCTTGAAAAAACAAATTTCCAAACACCAAAAAAATATTCAAAAAAATTATATAGAGGAGTTTTCTGAACTGCCCTCGAATCCCCTCCTACACCATGAGTTTCTCTGATAAGTCGAGCACGACCGTGCAACAATCGCGGATAATACTTACATATCTCCAATTTAGTTTTTTTTTTTGAAACAATTTTCGTCGGGAAACTGTGAATATCAGCCAAACAAGCAGGTTAATAGAGTACTTAGAGCACTAGAAAGATATACTAGAGACTAAAAATTTCAATATTTTGTTTTCCCAGACATTATTGCATGAAAATAGCTTAATTTTTACGAGGGCTTTTAAAAATAACATTTCCAAAAACTTCTTGCATCGTCGAACTCCACTAAGGTGAGGAGAATCTTCTCTCACGCTCTCAAAACGCTCACAAATTCGCTCACTCAAACGAAACGAACGACGACCACCTCCCTCCTCCTTTCCTCTGTGATTTGGCACACATCCAGCTCTAGTATTGATTTTTTTTTTCTCGTAGTCGCAATACCTCGGGGAGGCTAATGCGTCTCGTCACGATTTTTACTGTAGGCCGTATAAGCAAGTGTGCTCCAGCAGACACTTTTTTACGGGACTTTCACCAAATTTATATCTTTTTCTTTATTTATTTTGCTCCGTCAAAAGTTATTAATTAAAGTTTAGAATAGGCATCAAAGACAAGAAAAAGATAGCTGAATTTGCGACAGTCAGTAATGATTTTTTAATTTCGCGGAATCACTTTGCGCACGAAAAAAAAAGTGACATTATTAATCTATTTCATATCATAATATTATCATAAAAAAAGAAGAAGTTCGGTTCGGAACATATCAGTTTTTTTCATCCAATATATAAATAAAGATCATTTTCATCTAGGTTGACAACTTAGTTTTCGAGCATTGAAGCGGGTAAATTTTTAAGTCTTTTCAATTCTCGAAAATCGAAGTATTCATCAATTTTCGTCATTATAATGTGCATCTTACAGATCAGCATGAAAACTTCAACGACAATGTTGTTGAGAAGAATAGTCAACAGTAATTACAATCCTTTTCATGTTATTCCAAAACCGGATGTTTGGCTAAATCGTGAACGGCTTCATCGTTTCACAGCGGTTAGTTTTTTGCGTGCAAAACTTGAGTTGAAGCTCATTATATCCCAGTGTGTTGAGAAACTGTGTCTCTGAATTATTTCAGTGGCAATACGCATCCGAGAGAACTACTGTAAAAGGAGCGAACCGTAAATTGGACAAGATTTTTCATTATCTGGACATGCAGCGTCTCGATGAGCCAAAATTAGAGAAACACGTATGTTTTATTCATCTATTAGTACAGTTCTCATCCAAGTACGTTCCGAATAAACTAAACGGAAAAGCAACTATCAGATTCATATCGTTAAACTGTTTTTTTTTTCTCGAATGGTTTTTGTTCGTAGTACGCTGAAGAGCGAGTGACAACCGCGCTGGCCGAACACGACATGCAGTATCCGCAGTTCAAGGCGATTTTGGCCAGGTCTCACATTCTGCTCGATAACATCGTCCTTTCGCAGCTCGCCATCTACGAGCCTCGCTCTTTCCGAGTTTGTCACTTTTTCTCCTAAAAACAATTTTTTCGAGTTTGATTGCTTGCAGTAATTTGAATATAGCCGGTTCACAGTTGGCTTGAGTCGTATGATAAAGTTCTTCACACGATTAAGAAACATAGAGTATAATTTTAGGAAATCGGGACAATGCCGCGTGTTTCAGGCCAAGTCAGAGAGAATAGGCTATATATATATTTTTTTTTCAAACAGAATAAAAAATGTTTTGGTTTTCTTAGTCTTTCAAATTTTTTTTCATTTTTTGAACAAATCGACTTTTATGATTTCAAGCCCTTACAGAGTTTGGTATCATACGCGAAAGAAATGGCCCGACAAGAAGGGAAACCTGTTATTCCTGACGACCCCGAGTTTGCTTACGAGGTGTGTATAACAATACGCTTTTTTCGTGATTTGAAGACACTCAAATAATATTTCGGGCAAAACGGAAAAGCTCCACGAACTCACGGTTCTCAAAAGGTTTTTTTTTGCTTTCGAAAAAAGACTTTTTGAGAGCCTCAAAAATGTTGTTATTTTCCGTTCACACCAAAAAGCTTGAATGCAACGGAAAATATTCCAGATTATTCAAAAAGGTTTCACTGAGGCTATGAAAAAGGCAATGAGAAAAGTGCCATATATTTTTCATGGTTATTCATAAAGTTCAGAAATATTCAAAAAAATATGATTTCTCATCAAGAAAAATAGTTTCTTTCGAACTCTCCGATGAAATTTTGTTCGTGTTTTTTTCTTTCGGTAGAATAAACGAAAATTGTAGTCCAGAATTATTATAAATTTGGTCACTTCTTTAAATATGTAATGACACAAAAGTGAAAAAAATAATAATCCAAACTGATATAGCCTATTCCGCGCCAGCTTGTCATTTCCCGCCAAAAAGACCATATACCAAATTTGATCAAATTTGACCAATTTCGCTTCACGACCATTGTTTTTTGCTTAGTTTTTTTTTTGCAGTTTTTTAGAGTTCCGCGCGAGGCAGTCACGTTTTCAAAGAACAGCAGAAAAAAAGCAACGCTATAAAGAGTTTTTTTTTTTATCGGAATTCTGCTCTTAAAACAGCAAAAAAACAAAGGTCTTAAAGCGGAGTTGGTCAAATTTGGTCAAGCTTGATACAAGGTATTTTAGCACGTCTGCTATAGCTTATTTCGCGCCAGCTTGTCACGTTTTTCTTTCGCCACAAAGACCGTATACCAAATTAGATCAAATTTCGCTTTTATAACGGCAAGTAACAAGGGTCTTGAAGCGAAGTTGGTCAAATTTGACCTGGCCTTTTGGCGGAAAGAAAAATGTGAGAAGCTGGCGCGGAATGGCCTATAGAGAGTAAGAGTTCTAGGTGTGACTTTTTGAGAGAGAGACTCAAAATATTGTAGAAATTTGTTCGAATGACAAGGTCTGCAGGTTCACGTAGACAGCAACGTCCTGGAGACACCTTTCCCGCAAAGTCGCGTCTACCCTCGCGGCGCGACGGAAAATCATACGCGGAAACCACGAAAACTAAGACCTGAAGAGTTTTGATCTTTCTCTCTTTCTCTCCCTTTCATTATTTCTTCTACTTGTTTGATTCTTCGGTCCGGGTAACCTAGGTTTTTCTTGTATTTTTTTCAAGTATAGGATTAGTTGTTGTTTTGTTTGATATTTTAATTTGTTGCAGCTTCTCTATCAACTGGTCTTTGAGAAATTTCATTCAAATGAAAATGCAAAATGATCAAGCGGAGATTGATTATGACGTTTGTACGCGGTTTCATTGGTAACTCGTAAGGGTTCTTCATGAAGGAATTTCAACAATATCAATGGTACAAGTGAAAAGGGTATGGCGTGACCTCCTAGATAAACTTGTGGAGGATCCAAAAAGGCAGTTTCAAGGATAATTTACAATTTTTTTCGATATAAATGAATAATCTGAAAGCCTAACAGAAGTGAAGGTAGGTTATAAGGCAGCTCCTTTATCAACTGAGCAATTGGCAATGATTATCGTGTGACGTTCAATGAGGCGATCGCGAGCCGAAGATGCTCTAGCAGGTCTGAAATTAAAATAGAAGAAGCTCATGGAAAATAGCAGTTTGAAAAGAAAACAATATTAACATATTTGAAACGAACCTTTGGGACGGACAAATTGGCGACAGGAACCAACACGTGGAGCGGATGCACGGTGCCTCTCGGAAGGCGCTTCTGATGCGGCCGTTCATCGAGCAAAACAGTCCGAAGATGATGCACGACGTGAGCAACGTCATCATCTCTGTCAGGTCACCTGCGAACGATTGAGAAGCTTCTCTCACAATGCGACGGCGTCTTACCCAACTCGCTGAGAAGGTGGATCGTCGTCATTGTGGACAAAACCGCCAAAACGCCTTGGGGCAGCTCGACGACGATGAAAATGAACATGATTATCTGTAAGTTGTGACTCATGATTGTAAGTAGAGAAAAGCCCTACCAATATGATCTTGGTTGTCCGGTTGTACTGCTTATCGCGCTCGACGCTAGCGAAACGAGCACTCAAAAGTCGGATCTTTTTCAGTTGGTCCAGAATTAAAAACGTCATCACGCAAAGAATGACCTAAAAATCTCTGTCTCATTTAAATATCGGAGAAATCGACTCGTTTGGTTTTTCGGGTTTTGCTCAGAATTTTTTCTTCTTTAGGCGTTATCGAATTTTTCTTAGTTATGTTCGTAGATAAGCTAAAGTTATTGTTAATCAAAGGAAAACCAACATTTGGTATTACGGCTCTGATTTAAAAGCAGACTATGATCATAGTGAGGTTCTATGGGGGTTACACTCGAATTCGTCTCCAAAATGACTGTTTTAAGCTTGAAGGAATCGTGTGTGAAAGTTCCTTACGGATGGGATGATCTTGGAGCAAAGATGAAAAAGCCAGAAGTTGAGAGTCTGCAAGTAGGGGAACGAAGAGAAGGCCAGTTGATATGAGGTCCGATTCTTGAGAGAGGGAAACCGGACGGCGCAGCCTTCGTTTTCAGGAACCTAGATATCATTCAATGTGGTTCAAAAAAGTTTAGAGAAATAGAAAGATTCAATTTTGAAGTGATTTGAAGGGATTTCAGCTTAGTTTATACTATTTTATTTTCTACACGTTTTCATAAATATCTCATGCTTTTGAATGCGGTGTTCAAAAAAACAGTTTTTGAAAAACGCCAATTGATCTTAATTGGGTTTTCTGTAAGTATCCAATTCATTAAAAATGGCAATTAGTGAGATACCTAGAAGCAAAGAAAATTAGTAATAACCCAATTCAGAATTTCCTGTACTCGCCTATTTAGGTTGTTCTGAAAGAACTTTTCTAATGAGGAGCTTCTCTTTGATTGAGTCTGGAGGCAAAAGTTGTCAAAGTCGCAATTAGGAACTTCGGGAAAAGGGTTTTTTAATGGCGCCAAGTCTCTTATGACCGTGGTGGGCTCCGAATTGTTTCAAAAATCTCATTTTATTTGCCACAATGGATACTATTTAAGCTACGACTCACTTGTCTGACTTCTGAAGTGAAATACAATGGAATGCCAAGCAGTAAAACCAAAGCATATATCCCTGCTATCGAAAATCGACACTTCTGAAAAATTTCATTATGAAAGAATAGCTTCGAAAAATCTTTTTTGCTGGTCATGAGGTTACCTGATAAGTAAACCAGGGCACGTTTGAGTTGACGCTGGCGAGCTGCGTGAGCGACCGGAAACGGATGACCGAAATGGCCACCACGTGGAACACCTGCAGATTCATTTATTCTGTTGGTTGTGAGAGATAATTCCGTAAGTATCCCTCTCATGGTACCGAATTTGACTCATCTTTCACAGACTAAAATCTGATATTTTTCAAAGTTTTTTTTTATAAAAGTTTTGCCAGACATTTGAACAATAGAAAAAAAGGTTGAAACTCGAAAGGCTGTCTTTGATGCGAGAAAACAAAAACAAAAGACATTTATGGATTCTCCATTTTCAGGTTTCCACCCAGAGCAAGAACCACTAGAAGCAGTTTTATTTCAATACAGATACAAAGGAGTTGGCGTTCCTTACTCGTTTACTCTAAATTTGGAGTTCCGAGCTCATTCAAAAGTGAAAAATCTGGCCCTACCCCAGACATGTGGACGAGGACAGAGAGCGTGACGGAGACGTGCATCGTCTTGGCCATGTGGTAGGAGAAGAACAGCGGCTGACACAGCTCGTCCGATACCCACTTGAAGAACGTTGAATAGAGAAAGTTGACGCACAGCGCCAGTTGACTGCTGAAACTCCGTTTCCTTCATTTCTTCCATATTTCTGATATCCTATCTTTCAAAAAAATGTGTTCTATTTGGTTGATAAAAAATAACGTCATTTGTTAGTTCGTTGGTAATTTTCTGATAAAATAACATTTTCAGGAAAAGTTTTTTTTTCATGGAAAAAGCGTTTTCTTTTGCATCGTTTGATATTTAACTCAGCTATATCAACTCTGTATTTGCACAAGAAACATTTGTTAGAAAAGAAAGAGCGAAAAATTGCGTCTGTGGTCGCATTTTCGGTATGAATTTTCGAATGACACAAGTTTGGCTCTATTTTCAAAATGTTCAGATTTTGTGCTTTGTTCGTTAAATCAGTACCCTAAAAGGTTCCAACGCTTTCCTGACGGTGGCCGGAGCTTTAAAGACTACAAACATGCCAAATCATCGAATAAAACGTTTCAAATTTTTTTTTTGTTGGGTTCACGCCAAATAACAGCACCAGAGTTTGACAGTGTTCATGTCTCAATTTAAAAAACAAATAAAAGTGGAGAATAGCGCACCAGAGGGATGATATCTCTGGTGAGAGAGTGATCGGATTAAATTGAAAAAAAAAGTCCACACTACTTTGACCCCGATGGAGTGTCTGAACTGCCTTCAAAGCCGCAGAACCAAAAAGAAGACTCTCTGTCTTTTCGGTGTATCTTTGAAGGTCTAGTATACTTAGAACCGACCGGTTCTTCTCAAATCGTCACCCTGAACCCTCGCTACTTTCTTTTGAAATGGCTCATCGTTTTTTTTTCCAGCCTGATAAAACTGTAATGAACATCATTCACCTATGTCCGAAGACTTCTGTTAAAATATTTAACTTGGTTAATCCTGGTCGCAGCCAAAGCGACAAATTTATAAGAAGCACTTTGCTGGAATCGAAAAGAAGCTCTATAATTCTTCCGAGATAAGTACGACCGAAAGGAAAACAATGGTCGGCAGGGGGAAAATAAAACGAGATTTGAACCGATGATTGCGCGGCTATTTTTTCTCAATATCTTTTCGCAAAAGTTATTTATTGCCTTTCTTCGGATCAAAAAATGAAAAATGGAGTCAAAATATTTCATTCTGGAGGCCATAGAGAAGAGCCACGAGATGCTCTTTTCGAGAGGAGCACGTCTAAAGGTCTCGTCGCCTTTTTCCACACAAAAAGAAGACAAAAAGCGCAGAAACTGCTTTTTCTATGTGAGAAAACCCTTAGCTGTAGAGAATAAAGAATAAGGCGACTTGGAAAGCGCTTTGAGCTCTTGTCTGAGTTTTTTTTTTCGATGAACTTTTGTTTGGTAACAAAGGTTCGAAAAGAAAGCTGAAAATGGAAAGTGTCAGGTTTCTCATTGAACTATGCACATATCATAAATGTGAATTCCATTCTATGAAAAGATAAAAATTTTGGAAAAAAAAGACTTCAAATAGCCTCGTAACAATTATTGTAAAAAATTTCTGTGTGATTAAATTTAGCGTTTTTTTCTATTCCAAAAAAATATACTGGGTCTTTGTTGCTGTTAATTGATCGTGAAATTAAGGCTTAGCGATTGCAAATAAATCCGTGTATACTAATTTTTGTTGTTTGTTGGAAGCCTTAAAAAGTCTTGTTTACTTTTTTTTTTAGCCTTTGTTGATGTTTGAATTGGATTATGGACCTATGATCTACGAGGGAGTTCCCGTTCAGTGTTCAAATCGAAAAGAAAGCTTTTTTTTCTGCCTGAGAGAACGTTAAAATGTTGTTTAAAAGCCGTTCTCGGGACAGTTTACCGACTTTTGCCAAAACAAAAAGTCGCCGAGGTTCTTTGTCGTGGGTCCATCTGCAACCGACCGTGCCAAATCGGCTGCTTCTCAAGCCATTGGAAGGAAAAAAAAAGGCAAATGGGGTGGAATATAAACGGCTGTCTCTGGACTCGTGTGTGCATTTTGTTTCTACTCGGATGAGCTACGAGGAAGTCTACGACCGGACGTTCTTGCGTCTTGCACGCGAAATTTCCTTGATACCTGGAAAAGTTAGTGAAAAATCGCTTGTTTCACGCGTTTCCAGCACTTTTTTTCCAGAGATCCACCGTCGCTGCTGAGAATCATGATAAGATTAGTGCGAGCATTTTTTTTCTCATAGATACGAAACCAAAAAAAAAAGTAATTGAAGTTTTTTCTTTGATCTTTTGCACAAAATCCTTTTCAAAGCATAATTTTCTGAGCGAATAGATTTTTTGAACGCGTGTAACTGAATTGAGGCCCTCATTGCCGCTCTTAATCCAATAATATTCCAAACGGCTGCTTTTTCTGCCCTCCAAAGGGACATTCTAACTCGGGAAATTTGATTGGACCACTTCTCTTTTCAATAACCGCTGTGTCGGTTTTAAGCAATTTTCCAAGGTGAAAACGGTGAGAAATCCGATACCAGACATGGATGCATGTGAATAATTCATTGCAAACATAACTCCGAGCTCAAATAAATTTCAGCCCTTTTTTCGGCAAACAGATCAAAAACCAGTCAGCTATCCAGTTTTAGTGTAATAATCTTGACCTTTTCTTGGGATTTATGTATTTGGACTGCGACTAAATCAAACAATGTTCTGTTTTCCTGAAAACGTTGAAAGACACAAAAAAGCCAATCTACAGAAGGAATATAACTGTGGAATGCCTCACGCTTTCTCAAAAAAAAAAACAAACTGACCAGGACATGGAAATTAGGAACATGTTGGTGGGGTTGAGCATCGACGAAAGCGTCGTGATTGTGACGAGGTGCCCGAGGGCGCCGGAGATGCACAGAAGGAGCACCAGCGGAGGATGGATCACGCGGCCGTACTCGCCCAGGCTCCAAACCAACCAGTTCGGCGAGTCTGACATTGCCGAGGCGCGTTTGAACCTCTCGTCCTGCAGTTTCAATTCTAACAAGTAACTCGGAAACATAACGAAAACTATTCGGAACAAAACGGAAGAAGCTAAAAAAGCGGCTGAAAGCAAAGAAAGAATTATTCGTTGTGAAGTTTCATGGTTTCAATAAAAATTGGCTTTTGAAAAAAATCAAAACAATTAAAACTTAAAAATTCTCAAATGATCCTTTTTCTCAAAACATAGCATTCTCTCCACCCAAAAACATGCTATCATAACCTTTGCCATGGACCTTCTCAAAAATTCTTCGACAGCCTTGCTGAGAACCATTGTAGTCGTTACAAGCCAAAAATTCTGATTTTGAACATGTAAACATATCAAACTTACTCATACAGTCAGTACTTTGGAGCAAAACTAAATTAAATCATTAAAATATACGACACTTTCTACTAATAAAATGAATTGAAGTACTGTTGGGATTAGCGTTAGTTAAAATGCAAAACTGAAAAAAATGCGTCTCGGAAAAGCGTCGGCCGTTATTCGAAGATCGCGAAATTAGGCATCATTGGAAAATTTTCAAAAAAAAAAATCAGAGAACATAATGTGCTCCTCATCAAAAAACATGAGATTAGAACTTTTTCTCGGTTCCTAGACGAATGGAGAGATTCATCGAAGCTGGAAAGCACTTGAGGTTGCGTGTCGCGTTTTTTAATGAAAAATGAGGAAATTGCCGGCTCATGAGTGGGCTGATAAGCTTTTAGGAATGCCGAATGACAACTTTCACACATTCTGGGGAGAAAAAAACCAAACTTGATTTTAAAAAAATGGTGGGAACTTGCAATGAATCAGGTAAAAGTTAACTTTTATTGAGAAATTGGAATGGAATGATCAAATGACAGAGACAATGGAAAGAAAAAACTACAAGAAAATAAGCTAAAAGTAGTACCAAAAAAAAGTTTTATTTACCTAGTGTTTTCAGTTTTTGGCTGACATGGTCGCAAAAGTGCGCTCGAACGATAATTTTAGGATTTCTTCGCCTTCAAGGACGTTCCCAATCAATAAGAGTAATATTTTCTTGAAAAGAATTTCAGAAAATTTTCAAGCCAACCTGAAAAAATTATATCGAGTCGAACTCAGAGCTGTATTCAGTTGATCGAAGGCGTCGAATGGAAATCGGAAAAGCAAAAAAAAATTGGAAAGCTGAGAAAACATTTAAATGATTAGATAGGAACAAGTATGAGCCGGTAGAGAGATTGCAGCCTCGAAGATCATTTCAAAGATCAAAGAATACCGAAAAGCCAGCCAACGGTTGGCTTTGATGGAAAAGACAGGCTTAGTGCGCCAAGCGAGGTGTGGGCGTGGCCGAGCCGACCACGCCTCCTTGCCAATGGAACCCAAAATGAGTTTGGCTTGTTCTAGAGGTGTGCGGAAAACGAATTAGAGATCGTGAACTGATGGGTGTGTCGTTTCAGGTGCAATATGCCCAAAAGTTTACAAAATAATACTTTATTTCGAGGTTTTTGACATGTTTTTTCGTTTAGAATCATGTGTTCCTAGACATTTTTAAATCAAGCTATGCAATAACTCATCTGTCCAATCCGCATGTCTTTTCCGGGTAAACTACTCGTCAGGGAAGCAAATTCTCCTTCATCTTCTTGTTCAAATTTTGAACACTTTAGTCGCTGAATTTCCGCTAAAACATTGAGTTTCTTCTGAGGGAATCTCGTGTCCGCCGCCTTATTCACTTTGACTTCCTAGTCTCTCTCAGTTCAAGCTCTACTGACGTGATTCACTTGGGGAAAAAGTTGAGGAAAACTCGTATCAATACATAAATCCCTTTCTACATATCTGCTTTGAAAAAAAAAGTTAAGACCGAGGAAGTAAATCTTTTAAGTACGCACATAAGCTTTGTTTTTTTTTTGCGAGACTTGAATAACTGACTACACCTTTTTCAAAACAGCTCCATTGTTTTTTTTTTCTCTAAAAGTTGAACTGAAGCAAACGTGAGAAAGATGTTCTAAAGTCCGTTCTGAGACCCCCGGATTAGGCGTATTTATAAATTGCAGCGTGAAAGAAATGGCATTAGCAAGTTTTATACTGATTAAAACTTCCAAACGGCATTTCAAAAAATAAAGACGATCCAAAAAGTCCTAATTAAAAACCCAGAATGCCAAATTAACTGCGAGATATGAAAAACAAACGTTTTTCACTACGAGTTGAAATTTTCACCTTTCTGCGACCATTGAACATTAAAAAGAATGATGAAAATGCCTGTATCAAACCGAAAATTCTGAAGCTCATTCATTAGCCATAAAAAGAAGGAAAGGTCCGGAGAAAAGGATCAAGGCGGGGGCATTAAAAAGCCGCGTGACGAATGAGAAAAGAAGAACATGACGGACCAAATTCGGACAACGAGAGGCTTAATTCCTTGTGAAGTTATCGTAGGAACATCCGAAGAGGTAGAGAGAAAGAGAGAAGAACTTTCAGTCTCAAGTTCAAGTTATGATGTCGAAAACCTAAAGACATGGCTTTGATTTTGAAAAATAAACAAGAAAATGATGATTTGGGAAGCAAGAAAGAGGTATAACAATGCTTCCCTTCGGACAGCTGATTTCACTCTCCTGTCCAATACAAAGAATTAAGAACAATCAATTCCTTACCAAAGTTTATAAAAAAACATTTTCAACTTCATCGATACCAAAAAAGCTCCGGGACAATTTCGAAAGTTTATCTCTTCTAGGTGTATTAGCTGGAAAAATGTTCAATACTCTTTTGAATTAATGCAAGAAGGAAAACTTAGGCGATCTGGTCGTCATTTTTTTTTCTAATTATATTCACTTGGTTGCTCAAATATACAAAATCATATAGATCGAAAAATCAAACCTTTAGTTTGTAGATTCAAAATTAAAAGATTCAAAAATCAGTTGATCCGTATAACATTCCGATAAGATAAAAGCAAAAGATGGGGCTGAGCAGTTCTGACTACCTTCCTTCCAACGCCAGCAAGGTCGCTGGTTCGAAACCTATCGAGGTGGACCCAGTCGTACATTCCTTTGATCCAGTAAATACATATACGCAGTGGACGCAGCTTAAAATCTCTCTAATAAAATTTTGAAAAAAAAAGAAACCAAATTCGGACGATTTCCAAATACAACCTTCCTTCTCATGTTCTGCAAGCAGATCTACGCTCGATTCAGGTTTTGTTCATCGTTAGTACTCAAGTTAGCTAAGAAGAAGTCCAAAATGTTCGCATAATCACTCTTAACGGTAAAAAAGCAAATGAGGATAGGAAACGTGAAATGGAACACCGAAAGGCTCGTTTCCTTCAAGTGGAGGCGTCTATTTGCTGTTTTATATGGTGTTCATGGGGCACGGAAAGACCAAATTTAGTCTCGACTCGAAGCAAAACAAAAGCTAATTCTATTGCTCTACTGCGGCTGAAAAAAGCGGATGGAATGCAGAAATTAACTCTTCCAGGGTTTTCGGAATATCTTCTCAAATTATGATGAGGAAGTTCGACATGGTGAAATTCTAAGTGGAGCCGCGAAAAAACTTGCACAAAGAAAATTCGACATTATGGATAACCGTTTCGAAAAGAGTCATGATAACGACAGAGCAACGTGTTTTGCAGTCCATCTTTCTTCTTTCCAATAACAGTTTAACGAAATACTGGATAATACTTTAATAACACTTTATTTGCATATTCATGACTTTGTTTTTCCTTCTTTTTCCCTTCATGGAAATATTTTGTCCAAAATTTTTCTTAGAATATCTGGAATATGTTGCGGTATGGTAATGACTTCGTGAAGATGGTAAGAAAAATCTTCCTTATTAATCATAATTATTTTTTGTTAGGGGCACTAAGAATTTAAAAATAAAAATGATTTCAAACAGACAGACCCCCTTCAAGTACCACCTCTACGCGGTGATGGGGAGGCAACGCCATTTATGGCGGCTAACGGTACACCGGTCACGCAATTCGGCTTGCTTCTGCTAACAGAATGGGCGGTCTTTTTTTAGCCCTGGCAAGGCAAAAAGGATAATAAGACCACAATTATGCTATAACACGTTCAACACCACGGATGGATTTTTTTCGCAAGAATACCAGTCAACCAGGACGACAACACTGGATGACCGATTGCATAAGATCTCCTGGAAAACGTGTGGTCCACGCTTCGATCAATAAAAGGCACTAAAAGGCAATAAAAGGTCGAAAGCGAAGATGGACCATCTAAGTATCTAAGTAAGTAAGTTCAAACAGACTTAACAAGTAGAATTCTGCATCGAACTTTTGAAAAAAAATAGTTTTTTATTTTGGAAATTTTGCAACTAAATTTTTAGATATTAAGAATTTAAAACGGTTAATAAATCATCCTCTGATACGCCTGGCTTGTTAGAAAGAGTAAAGATTTTCGAAAATAAAAAACCGTACACATGGCAATGTATACAATATTATATTGTTTGTGTTCGTGAACTTCTTTGTTCACCGTTTCAAATTTGGTGAGGGACAATTTGAATATTTTAATGTTTATTTCACTCGGATACATAGAACACATAAAATAAATCTTCAGAGAAAAAAAAAGTACGGAAAAGAAAAAAAAATGACGAGAGAAAAGATTTAAATCGTGATTTTGAAAAGGAGTGGCGCAAGACTTTTGTTCGTAATCAGATTCCTGAGGGTATACAAAGGAAACTTGACTGGAAAACTTCCAAGAAAAATTTGGCTTGAGAAAAATGTCATAAAACTCGAACTTGCGGCTATCAGAAGTTTATAAACAATAAAGCTTTGGATTTACCTAAAGAATCAGGCAACTAGAGACAACTGCCATCTCTATTTTCTAACACAAAAGAAAAGGAATATTTTTCCGTTTTTGAGAAGCCTTCTACTTTATAGGAAAACTTCTAAGTTGAATGAGGAGTTATCGGAAACTGCATTTTCGGCTAAAGAATTCTTTTTTATTTCATTGAACGAAAAACAGGCTTTGGACAGTTTATTAAGTAGAAAATGATCTTCTCCACTCTTGGAACTCAAACATCACTTCTTTCTCAGGCTCTTCTCAATTGAAAGCAATTTGCAGGATCGAACCAGATAGATCAAATTAAAGCTCGAATCGCCGTTAATTGAGGCGTTTCGTCTGAAATGGACGGAAGAAAGGGGGCGTGAACACGAAATAAGGAACGAAAACCCAATTTCTTGGAAAAAAGGAAGACCAATCACTCTTCCACTAGGTCAGGCATAATTTATCTGAGAGTCTGTGCTCTTCGAGACCTATTTTATTACCTTTTCTTTCCAGATTTCCGGGCACACACGCTTTGCATATCTAACCACTTCTCACGAATGTATGAATGGACCTCGTGCTCCCTACGATCGGCAACTGAACCCAAAACAAGTTCTTAAGGTTCTTTTCTGATTCCCTAACGTTCTTTTTTATCTAAGACTTTTTTCTAAAGAATGGAAGCTATTTTGAGCTTACAAGGAAGGTCTCCTTTATTTGAATTCTCGTAATTTCTAAATATTACATTTTCATAGTTTCCGTTTGCGCAATTTGTGAGTTTTGGAGACATTTCTTTCAAAGTTTGCGTTCAACACGGAATAAGACCTGAAACAAATAATTCTCAACTTTGAAAAAGCTGAAGCTTTACGCAAGTAGCCACCATACTCGAGCAATTAGAGAGATCTCGCTTACAAAAATGTATTGATATAGCTGATTAACGGCCAGCTGGGACGCTAAAGGGGCATGTCCTGTCTGCGCTCTCCACGAGCCAGGCTCTATCTCGTGCTTCATCGTGTCAGGACCTTTTTTTTAGATGGCTCAAGCCAGTCGCGAATCATCTATATAGTACTGAGATAAATTCAGGAATACTCGGCCTAAAAATTGGTCTGTCCATTTTTGGTAGCTACTATGTCAAATCTTCCCCTAGATTTTCAGACTGTTTGACAAGTTTGAAAAAAATTGCGAAAATCGCCGAAACGAATCTTCTTGTCAGAGTAAAAGCTTTAGCCCCGCCGCTACTTGATTTTCAGTTGTCTGAAACTTGCTCTAACGAAAAAAGTTCCTTCAGCGCTACTCACGTCATTTTTTTTGCAGCCTGAGGCGGGGCAAGCCAATCAAAAGTCTTGTAGCGTGAATTCAAAAGTTCAACAGGTAAAACAAACAAAAGAAAAGATTTATGAAAGAAAATTTTTCTAGTACAAAAAAGTTGCTATGCTTCAAAAACGTTTTCAACCTTTTTTCAAAAGAAATTGATATCCGACGTCAGTTTGTGTTTTCACTTTATGTCCTTGTGATTTTCGTGTGCTCTCTCACGATTCTTCAAAAAAGCTGATATATGATTTTTTTTTTTCGAGTAGCTACAAGCAGACACCCTCAGAGAGACTATTGGGGAGAAGATCGTTGAAAAAAAGCGAAGAAAACGACCTCCCAACACAATAAAGGGTGAAAAAATGTGAGAGCGCGGCGGAATTTCTGCAGCCCTTCGGAAAATGAGCTTTTACTTCCATATTTTATATTCGAGAAATAAAAAGGAAATGAATTATCAGACGATCCGACCTTAATTATTGTATAGGTTCGGACAGGAAATCTAGAAACTTCGTTTCAAAAAAAAGGTTCTACGGAGTGATTAAATGATGATTCCCGAAACGAAGCTACAGTCAAACTTCGTCTGTCAACTTCGTGAATTATTCGACGGAAAAAACCTCATGTAGACGCTGTTAACATGTTTAAGGCCGTTAAAATGGTGTTAACCGGGAAACTCGTGGAAGTCAAGCGTCGGGACCATTAAAACGGATTATGGCTGCTCCCCTCGCTCATTAAAGACAGGCGAACAATAAAATTGGACTACTTCCTCGAGAAACTTGGATTTAAAAAAATGGCAAAGGAAAAATGAAATAAAAAAAGCTAGAGACAAAAAAATTTTCGAGTTTTTCTACTTTACACAGTTTTTTTCAACTTGATTTATTTCATACATTGTTAAAATTGATCAGATTTTCGGCTTACTTCGAGTAGATTAAATCGCATTTCATAAACCCGAAGGCTGAATAAAACGGGGCGATTTTCTGCCCCATGAGAAGAAGGTAATATGAAAAAAGCGAAACTTTCGTTATTTAGAGCTTCTCGTAACCTTAATTACTGGAGAATTCCCATAGAAAGAATGAAGAAATCGTCATTTTCCAAAAAACCACGAGTACGTGGGAATCTCTTTTCTGACCTTGGACCATTTTCTGAATACTCAATCTGAAGAATTCCTTATCACGGCGCTTTTTGTAAGTATATATATACTAGAGTTCTCAAAATGACCAATTGAAAAAAATGATATTTTTTTCAAAAAAACGAAAAAAATTTTCTTTTTGACATTTCAAACGAATGTCGTTTTTTTGAAAGATCAACCAAAATTGATCACTTTCATTCTTTTCATTTTGTGACTTTTCAAATAATGACTGAAAAAAATAAATGGTCATTTTCTAAACAATCATATTCTGACTAGTAAATAAATGTTCGTCCTAATGACCAAATTTTTTTCAAAGTGAAAAAGTAAATGGTCACTTTTTTTGACCAAAAAATTTTCAAGAGTGAACTTTAAATGTTTACTTTTTTTGACCAAAAATTTTCAAAAGTGAAATTTAAATGTTCATTTTTTTGACCAAAATTTCCGAAAGTGAAATTTAAATGTTCATTTTTTTGACCAAAAACTTCCGAAATGAATTTTAAATGTTTACTTTTTTTGACCAAAAATTTTTTTTCGAAAAAAATAAGTAATTGTTCATTTTTTTAAAAATGCTCAGTTATGAAGTTTAACCAAAATGAAGTTTTTAACAAACGGTTCATGTGAAATTTAACTAATTGGTCGAATTCATCAAACGTTCAGAAAATGTTTGGTTGAACGTTCGTTCAAACATTTACTTTTGAGAACTCTAATATATACCCCTCTCCCGAGTCGATTCATAGAATAACCGCGGATTTTTACGAAAACAGTTGACAGGTGAAGCTAATTAGAAAAAGGACAGATACGGTAAATGTAGTTTGTTCAGAAGCCTTCTCTTCATCGCGAGTCGAGAAATAGACTGAACGGAAGTTCCTTTTTCGACACTTGTTCAATTCTTTTGGCGCTGGCTAGAGTGACCTTTCGTAACCAAAGTGAAGTTGAGGCAATGATCAAAGCGTTTTCTGAACATTTTATCTTTTCAAACTGAAATTTTCAAGTGAAGCTGATGATCTCGTTATGGCGGGAATCTGATCAGGTTTTCAAAATAACACTTTCTTTTGAAAACCAACAATTTTAAAAATATTAATAGCGATACTGAAGGAAAAAAATTTATTGGCAGTCCATAGGTGTATACAAACATTCAACGTAACAATGAGATCAAAAAGTTTGGTTCCTAGCAGAGTAAGAAACCACTCAAGGGGCTGAGAGGGCGCGCCACTGCTCCTGCGTCGTCTGACCGATCACCGCTCCGTGCATCAGACGGTCGCGCTGCAAAGATAGTTGGGTTATTTCGGTCGCAGTTGATAGATGAATGGGTATTTTGACTGCGTAAGATTGAACTATTGATCTCGTGGCCACTTACTTCAATGGCAACGGCTCCGTCGATCATCGACGACCGTTGGTGGCAGTTGTTCATGAGACCAACTACTTCATCGGCTGTGGAATAAATCGAGAAGACGTTCTTTCCTTCGTAGTGCAAACTGTAAAAAGTTTTTCGTTTTCCAAACCTCTAGAAATGTGTTTTTTGGCTCCCAACACCTTCACCTAAGCCAGGAGTTGACCTCTTTAGTTCATGCTGTTTGAAGAAGTTGTTGCTTTTTCTAACGGCCTCTTTCCGACCGTTTCTACACTTTAACCTTTGACGAGACTTCCTGGGCTTATTTTTCCTTAACACTGTCATTGAAGATTTTTTTAACAAAAAAATCATGAAAAAACGATTCTTTTGTGAAAAATCAGATTGAAAATCCATTCAAAGATTTTATAATTTCGATTTTTGCAGTTTGAGATCACCAGGTTCTACACCTAGCATATCGGATATGATTTGAGCCAATTTCTACCGTGCAAACTGACTAATATAGCTACTTTTTCTCCACATGAAACCGCTTTTTTCTTGATGAATTAGATTTAAAAAACATTCAAACTGTACGTTTGTTGCTGGCATGAAAAAAGTGCTTCGAAATCTTTTTCTCTTAAGCGCTAAAAGAAGGCTTACTCGGAGTTTATCTCCTTAATGAACTTGGAGTCGCAGTCGAGGCCGTTGACAGGACTGCAAATACCGTGGAAAAATGGCGAGTTGGTGCAAAAGTGGGCGCCTGAACGAGGAATGAACTACTGACAAACCAGCGCTTACCGTTGTTGGCACCGGCCACGGAGACAAAGTTATGAACAAAAGAAGAAATTGGAGCGCCGAGGTTGGTTCCCGTGTCAACGCATCGCCCACCGAGGATTGCCTGATCATGAGAATACGTTTTTTCTGGCTTCGACATGATTTTCCCACTTTTCTTGAGATCGGAGATCCCATGGAGAAGGCGATAATGTTGACCTTCTTCTTTGTGTATTCATGGACCGCCAGGATCAAGGTTCGTACCTGAAAAATGATTGGAACATGCGCTATCAAAGCAGGTTCGTCAACGAATCTTAAGCGACCATCCCGGAAACATTGACGTGAATTGTCATGATAGTATTTTTCGACGAAAATTGAATTGTAAATATATTCAACGATTTTGTTGATTTGCTTTTCTCTCATCACGTTTAAATAAGTTGACAACAAAATGATCATCGATGTTTCCTTTATAAACACAAAATGAAACGCTGGTCATTTAGATTTCATGTTGAGAGTTTATTTTTTCGACAGTTCACCCCTGACCTTGAGTATACTTGGGGACAAAGAACTGAACAAAACCACACGAGTGCTTGGAAACGCCGACGACAGTGACGTCGCCAAGGACGCTCGGAATTCAAAACTCATTGTCACAACAAGTTGCATTGTTTAGTTTTTTTTTCCCAGTTGGCCACTCAGTTGCGTTAACAACTGTAATTGGTGGAAAGAAGCAAAAAGGAAAGACCTCCAAAAAGCGGCAAAAAAAAAACAATGACAAAGGACAGAGAATCATTGACCGCCAAAATCCTCGGGTGATTTTCAAAGATCTGACGGATAAGGGATCAGAATCGAGTTATTTTTCAACTCTGGAATTATTGTCCTTGGCCTTCTGGGGCAATTGTTGCTACTCGGTACCTTATCTTTGTGCGAAAAGACGCCTCAAGTTTCCCGCGAATGGGTCAGAACGTCTTTGAAAACTGGCTGGTTGACCCAATACAAGACACCGCTGATCCTTTCCATGATGACGTAGGCAATTTTTTCCTTGTTTTGTCGTCTGGCGAGGGAAGTCCTTCGATTCGCGCCTTTTTATGTTTCAAGACCTCATGCTAAAGTGGCTTTTGTGGACCGGGTGACCATTCGAGGCGAAGAAAAATGAATCCTTTAGATACAATACATGCGAAAAACTTTCAGAAGAAGATTTTTGACAAGGCAACATTGTGGAACTTTTTATTGCGTTGGAGTTAATGGTTCCGAAAAGAGGATGGTTTCAGCCCGTTCAAACCGGAGTTATAGTCCAAAAACGAGAACTCGTGAAATTGAACACTTTGCGATGGAGAGTTAAGTCATCACTTAAACTTTTTTTTTTCGAAAATAATCAGTTCTGCGATAATAAAAATAATCAAATTAGTGACTTTAACAAAAAGCGGCCGAATAAGCAATTTTCGGTAAAGTCGTTTTTTTTTTTGGCAATTGGTCCGAGAAAATTTTCGCCTTAAATAAGCACTGAAAGGTTTAAGGAGTACAGAAGACTGAAAATGCTGTGAAAAAGTTGAGTTTTTTGCATATTGAACTGGGCTTGATAGTTGTTTTTTTTTAGATCAAGGAAGTTTTTATGTGAAAACTTCGTCCCTGCGCAGGTTGAAGCTCTCCGAATCATCCTTCAGTGAAATAAAAAGTGAAAACCTTTGAAAGATGAAAATCCAAACGTTTTGTGCAAAGCCGATAAGAGTTTTGAAAATGACAAAGGAACCTTGAGAACGTAGTCGCATTGCATGCCGTGGGCCAAAGAATGCATGAGGTCGCCGTTGGCGTAGGTCGTGCCGAAGACTGTGCCGCGCGGCTGACCGTAGGAGAGGTACTTGTTGTAGACGCGTGTTCGGAGCAGCCCCGCCGTGCCGGCCAGACCGTGTACCACTATCACTGGCAGCACGCTGAAGCTCACATTTTTTAAAAACAACTCCATCATTGAAAAAAGAAAACTGAAGTCTACTTTTAGCAGGTTGTCTTCAAGGTTTGACGAGAAGTTGGACTAAAACAAAATGTTTGGTACACAGTTTCAAAAACTCTGCTACAGTCTCAAAAGCGCTTAGCAATATTGCAAACCCAAACCCAGAAAAAAGTTCTAGTATGAAAAATCCCTCTTTTCTTTTTGTAATTTCCGACATTTTTCCGAAACACACAAGTTTTGAGAATTTTAAAAACTTCAAAATATCCCTTCTTAAAATACCTGGCATTGGGGTTGCCGCCGCCAAAAGATCCTTTGGCTCCGAGGTCGGAGCGAGTCAAATCGTCGGCGATCGCTTTGCCGAACTTGCCGACAAGGTAGTTGTAGAAGTTTGCGTTGAACCGGCATTGGACAAGTCCTGCCAGGAGGAAGAAAGTCAACAGCTCGACACGCATCTGAAACATTTCCGCATGACGATCTTTGAGGAAAAAAGCAAGCTGGCGACCGAATTTCTCACAGAATTTCAGATAATAAGATCGTTGAGAAGATGCTTTCAGGCAGAAGATTTTCCAATTTTTAAACTTGAAGCATATGATTCTGTATAAAATTTTAAGATCCGTATATTCCAGAACGTGTGAATGAAACTTGAAATATTTTGTCTATACTGGCAGTGCTTTCAAGCACAGAATCGAACGGGAAAAGGCAGGTGAGCAACAAAAACCAACAATTATTACTTATGTGAAAGCGAAAATTGAAATTTTTAGTTGGTGACCCCCGGGGTACATTTTGTAGGCCGTCAATTTGACACACGTCTTCGGATACTTAGATAAACAAAGTAAAAGAAGAATTAAAAGAAAGCCGGAAAAACATTTTTTGGGGAAGTGACTACAAAGAAACGAGAATAGTTGGAGTAGAAGTGTTTGGATAACTCGCAGCGAACTGGACGACACAATTTTAAACGGCGTAGGCTACACGACAGGACTCCGCCCCATGCCTTATTGTTCAAAACGCCTCTTTTCAATGATGTCTGTTTGGTTGATGAAGACGCAGAGGCGATTCTTGTGGTTCGTAGCCGCTGGCTATTGTTGCAGCCACGTGAAACCCGCTTGCGCAGGCTTCCGCGCATCAACGACGTCGCCGTCGGCACTTGGTACCTTCAAACACGGAAAAAGTTCTTGCCACGCCGACTTGCCAGCGTGGCCTGCTTTGTTTGGTCGTTCCTCCGACAAAATTAACAATATTTTGATGTTAGTGAAAGAGCTACGATGTTTCGTACTTTATTAACCGATCGCTGATTACAATTAAAAATGATTGTAGGCATAAGACAACTCGCGAATATTGAATTGTAACAAAAATTCAAATCAGAATGCCAAAAAATTTTTTCACGAAACTCTATTCAATTTTTGGCTTGCTAAATCTAGCGCATTGCTAAACCTTCCGACCTTTTTTTATCTACGCTTTCTATTTTCATTGTAAAAAAAAACCTTTATCTAAAAGCTTTCAATTCAATCAACTACACGTTTTGACTTCTTTTTCGCCAAAGGCGGTGTTAGTGCTGCTCAAAAGAGCAATTTTTTCACCGCCTAGTCGATTCCATCTGACTAAAACAACCAATAAACATCGATGATATTGATGATAAAAGTCCTCCTACTGCTCTTCGCTGTCGTTGTTTCGAACGAGAGCCGAATCGTGACAACCGCACTCGTATTCTCTAGTCATGGGCGGAGCTGCAAAAAAATCTTATCTAAGATCCAAGAATTTTTTGAACAAAAAGATAGTTTTTGAAGACCAGAGGATCAAGAAGGGCTCCCCTCCAACCATGAACTGAACATTAAGACACTGAAATTATGAACTTTTGAGAGTCCTTGCTTGTTTCGAGGGCCGTTTTTGAGAGAAAATTTGGAATTAAAGTGAAAAACTACATCCAGGGCACCTGGTCTCATTCAGAAATACCACTTCAACCAGAGAACATTCACTAATACATGAAAGTCATGAAAAACGCTGCAAAGGAGTTTCAGAGGTTTTTTCAAAATACTCCTGAATGTGTTTTTTTTAAATAAATTGAGAAATTTCCCGGGAGTACACCCGGCGATAGCATAAGTTAGTTAATAAGGTTTGAACTAGTCCATAAGGAATGATTTTTTTAATAAAAAAAAATGATTTCTTTCCTTTTTTCATTTTCTATTAACTAAAAAAATCAGCTTTCGAGCTTTTTCCGAAAATTTTTGACGGGCCATTTCTTAGTACCCTATATATTCAATTCAATTTATTCAGTCTTCAGAGCAAGATGAAGAAAATCTTATGGTATAATCGAAGAGTTAGTCGTCGGCACGGGTTACGATCAACAATAGTTGTCCAATAAGCCCCGGCGTGACAGTTAGAGTTGGGAAATAATGTGAGCCCGTTGGTACCAGCAAATAAACTGCTTCACCATGTTGGAACAGTACAGCGCCCAGCTTGTTCAGGGCTGACGGACGTCGGAATGTTATCCCATGAGAGAGGAGACCGACTAGTCGACGTGATGGAATGAGATAATAATAAGTATCCTACATCCAGATAATAATTATTATTTTATAATTATTAAATTATCTTAACCTATGACTACCTATTACAGACGTTTGGATCAGTTCTGCAATGCTCACTTCAGAATCTTGTGAGCTGAACGTCAAAATCGTCTCCGCTTAGCTCGAGGCAGTCGCACCAGCTCAGACCAACAGGCGCGCGTAACAGAAAAATAGCGGGAAAACCCGAACCTCCCGCTGAAAGGTCACATCAGCTTGAACTGTCACCCGAATGGATCGCAGTTTTTCTTCGCAATTGTCTTCACATAGTTGAAAAAGATAACTCATTTTTCAAGAGTCAGATATAATTAAATCTCGCGGATAAACTTAGAACACGGCATCAAATTATCGTTTTTATTCTTGAAAGTTTCGAATGGCTACATGCGTTTTTTCAAAAATACTAAATCTTATCGTTGCAGCAAACTTTCGCGATTGACGGTGTATGAACATCTTTTGCCTGCCAAACTGGATGGTCGGAGCTGATGTGCAACTTTTCAAGGCTCGCTAAAATCAAAAGAAACCTAAAGGCGCAAAAAAAAACTCAAGTAATCAAATATTCCAAGATTTTCAGGCTTTGCTCTGCAACTTTGAAAAAAAAAAGTGAAAACTTGCGAAATGATTTGTTTAACAAATAAAAACCCTTTCTTCAAGCCGTTTCAGATATTCTACAGAATATAAAAATTCTTCAGCATACGCTATAAAACTCTCTTATCGTTTGAAGCGGCATAACAACTTTCGATCATAAAATTGCTCATATTAACTACGGCAGAACATTTTTGCTAGGCGCTGGAAAAAGATCAAAGAAAAAATGCGAGAACACAGACAGAGTTCGTGGCAGAGACGCAGCGGGGAAACGTCCAGTTCAAAAATATTTCTTCAGTCAGTTTTCGTTTTGACCGTCCTCGTGAACGGCTGCTCTATCCATTACCGCTTTTTTTTTCAAAGCTTTCACGGTTTCGCAAACGCATATTTTCTAATATTATTGTGGCTCTTTTATAAAATGAAACGGCTTGTATTGGAACAAAAAAGCTATATTTGCGCCTTTTCTTTGTCCTTTTTCCGATGAAAATCTCGAGACGTTTTACAGAAAGGACTCACGCTTCAGAATGTCTCTCCCGAAAAACTTCCAGTCGATGAAGGTGATTTATTAATGTTGAATTTTCTCGAGTTGGAGTTTCTAACCATGAAAAAAAAATTCAGATTTCCGAAAAAAGACCAAAAAACGGAATGAGACCCCTGCCGTCCAAACGACCCGGCGGAAAAGCTGGAAAATTGAAAAAAGTGGTGACAAACGTCAGGATATTAAGTTCAAATCATTTTCATCGAACACTAGAAAAAAAAGATTTACTTCAGAAATCAAAAACTCTGTTCCGATTTTTAAATATGATGTTTCGACGGAGATGAAATACGCCTTGCAAAATGGTGAGCTGAGCAATCCGAAAAGCTTGACAAAAGGCTCTATGACGAAAGAGTAAGTTGACTAGAAGGTTTCATTTGCGAGTACAATCTCACCAAAAACAATTTTCTCCTCCTAAAACTCAGGCACTAGTGGCGCGTGGGGGAATTTCTCTTCTTTTTCGCCTTTTTGTTCTTATAGTCTGTTCAGATTTTGAATGTCAAGCAGCTAACTCCACCCCCAAGGCTACAATATTTTTCGCGTCAATGTTTTATCTACATATGCCAATGGCCCTTTAATAAGGCTGCTTTTTTGACCTCTTTTTCTATCTTTTAGATCGAAAAAGATCAAAATTAGTCCCGCGCGATGAAACATCGACGCGAAAAGGTACCGTCTCAGCAGGGGCGGAGTTAGCTGGTTGACATTCAAAATCTGAACAGACTATATAAGCGAATTAGTTCCACCTCTTACACTTTGTTGCATCTTTTTTCATAATGATGCTCAAGTTTAAAGGCATAGGGGCAGTAAAAAACGGTGTTTCAGTTTAAGGCAGTATTTTGTAGAGCTTCTCATTGTTCAACGCAAAATAGTCAACCCATTTTTCATTTGAATATGGTTTTTTTTTTCAGAAGCACAAATAACGTTTAATTTTCAGTTCAAACTTTTAACTATTGGAAATACCAAATCATTTCGAGTATTTCGACCAATTTTAAACTAAAAATGGGTCTTCTTCAGTTCCTCTGTCCAAAGAAGAAAGCAACTGGCCCTTGCTGCGATGGAGTCTGCCAGGCGGAATCACAGCAATGTTTTCAGTCAGGGAAACGCTTTTTATGACGGACAAGCCTCGTTATATACTGATTTCAAAATACCAGGGACAGAGGGCGAGGTTCGCATAATTTTTCCCAGTTCATTCAAAGGAAAGTTATAGGGACTAAGTCTCTCAATTCCACCAGAAGACATAACCAACACGAACCCTGCCGAAATCCGAATGGTGATAAAAAAAACTGCTGAAACGTTTCAGGTAAGAAGCTTTACAGACGATATATTAATCGAATTGAAAAAAATCGTCAAAATTTTGTTTTCCGCCATGCTATCTTGAGTGCCTGAGTTTAGGCTTCGACGTCTGACCTGGGGAAAGCTTTGAATGTTTGTCCTGCCTTATCGGACTTTACTACGATCGAAGCGCTGAATGTTGCTGTGAGCAACTATGCGACAAGCAAGTCTGTTTGAGACTTTTTTTACTCGAATCAAGTTGCTCGGTTGAGGGACGACGTCATCACCTACGATGGTTCTATACACTATCTATATCAACCAAAAAATGCAGGACTAAGGTTGAGAACCTCTGTCGAGACGTAAAAATTGATAAAACTTTAGCGAAAAAGATGCGCCGGCTCTGAGCGAAGACAAGCAGATGGCTGTCGGAATGGCTGGAATTGTTGGCGTGTACGAAGGAACTGACAAACCCATGGTCGCAGTTGTTGTCGAACGTTGGTAAAGTTTCCAAATGGACACGAAAATTTCGAACGCATCAACCGCTGAACCACAAGATCAAATAAAAAAAAAACGGTGAGCTTTAGTGAAAAAATCGGCTTTCCACAGCGACCATCAACCGCTCTACGAAAAATTGAAATCGACAGCAAAGGAATACAAAAGGAATGTTCCAAACAAATTTGAGCCGAATGATCCTCTTGCGCGTTTGGTCGAGAATCTGTTCAAAGGTGAGCTCGAATCGATCGCGCGGAAAAAAAATAGGCAACTTGAGGCCTTGAGCTCCAGAAGACTTATGGGCGCAACGCCGGGACTCCTGACGCTAAGTCAATCGTTTTTGGCGGATTTGGGCAAAGTGCAGCTTCAGCCACGTGAGATTGTTTGTCCAAGGGATTTATTCCGATTCACTATAGATTCGAGCATGAAGGACGACCTATTACTGTTCAACAGTATTTTCAATCCGTACTGGGTATCAAACTTCAGTGCGTCATCTCCAAAACTAATTGGAAAAAAGTAATAGTTCAGGACTCCTCATATTCCGACAGTTTACGACTCGCGAGATCGACGCTGCTTATTACCGCTGGAACTGCTTATCGTTTCGGAGAACCAGCGCGTCAAAACGGAGCAACAGACAAAAGAACAGCAAAAAAAGAGCATAAAGGTTTCTCTCAAACGTGTCCTTTCCAGACCTGCTTTTAAGGCTACTGCGATTTTGCCCGAGCAACGACTGAAACAGACGGAAAAAATTGCAAATTACTTGAAATTCAGCAGTCAAAATGAAGATCTCAAATCTCTTGGTATTGAAGTCGAGGATGATTTTTTGAAGGTATATCTTTCTATTTTTGTCACTTTTCAAAATCTAAATCGCCGAGTTTCGCAGGTTCCTGCACGAATTCTTGAAGGGCCCAACATCAAAGATGGTAAAGGGGTCGGTCCACTCAAAGATAATGCAAGGGATGGTTGAAAAACTGAGTTTTTAATCAACTTTTGCAGTGCAAATGGGATTTGAAATGTCTCATCGCTCCGGCCAGGATAGTCAAGTGGACCGTGATCGTCATCATGTCACCAAACTTGAATTATCAGTGAATACAGAAACTTGAAATAATTAAACTTGATGGTTATTTCAGAGAGTACATTTTGCGACTGAGCCGAAAGGCTTCTCAGATGGGCTTGAGGCTTCCTAACCCAGTTTTCAAAGTCTTAATGAGATACGAAAACGATATTGAAGTAAGTCGGTTTTTCTTTCGTTAATTTAGAATCGGTTCCAACTTGGACTCGAAACGATCAAAGACGTCTTCATTGAAATCAACTTGCTAGACCTATGGTCAGGAAAATTGACTCATTTTAGCTTGGAAAAGGCTGATTTCTTTTATTATACAAGTTTCGTAGGAAATTGACTTGGAGCCAGAGCTCTTCTGCAATCAGTTGGCATTCATGGAAAATTCCACTTGTTAAACTCAATGAGTTTTTCAGGTGCTGATAAGAAACGAGAAAAACAACGGAACGGAATTTGTACTGTTCATTGCTCGTGACGATTTGAACTTGCATCCGTGGATCAAATATTTTGAACTTAAACACGACATTGCAACCCAGGAAATCAAATGCGGAAGAGCCGCGCAAACGATTGAACGAAATGATTCAATCACGTTACAAAACGTGATCCTCAAGGCGAGGAAAAAAATCTAGCTCACCTACGAAATTGTTTAAGCTGAACCTCAAAAATGGCGGGTTGAACTACGAACTGACACCCAAGAATCCGACGTCAAAGATTTTTGCGACCGACCAGTCGCGGCTTTTCGTCGGCATTGAGATGAGCCACGGCGTGCGGGGCAAGGTATGACGTGGCTAGCTTGCAATTATGATCATCTGAAAGTTGCAAGTGAAAAGATACACCTGTTAGGTTTGAAAATTGATCAGAAAAAGGCCATTACCAAAATTTTATGAGTCTATTTTTAAAAAAAACCCCCCTAAATCCTAGGGGTTCTCCGTCCTTGGTTGGTCCGCAAACATCAAACAGAATCCGAGCGAGTACTTGGGTGGCCACTACTACGTGAAGAATACCCAAGAAGAAGTTAATCGAAACAGTCGTTCCCTAACAAATGTTTCCGTCTTAGAACACGTTGCTACCGACGATCCGTCGAGTCATTGAACGTTGCCTGGAGACGTGCGCAAAGTTGCAAAGAAAAATCGGTCATGTCTTCGTCTACCTCAACGGCGTCTCAGAAGGACAATACGCTGATGTGGGCTTTTTCATTAGTCATGGCCTACATTTCAGAATAACTGACACGATTGGAAATCTTAGGTAAACGTGGATTACGTGGAGGCGATACGTAGTGGCTTCGGAGGACTGCATTTGAAAGTCACAGTGGTAGCCGTTTCGAGTATCCACAACGTGCGCCTATATCAAGAGGTCCTTTTTTTTCATTATTCTGAAGTATTCGAAGCGGTTTGAATCACATTGTTTTCCAAAAAAGGCAACACATTTCAGTATCAAAGAGAAAACCTAAAAATAAGAACTTTTGATTGGACTATACAAGATCCACTTCAAACTTTAAACCATGATAAACGGAGAATCCCAAGGAAGACAGTCTTAAGATGAAGTGTGTTTACAGGAGTTCAAAGGGAAGAACGCCTCTGAAACAAACATCTGGCCAGGCTCAGTTGTCGACAGCTGCATCGTGAGCCCTGTGATCAACGAGTTCTTTCTCCAATCGCACTTGGCTTTTCAAGTCTGTTTCTCGAAAAAGACTTTCCAACCGAATAAATCAGGGAACGGCCAACACTCCTAAGTACGCGCTCGTCAATGACGACAGCGGCATTCCGATGGACATTCTGGAGGTTCGCAACAGTCTTCTTCTGAAATGAATATGAATTCCAGATAATCACACATCAACTGACTTTCCTGCATCAAATCGGGTGTTCGGCTATTTCCGTGCCGGTGCCGCTCTACATGGCGGGCGAATGCGCCACTCGCGGCGCCGACCTTCTGGCCACTGCTAGGTAAAATCTGTCGAAAAGTCCTTAATCATTCATGAAATGAATTATCGGACTTACTTTGAAGACTGACGGGATAATATCGTCGAATTAAAACGGTTTTTTTTTTATATTCGGAGTCATTAAATTTAGATGAAACCGTGGGATACATATGAAGTTTTCAATTTGCGATTTTACAGAACAAACAATGAAGATTATGTGGAAGACATCGAGCTGCTCAACACAAACTTGGTTTATGACGGCAAAAAAATCGCCTCTGTTCGCATCAATGCTTGATTAGTTTGAATAATTTAGCTAAGTTTAATTTTTGTTCTTGAATTTCTCACCATTCAGCGAGTCTAACTCTTAAAATGTACATAACAATGTAAATCTTAACTCTCAACAAAAAAAACTTTCGTGCAATTTTATGTCTTTTTTGCATCTTTAATTATACTCTCAAATTTTATTACATTTTCTGCTTCACTTTCTACTTGTTGACTTTGTTGTATGTTTCTCTTTTTTCTTTCTGTTGTTCTTGTTAATAAATGTAGATACAAACACTTTTTGAAGGAAAGCAATAATTGATCAAAAAAAAAGTAACAAAATAACAAATTGAACAGTGTGAGAAATGTATAACGTGGGTTTTTTGATGAGGAAGTATGCAAATACACTGTGTAAAACTTATTTTCAAGGGTTCTGTAGCCACAACGGCTACTTGTTTGCAGACGCGGTGCTACGACGAGGGCGTTTGGAAACATATTTTCTGTAATTATGATAGAAAACACAGAAATACGTCTTTTCCCCACTAGCCCAGCGTTTTTCTTGATTTTATAGCGATTTTCCACTTTAAAAAGCTTTAATGGATGGTTTGTTTCCGAAATGATTATTGAAAATGGGAATAAACTAAAAAATTTCCGTGATTTCACACGAGATCAAGAGAAAACCTGAATAAAACGGTTCTTCTTCTTCATGTGACGCCTTTTTGAACTTGTCGGCGTGATATTTTTTAGATAATATCGCCAGAAAAGCCAAAAAAGGTTTTCTTTTCCATTTTTACAGTGCTTAATGGATTAAAAACAAACTTCCGAGTTTTGTTAGCAGCAAGTGCTGGCTGCTCAGGACACGAGTCGCTGTTACGCTCTTCTTTTTTCGAAACTTAATTCAAGAAACTATCTTATAAAAATTTCAGCACACAAACCACGAGTAATAGGGCGTCCCCGACGCCTCTTTTCTGCTTTTTTCACCGGGGTTTTACTCGATCTTTCCTTTTCGCCGACTGGTTCTTGGAAAAGAAGGCCATATCATCAATAATTAGAACTCGGACTTACCTGTTTCTCCCAAATACCTCTTCACTTCGATCTCGGCAATTTTTCGCTGAAAAAATTCAATAATATTTCCGTTAGCAAAAATTTTGAAAAAAAGCTGCTTGAGGCTAGGTACGACAAAAAACGATTCAGATTATAATTTAAAAAAATTAAAAATTTCATCGAGTCTACGAAAAAAATGATCATTAGTCGTTCACACGTTTTTTTATTTTGAGAAAGAGTAAACTGGTGAATTTTCTGATAGACTAACTACCGTCCTTTCTTGGCGGTTATTTTTTCCTTTCATGAACTTTCGCAGTTTGATTTTGAAGAATTATGAAAACGAAAAACCTCGGCTCTTTGCTGTTGGATGATGACGGCGTAGTGGGCCTTGCGAGCATTCAGAATTTTTCTCTGTGCTTCAGCCAAAGCATATTTTCTTTTGATCTCCAAATACTTCACAATCGATTTGTTATGGTCCTAAGAAATAGTGAGCTGGTTCGAAAAAGGCGCGAATACTCACTGTTTCTTCCATTTGAACCTCCCAGTCGAAAACGATATCGCGAAAATTCGAATAATGTTTTTGATAAGCACTTTGTGCAAGTGAACGGAGAATATGGTACATACTTTCGTATGGCACCTAGAACCAGACTCCTTTTCCGAGAATCGAAAAATGATTTTTACAGGTGTTACGAGAGCGCCAGCGCGATAACCATTAGGTAAGTAGTAGCCGTCTCGAGCAGGAACGTTCTTCAACTTTTCCAAAAGAAGAGCACTCTGCTTGATGAAGTCGCAGATGTTTTGAAGACTGAAACGTCATTCCAAAGAAACGTTTTGAAAAAAAAAACAAAAGCCAAAAAAGAGATGGGAAAACAAAGATAAAAAGAACTCCCTACGGAAAAAAAACTTGAAAAAATGATAACTAACACAATTTCCAACATTTGCTCGTCGGTGATCTCGTCGTTCTTGCTGTAGGATAATTTCTGAACGGGACCATATCTGATACAGCTTTCTTTCTGTGCGAGCAACTCAAAACGAGAGAATGAAGTTCTGGAAGCCTCATTGAAACAACCTTTTCGTCCTCTTTGCATGACTCCCAAGGGAGCTCCCCCAGACCGTATTGGAACATGAAGTAGTACAGAGATTCGATCATGTCCAATTCGCTCATTCTGTGCTCTACGAAAAGAAATTTCTTCGAGTCTTCTACGGAGGATTTACCAATCCCTTTGTTGTGGAAGGCGATTGGCGCAAAGTTGATAGTTCCGGTCCAAAAAAGCTCTGTGTTTTGAAATTTTCCATTCACGAAGCGCCTATCGTAAAGATAAGCGATCTGGAAATAACCATACAGATTATTTTCTATCTGAAAGAGTGGTCAAGAAGGTGGTATGGAAAAAACACCAGCCAAATTTCAAACGGCGACTTTTCCGAATTTTTCATATTGCCAGGGAACTTTCCGACGGCCACCTTTCCGCCGAATCTTTTTCCGACTTTTTTTCTCGATAAAATCTTCGTTTTAAATCTTCCTATATAAAGTAGGTAGTTGGTTCATGATTAAAACACAAAGAAATAAGAAAAAATGTTTATAGATGTTTTATAAACCGAAAAACATAAGGGAAAAAAGTCGGAAAGGGACCCGTCGGAAATGTGGCCGTCGGAAAGTTCCCTAGCGATATGAAAAAATCGGAAAAGTCGCCGTTTAAATTTTCCCTGGTGTTTTCTTCATACCACCGTCAAGAAAAACACATGGAAATGACACAAACATCTGTCAGATCCCACAAGTAAAATTTTCGGGTTCTGGTATCCATTCGCCATTTTTGAAGACTAATATTTCGCAAAGAATAACCCGACGATGCTATCACTTCGATAATCTGAAATTAAAAAAGCTACAAAATTCGGACTTGTTCGTTAGTTGAAAGTGACGAACCTGAAGTATGTCCAATGCGACAATACTCAGGCATTTTGGCGTCAGAATATCGTTCTTCTTCATGTTTCGACTGCAGCTCAGACATTGCTCCAACGTTGGTCCAGGCCTTGGAAACCCGCTTTTGATTTTTTTTTTTTATTCAGATTAGGCACCTTTCTACAGTGACCATGAACATTACATCTTCGTTGAGAAGTCCTGAGTCGATAATTGTGAGAAAAAAAGAAGCGTTCCCTTGGATGTCTTGCTGAAAACGTGCTGCCAAATAAGCAAAATAAACATCTCCTCTAATCTTTTATTCCAGCTAAGCTTCACTGTACATTTTGCCGTGACTCTAACTGGTAATGTAAAATTACGATTCATATGAGACCTTGCGTAGAAAATCGATTATGAATGCCAAGTTACCACTCTCTGCGAAATCTTTTTCAATCCACAACGTTCCCTCAAATCATAAATCGATTCAATGAAAACTGATGAAAACTGACAAAAACTTTCATTTCTTTATCTGCGACCATGTACTTCAATAGGCCTTCACTGTTCTTCTTGTCCAGCTTTCGAATAATCTCAAATACCCAATGAGAGAAAAAAAAACAGAATGAAATAAACTACCAGCCATTTATCCAAAAAAATGCAGCCTTTTTCAAACTCAATACTCGGATTTGCTCGGCTTTTCTGATCAGCATCTTCCTCAACTTTTTCTCGCATCCCTAAAAAATATCGGTGTTTCTTGTATTAATGCCGTGTTCAAAGTGATTCCACGAAATTCAAAACAGCCGAAACTAAAATTAAACATGGAGGAGATGAAGATAATTTTGGATTTCGCGGAAATTACTTTAAACATGGCACAAAACATGAATTGGCAGAAAGAAAATAAAGAGTCTCAGAAGAAAAACGGCAGGCCTGCCGTTTGTTTTTGACATGCGCGCTGGTCTGCCGTTTTTCTTCTGACTAGGGAACTTTTTTTACCCCCCGGTTGAACTTTTGCTGAAACTTTGCTAAAGTGTCCTTTAGGACCTTCTGATTCTAGAACAAGAAGAAAATTTCTCGCAATAGATCTCGTTTTCGAGTTAGGACGCTTTAAAAACCCGAAATAGCGCTTTTTTGGCCTAATTTGCGTATTTTGCACACTTTGAAGCTCCATAACTCGGAAACAAGATCTATTGCGAGAAATTTTCTTCCTGTTCTGCAATCGAGAGGTCCTGAAGTACACTTAAGCAAAGTGTCAGCAAAAGTTCAACCGGGGGGTAAAAAACGTTCCCTGGTGAGGTGTTTTTTATGTTTCTCTGCCGCGTGCTATAGTGCGAGAAAACGAAGAAACAACATGCGGCAGAGAAACGCCTTAAGGCGCACCATGGTGTTGGCGTGTTCAAATTACCGCCAAGTAAAAATTATTTCTGACTCACCAAAGTTTAGTTATCTATTTCTCTCCCTGACGGCTATCGCGGAATCATTTTGAACACGGCATGAATGTGACCGTCTTCACACAACATAATTGCCTATATCGCAGCGGGCCGCAGGCGATATAGCCAAGGCTTTTTGCTGCGATCTCTTCAGCATGTCGCTGCGACCTCGTCAAAGTCTCGCTGCCATATCGCTTCCTCTCAAAAATTTGGAGTTAAAAAAACATTTTTTTGCTTTATTTTTGACTTTTATGATGAAATAAATCAAATTAAAGAAAAAAACATTTTTGAAGAAAAATTTTTCAGAGAGCGATATAGCGCAAGACGTTTGCGAGGTCGCAGCGAGAGGCGAGCGATATTATTCGCGGCTCCCCCGCGATATAGCATTACTCTCGCTGCGATATAGTCCACAATATTGGTGTGTTCACGCATGTTTGAGACAGTGCTACGGTGGCCGGTGGCCGGTCAATTTTGCGCCATCAGTTTTGGAGCCAAGAAATTTTTTTAATTTTCTTTCTTTTTTGCAATCTGTTGAGGACCTCTTTCTCGAGGTTACAAGGTAAGTTACATCAAAAAAAAATTACACAAGTTTCCGTTTTATTACTGAAAAACTTTACCAAACTACCGTAATACGATCCACCTTAAACAGGCGTGTGTTAGGAGATATCTCTATCTAGATATTTAGATATTTCCTAAGAAATTGAAAAACAAATATCTAGATATTTCCTATAGTCTGTTCAGATTTTGAATGTCAAGTCGTCGCCCAAGCTCCGCCCCTAATGGTGCGATAAACCAATCAGAGAGCGAGCCATCCGCAGAGTGTTTTTGAATGACGTCATTGCACTTGACATTCAAAATCTGAACAGACTATAAGAAATTGAAAACGTGATTGACAGAATTAGGCGTATAATTATGCGCGCTAACCGCATTCACACATCCTCCATGCGTGGTGAAGTACATATCGTATACCTCATTTTTTTTTATTGCTCAAATATTTTCTTTTCTTGGTTCAATCTCAAAACCAAAGTGCTCAGAGAATTTTCATATAATTTTGAAGACTAAAATTTTTGAGAATCTTCAAATTCATCATTTTTGAAGAACTTTAGGTTCAGGTTGAAAAAAGTTTATGTGAATTGTACAAGATTTTATCATTGTAAGAGAGTAGTACAAGTTTCAATTATTACACGGGAAGGAAATGATTGAGCAGAAAGAACAGAAGAAACGCAGATATTAGCATTCCAAAATATAAAATTTTGATTATCTCTAGGCTAATACAGAGCCACCGAACCACCGTTTGGGTTTTCATTGATAAGGTGGAGTGTTATTCAATATTTTTTTGATATCTGGAAAAGAAATTGAATGTGAAGAAAAAACTTCAAAAATACTTAGATCACAAGAAACTTACAAGAGAGATGACTGAAAAAAAACAACAGCAAACAGTGATGCACTGGGAAAGTCGAATATTATGAAACAGGAAAAAATTATCAAAACAGGATCTAGAAGATATATTTTTCAGACAAAACCCTGATTACAAGCAACCCGATCAAGTGATCATCCTGTCAGAACCGAAAGCGAAAAAAAAACCTAGTATTCCCGAAAGAAGAAGATAAAAATAAAACAACAATATAAAAATAGTGGTAAATATAGTGGAAACTGTTTAGTTTGACTATTTACAAAATAAACACTATGTACATGTTTTGGGGGATGCCTAATGTTGAAGAAGGAGGGCGATGGATTCGTCGGCGAGACTTTTCCTCGCGTCGAACTGCGCCTTCCGCACACATTTTGGGCATTCTTCAGAGGCCTGCCAGCATTTCTTGTGGAACACCGAGTAGCAAGCCGAGCACTGTAAACCGTTCTTGAGATTCTCGGTGAATAAAAACAACTACTAGTATCCATTAGAAACAATGAAAAAAAGCTTCTCTCTCATCCGTTTAAATTCTTCACTCGCAGTGGTCGCTCTCATTTCAAGGCTTTCACTTCTTTACAAGGAGCGTGCACGGTGCGAGCACTGATTTTGCACTTTTTTGTTGCACGGTGCATGTTGTCGTTTTGCACCTCGCAATTTTGGGTCTTTTTCAGTGCGCATGAGGTGCAATACCGCACGGTGCTGACACTCCGAATCGGAAAATTGGGTGTCCGAAATCCTGTCGATTCAGTCCATTTCTATCAGTTCTACATGTTATTTATACTTTTTTTCGTTTTAGTGATGATTTTTTTCGTTAGAAAAGTCGGATGATGGAGAAAGAAAAGGCCTAAATTGAGTAGCAAAGCATGTTTAGTTTTGTGGTCCAGCACCGTGCGGTGTTGCACCTCATGCGCACTGAAAAAGACCCAAAATTGCGAAGTGCAAAACGACAACATGCACCGTGCAGTGAAAAAGTTCAAAATCAGTGCTCGCACCGTGCACGCTTCTTGTAGAGTTAGAGCACGGTCTCCGGGCTCCAGCTGAAGATTCGCTACATTCTGTGCTCGTCAAGGCGCAACTGGATGGACTACGCGCAGAAGGACGAGGCGAAGGACCGTAAGAGCGTTTTCAACTTGATCAACTACACGTTTGGACTTCTAGTTCGTCAAAGGCGCTTGTTCGTTATAGCTTTTCAAGCTGTTGTTCACCGCCTAGTCGATTATATCTATGATTAAAACAACAATATGAAAGATTTGATTGATTGATCCCGAAAGAAAACTGACCAAAATACACAAAATATGACAACAAAATGTTATTTCAAGCTTTTGAAGCGTCTTAACTCGGAAACCAAATCTATTGCGAGAAATTATTTTTCGTGTTCCTGAATTAAATGAAAAAAGAAAATGGAAATTCGCTTACCCTTTGAGTCTGCTCGGTATCGAAAGGATAGATGACATCGTTCAAGGAACAAAGCTCGCACACGAACCCCTACCAATTCAATTTGAGTTGCAGAAATCGTAAAAAGGATACTTTTTGTCGGCAGAGGGTGCAGGACATGACGTGGTTGATCGAGTGTTTCAGCAGAGCTGTGAGTCTCTTGCAGAGGTTTCCGTTGCGGACTTCCATCAGGTCCTACAAAACTGAGTTCTCAAAAACGTGGGAAATTCAACTCACGGCAAACGAGTATTTGTGGATGTCCGTGTGCAGGTAATCTTTGGGCCAGACGCGCCGTCGGAAATCGTCAGCCACCGACTCTCGGCACGTGAAAAGATACATCGAGACGCTTTGCAGCTTTTCACGCAACACCTGAAAACCGTCTCTCAAAAAAATAAAAAAGTTAAATCCAAAAAAAAAAACTTGAAACTATAAAAAGAACGCAAAAAAATCAGACTTTCATGCTTATGACAAGCTTTTTTTGGAAAATACTTTATTTTCTATTTTAACCTATTTTAGTGAACTTTATTCTCCGGGAATAAAAAAACTCACGTGAACTTGCTCAAGAGCGGGAACGTGAGAATATAAATGAGGATTGCACTGCTCGATGTTGATGAAGGGTTTTTCCTGTAATATTGGAGGTGAAGATTCTTGAGGAGGAACGAAGATATGTTCACCTGGTGAGACTCGAACCAGGCACGGCCTCTGTCGGAAATGCACCGTTCTCGCCAATCCCAGCCGCCGACGACGCGCGACGGGATCACGCTGCTACCGCCAGGCTTCATGCATTCCACGCAGTAGCATTTGCCGTCGATGCCGCAAGTTCTGAATGAAATTCTCATTCGGATCCTCGTCACATGAGAGACGTACTCAAACTTGGCATATGTTGGGCCTCCGATGGATTTACGACACATGGAACAACGAAAATCTTGAGCGTCGAGGCCTTTTTCTCGCGGGATCTTGCAGAGCTTCGCCGTCGCTTCAGCGATCGCCGCTGAAGACTTCGACCCTTTACGAGAAGACGCACTCGACTGGAAACATAGGGGTTCACAATCCGTGTAGAGAACCTTTTTTGGGTAAGGTATTAGAAGTATTCCTCGAAATGATAGAGAAAAAAGGCTCAAATTTCGAAAAAATTGTAAATTATCCCAACTGAAATAATTTTAAAGAAAAGATATAGGAAGCTTGAGCTTATTAGGCTTTCAAAACTTTTCCTTTTACTACTTGTTATGCAGTTTCGTTTCTATTAAGCTTGGTAACAAAAAGAAATAATGAAAGCATAATCAGCGTTTCCAGAGCTCTTTATTCAAATTGTGCGCCCTAGATTACACTTTTCAAAAACTGGAATGCGGTTTTTGAAAAACAAAAAAACCTCTGATAGATCACCAGCGTTGCTCTCATTAGCCTCCTGCTCATCGCTCTGAAATGAAGCGTTCAAAAAAGACGTGGAAAAAGAAAGGAATCACCATAAAACTCTGTGTGCCGCCTTCCATGGCCGAACGGAGGGCCTGGCCGAAGCTGACGACGGGTCCGCCGCTGTCCGAAGACGACGACAGACGCGACCTTTCCGACAAGCTTTCCCACGCCTAAAACCGTTCATAATTCGGTTTGAACGGAAGTTCTTCAGCTTTCACACGAAGGAAATTTCCCTCATTCAATCTGGAAACTTACTATTTGGTTTCGAGCGCCGATCGCTGCCAAGCTATTCCCCATTATCATCGGCGGCATAACGTAAAGCGGAGTTTCCAACTGCAAAACAACGTATTTCTAGCTCTTGATGAATAATTATGAACAAATCGAAAAAAAGATTTAATTCACCTCAAAGACGTCATTCGTCGTGCTGGGCAGCACTCCGGCAAGTTCATCACGCAGTGACGTCCCGAGTAACGAGTCACTCTGAAAAAAAAAGTCAGAAAATGAAAATATATTCGAGTTTCCATTTTTTTTTTTACTCATCGATTTTAAAAATTTTTTTTCACTTTACAGTCAACATAGTCTCAAGAGCAGGAAAATAATTAAAATTACAAGAACGTGGGAAATTACGCCAAAAAAAGAAAAGCCTCGCTCCAAATACTCAAACGTGGGAGAAAAATGCAACATCGGTATTTCAGTTAGCTTCGTTATTGCTCGAATTTTGCTTATCAAGAAACGCGCTGGTCACCTGTCGGACAGCTGATGGACCGCAACATGGAAAAGGCGATTACATGAGAATCTTTCATTGTGTTGCCTTGATATTAGCATAGCATCTCGACTCTGACGAGACATGACAGCGATCAACTTATTGGGAAGCCATTTGAAAACATTCACCAGCTTCGCAACAAATTGCTTGGCGTGAAATCGTTCTCGGCGACCGAAGCTGACCAAACGAAGAGAAGTTGTAAGAAAACAGGCAAAGAAGGGAGACGAAGGACTTTCTTCATTGGCACTCCCAATGCTAATCAGACTTTGACGTCGACTCAAAACGTTCTTCTCGTTGACGTCGTTGTTGTTGAAGTCGTAGTTGATGGCTTCCAATACAGACTCCGTTTCTTCGCATCCTTCTGTTTCTACGTCCGACGGAAGTCTCATTGAACTCAAGCTCAAAAAAGACAGTATCCATTACGCTGAAGAGTCACGAAATGAAAAAAAGAAGTTGAAAACAAATATAAAAAATTAAGAAAACAAACGGATCAAGCCCAAGGTGAAAATTAGAACAGAATAGGATAAAATAACAAGGAACGACAATTTTTCCTTTAAGATAAGGTCAACAAAGGCAAGAAAAAGCTTATCTCTCAACGCTCTCCTCGGAAATGGCTGGAAAATTATCGCGAGCGGGAAATCTAGACAATTGACAGTCTACTACGACCGATTCGTGGCACTATCACGCAACTTAACAATCACGAGGTTTTCTGATAACATTTCAACTTTGTTCTGCGTTGTGATTCTACCAACTCCAAGTCACACCCTTTCTCGTCGTTTAAACGGTGAACTAAAATTGAAATCAGAAAAAGCAAACCAGCAAAAATAAACTCGGAAAAAAACGCAAAACTATGCGATACTGTGTTCTTACAAAAAACTTTAATAGGATATTGATTCTTCTTCTTTTTCTCGAAGTGACTTTCTTAGAATCAAACGATACTCATTTATGTGTAGTCAGTTCGATATTGATTCAAGCCAGCCATGAATCATATGTGAAAGAAATATAGAGGATTAACAAAGGCGCAGCCCTTTTTAGGGTCTAGAATTACTCGGAGAATTTCATCATGCCGAATCTGATCTGATTGTTTGAGGTGCACAGAACTATCCAAACTTTTTTTTTGCTATTTAACTGCGTTTACTGAGGGAAACAATCAGGCGATCAAAAACTTCAATGTAATGAAAATGCACTGAAATAGGCCGCATTTTTCGGGGGTAGGCCACAGTTTGAGGGGGGAGACCGCACCCCGGAATGGGATCCAGCCGACTTATGTTTCCAAATTATCAAAAAACTATTAACTGGACCTTTTTCTCTGTATTTTTCCCCCTAAGCTCTATTTCGACTCTAAATTTGTTTCTTTTGCGAGTGAACAGGACACGGTCAAAAATTTTCAGAAAGAGAAGAAAAAAACGGACCATATCGTTGTGAGCAACGCTCATTTGTTGTCTGGCAGAGTCATCCGGAGCACTTTTTTCGTAGCCCTCCGTTCTATTTTCTGCTCCGAACGCGCCCGATTTCCGACGAGACGCAGGCTTGCCGTGGAAGTCTGTGGCAGCTGTAATCCCGCAATCAAATTTAGACAACTAGTTTAAAAATTCATGTTGTCACAATTAACAGGATATTTGGAGAAAAACCTTCAAAGACTTCTTCGTCGCCTATTTCTGCGATATCTCTGCGAAGAACCTGCTCGGCTTCGTTGCCAAAAGCATCAAAAGTCAAGGTTTCTGGAACTCGAAACAAGTCGCTGGCCGGAGTCGTCGAATTGGACGCCAAGCGGTTCATCGCTTCTGTCAAGGACATTTCCGGCGGATGCAATCGTCTAAAAAAGCCATATATTTAGTCTAAAAACCTCAAACCAAGGTACCCCTTCTCCGCCTCGATTCCACTGTCGTGATCTGCGACGCCAATCGGATATCCGTGGTCAAGCAAGCCTGCCAAGTCAGGGACCGTGCCCATGATTGTCGAAGGCTGCAATCTCGATCGGTGAGACTGGCCGTTTGGCAGAGTGATTCTGCGGATTCTGTCTATGAGGTTCAAACATCGAAATATTTTTGATGGTAGGAAGGCATTTTGGGACCACGAATGTTCGTGAGCATTAAACTTTTTTCTGATGTTTTTATAATTTTTCCAATTTTTTGTAAACAGAAGTTGGGAGAATGTATACAGAGTGAATGAAAGCGTTGTAGGCATTCTGCAGCGTATCTTTGACTACGTGTATGCGAGAAAGACGCAATATTTGATAAAAAAGTTAGTTGAAAAAAATCCCCCAGTGTTCTTTTGTGGTCGAAACACGACATCCTCACAATAAAACGACGAAGGGAAAAAAATGGAGGAAAAAGTAGGATGAAAATTCAAAAAAAGAAGTAAATGTTCCCGAGAATCGTTTGCAAAGATTCAAATTTGCAAAGATTCGAGCTCCCCAAGATTGGTGTATACACAATTAAGGCTTACGATTATTCGGGGACCCGAAATTCCTTCCTACCATCATACTTTTCGGGGGTTTTTTTTTAATCCCCTAAATCTTTCTAAACATGAGAAACAATTCAAAAAATTTATTAGATGTGTTCAAAATTGGCTTATCTGAATCGAATGGAACAAACCAAATCGCTGTCCGCCCTTATTTGGCGAGGAGACTGTGAAGGCCGCGATTTGTCCGAAGACAAGGATTGCGTGCCGCTGGAACTGTGCGAAGAAGTTTTGCGAGGCCTTTTTGTTCTCCGCGACACAATCAGCGGCTGCAGAAAATCACATTGAAAGTGGAATTTTTTCAAAACGTACGGAAAAACTGTGAGAAGGTGCTTCTCCGGCATTGGCAACGATAGGCATTGAAATGGCAGAGGACGAAGGGCCTTGGCCTAATTCTCGTTGACGAGCCCTCGTCGCCGCTTCCAGAATCACTCTTTCTACAGGAGTCGAAGTGAGTAGCGGCGACTGGGAGAAAGGCAAATGGCTGCTGGAAGAAGACCTCCCCGCACGGATGGGCTGCGAAACGCGTCTCGTCTGTGATCCGAACTCAGGTGAGCGACTGCCGACGGCGCCGCTCAAGGCGTGGTAGTGGGAGACCTCGCCGCGGTCCAGCAGGGAGGGATGCGAATAAACTGAAGACCTATCGTCTTCGTCGACTGCAAATGTCCAGAACTGGTCTTTTTTTGCGTTTGATCAGTTACTTTCTTCGGCGCTGTTATTGGTGCGTTCGGCTCCTCGACGTAAGATTTTACGGCTGCCTGAGGAAACGCGTTGGTTGGGAGAGCCGATGTTGTGCTCCTCCTCCGGAACGAGCATGTCCAAGGCGGACACGGCGATCTCCTCGCTTTCGCTTCCTGCACGAGGATTTCGTCTTGGTGCGAGCGCGCCAACTGAAAAGTCCCCTTTATCCTTTCAAACTATCCGTTAGATACATAAATATACAGTTGTTCGAAAAAAAGTTCTTTGTGAACATCTTTTGAAAAACATAAAAAGATTAATTTCTAGAGTTACTAGAAAAAAACTTAAAATAACCCTGAAAAAAATAAAAAAATTCTGTTTTTTTCTCAACTCACTGCGCAACGGTTCGCCAGTCATGAGACCGGCCAAAATTAACGGCGAAGGGGTCCACGAATTCAAGAAACTGCTGTTGGTGGCTGCCTTTAAAAAAATGATAATATTTCACATTGGACTCGATATCAATTTCGAACTATTTGATTATTGATGAAAACTTTTGTAAACCATTCCGACTTCCAAAAATCGTCATTTTTTTTTCAAAAATCAGATTACTTTTTAACTTGTGATTTTTTGAAAAAAGACGCAACTCGGATTACTATCGAGTTGATAAATTTAGAAAAGAGCCACAACCTCAAAAGGCAATTTGGTGAGAGGTTTGAAGAGACCTCGGACGAGTTCATAGTGGTCGCTTTCCCGCAACCGGTACAGAAACGCATGTTCGCCATAGAACTGACTGCAAAGAGGAGGTCAAAAATGGTTATAATCAAGCAACCAACGTAATTGAGGCTTTTTCTGCTGCTAAAAGCTGAAGATAATGTTCAAGGGTGTTCTCATTCAACAATATCCGTATCCAAGCCTGCAAAATTCGAACAAATGACGAGTTATCTGTGAAGAAGTTCAAGAATCTTCGAAAAATAAAAATCTTGCAACTTTCAGCTGGTCAATCTTATCAGTGCTAGAAAGATCTGGGAAATCAAATGATAAGATTCGAAAACAAGTCAATGACCAAGTAAATAAAAAAGGAGAAAATTTACAAGCTCAGCGAAGTTTTTTTTTTTGTAAACTTATCGTTGCAAACAACGCTCACCCGACTTTTGCCAATTTCGGTTTTTATTTGCTTGTAGGTGCTGATTTTTCCCGTAACGGAACGGTGCGAAAACTTCGATACGAAAGGCCAAAAGTTCTGAATGGAAAGTGAACTCGAAAAAAATGGAATAAAATAGAAGTCTCATAAAGAGATTTAAACGAACAGGTTCGGGATATTTGGCGTAGCGCGTGCCTTTCAAGAAAAAAGGGTCCTTCAGACCATGAATGAAGATCGCTTCAATCGTGTTGCATACATTTAAGGTTATTTCGCTGAAAAATCTAAGTTTATCTCGGGGAAAAGATCGAGAAGTGAAGAAATAAATGATTCTACAACCTAGGAATATTCTCTATGCTCGAGTGTGGGGAGGCGATGGCGGCTTTGACGACGGCTTCGAGTTCTTTTATAAGTTCAGCTCTGAGTTTTTCATGTCGCGCCGCCGTTAATGCCGTATTCTCCATCATCGCTATCTTCTGAAAAAAAAAAACCAACTAAAACCGATTTCGCGAAAATTCCAATCTATGGAAATCAAAGAAATATGGCTTTTTAAACACATATGAACTTCATTAAATGTGAATTTATCCGAGTTGACTCTTAAATTGATAAATAAATCATTGAACAAACTACAAATTTTAGCGTTCCTCCTAAAAAAATGGTGGTATGAAAAAAACACCAGCGAAAATTCAAACGGCGACTTTTCCGATTTTTTCATTTCGCTAGGGAACTTTCCGACGGATCCCTTTCCGACTTTTTTCTCTTATGTTTTTTTCAATTTATAAAACATTTATAAACTTTTTTTTCCTATTTCTTTGTGTTTTTAATCATCAACCATCTACCTACTTTATATAGGAAGATTAAAAAAACGAAGATTTTATCGAGAAAAAAAGTCGGAAAAAAAGATTCGTCGGAAATGTGGCCGTCGGAAAGTTCCCTAGCGAAATGAAAAAAATTCGGAAAAAGTCGCCGTTTGAATTTTCGCTGGTCTTTTTCATACCACCAAAAAAATGTAAAACAGAAAAAAACCTGTCGAGGTTACAAAACTTGAAAATCATTTTTGAAAAAGCGTCCATATTTGAAAAAAATTTTTAATGTATGTAAAAAAATTTCAATGAAAAAAATATTTCCAAAGTCTTTTATTTCCAAAAATAACTAAGAACGCTGCTATGAAACAGATTTTTTTGTATAAAGATAAGAGAAAACTGCATCACGGCTGCACCTTCTTATCGAACTATTTCTTTTCTGGGGCAACATTTCATTGAGTATCGAATATTCTCCTTTGAAATGAGTACAACAACTTGACTCCTACTATATTTTTGAAGGAAAGATTTGTTCAGTTGTACATACGCGTCTAAACGTCTAAACCAACCGCTGAAAATCTTTCAAAAAGGGAAAAAGTTAAATTACAGAGGCTCTAAAATGAGTATCTTCAAACTAGCATCAAAAAAATCAAAGAAGATCGAATTGATAAAAGGATAAATTAAAAACTAAATATTCATAACGGAAGAATAAAAATTCAGGCCATTCAGAAAATATTTTTAGCGAAAATTGTCTCATCGATATCGGAGAAAAATTAGAAATACACAAGACATTAATAAAAAAAGATGAACAAGCACAAAACCAAAAGAGGTGATAGCGGCGTAATCATTTAAACTCAATTCGTCAAGCTCATTTAAGCGATCAAATATGCCTACGACATCTGCAAAAAGACTTTTTTCAGTTGAAAACTTAACGCATGTATCCATTGTAACACATTTTTTATTTTGAAAAAAAAAACAAACTTTAATACTCTTTTTCATCGAGGCTTTGTCTTCAAATCGTTTGATGAAGGATGACAAGACACGAAGAGACAAGCGAAACCAACTGGAATAGTATAATTTTTTTCTTTTTAATTTTTCAGGAACGTTTCGTTGAAAAATTTATGAAAAATACAGTACTTCATTCCAAATATAAAACGAGCTTTTAACGTGCTGTACAGTAAATTTTACGGAGCAAAAAAATGAGTATAAAAAAAGTTTGACGAACGATTGAAATAAAAAATTAAATTTATAGTGTCTCTAACACCAGTATGACTTGCATGTATGCCTGATCATTCATATGATTTCATGAAATGTTTAAAGTAAGTCCGCGGATTTACAAATTACAGAAAAACAGTTTTAAAAACAATATAAATTGGGAGCCAAGGATAATTTGGATTTCCGTTGAATTACTTTGAACGAGGCCTTTGTAAGTTCATGTAAATGGCCTGACGTTGAAAGCATGCAGCAAAAAAACAGGCAGCAAAAAAATTTACGGTGACCGAAAATTCCAAATCAAAGTGCGTTAGAGCAGCACTGCTTTTTCATGTTTTCTATATGTAGTTCCCGTCCACGGATATCGTTTTGATAATGCCGTGTTCAAAGTAATTTCCGCGAAATTCAAAATACCCGTTAGAGAAAGGAAAAGATCACTAAATTTTGGAGAGTCAGAGATCATTTTGCATTTCGCGGAAATTACTTTGAACACGGCATAAAGTTTTGATTGCACGTTCCATATTTATTACGATAACGTCTCGAAGTAAATTTTCATTAAGTTTCTTTGAGAGGCATCCGGAACTTTCACTTGCATAATTTCGTGATCTCGATGCCCAAAGGTTTTTCCTGAGTGCATTTCTGATTGTAATTCAAAAAAATACTCATTTTAATTTTAAACTTTTTTTCTGGATTTGACTGGAAACATTTTTCCAATTTTTTTATATTCTCTAAAAAAATAGCAGTTCTTACTTTTTTTCAAAGAAGATATTAGCCGGCAAAAAAAGTTTGAAGGGCCATTTAGAAGCCATAAGTCGTTAAAAAAAGATCTAAAAAAAGATTGTTAAATATAGCAAATAAAAATAGCCGATTCATAGATGAAAGGCCCTCCTTGATTCATAAAAGAATACAGTAAATAGTGCAAATGATTTGGCTTCGACGGATGCCCAAACGTCACAGCATGACGTCGTCGGCGGTGGTCAATTTTGGCGCCATTAGGCTCATCGCGCCCTTACCGTTTTTTGAACCCAAGCTGGGATGCGGAACATTTTTTTATTAGGTAAAAAGTTTCGTTTGGATATCGACGAGGAGAGCATGAATATTCACGAAAAGACTGAATTCCGTCATTTCGTCATTTTCCCATGTCAATTGAGGATGTGAAAATCGTTTTATTTTCTATGAGTTGAAACACATATTGTCGACTCTCAACCAATCACGGTGTTTCTTTTGCGACGCCCCGCCCACTTTTCTCCGTCAATTAGGACGTGTTTAGTGCATGCACAAAAAATTTGGAAAATAAGGTTAACCGATGATGTAAGTGTGTGAAACGAATGAACATTGAAGAAAAAAAGACGAGGAAATTAAAAGAGATTAAATAAAAACTATATTGCTGTGGAGAAACAAATAAAAGATGTTTTTACAGCAAGTACTTTTTTTATTATAAAAAGTTGACGGAATATCCGGATATAAATGAATTCCGGAACATACTTTCTCAACTTCACAGACTTTTTTCATGTAACTTCATCTCATTGATGTCCACAACCTAGGAATCTGAACAATCGACAAAAATAGAATAAGAAAACATAAAATGGGGTGAAACATGTTCCATACAAACAGGTGGAGATTTTCAAAACGCTTCTTCATCACGAGTTTTAAAGTTAGCCTCACAGAACTACTTTCAAAAAACGTCTAACAACCCAGAGTATACCCCGATCGTGGTCCCGCAATACTATCAGCAATCTACGAAAAGAAAAAGTGAAAAAATATGAAAAAATTGACAAAAAATCAAAAATAAAGCCACTTTTTCAAATTTCGCGGGCGAATTTCGAGAAGTGCGCAGACTTTGCCGAGTTTCAAATTCCTTGCATTTTCTTCAACTGGCAGAAACGCCGTGCAATAACTTGTAATTTATGGCGATCTCTTGTTTGGCGAGCTTTTCTGTGCATACTCCTCCCTCTCCGCGCTCACCATTCGTGACAGTTCAAACAATCGATAGTTTTTCTCGCCGTTTCAGTTCTTTACCTTCTCAGATGGAGCAAACGAATATTACATTACCGATGCGTATATTTTTGATTATCTTTTTTTCAATTCCTGACAGGAATCCTGCATTATTTCTTTCTTTCAGTATTTCCTTTCATTAATAAGTATTCAGGTTTTAAAAATTTCTCGAAATCTGGCTTTCCTTCTGAATCCGCTTAAAAGCAAAAATAATATTTTTTTATTCATTTTGAAGTGAAAGAAACATTTTTTTGAATATATCTACAATTAAAAAAATGTGAACGATTTTTTTGCTACTGCTCGAAGCTACAAAAAAATTTTTTTGAGCATACAAAATTTTTGCAAAAAAATAAAAGCAAAAGATCTTTTGATATTAGAACCTAAAAACGCCTTTTTGATAAACTTTTTTTGGTTTCCATTCTGTTTCCTTCAAGAATGGTCCATTTAATATTCCCTTTTGCTTTGAAAAGAAAAAATCAAATTGATGAAAACAGTTTTTTAAAGTTTTATTCATGCTTTTGTGAGAGTCTGGAACATGTCTTTTCTTTTAGGGTATAACGGTGGTGACTTGAAGCCACGAAAAGAAAAATGAACGAAGAAGGCGGATATCTCGGTGCAATGACCTACCAGTGCCTTTACAATCCTGTTCTAGAGCGCCTCAGGTTTTTTTTTAACTTTCTAGATCAGATTCATTGTGGGATAACATAACTGAATCAGATTAGTAGAAACTATTTGAGTAACTATCCGAAAATTGAAAGTTTTCTACTCCTTTTTCAGGAACGCCAATCGAGACGACCCTCGAGCCTACTCTTCAATTAATGTCAGTTGATTTCATAAAATTGGTGATTATTTTCTGAAATTTAAGAAAATCCACTCGGCGCTAACTACCTGCGAGAATGCCTCGCCTTCTTTCCTATTTGATTTGACGAAAATAATTCTTGACGATTCGGAGCTGAACGTCAATCTACAGGTTTTTCAAAAATCATCATCCTCTGAGAATCGACTGAAACAGGAATCTTATCTGCGGATGCACGACTCTTCGCCTACGAATGACCTCGTTGTGGCAGGTTACGAACACGTTGAAGAGTACGAGGAACTTACCAAAAGGTTCGATTTTTTGTTCCTCGGTTAAGGCTCTATGGCTGGATTTTCAGGGCGATAGAGTTGCGACGAGTTCTGTCGCGGGTTCCCGATGAAATGTCAGATCGACATGCTTTTCTGGAAACGATCAAACTCATCGCGTCTTCCATCAAAAAGCTCTTGGAAGCCATCAACGCTGTCTACAAGGTCGTGCCTCCCAGCGCTCAGCAAGGTTTGTCTCTTTCAGACTCATTTTTTATGTCGTAGTTTCTGTTTGATATTGATTTGAGTACTATGGTTCATCGTCATATGAAAATATAGGAAAGGCAAATATTTTTCGAAGTTTCAATAATGCGAAGCTGGTTTGCACTAAAACTTCAAGTAAAAAGTGGAAAAAGATCCTTTTAACCAAATCTTTAGAAAAAAAAGGAGATTTCGCGTTCATTGTAAATTTTGAAAACAAAGTCACCTAGAACACGCCATAATTTGCATTTCTTTGTAAATTTTTCCAGAGGAAAAATCAAAATCTTGAAAGTTTATCTAAAACGTTTCCGTTAGTCCACGAACTTCTATCTCTTCAGCTGTCGAAAAGAGAAAACGCGAGTTTGTCCACTACTCGAAACGGTTCAGCAACACCCTCAAGACGTATTTCAAGGATCAGAATGCTAATCAGGTTTTTCTCTCCCTTATTCTACTTTGGTGAGGAAAAACTTCAATCTGATTCTTCGGTCGCTAAGGATATTGTTACACTGTTAGCTTAGGATTATGCAAAAAAAAGGAGGTTTAGACGCCTCAGTGGTTTTTCACTGTCTTAAGTTAGCGCGAGTGGGAAGAAAAGTAACCAAATTTTATTTTTCCACGGAGTAATTTTTTATCTTTTTTTTTTTAAATAGTTTCTTGGATTTTTTTTTTTAGATAATGGGCTGTCTGCAATTTGGAATTTTAAAAATCTCTTTTCCATACTCAGATTTTTCCATTCTTGCGATGAATCTTTGGCGCTTCGAGCTAATTAGGAAACGAAAAAAAACTCCTTCATTTATATATCAAAGCGGAGATCTTCCAAAAATTCTGGAAAAAGTCACTGTGGCGCCATAATTAGCTCTTAAAGACACAGTGGCTCTTCTTCGAAAGACATAGCTGAATAATTTGAAAGTCAGAAGAGACATTCCGCTTCCGATCTGTCGATCACGTTCTGATAACTTTCAGGTTAGCGTTTCTGCAAATCAGTTGGTTTTTCAAACAACTATGATTGTACGCACGATAAACGAAAAGCTCCGCCGTCTCTAGAAATCTTTGACTTTCAACTTTCTTTTAAATTTCGAAAGCTTTAAGTTAGGCTATACGCTGATATGTAAATATGATATTATTTTTGTTACTAAATTCATTTTCTATCACTCGAACACAAATCCTGGCTTTTTCCTTGATTTTTCCATTCGATTCTCGATGGACAACTCCATTTTTTCTCCGAAAATTTTTACGCGACAGTAATCATTAAATTTTCTCACTAAAATTATTATTCCCCGGTTTCGAAACCCCATGGGACTTGCTCGCCTTGTTTCTTCCTACGAGAGAGTTCAGCTGTGATATTTTTTCGTTTTTCAAACTGTCCTCTTGTGTGTCTTTGTTCTGTATTCCGTCTCTTTGCCGTGTATTATTCCTTTCACTTATGTTTTCTTTGCATTTCGTTTGACCGTGTCTTTTTTGATCGTAATTGTAATAAATATGCGAAATTATTCCCAACTATGGAACATTTCATTTTTTTTTTTTTGCGAATTTCGCTTGAATTTTTTATTTATGATTTGCGGTATAGTTCTATCTAACTTCTATAAGACATGGACGACGATGATGATTTCTTCGGGGGCTCTGACTTGGAGGACGAATCCAAGGAGAAGGTTGACAATCTGCAAACCATTTAACTTTTTCTTTTTTGAGGTCTCTCCTGAGGACAAAAAACACATATTGCGGAGGGAACTGAGGCAGATGCTCTACGGTTTTGGTGACGATAAGGTTGTTGCTTCGAACAGTTTTTTTCTGGAATAGATACTGTCCCACCGTTTTTTCAGTCAGTTGTAAATTGTCTCGAACCATTTCCGTTTTCACTTCCAAATTTTATTTCAGATGCCTTTCGACAAAACCCTCGAATCTATTGAAGCCATCACGTTGTACTATATAAAATCGCTGTGCCAACTCGCCATGAAGGTTTTCATTGTTTTGTTTCTTTTGAGCAATATATTTCTCAGGTGGGAAAACCGGACCGATTGGCTCTTGAGGACATCCATTACCTCATTCGTCGGGATCCAAAAAAGTTCGCCAGAGTGAAGGTAGCCGCTTTGTTTCGCAACTTGTGTGCAGAGATCTCAAGTTATTTTGAGAGGTCGACCTCAAGAAGTTAAATGGAGGCTATTCGGATTTTTTTTTAAAGAAAAGGTTCAATAAAGCTTTTTTTTTTTCATCCCTGTACTTTCACCTTTTCTTGCTAACGAATTGACTTTCAACTTAGGGGAAAAGTCATTCTTCTCATTTATTCATATTTTGGCCTTTTTGCTTTTTTTGCGTCTGAAACGAGTAAAATTATAAATTATACATCGAAATTGCTTGTCATTTTTTTCAAAAATCAGTTTTATGAACGTTTTTTTAAATTTGCAGGACATAGATAATTCAGTTTCCATGCGCCCTAATTTAACGGGGTCACTCAATTCTTAATAAGTTAAAAAGACCTCAATTATATTTTTTTAACTATTTTATCGCAGATTTAAGATAATACTTTTCAGGACCTTCTTTCTATGTCTGAGGAATTGAAAAAAAGGCGCGGAAACAATTCGACGAAGCGAAGCCAATTTAAGTTATTATTTAAAAAAATTAATTATTCAAAGTTCTTTTTCACATTGGCTGAGTCGGAGCAACCTTCTATGGGCATTTTAACTTTTTTTTAGAAAAGTCAAAAAAAAAGCTTTCAATTTGCTACTCTATTCTCTTTATTGAGCTTTTAATCCTAGTGGAATTGAAAGGCTTGATAAAGGGCGCAAAAGAGAAACTTTTTCCGGCTTTGCCAGTGATTCTGTATTTTTCCCTACGAGGTTTCCACGATCTTCCTATTTTTTTCTGTCTCAAACTCGACGATTTCTATTGATTCTTTATTATTTTTTTATCAACCATTACTTTTCTCGGATCTACCTTCATTTATTTCTACGCAGTAGTACAGTTTCAAAATAAATGGATACCAAAAAATACGGCTGCCTAAATAAATCACATCACATGTCATTGAATGGGATAGGTTAGATACGTACAAAATTTCGAAATTATTTGGTGAAGCTGGAATGTTCAAAAGCAAAATTACTTGATTCAAGCTATGTGTGTAGAAAAAATTCATCTAATGAGAGGAATGTAATGGATGGGGTAGTACATAAATTATTATCTTCAGTTCTCGAGCTTAGACAGAAGCCCCAGGTACTGGTCGCTCTGCAGAAAGCGCACGTATGGATCGTTGCGTAGTACCTGTGATACTTATTATATCAAAAACTTTTTCATATGTTCAGGTTTTTCTTTTCAGTAGAAATTCAAAAAATAATTAGCTAACCAGACTAAAGACTAACAATTATTCCTTGTCTTCGGCCAGTCTCTCAAAAATTCCAAGGAACTAGCTAATTGACGAAAATTTTTATTTACCTGCTCGACATGTTTGATGGCCTCGTCAAACAAGGTGATGTCGATATCTTTGTCGGTTATACGACGTTCAATCACCTGTCGTACTCCGAACGGTAGGAACACCTCAAAGCTATCTTTTATGGCGACTCATTCAAAAGCCGACCTCGTTGAGAGTTCCTTCAGCTAGGTAAGTGTTGAGGATGACTTTTCCGAGATTGAGCATCGCGTTGCTTTTGTTCTTGACCGACCTGCAAGAGCCGCGTACTATAGTCTCCTCGGGGGAACGCCCACCGAAACTCGACCACGGCTTCCCAGAAGCGGAGGTTCTCTTCGGCGTGAATTCCTCGCAGGAAGAGTCGGAAGTGATGGCGTCCAACCTGGAATGACATATTTTTCAGTTCAGTTCAAAAAAACATCTATTTTATGTAACGAGTATTGAAAAAACACAAACGTGGTTGCCTAACAAGGCTTCGAAGCTGGTGGCCCACTTCTCGGCGTAGGAGCGTGGAAGCAGCTTCTCCAGGAACTCAAGGTAGATTTCGGAGCGTCGGAATCGAGGGAACTGATCGTTCTCGAGGAGCCGTTTGACCTGTTTTGATTGAGACTGTGGATGTGGTGTGTCTGGTGCACCTCCTTGATGGCTGGACCGAATTCTTCCGGATCTGGATTGTCTGACTCGGCCGTGTCGCGCATCTTTTTCATGGCCGCACTCGACAGGTTGATGTAGGGCGAATAGGTGTCGATGATTTCCATCGCGAATTGCTAGGAATTGATTTCGAGTCAGAAGAATGGAATTCAACTAGCTTCTCATTAAAGATGAGAAAATCCTACCAGTTTTGATTTCTATTGATATCAATCTTGCTTGACCTTGTTTCAGCTCTAACCTTTTTCTCGTCGCTACTTTTCATCTTCTTCATCTTGTCGGTCGCTTCGAGGAAGGTCAGGTTTTCTTCGGCCAGCGATTGGAACAAGAAGCAGCGGAAAAGCGCACGCCCTGCAAAACAAGGTGAGACATTGACATTTGTTTTCGAAAACAAGTAAAATATTGTCATCTTTCATATCTGATAATTATCACCTTTCTTTCATGAACGAAGCTTAGTTTTTCACTTTTCAGACTGTTCTCAACTATATAATTTAGTTATTTTCCCCGAAATATTACGACTAACTGCGCAAGTTTTCAAGAGGTTTTCAGAACTCGAGATTATTGAAGTCCAAAAATCCGATCAGGCTTATAATTTGACGGTAGTTCGCTTACATGATTCGGAACAACCAATTACTTTTTCGCTTTCATAATTTTAAGCCGATATTTGAGTTCTCAGAGTTGTTTGCACCATTTAATCCTTATTGAGAGATGCATTACTTATAATTCTTGAGAAAAAAGTTTGACTTTTGATCCGAGATTCGGATTCGACGTGATCATTCAGAAGATGAACTACGAATCCGGACAGATCTTTTTCATGAGCAACAGTTTTGTTATCATCATTTTCTCAACCCAAAATATGTTGATGGCAAGTTAAATGGCTCCATGTTTTAAGAGAAAACCAAAGTTGACTTGAACATTGATAATTTGTTATAATGCTGCCCACTAAGCGGAAAAGGGCACTGCTCGAGAGCAACCGCCTCGCATGAAACAGTTCCAATGCAGAAACGGCTCCGGAAGTACAAGAAATGTGCCTGACGATGATGGAACGGACCTTTGTCGTCGTTGAGAACATTGGAGCAGGAGCCGGCGGCCCAACTGGCGGCGCGTGGATATTCGACGCCCGCCGGATCTGGCGTCGGAGGTATCTGACGATCGTTGCGAGCGTTGGGTTCAAACATGCTCATGCTCTGCAACTTTTTTCATTAGCAGAAGCTCAACCTTCTCTCAGTCCTAACTTTTTTCCTTTCGAACATTTGTTTGACTCATCTTTTAGGTCTCTTGAGTACAATTTACCAGTATGGCGACGCTTATTAAAACTTGAACTGAGTATGGCTGAACAGCTCATGCGACCCAGTAGATCCCAACTCCGAAATGAATCAAGAAAAGGATATAAAAAACCTAAGTATGGTCATAGACTTTGTAGAACTTGGACAGAAAAAGCCGAACCGGCAAAAATCAGCTATACTTAAGGTTTAATATAGAACTGCAGTATTGGAGGGTGTGAAATGAAACTGATGATTGATTATTTTTAATTGAATGAAAAAGAAAGCCGGGAGGCGTTCGGCTTGAAACATTCTCTTTCCCAGTGGGCCAATAGGAAGATTCTTAATCAGTAATGGTTACGAGTGAGGAGTAATCTGTTGAAAACACAGAGAAAAATATACAACTGATAGCCGAATTTCTCATAAGGGTGGGAAAAAACGAAGCGAAGGAGCGGCGGTACCTCTTCGGCGCTGATGGCTGCCATTTGTTCCGACCGTTTTTGCATTCTCCTCCTTCTTCTACTGCTTTGAGTGATGAAAAGAGGTGGATTAGTAATGTGAATAGCGAGTTTTCAATAGACGGGTAATCCGAAAAGCAGCAGAACGGAAGCCGACCCGCTGATTAGAGCTCGGCTTATCGCTAGCCGAGGTGGCGAGAGAAACAGAGCGGGTTCGAGACGAGCAGACTCTCATCGGATATAGCTTAGAACTGAATGAACGTTCTTTTTTTTGCAGGTTGTTTTGAAATCATGGAAACTTGAAAGTATCAAGCTTTTCATGAAACAAAATTTTGGAAAATCGTAGCTTTTTCGGCTCTCAATTTTTTAGTTAATTATTATTTGAAAATGGTATTAAAGGTAGGTAAAAAAAGGTAGGCTTTTGTTGATATTATCAAGAATTTAGAAATAATCTTCTACCATTTTTCTCAATAATATTCATAATACGATTTGGCAACTGAAAAATAGCTTTCACAAGTAACTCAATTCACTACAATTAATTGTTTTCTCGCAAAAACAAAACGAAATGAGACGTCGCTTATTTTCAACTATGTATTTCTAGGAATCTAGACAGCCACGGTAGTCGCGCACATGTCTTGTCCGTTTCCCTTGATTCCAATGGTTACAAAGACTATTTGTTGAGCCCTGATCCGATTATTTTACTCTTCACAACTTTTTTTGAAGATTGGCATAAGAAAGGATGTACTCGATAAAGATCAGGAGGTTCTCAACATTAAAACTCGTTATTTTATATAGGGAAGAAAACTCTTTAGAGCTCTAGCCTCTTGGAACCGTCTAGGAAAAATACGTTCTAGGCCCACATCGAGACACTCTGAAACTCTATCTTTTCAACCAGACTAGTCAGTCTAAGAGCACTTTCCACAAAGCTAATCACCTTTCCGCCTGATTTGTTTCCGACAAAACTTGCGGCTGTCAAATTGCTCAGTTGCCACGGAGACGACGGCTTTTTGAGTTTGACCTTAGTTGAATAATCAGATTTTGCCGGAAAATGATGTTTCATTGAAATTGTCAATTATTGGATAGAGTAACAAAAAAGGAAAATGTTTGAAGAACTAATTTCTTCCTGCGTTAATGTTTCTTCTAATACTGAAGTTTTTCATCATCATTATACCGTGTTCAAAGTAATTTCGCGAAATGCAAAATCATCTCTGACTCTCCAAAATTTAGTTATATTTTTCTTTCTCTGACGGCTATTTTGCATTTCGCGAAATTACTTTGAACACGGCATTAGATTTTGCTCAATACGCCAGTCCAGCAGGACTTTCAACCCAGAGAAGGTGATGATTTCGAGAAATACTCTCCAATAAGAATCGCGTTACATATATCTGTATGAAACTCTCATCAAGAGCTCTTGTTTCAAATGCTCACAGCTGAAATTGAGGGGAACTTTTTTTTTCTTGAAAAAAACCTATGATGACGTGAGGATTTCATATTTACTTGGAAAAAAACACCGGTTCGTCTTTTAATTTCACGTTTCGTAATCAGCAATTAAAGCAAACGAAAGCTTTTATATGAAAAGGAAAATGCTCGTCAGGTGATTTCTTTTGCCACTTCAGGAAACGAGGTAATCATAGTACAGCATAAGGGGGCTAATGATAAATGTGACACTCCGTTTAATTTTAAACAAAAGGGCTTAAAAATGAGTTGACTGTTGGTTCACAAAAAGTATAGACGTTCTCTTTCTCTTTCTACGTGGTTAAAAAAAAAAAATTAGACCTGTCAGTTGTTGGCGGTGCCGATTTATACGCAATGAGACTCGGGTAAAGTGGTTGAAATGATATTGCGTAGCAACAAAGTGAGTTTTCCCACCTTTTTTGTGACTTTGTCCCGCCCACCCACAATTTGAGTCGACACCTTCCGGCCCCGAAAACAACGAGATTTTCGCGGAAATGTCGCGGTTTTGTGTCTTCTCGACGTCTTTATCTTCATAACAGGAAGAAAAACCCCCGAAAATTTTTTTGAAAAAATTTAGGACCGTCTTGCAGATCTTCTCTTAAAACCATCAAAGATTAAAGTTAGCTGCTCACTGACCTTTCACGGTCACCTTTAATTAAGGGCAAGAGAATTGCACGTCCGGAAATAATTGAGTCTAATTGTTTACAATTTGTTTCTTTAACCTTTAACGAGCATAACTCAATCATAATTGTAATGTGCCCTTATGAAGCATCAAGTTATTTTTTGCGGAAATGATTCAAGCTGAAAAAGGAGAAAAACAGTTGAAGTTCCATGAAAAATGACACTTCTTATAAATAAACACAGTTCTAACATAAATGACAAGAGTAAACAGAAATCTTTATCTTTCACCATTTTTGAAATTGATTGTTTTTTCTATCTAAAAACACTGTATCACGTAAGTGCTGGTTGAGCGTCGAGATTCTCCTCAAGTTTCATATCAAAACTCCCTTACCCAACTGTGCAACGTGGACTTTTATATTAAAGTTTTTTTTATCCATGCGAAAATATTAATACAGTTAAAATTAAATCAGTGACCTGAAAATAAACCATCATCAGCCGAGCAAAACTAGACATTTTCAGAACAAAATTCTTATTCCTTTTCGCCTCACACACAGAAGACTTTTCTACTAACCAAGTTTGATTGTAAGTAAAATCTTCTCGAAATTTGAAATTTATTTCCGACTATGCAGACGTTCTTTTGGTGTACTAAATTAACTTCTGGAAGCCGCAGTCATTAGACCTTTTCTTCTTGAGAACCATCCGTTCAAAGTCCCATTTTCCTGCACTGTGTTCAAAAAAAGACCACGAGAAAAAAAGACCAGCTCCTTTTTGAGTCTATCTTCAAAAAAACTGGGGTTCGAAATAGAATTTCTTTTTTTAGTCAACTTTTTTTATTCATGATTTCTCAAAAATTTATTCTACTCTAAGAAAATCGTTGAACCTTGTGATTGAATTTCCTGAAACCTGGCCAAAAAACTTCCTGATGTATCAGAAGAAGATTCTGAAAGTCTCAACTGCACAAATGCCTGGTTTTTGAGAAGTGGAACTCAAAGCCCCAAAAAAAAAACCGTTTCAACTGATTTCGAGATGTTTCCTTGACTGCGAAGTGTATTTTCTCAATCATCCCATAAGTAGTCGTAGTTTTCGTTTCTCTTTTTGAGGTGAAACCATATCTTTCAAAGAAAACAAGAGCTCACAAAGTAAAGAGAGCCATTGGAATGCGCGCCGACGGAAGGTGTCGGCGATGTCGACGCCGAATGTGTGTTAGGCACATTGAGAGTCAGCTCGTTGCCTGCCGCTGAGCCGACGGAAACCGAACGGGAGCTTCTCCTGCAAAAAAACTGAGATCCTCTTTCTTTTCATGGCGAAGTTCTGTCAAGAACCTTCAACTTGTTGGTCTCGTAATCATCGAACGTGATGATACCTATGTAGGAGCATTTCTTTTCATACATTTGAAATCAGCTATTAAAAACACGAATCTCTTGTTTTCCGGAGTGGTAAATTTCACTTAAATAGTATGAATTTCCTTTCATGAAGGAATTTGTCTTCGAAGTCTTCGACTTAAGGTAAAATTTGCACTATTTTTGCAAAGAAACTTGTTGCAACGGGCGTTTACATATTTCCCCTTTGAAGAAGAGGAGACAAATTGTACACACGCAATGCTTCCAAAGGTAATTATAGTCGCGCTGATATGCCATTTTGAGAGACTTACGTCATGGCGTAAATGTCACGAAATTGAAGTGTGAAGAGTCTTTTTAACACGAGTTTCTTCCGTTTTGAACGAAAGAGATTTTTCTTTCAAAGAACAAAACGGTGATAAGAATGCCTTGTAGATGATTTCAGAGAAATCATCGGAGGAAATATTCCCAGCTTCAACAGGAAAACTTTGGTCAAGGCGAAATCTCGCTTCACTCCGGCCGATATCAAATTTGATTCAAAAAAATGGAGATTTTTTTTTTCTGGAATGAGACACGCATTCTCCGACCAATCTGTCCTCTGAGAGAAAAAAAATTCGAAGATAATTTTTTAGAAGGTCAGAAAATGAAATTAAAAAGAGACTTATTTCTTAAAATGATAAGCGTGTTCGTCGAATTTAGACTCACATGAAAACATCACTCGCGGGAAAGAAGTTGAAGAAGAGAAAAGAACGAACCCAGGAACTTGGAGCTCGTTGTTGTCCTCTTCCGCGGAAGAGAGGTCGTAGAACTCGTTGACAGCGAGTGAAGAACGACTGCGACTACAGTTCCCGCAGCCGCGTCGCATGGCCGAAGAGATGTCGGCGGAGAAGCGGCGGATGGCAGCCGGAGGGATCTGCAGGATCGACTGCAGCTTTGTCGGCGGCAGCTGCGACGGCGAGCTTTTTGGCCGGTCCTCCAGCTTTCTTATGGCAAGTCGCACTAAGCGGACAGCTTCTGACTGTAGGACCAAAGAGTCGCCTTCAGAAGGTCCTCTCTGATTAGCTCCAAGGGAAACAAGGAGCAAATATTAGTCGAGTTATCCAAGTTGAAGACCCGAAAATGCGACAAAAAGAGCGGGTGGCGGCGGTGGTGGACGACACCTGGAGGCGTGGCCGGCAACGCGACCGAAAAAGTCGTTCTTCTGCTCGCCTGTGATGAGCCCCGGATGACGTCAAACGCGCGAGCTTCTCACCAATCTTCCTCTACCTCTCTGTCACTGTTTGTCCATAATCAGCAGTTGGCTAATCAAGGCGTCGCTCTCCGAGGAGTGCAAGAGATAATTGGCGAGTAAGTCCGATGACACAGCAAGTTCGAGGCGGTACCATGGTTTCCGCCGCGCAGGAAGCTCTCAGTCTCTCTTGAAATCGTAAAAAAATAGTAGAAGCCGTACTCAGGCTGAACGTCTACAAGTGAGCTCATCGAAAAAACTCCCTCATGTCGATCCTCACAAAGGTCCAAGTGATGATTAATAGGTTAAATCTTCTAAAACTGAACAACTGAACTACGCTTTCGGCTCGCTTCTCAGTTAGACAATTTCGCACAGCTAGACTAATTTTGAATATAGATCACAGTTATATCACTCAGAAACCTTTCCATAAAAATGAAAAAAAAAAAATCGCCTGAAAGTTCTCCAGCACTACACATCTTAATTTCAGTACCTCAAGATGGTTGGGGGAGTTCGAAGAGCAAAAGGTTAAACAGCAGTTCTAAGATCTCTTCATCTTTTTGTAATTTCCTCATCACTCAAATCCATTTCGACCCCACATAAACAAGGTTATAAAAGATGACGGGAGTGCCAGAGGCGTAGAAGAAAGCGAAAAAGCGCGGAAAACAGCAAATAGAAGAGGAACAAGAGGTGATGATTATTTATCAACGGCTGGTTGGTCGGTTGCGTCAGAGACAATCAAAATAGCCCAAAATAGTATATTATTGTTGTACTGACAGCTCGTTGGACTCATCAGAATTTTGACGATTTTCGCTTTTTCAGAAGCGCTGACGATGGTATTCCCATCTGTATCTATTCGAGTGAATTTCATATTGAAGAGCTATTTTGGAGAAAAATTGCTCTGATTCTCCGAAAAAATTCTTCTTCGAATCGAAAGCTCGCCACTGTGATAAGAATTACTCTTTAACCCGTTTTTTGTGATTCATTAATATAAATATCTTTTCTAATTCGTAATAATATATTTATTCCTTTTCATTTTCTAATCAATGAAACTGACGAAAAAAAAACGAAAGACCAGGCTTGTCAGCCTAGAATTTTCTTCTAAGGACTATAATTTAGTGTCGTGCAACTGGGAAAGGTATGATTAAATCTAACGCTCATTCCTGGAACTTGAGAAAAATGAAGAGGTTTTTCATCGGAAACTAGAAGGAAAGAAAAACGAACCCAAGAGGGACAGGCTCATCGACGGTGACGTCGACGTCGACATCAGGAATCGACGACGGCGGCGAAGAATCCGCTTTGAACGACCGCCACATCTGTGGCCGATTTCCGGATTCGCTCGCCTTTTATATGAGTCGAAGACGTCTGAAAGCACGCACCCAACATTTTTTCGTCTCTTTGTAGCCGCCCTTTTCTCGAACAAAGGCTACAAAATTGGAAAGGCCGGATTTCTGCTCGCGTGTAATTACCGCGGGAGATACGGTACTTAGTATATTTCCGGGCTACTGATTGGAAAGAAAAATAAGTCAGTAAGAAATCTTCGAGAGACATTACGTAAAGCTTTTGGTAGAATGATGAAAAAAAAAAATGAAATAAGAAACTATATTGATAATTAAAGCCGTCGCATTTTTTTTTTTACAACATCTACTGTTTCGAACAGAAGAGGTTAAGATTCACTGATTTACGTCTGTTTCAAATTGATGAGACATTTATAGAAAAATAATTCGAATTCCTGCTCTCAGAAAGAAGATTCAATAAAGAAAAAATTGTTCTTAAGTTCAAACTAACTTTTCAACCTTTTCTACATGACCAAATTGGATGAGGTTAATTTGGATCATTAAAAAAAAATTATATTAAAAAAAAATCAATTTATTTTCAAAACTTATCATCCTCATGACCAACACTTTCAGGAAAGCTTACAGTACAAAATTGCAAAACAGGAATTGAAAATCTTGAACACAAGAAAATCGCCTTGATATAACCCGTTTCTATGGAAATTTCAAGAAAAAAATCTCACGATTCTGGAAAGAAAAGGCGATTTTCGTGTCGCCACCTGCAAATTGCCTCGCGCACAGCTGCGACAACCTCATTACACTGAAGAAAGACAAAATTTACGGTTTAACTTTTTTCTCGGTCATATCATCTTTTTTTTTGAAGTGTTGAAAGTGTAGGATACACTGGATTTTTTTTTTTGGGACCTTCGACAACCCTTGAGGAAGTTTCTTAAACTCGAAAGCAAAAACAAAAGCCCTTCTACTTTGGCTAATTTTCCGAAGATTGGCCAGAACACTATCCGATTAACCATAGAGTCAGAATACATATGGAAATTAAAAATCTTGCCTTCAAAATCTTTCTTCGGTAGAAGTTTTCGGGCCAGTTTTCTGATAAATACAAATTTTAGAAGGATCCATTCGCTTTTTTTCAGAAGAAGTTTTGAATTGGAAATTAACATACGACTGATATTCATTCTATCCTTTTTTCTCGTTATTTTCTTATGAAGAAGGTTTTGAACCGTTTTATTCTCACAGAACATCAAGGAAAATTGAGTAAAAATGAAAAATGAGGTCATTGAGCGTACAATCGTGATAAAGAAGAAATGAGATCGCTTTGGCATTTTTCGGAAGTTCGAAATTCTGAGAATCATACTCAAATTATACCTAAATACAATCGCAATCATTTTGGTTTTCGGCCTTTGGGCGCCTTGTTGCCCGCTGGCGCAACTCCCGTTTTTTCCTCCTCAACTTCATTGGTTGGTCTTTTGTCTGCAATAATCTTCGTGTTAAAAAAAAAACACTAAGACTTGAGAATGACGTGAAAAAATGTACTGTATCAAATGAAGAGCTCAAAATTTACTTTAGTAGATTTGAACTTGAAAAAGGGAAACCTAGGCCAATGCTTTCAGGATTCTCGATTTCAGGGGCGAGAGGAATGAACCAGAGCGGACCCGACTTGAGAGTTGCGTCCGGAATGAACTGGGCGACATCTTCCTGAGTTTTTTCTCTTTCATACTTCTATATACTTCGATGCCAAAACAAGATTTGGAATTAAATAATCTATTCAATCGAATAAAGAAGTCGTATGCAGGAAAGTCAGAAAATAGTTCATTAAGGTATTCATGAGTCAATTTCGGGTATTTATTCTCGAAATAAAACGTGTTATAGGTTTCCAAAAAGCTTTATAATTGAATTTAGCTTGCGATCCTTTCTTTATGAGTACAACTGGTTCACTTTCACTCAACTTGACATTCAGTTCACCTTTTCTCCTAATATTTTAATAAGACAACTTAACTATATTGTTAAAAAACTTAACTAGGGAACGTTTTTCACCCTCCCTAGTTTATTAGTTTTTTTCAAAATTTTGTTTGCTTTATTTTCTCAGAAAACTGTGATTTCTCTTTTTGATATAGTCAATCCATCCCGACTTGAAAGGCGAGGGAGGCGAAAAAGTGGGAGAGAAGCGTACGCAGTTCTTGGAAGGAGTTCAATTCAACCGCTTATTTAAAAAGCTTGGTCACCGCTCTTTTTGTATCTATTCTACTATTTTTCAACTCACAAATGGAAAAAAAATCAAGTAATAATTAAAAAAGAAACAAAAAGAACTATAGACGTGCTGTCCAAATAGTCGCTGGCGGATAAATTGAACTCGTGCCAAGAACCGCGTAGTGCGTGGTAAAAGCAATTTAATACTTTTTTTAAAAAAATTTAATCCCGTTTTTTTTCCTGGAAATTCCATTTTTGAATCAATCATACAGAGGATAATCTAAACCTCGAAAGCTTTAACAAAAATTTTTTAGGGTTCTCTGTGATAAGCTTGTTAGATTATGGTAAAGAAGTTTTTTTTTTTGTATTTACTACAATTCTCATTTTCTGGATCTGAAAGTTTTCCGTTAATGGAAGGACTTCGACTGATTCTTGCTAACTAAACGACTGGAGAACCTCGTCGGAGCTGGCCATGAACTCTTCGGGCTGCAGAGTGACGACGTCGATCTCGTCCTCCTCGCCGTCCTGAGCCTCCGGTAGTCGGGCCAAAGCCTCGGTCTCACCTGGTCGTTAGTATTGGCGCCGTCGTCTGCGTCTTCGTCCTCCATGTCGAACTCCTCCTCTTTCTCTTCATATTTTCCGTTTTCCTCCAACTCTCGGAACTCCGGAGCAAACGCCGACCAATTTTCTACGTGTGCCTTAATAATAAGTACACTAAAACCTTCAATCACAATAAAAAGCCCTCGTGGAGAACAAATGAATGAAAGAAAGCACAAGAGCTTAGGTAAGTGATAAAAAAACTCGATTTTTCGACAACCTCGAAGAAAATGCATCAGAAACTTGGGAAAAATTTAACAGTAAGCTCGAATAATGTAACTAAGTAGTAAGCCAATATTTGCAAAAATATTAGAGCACAAAAAAAATTTTTTTAGAAAATATTTTTTTAATGATACTTCTAATTTTCGATTATATAATTTTTATTTGAAAAAAACCTGGGTCCACAGAGATACGACGCCTTGAGCCACAGAAAGGACCACCGGCCTGGAAGGATGCCATTGAACATCGAGAAGTGACTCGCCCTGAAATTCGCTTGATTCACTTCACAACTGTAAATCGGGTGGGAAATTCCCATGCTAACTTTCGCTCGGAAACCCCCTTTCTCACCTTCGTTCCGTGTAAAATCTTGATGAGCGAACCGGTACAGGCTTCCCAAATGTAAAGCGAGTGATTTTTCGAAGAGGCCCCGCAAGTGAAAACGCCGTCGCTGTCGGTGCAAATCGACTTCCAGGCGGTCTAAACATTCTTTTCGAACCAAGCGAAGTCCCACAGAACTTTTACCTTGTTGACCATGTCTTGGACCTTATATTTAGGTTCCACAGTTGACCCGTTTTGACATTTGAGCAAATCTTCCAACCTCAAAACCGGCGTTTTCAGAAAAAAGTCAAAATAACTCACGAGTATGTTCTGATTATTCTGTCTTGAGAATTGGTCAGCACATTGCGACTTTTGAGAGGTACGTGAATTTGGCGGATCTGGAGAAGAATCTAAGGAAAAACACCGAAATGATTGGAACCTGCTGGAGACTGTTCTGTCGGCACCAGGACACACAGCGGTAGGTCGTCGCGTCGTAGATGATGATCTTGCCCTTGGCCGTGCCGGTTATTATGAACTTGGCCTTTCTGTCGTAAGACATGCAGCTGACCGAGTCGTCGTTGGCGCCGGGAATGTCGTTTGTCAGCACTCTGAAACTTATAGACACCGATAAAACGTAAATTTATTCAACAGTGTAAAATGGATTTGAAAGCGTGAGATTGACAAAAGAACCGGAAGGTTTTTGAAGATGAATAAGCAGAAACCTTTGCGCTCGCGGCTGCAGATGTTCCACAGTGGGAGGAAACGCTACTTGCAGAACGATGAATTTGTTGTCGTCTCTGAAAATATTTCAATCAATCGATGCGACCCCGTTTTGAAAAGCTACTTAAGACCACAATTATTTATAGAAAATCTTTTCGAATTCTATACTCAATTAAGAGAATTCTGAGTTGTTGGAAGAAGCATAAATCTTTAAATTTTTCGGCATCATTGAAAAAGCCGAGAATTTTATCAAAGCCTATTTCAGAGCAAAAACATTGGGAACAAACCGGGGATTGAACGCCGCGTAGGTGACCATCGAAGCGAACTTTATCTTGTGGAGAGCGGCGCCGCTGAGGACGTCCCAAATGGCGATCGTCGTGTCTGCGGAGGCCGACAGAAGTTTCCGACCGTCGCGAGACCAACACAGCGCAGAAACAGGCAACGCGTGCGCCGGCCACGACTGAGAAAGTCATTTGGGGGCTCTGAGAGGAAAACCCGGCTCTTACCTTCACCATACCTTTCGTGATGAAATCAAAAATGTAAACTCTTCCGTCGGTACTTCCAACTGCTACTAATGTTCCCCATCTGTTGAATTTACAACAATTAGCGCAGCCATTCTGGAAAAACACGTTCATTGCTTTAAAAAACAAAATTCCGAATGGCATTTTACCTGAAGATCCAAAGACCCCTCCAGTTCTTCTGGACATTGATAACCAAAATTTCGATCAAAAAGCTCAGCTGACATTAGATGCTATAAACCAGAGAAATTATGAATTATACTCTCAAGAGTAGAAAAAAATAATAATAATCTCGTCAACAAAAAATATAGGTTTGCTACCAAAACTAGAAAAACGTTACTCTTCGAAGAAGTAGAAGCTTCTAGCGTGAAAAAAATTTTTTAATTCCAGAAAGATTCAAATCGCTTTATTAATTTAGCAAAAAATTTAAGAATATTTTAATAGTTGAAAAAAATCCTGCAGAGTTATGTGACCTTCCCTGTGTGCCTCTCCTAACTTTCGAAGGATAACCGAGCTTTGAAATCAGAAATTGGTAACGCCGAACGGACGTGCTCCGGACGTTTCTAAGCGACTCTAGGGATAACTTAAAAGTACTGACGCTACTAAAGTGGTCAATAGGAATACTTAAAAACTTCCGGAGTACGTCCGTTTTGCGTTACCAATATCAGAGGATAAAAATTTCAAAACATCAGAAAAAATGATGGAACCGTACATTTTTAAAATTTTTTGAAAGGAAAGAGAAAGTGAGCTCTAGCGAACGTGAAAGCCCGTCCATGGCTGATTTTTCCAAAAAAAAAAAAAACATTCAAATTTTCTTTTTCTTATAATGTTTGTGACTACAGAATATATTCGGGGGAAAAAGCGTTCTGTTATCCATATTACCAATCCAATAATGTTTTTCTTTATCTGAATTTTTTTCAAAAATATATGCCGTGTTGAAAGTAATTCCTGCGCAATGCAAAATGGGTGGTATGAAAAAAAAGACCAGCGAAAATTCGAACGGCGACTTTTCCGATTTTTTCGTATCGCCAGGGAACTTTCCGACGGCCACCTTTCCGCCGAATCTTTTTCCGACTTTTTTTCTCGGTAAAATCTTCGTTTTGAATCTTCCTATATAAAGTAGGCAGTTTATTCATGATTAAAACACAACGAAATAGGAAAAAAATGTTAATAGATGTTTTATAAATCGAAAAAAATATAAAGGCAAAAAAAGTCGGAAAGGATTTCGGCGGAAAGGTGACCGTCGGAAAGTTCCCTAGCGATATGGAAAAATCGGAAAAGTCGCCGTTTGTGTTTCCGCTGTTCTTTTTTTCATACCACCGCAAGATGGTCTCTGACTCTTCAAAAATATAGTTATGTTTTTTTAAATTTAATTTTTTTAAAAAAATTAAGTTCTCGGACTGCTATTTTGCATTTTGCGGAATCACTTCGAACGCGGCATTAGTTTTATTTTAATAAAGAAATGAAAAGTTCTATATGGTTTTTTTTCATTAAATTTTTTTTGAGTGTTTTTCGGACTTTCTCAATTTTATTTATCTTTAAAGCAGTCATATTTCGTTTATTTCTCGCCAGATTATTTGTAACGCTGCTTTCAAGGTAATTTTAGAGCTTATTAAAGACTTTCTGGTTCAAAATAATCACTTTGAATCACTACTGAATGATCACTCTTCTAGGGCCGCAACTCGCTTGCACCGCTGCTGTTTTTTATTTATTCTTTCTATCAATGAGTCGATAACCACGATAATCAAGAAAAAATCACTTCGGATTTTAAAAAAAGAGTTTAATTTTTTTTTCCGCTCTCAAATGTTTTGAAGCAGCGTTGATCTCTTCAACTTTTTTGAAGGTTCTCATAAGTTTTCTGTGAGATGGCTTGGACGAGCGGGGATAGTTGGTCGAACACCAACTATTATAATGCTCTAAGGTGGCAACTTTGATCCCCCGGATATACATTTTATTTTATCAGTGCGTCCTATTCCTATGGTTATGGAGGAGCTCGTACCGACCTTCCTGGCAATGGGAATAACCCACAATATTCCAACTCTAACGGTTTCAATCAATCATCTCCACAATATTCTTACATGGCCTATAATCAAAGGAATTCCGTTAACAGCGAGGTACATCTATTTTAACCGCTGTGCTGTAAAATGCGATCTTAATTTTGTTAGTTTCAGCCGCTCGGTTATAACCCCGAATATCCAACTTATGACTCGAGAAGTCTTTCCTTGAATCAGAGCGCTTTCTCAACACAGCAGGTTTTTCATTTGCCTCGTTGTATATTCATAAGGAACTTTACGTATCGTTATTTTCCGTGTTACGGTAATACGGGTAATCTTTTTACTTTTTGGTTTTCAGACAAAGCGCTCGTACAGCGGGTATCTTCGTACACTACCATCTGCTGAGGTTATTTTTGTGGAAATCAATTATCCGAATTCTCTTTTTTTTCAGACTTTCGATCAACCAAGAAAGCTTCCAACATCAATAATCACTTTGGATAAAACTTCTTTGAAGAATAACATACCGGTTTCTCAAAAAGCGAATCATCCGCCAAACCAAAAAGACCTGCCTAGCAATAAGAAAGGACGTAGATCAAACGAAATAAAAGTTTTTTTTTCACATTGTCCCAGCGAAAATAAGAAATTTTAAGGGCGGCTCTAAGCCTCCACAAGAAATATTCAAAGTGGCTCGAATCAAGAAAAGCAACAACTCGCCGCGCTGTAAGTGACAGAAAAAAATATTTAAATTAGAAAAAACAGCTAATTTATGGAAGTTTTTTTTAGCCGCTGCGTCTTCGCAGAAGACAGCGAACAAGCCAGGAAAAATGCCCAACTATCAATCGTTTTCAAAAACTCAGTGGGGATCTGGATGGGTCGGCGACCAGCCAAGAACCGCTTTTGGTATATTTGGGAAGAACTCCCTGGAGATATTCGTGTTTCAGCATCTCGCGGTTTCCCTGGTCGTGGACGCGGTGGCAGAGGTCGCGGCGGTTCTTGGCGTCCAAACAAGCCTCCAAACAGCAAGGACGATCTTCCCGTTAGTTCAGTATCTTTTGAAAAAAGTTTCTTTTTTTTTTCAGTTTGTTGCGTTGCCTGACGATGTTCCTTCCATCGCTATAAACGTTGGACCCGACAACTTCATCGCTTTTCACGGCTTCGACAGCGTGTTCACTACTCAGCATAACGTTTTTTTTTTCCTTTGTGTGATAGTTGGACCTAAGGCCATGGACAATCCTGGGTAATGAATGCTGTAAACGGTTTTTTAGTTTGAGAAATATTTTCATTTTTAAAAAGTTATTCTAAGATTTCAAAGTCACGGATTACAACTTTCATGCGCAGATACACGCCAAGAAACTCCGTTCATTATCTTTAGTTCCCTATCCTGGTGGATGATAAGATTTACGAAAGCTGCGACCATTTTTATCAAATCCGCAAAGTTGTCGATCTGTGTGGCGAGGAGGCTCTCAACAATGATTTGTCTGGAAGTGGTTAGTGAGCGCAATTTCTATGTCAGAAAATCTTTATACATCCCAGTTCGAAACTCGAAAGGCCAGCGCATCGATGGGAAAAATTTGCCCCGTTCTCATGACTCCAAGTCGTTCAGTGTTACGGCTCGCGCCATTTTGAAAGAGAAAAAGGTTAATTTTCCCTTCTAAGTATGTTTAGAATTGGGACGAATACTCTTTTTTTTCAATCAAAATACTATTTTTAAGATTGCTAAAGAGAAAGTTGATGAATGGCGTCTCACTAATGGACTTCAAGCCATTCAGGTAAAACAAAATCATTTTTATCAAAGTCTTATTTTGACTCGAATTTTTTGTTTCCATCATTCTTTAGACGTCAATGAAGGCGAAAGTTTCGCAATCGGCTCACCTTCGCGAAGCTTTGAAGGAAAGCGGCCAGGCGATGTTGGTGCACGCCTACGCCGGAGACAGCATCTACGGCACTGGGTTTGTTTGTAATTCTCGCTTTGTTTCGTTTAATGTTTCTGTTTAGTTGTACTGTTCTGAAAGTGAAAAAATGGCTCGAAGATTTGCACAAGTCGGGAGCCAAGACTATAAAGGTGGAATTTTCATCACTCTATTTTTTTTCTTCTTAGAGCATTGTATCTTTAAATTTTTTTAAATACCTGCGAACCCTTGAAAGAGTTGAAACTGATCCAACTTCCAGATCCCAGCCGAATTTCCAATGAATAGCGAAACTGTCAAAACTTGCCCTACATTCGCTCAAGGCCGTAACATTTTGGGCGTTATTCTGATGCAGCTGAGGTTCCGGAAATTCCAACATCGAAAACAAATTCAGTTTCCAGAGAGATGCTCATTAACAACCGCATCGTGGTCATCGACATGAGCGACGTTTTCAGCGCCCTTCGTAGCAGTGAAATGGACATCGATAATGTCCGTGTTTTCATTTGTATTTTAATAAAGAAAGTGTCTTTAGAAGGACGATGGCTTCCAGATAGGCGGTGGTACGGTTCAGAGCAAGATCGGTACGACACTGTTCTGAAATGTCCACAAGTTCTCATGTTTCATTTCTCACCAAATTTTACACAGATCCTCCATTCGCATACTTTTGTTCTGTTTGACTGTTTTTTTGTATTTACGTTGATAATATATAAATTATTGCTCTTGAACAGAAATAGGAAAAATATTTTACTTTGAATCGTGAAAGCTGTTAATGAGATAAGTCAAACAAAATGAACGGTTATCCAAATAGGCCTTTTTTCTTTGGCGGAGGATTCTTGCGATCAGCGCCGAAAACGTCGTTGCGGACGTGCATCAAAGTTTGGTAATCCGGATCATACTTGTCTGAAAAATAGTGGCTCGTTTATAGCCCATCCCGCCCAGTTTGTGACGTTTTTCTTTCCACCAATAAGACCGTATACCAAAGTAGATCAAAGTTGAGCATCTTCGCTTCAAGACCTTTGTTATTTGATGTCTTTTTAGCAGTTTTGTAGAGCAAAATTTGTATTGACGGTAGCTTTTTCTTTTCTTTTTTTTAAAGTGAAAACCGTATCGCACTATAAAAAAATATTAACCAGTCATAGAGTCTGTTGAGATTATGAATGTCAAGCAGCAAACTCCACCCCCACGACCCCTCCGTGTATAACTCACTTTCTGATTGGTTTTATCTACGCATAAGAGGCGAAGTTTGAGCGATGACATTCAAAATATGAACAGACTATAGGCCGTTCCGCGCCAGCTTCTCACATTTTTCTTTCCGCCGAAAGGCCAGGTCAAATTTGACCAACTTCGCTTCAAGACCCTTGTTTCTTGCCGTTATAAAAGCGGAAATTTGATCTAATTTGGTATACGGTCTTTGTGGCGAAAGAAAAACGTGACAAGCTGGCCCGAAATAAGCTATAGCAGACCTGCTTTGGCTTCTTTGTCTTTCTGAGCTTTGTGTGGGTCTTGAGGGGCAAACACGTCTTGAACATTGGCTAGTGTTTGGTAGTTGGGATCATGAGTTCCTGCAAAACGAGAGTTAATGTACGATTTTGCGCAGACTTATCTATCCTTCATTTCGAAGAGATCGAGAACCTACAGTACCGCTCAAAAGTATATTAAGTTTTGGTTTTTTGAGGATATCTCAGCGAGTACTTATCCGATTTATATATAAATTTTAGGGATAACGTAAAAATATACTTTGAAACATATACAGTATACAAAAAAACATGTCCGCAATCCCTGTGACGCGTTTTAGGCATTTTTATTGAATTCAATTTTTTTGTTTTTTTATGCTTTTATTTTTTTATTTATTTTTTTATTAAATTTTTTTGAAGTAATAATGCAGTCTACATCGCTACTCACTGCACCACACTCTTAGCTTCCATTCGATGGTTTTCGGCGCGGGCACATTCCTTCACAACAAGGTCACGTGTTAACCGATGAAAACTTTGAAAATTCATATCTCCAAAATGAAAAGTTTGCGCAGATAGCCACTATGTGGGATCGATTCCCGATCCATCAAAGAGTGTTTCAGCAAATTTATAGCGCCTAACTTTCCCTATTCTACTCTATTCCACGGTGTTCCGCGCAGTGAAAAAAAAATGCGAAATTTTGGGTCCCAGCGGTATATTATCCGTGGCGCATTATTGCGCCCTTCTCATGGTTTCTGATGCAAAAATTGAATTTCTTCACTTTTTTCATTGGTTTTTTACTTTTTTCTATTTCTTGCATTTATGTGATCCGCCTCTCTATGGGTACATCTTGTGGAGCTTTAAATTGCGCATTTTTCTAAACCGGTTTCAGATCTTTAACTTTTTTCTCAAAAGAGTTGAAGATTTTTTTCTAAAAAGTCCTAATTTTTTTCAAAAATTTTTGAAATATTTTTTTCGCGACATGAAAAAGAATCACTCCATTTCGGAAACTATAGGTTTTTAATTCAATCAGTTAATAATAAAAAAAGTTATTATCTAGTTCCTTTGACGTAGTCTGAAACCGGTTTCGTGTAAATTAGAGCCAAATTGAATTTGCTGATGCAGTTTAATGATTTTGATATATGAATCATCTAAATTATATATTTTTTCCTAGTTTTTTTGATTGTTTTGCGGATTTAAACAAAAATTTCGCCATACGAGGTTTTTTTTCTAAAATTTCTGCTTTCTATCCATTATTTGTTTTTCTGAAGCTAGGTTTTCGAGGTATATAAAATGTTTTTTTTTTTTCATTTGCTCCTCGAAATTTCCTCATTTCAATATTTCTCGTATTTATAAATGCTTATTCAATGGGAGCTGATTCATTTTCATAATATTTTTTTTTATTTTGTAATCAGTAATTTAGAGTTTTCCCCTTTCGAAATCGCTCCTAAATGTTTTTTTAACGTAAGTGAATGTTTTTTTCACATCATATTCTTCAAACTGACAACTTTCAAACATTTCAGGAGCTATTATCCTGAAATCGCAAATTCTAAAATTGAAAAAAAACATTTTGAGTATGCGATAGTGCGTCTCGGTGTGCTTACACCCTAAGCATCATAATTTACGAAAAGTCTTGACCTTGCGTAATGAAAAAAACACCGTGATTCTATATTTACTGAGAGACGATCAAAGTACCTGCTTTTAAATTTTGATTGGTCGGCGCTTTTATTTCCCTGTTTGTAGGATCGGAAGGAATGGAAGGAACAGAAGGAACAGAAGGATTGGACTTTTCATCTTTCTTTTTTTTCTGAAACTCGAACAAGGGCTAGGGGAGAACCAGAAAACCAACTGAACATAATAACACCGAGCTGACCAAGAGAACCAGGAAAATCAACCACACGTCCAACATGAATTTTATGAAAATGTATACGTTTTCACATCATTTATTTAATATCAGCATCATATAAGTTCAAGCATGAGTCCGGCGCGTTTTCTGCTTAGTCTTCAAAATTGTGTCCGAGAGTCCTGTCAGGAAAGCCAGGGCCAAGAGCAGCACGAAAGTTCCGCCTGCACAATTTCAATCTCAGAATGATGATTTATTTGCAAAAAATAATTATATCAAGTTCGCTTTTTTATTGTTTTCAATTTCGCTGTAAAGAAAAAAAATTGGAAACTTGACGATTTTATCCATTAATTATTGCCAAATTTTCAAGTTTCAAATAATCTACTTGTTTTTTTCCTAGTGTCCGAACCTGCGCAAGCGATGAAAATCGTTTTCTGTGCGGTCGTGTAAGCGACGTACTGCTTCAAATTTCCAGCTTCCTCGTAGTCTTGGTATGAAGATGTGCCTGAAATGCTATAATCAAAATGTTCTTCACTTTCCAAGGGAAACCATTATCCGAGAGTAGATCTGCCGTCAGATCCGGCGTTTCTGTGTTTCCTTGAAAGGAAGTCATCTGCGCATGAGACCAAGTCAAAAAGCCTCAAGTCCTTACTTTTCTCGGCTCTTCTATAGGTGCAATCAAAATCTTCATACAAAATTCCCGTCTATACACATAGTTATCGTCTTTGAAGACGAGAGAACGAAACATTAATGAATTTTTTTTTTAAATCACAAAAAAACTAGATTAAAAAAAAATAAAATATGTTACCTACACCTCCATTTGGAAAATAAACTTTTTATGCACATACTTATTATCATTACTAGTCTGAGAAACATCGCAGAGTAGTCTTCGAATAAGACAGAGGATACGAATGAGAAGGCCATGGAAACGTTTTTCCTCGAGCCATGACAACGAGTATAAAAAATTTCATTCCTCCTTCATATTTTTCTCTGAGCTATGACTGAAGAGGCCCAGTCCGAGAATCAAAACAGAGAGAGAAGTCCACCACATCAACGAATGCGTTTCTCCAAACACGTAGCTTCCAAGAATGCTCTGAAAATCGAACTTTGGATAAAACGTTGAAATGAAAAAAATCGGGAGTAAATTGGCTTTCTTCAGGATACCCAAATTTGAAAAAAAAGGATACCTAAAAACCAAACTTTAGAAAAAAATTTACAACGGAAATATTATACCGACGAGGCGAAGTTGCAAGCCATGTTGACCAGCATCGGCGTCGACGTCGACGAAGAGGCGGCCAAAGACCTCACGTACATCGCCCACATCAAAACGTTGCACACAATGAATAGTCCGACGCAGCAAAACACGACCTAACATGGGCCTTCTTCGGTTTTTATATTCAAAGTTCATACTGATAGGTTCTGAGAGCTCCCACTAAACGCAAATTTGCCGAAAACAGCGGCCAGAGAGCCCAGAATTCCCGCCGAAGCCGCGTAAACCTTTTCCATGAAGTCGAAAAAAAAAACATTTTTTACAATTTTAGTTTCAGTAATACAAGCTTTTGTTGTACTTTTTGAAGAAAGGAAGTAATAAAAATGTAATCAACTTTTTACTGCGCATAATCTAAAAAACCAAAAATCTTCATTGGAGACAAAAAAATTCATCTGGGATATGAAAATCTATCCGAAAAACTAACGATAAAGATAAAAATAGCGAAGGTATCTGTCGAAAAATAGTGAGAAAAATTGAAGAAACTTTTTGATTCCAGCACCTATAATCAGAAATACTAGATGAAACAAAAATTACAAAATTTGGTACGCAAACAACATGAAAAAAACCACGAGCTCATAATAAATTCTTCAAACATTTCGAGAACTTACTGTTTCTATAAATACAGCCCCTGATTCATCGATACTAAAAAAGTCTGAATTTGTCTTTCGCACTGAAAATTTTTTTTCAAATAGCTAGCGTCTTAATTTTCTTGGACTGGTGAGAAAGTAAAACTAATTTTTTGTGACCAAAACTTATTGAGATATAGAAAAACACGGTTTACAATGCTTGCGTACCAAACATATGCCAAAAAGTCAAAAAAGTCGACAAAACAAACTGGCGAAGACTTTCAACTTGATCTTCCTAGCATTAATTTGGACGAAAAATTGATGGGAATTCAGGGAATCAAACATATTTCTCGAAGACCTTCTCAACGGCCTCGTACACCTGAAAGTAAAACAATTTTTTGAGACGAGAAGAGGATTTGAGAGCAATGAAAAAAACCTTGTCGACGGCACATTCACTGTTCACTTTCTCTACGAGACCCAGTTTGTCGTAGTGTTCGATTATAGGGAAAGTCTGATGGTTGTACGTTTCTACACGTTTTTTGAGCGATTCTTCGTTATCGTCGCTTCTTCCTTGACCTAAAACACAGAGGATTTTGCATTTAATTTGTAGGAAGCCTTTTCTGGCAACCTCTCGATAAACAGCGTGAGATGCAAAGAGGAACTTCGCAAGAGAGGAATAGGACAAATTGTTCATTAACCTGAATTCAAACATTTTCGTTATTTCAATTTTATTATCATTCCCTTCCTTCAAACAGTAAAAAAAATCACAACCTTTCCATGCATTTGACGGTTCCAGCCTTCTAAATTGTCTTGGTTTCTCGGAAACCCGTCGACAAGGAATCCTCTAGCGTCTCCAGCAGCGTCCATCGCCTGAAAGTAAAAAAAATACTTCAAGAAAATTTTTTTGTGTCGTTCAGATTATTCTCTCGAATTCCATTTCAGAGCTGCTCACTGGGTAAGTTGATATTGTAGGAACTCATAGATTATTAAAGCTATTTCCGCTCTATTGAAACACTGGACAAAGTCCTCCAGACGGTCCAAAGGCTTTTAAGATATCATTCCGATGCGCACCGATAACATCAGCTCTCACCGTCGCGACGATCACCCGATCGCGACGCTAAGAGCCGCGGAGGCGTCGGCCCCGACGCCCTCCAAGATCTAACAATCTCTACCACCCAGCCCACGCTCTTTCAAAGACCAATTCTAACTTAGAAGCTTTCAGGGCCGCCGCCGCCGCCAATTATAAAAGCCCGCCACGACGACGGCAGGACAGGACCGGGGACCGGCAACGGACCCGCAGACCACCACCCGACGCCGCCATCTCTTTTTCATTAATATTTTATTCTATGATTTAATTCACCATTTCATTATGAATGTTTCCAATCCATGAATGAGCAAAACGGCAATGAAACCGCGGCAAAAGAGATCGGGGGCAACACAAGCCCCGATCTCTCACTATATACTTCTCATTTGGACCAGACATCTCGGGTAAAAAACAGAGTAGTCGATCTTTCAAGTATAATTAATCACTAGAAAAAGTTGAGCGGAGCTTTTTTTGTGTTCATTTGAAGTGACCCACTGCTCCCACTAAGAATAACTGCCGAGATAAACGCGAGACACTGGCGGTACATTGACGAGCTCGCAAACATCTCGCTTTTTTTCTCGCGCCGGTCTCGCATTTTTCTGGGCGCGAGCTCGCGATTCTCTCGCAATTTGAAAATTTCCGAAATGCGAGATAAATGCGAGATGGCGCCGAGAAAAATGCGAGGTCGCGCCGTGAGAAATGCGAGAGCGCGCCTAGAAAAAAAGCGAGATGTTTGCGAGTTCGTCAATGTACCGCCACCGACCTCGCGTTTATCTCGTCAGTTATTCTTAGTGCCATTTGGCCGAGAGAACTACTGCGCGGTTTGCCTATCGGACATAAACTCTGAGGGAATTTATCGGAAAATTTCCGATTGGATGGGCCAATCTGAGAATTCCAGCCATGAAGGCAACTAAAAAGTTGTGTACGTTGAAATTCTCAAGAATATAATCTAGTACATTGAAAACTATCTTTTTCTGGGCAGCGCTCAAAAAGTTTCCAAACCGGGTGAAAAATACTAATAATCTCTTCTCGCGTTATTTTTTTTTTTCAGAATCACGAAAGAAGATTTATTTGAACCTGCTAATCGCGCGCAACGATAAGTGCACTACCGATGAGAAAGAAAAAAAAACGCAAAATATCGGAATTGATATATATTTCACTTTTGAAGCGGTACATTTTATGCTGGAGCTCCAGTTTCCAAACTTGATCTCAGCTTCTCAACCATTCGAAATCGCTACTGCAACTCTCCCCGCGAGCCCTCCATTTCCGTATTATGTCAAAAGCAATAAAGACCAGTCAAAAAGCAAAACCAACGTTCTCGAGCAACTTGCATGTGATCTCTACGGGAACGATTGTTCCGTTGCGAATGTGCTCTTCGATCAAAGCGCCAAATTCGCTTCCTGAACGTTGTCTTTCAGCTCTCAAAAGGTCTCCAGCCGACAAGTGCACGTAGTTCAGTCTCTGAAAAAACTAGTAATCGTTCTACTTTTCACACAGGCAAATAAGGGAAAAATCTCTGCTGAATCTTTTTTTATTATTATTATTATTATCTCATTTCATCACGTCGACTAGTCGGTCCCATTGCCGCTCTCTCATGGGATAATATTCCGACGCCCGTCAGCCCCGGACAAGCTGGACGCCGTACTGTTCCAACATGGTGAAGCAGTTTATTTGCTGGTACCAACGGGCCCACATTATTTCCCGACACTAGCTGTTACGCCGGGACGTATTGGACAACGATTGTGGACCGTTGCCCGCGCCGACGACTAACTCTTCGATTATACCATGATTCAGCAGAGATTTTCTTCATCTTACTCTGAAGACTGAATAAATCGAATTGAAATTGAATTGAAATAAGGGAGGGTATTTGGAAAAATAACATATCTTCATATGGTCATGAAAAACCCTTTTTTAACCCTTACAATTTTTAGTGTCTTATTTTGTTTCTAGTTTCCTAATTTCTAACTATTCAAAAAAAAAAAATTCAAAATAGGGCGCAGATTATCACCGGTCAATCGACGCATCTACAAAATTATCTAACGTAGTGCAGTCTCGAACTCAATCGTGCTGAAATTTCAATCGAACTTTTGAGAATATGATACCGAATAACACACCGATGGCTGTTTGTTTCAAACATGTTTTAGCTATCTATCTAGGATAGGTGTCCTACTTATTATCGAAAGTTGTGAATACAAAAAAACCCTTGTCTTGTAAAAAAGTAAGACAAATAAAATATTTCCATTTTCAACCAGTTTTTATAGGGAACGAAGAAAGTTTTTGAAAAGATCATGAACGACCTCTTGGATCAAGGAGCAGACGGTCCCTTTTCCTGAACCTGGAGGGCCCAACACGAAGACGACGTTGTGGACCATTCTTCTCAAGAACTTGTTGAAGAAAGATGTGGTCGAAAGGCTGATGAGCGGTTTGAATGTGCCGAGAATCGTGAAGGGCCCTGAAACTAGTTTATCTTCGATACATCTTCAAAAAAAAGGTTTGACGTGAAAATGGCAAACTTCGCTACAACGATAACGAAGATGCGCCTAGAAACAAAGATTATCAATAAATGCGAGTTCCTTTTCGTTAGATAGCAGTGGTTCCGATAGCAAACAGCAATTGACAAAAAAAAAGACACAATTAAATTCTCCTAACGAAACTCAGATAGAAAGATGAATAGAGAAAAAAAAAGAAAAAGAATCGACAAAATAATAAAAAAAAACTTTGAAGCGAAATTCTACCTAGTTTTCTGCAGAAATTATATTGGCGTGAAAAACTGGTGATAAATTTTCAGAAAGAAAAACCACGCGTCGAAACACGAATCAGGGAGGGTGAGAAAGCGAAATTGCGCCAAATTGAGAACAGAAATTTCTCTCGATCCTCTTTCCAGCGAACAGACGCTTCGCCTACGTGTCCCGTTAACTGATCCGATGAAAACGTAGATATCAGGCAAAGCCTTTCAAAATATGCGCATATGCAAGAAGCTTTGAAAAGAACTCGAAAACAAACT